GCTTCGGATATGCGTCTCACCTGGGAGCAGGAGCAAGAGGCACGGTGGCGCATGCGGAGGGAACTCTTTCCCAACCTCCCGGAGAATACCATCATTTTGGGGAATTTCAACCAGCTGTATAAGGTTAGTCATTTCCTCGATTAAACAAATATCCCGTACTGACTCTTCCAGATTGAACCGACGACTTTCCGCACTTGGCTGCGTATCTTGGCACGCATCCCGAATGCCGTGCTCTGGCTCCTCCGCTTCCCCGACCTTGGGGAGCAGAACCTCAAAGACACCGCCGCCCAGTGGGCAGACGAGAAAACAGCGTCTCGGATCATCTTCACCGACGTGGCACCCAAGAACACGCATATTTCGCGAGCGAAAGTGCTAGATCTCTTCCTCGACACGCCGGAATGCAACGCACACACAACCGCAACGGACGTCCTGTGGAGCGGGACCCCGCTGCTGACATACCCGCGCTACAAATACAAAATGTGCTCCCGAATGGCGAGCAGCATCCTGAGCAGCGCCCTCCCCAACACCGACGCAGGCCACCAAGCCCGCGACGACCTGATCGCCACGTCAGACGAAGACTACGAGAACAAGGCCGCTCGCCTGTGCCACAGCCTCCAGTACCAGCCTGGCTGTGGCGGCCGCACGCGCGGCAGGCTGACGGACCTGCGCCAGATGCTCTTTCGGGAGAGAGCGAGGAGCAATCTGTTTGATACGAACCGGTGGGTTCGGGATTTAGAAAATGCTTATGAACAGGTCTGGAAACAGTGGGTGAATGGCGAAGAAGGTGATATCTGGTTATGATTATACCCCTTGAGCGATTTTTCTTTCTTTCTTTTTTTTTTTTCATTTTCATCTTGACACTATTTGTCTTTCGATTACCCTATGTAGCTTTACTTTTGTTTGTTTGTTTGATTTCTACGGATCTATGTTGTGGTTTCTTCCTGTCTATCTATCTATCATCTCAGATGTATGTATGTATATATGCATGTACATGTATGTCGGAGAAAAGATGATGATGGGATTTGGTGCATGCTGGCGTTATATAGGTGATGGAAGGATCAGTCCAGCCTAGGTATGGCTCGGCTCAATGATGATGATTCCTGGCAGCTGGCAGAAAGACGGCCAGTTTACCTATTCAACCTCTTGGTATTCGCAGTAGCATATACTATCAACTCCGCTATCAACTCTACTATGTATGGTGGATGGTCGTGACATCTCATGACCCACTGTCAATCTTTATCCCATCCATCCCATCCATCCCATCCATTCTTGGAATGCACGACATACACAAACACAAACACAAACAACAGCCAAGAGACGAATTCCCAAGAAGTGACTATACAAAACCAGAAAATAGAGACCCTCTCGGCCTCCATCCACCTCCGTGGTATCTGTGTATAAAAGAAAAGACACGTAATCAGCCGACATGACAGTCGACTTATAGTCTTGACCTACATGAACTGAAATTGTTGTTTGGACTCTTCAAAAAAACCTTTTTTTTTTCTTTCTTTTTGGTTGTATCTCGTTTATCCACGCTGTCAATACCATCAGTGTTGCTGATATTGACATCATGGTCGTTTATATTGGTCTTCCTAGGCGGGATAAAGATATACACTCCGAGTCTTTCCTTGATGGTCTTTGGTTTAGGGAGGATATGAATATAGTAATAACTAAGAAAGCCTCACTCTCACTCTCACTTTGGACTCTACCCTAGACTCCGTACTTGAGACTAGACTAGACTAGACTCCAGACTCCAGACTAGATCCTAACCCACAGACCCCAACCAACTCTCACCATAAAAGAAGTAAATAATCATTTCAAAGGTAGACAAAAGAAAATCCAACTACAAAACAAACGATAAGAATAAGCAGGCAAAAAACGCACAAAAGAAGCAAACATAAAAATAAAAACAAAGTAGATGATTTATGTACCAACCGCCTCACTATCAAATCAAGGTTGTGTATGTATGTGTGTATGTACATCCACCACTCATTTCCGGGTTTCTTTCTTTAGGTCTTTCTTTCTTTTTTCCTTTCGGGGTGGGTATAGCTGGGATTGTTATGTCTATATGGGGATTGGTATAGCTGGGTTGGGTATTGATTATACCCTGTTAGTTAGGTGCTTGCTTGCTTGCTGGCTGCTTACTGATTGCTTTCTTACTTACTTACCGTTTGGGACTGGGTTTTTGGTGGTGGATAGTAGATATCAAATGGTAAATACTACTAATGTAGGGATTGATTGAAATGGATTGGTTGCTGGTATCTAGGTAGTAGGTGATAGTATGTAGCAGGTAGCAGTAGTAGTAGTAGTAGCAGGTAGTACCTACGATAGGTCGTAGTAGACACCCAGGCAGAAGGTAGCAGTGCATAGCTACATAGGTACATCTCCTTTCTTAGTACTCACCTCCTACTACCCACCTACCTAGCCATAATTCTAACTAATATCATGCACCTGGTCCTTTTCGGATATCCCTACATCTTCTTACATACTACCTACTACTTACCCGAGCAAGGGTCCTAGCATACTGACTATTCGCTTTAGTAGGTGCGCTTGATAACTGGTACATAAGTACATACTTGATCTAGAGTCGACTGTACTATACATATACGAGATGGTGCACCCTCGCCCTCGCCCTCATCTTCATACACAAAGAGCCTTGAAGGGATGAGTATGGACGGATATGGATATGGGTTGAGAGATGGGGGAGCGTGGAGGAAGGAGGGGAGTGACAACCCGTATGTCCAGAAACAGGGCAAAAATCAGTTGTGTTTATAACGGGGCTGCAGGAGGGGTGTTGGGGGTGTCTTTCTTGCTTGCTTACTTGCACTTGCTTTCTTTCGTTCTTTCTTCTTGCCCTGCTTGTACGGGGTACAGCGTGAGCAACCTATTACTTACTCACTTATTTGCCCCGTACCGAATTACTCATTTACTTAGTTTGTTAATGTAGTACGGAGTAGTAGTAGAGTTGGTTATCCAGTTGGGGTCCCACCGTTGTGATACCAATCCATCGGGGTTGGTTCTAGGGTCCTTTATATGGGGATGTATTATTTTCTTTATCTTATATCTTATATTTCATATGTTATATATGTCGTATATGTCATGCATGTTATACCCTTGGGAATGGCGTTTTCCTCCCCGTCGTTTGATTATACGGATTACTTATAAGCATTGGTAAATCACAAAGAAAGGGGGTTTACTAAAGCCTCACACGTTCAAGTACAAGCCATGTGTCGTACACACTACTTACCTCTTCTTAGTACACAGTACTAAGTACTAAGTACAGTACCTAACTACCACATACCACCAAGACCAGAAACCAAGAAAGACCAAGACGGCACCAACCCTCGGAAATATGGTCCCGTCCCAGCAAAAGGAGCCAGCCCCACCTGACTCGCCTCATTCTCAGACAATGGAGAAAACAGAAAATCAGTACCCTATGAAAGGGGATAGAAAGAACGCAACTGTAGGCTCGACGGACCAGGCGGCCAGTCCAGCAGCCAGTGCAGCGGGTCTTGGGCTCTGAATGGGGGAAAAACGCCGCCGCATGGCGGACCCGCCTTGCCTTGCCTTGCCTCCTCTTCTTTCTCTGCGCTACGACTGCTTGGTGTGACTGACTGACTGACTGACTATCCACTGTCTGCAAGCGTTGTTGTTGGTCTTGGGACCTTTGAGGAGAGGGGGCGTTTCTGGCCCGTGGTCTATTGGGGTGTGGCGGCGGAGACGTGACGGGGGGGAGGGGGGGTGGGTGCTGTAAGTACTAGGTAGGTAGGTAGGCAACCAGAAAGGGCATGCAGGGAGAGGGTGGAGTGTGATGGAGTCAGGTGTGATGATGGATACGGACGGATGATGTATGATGATGAATGATGTGGTGGTGGTGGTGGTGGTGGTCGTGTCGTGTCCTTCCTTGATGCTAGCTGTTCTTTTTACTTTTAGGGAGGATCACCGTTCTGAATTGACGTTTCTGGTGAGGGGTTTTTGTCTTCCCTTTTTCTTTTTCTTTTTATTTATTCAATTTTTTACTTCTCGCCCCCTCTTGGTAGGGTTGATAGTCCCATGTTACTTGTACTGCTTGCCAGGGCCGGGACTGGGGCCGGGACCACATGGATCGTCTAGTTTGTCCTAGATCGGGTTGTTGCGTTTTTGACTGAGGGTGTTCTATTTCTTTGGACAAGAACGAGGTTGCTCATTCAACTTGGGTCCAAGACATAAATCAATATTTAAATATATGTTGACACTGGAAAGAGCGTTTCCAGCAACGTCTGTCAGTGTCAGCAACCACAAACTGCCTCTGAACTCCTGACCCAAGATAGTTAGAGTGGAGGAAAAGACACGGCACGGGCCCCTCTCAGGGTTGGATCGAGTCAGTCTAGGGCAGCTACCTCGACCAAGGGTCCCAAGGGAATTGAACCGTAGTTGCGCTTATACCCTTGACCCGAGCGCCGGGGACTGAGAGGCTGAATGGGGAGGGAAAGACTGGGACCCTTCAGATTGAGTTTTAATCGGATAGATTGGGTTTAGATTCATCCATGATTGGTGTTTGGTTTGGAGTTGGTAACCAGTAAGCAGTCACCAGTTGTGGTTTCGTTATGTTTTTTTTTTTTCTTTTCCCTTGTTGGGTGGGCTTCTCGTTTGGTTTTTTTGTTTGCGTTCGAACTTCGCACGAGTTCATCCGCACTACTGGGAAGAGTGAATCAATTACTAAAAAAAATAAGCAGGAAAAGAAATGAAAAGGAATAAAAAGAGTAAAGAAAGGGAAATTCAGGCTTCCGTCACTGACTCGGATTGACACCTAAACGGTGAGGAATAAACTTCCAGGGTGACGACGCAGATGGGTAAACGAGACATGGTTTGTGGTTTTATTTTCTTTTTCTTTCATTTTATTTTTTTTCTTTCTTGTTTGTTTTCCCGTTGCTTTTCCAACGGTCGACCCGGAAAGACCAGTTTTGGCTTTGAGGCCGTTGGGGTTGTCTCTGCTTACTTTCTGACCTGCTTCTGATTTTCTTTTCCCCCTTCGTTTTCTTGGGTTTTCTCCTCTTCGACCAAGGGTCGCATTCGTCTGGCCAGACCCACGACAGGCCGTTTGAAACGTGTCTGTTACTTACCCATCCGTCGCGGTAAAAGGTCGATTTCCCCAGTAAGCTTCGGTTGAGGATGCTGTCACATCACCTTGCATGACAGCCTATCATTTGACCGGCCTCGCGAGTGCCACCGGGACAATGAACGGCATGGCTGGCTGGCTGGTCTGGGCTTGTCGAGCCGTCGTAAGGATCTCATCCTGCTGATCGGGATCATCTCCAGGCGAGACATGACAATTATTGACGGGAGCGCTTCACAGAAGGGGACACGGTGAAGAGAAGCGAGGGCTAACTTTGAGGTGGTGGTCGCACGAGGGAGAGAGACTTTGGTCGGCAGGACGGAGAATGAAGTAGCGAGCAACCGACAACTTGAACTGATGAAAGTGACTCCAATACTAGCAGTAATGGCCATACGGTACACCGGGAACCAACAACCTGGCGTCATTCCCCGAGGTTTCAGTTCACGTCGCACACCCATATGCATCGCGTCCTCTGAATCTAGCAGCCACCATTTCAATTCTGATTGCCCGTTCTCGTGATATTTGAAGACTGGTGAAGCGTGAACCCTACAGGGTCAATCCTAGGCAGATAGGGAAAGTTCTGCTTTTTCAGCAGCGTCGCACAAGGTCAGGGTGCACTGTATCGAACACAGCTTGCACACATAGAGGCAGTAGGAGGAAGAGAAAGATGGAGGAGTCCTCGAAGACCGGGCGGGCCGGGCGGCTACGGGCATGGGGAAAGCCCTAAACCCGGCAGGCTGGGCGCAGCATCTTGTGCCTCCAGGGAACACAACTGGGCAAATCGGGAATCACGATGGTCCCCGAAGGGAAAAAGAATGAACCCCGATCAGAGAAGGCATCCAATCGCAGGCTGTGCTTTATCTTCAGGCCTTTTGGTCCTCCGCATTGCATCTCATGCTAATCCCCGGTGACATGGCGCTACGTCATGTTTCGGTACTCGTGCCATACAATCGTCCAGACAATCGCCAGTGAACCGCAGATGCGATGAGACTGGTTTACCGTTGATCGTGAAGAGGTCTAGGAATGCCAATCAAGCTCTATATCTACGGGTCGGCCGTTGTTGCTCTCGTTCTTGGATCTCGGGTCCAGACCCACGAGAGCTGTCATCTGCGTCTATTCTGACATCGACGGTTTGTCTCGTGGATCTCTCAGGAAACTCAGAATCACCAATCATCCACCGTGTTTCAATCTCGCCACGAATAGTACAATGCAGGTGTAGCTGGTGTTTGACTTCGAGGAAAGGGTTTGGATGTCTCAATGCAATGCACTGATTACAATATGCCGTGTAAATCTCCAGATATATATCTGTGCATATGTGCATGCACATAGTTGTACACTGGTGCATAAGATGCTTGGCGACAGAATATCGGTCATGGGTTACATGTGCATGAATCATGGCCGACAGACAAGACACTATGAGGATTGCGGGTTAGACCTCGAGATCCTCAGATCGTCGTTTCTGGCCGGCTGATTGGTACTGGCCTCGATTGGGTAGGAGACTGCGATGACGGAGTCGATTCAGGCGAAGGAAGCGAGGGCGTGGATCTAGCCAGGTAGAGAAAGGGAGGGAGAAAAAGGGGGAAAGCCGACAAAGACAGACCCAAATCGAATGACGCCCAAAGATCGAGCCAAGAGAATGACCACCAAAATCCAGGTGGTCATCTGCAGGACCGAATTGGCTGCAGCCAGAGCTGATATCCCACCAAACAGAACAAACTGCCCACCACCCAAAGAAACCTGTGAGTGCTCGGACCTCCTGAGGTTCGCAGACCGCGAGGCCCGACAGTCAGGAAACAGCGGCGGATGCGAGAGGGCCGTTCGCTCCACTCTTTGCTCCCCAGGGTAGTAGTCCGGCAATCCCTGCCTTATTATGATTATTATTATGATCATAATAATAATATTATTTTAAATCATTCTATTTATTATTGATTTATTAGTGTAATATTTTTTCTGTTATTATTTTGACTAATAATTTCAAATCCACTACTCCAGGCATGCCTATGCGAGGTAACGCAACAGATTTCGTGCGTGGCAGAAAACCCCCCTCCCCCTTGCTGGATGGAAAAAAATCATACCGATGATTTTTCCATGTTGGTCCATGACTTTTGAAAAACGTGTTCAGGGGGAAAGGAAATCAATGGAAATTTGACAGGTAATATAGAGTGTTCTCCAGTTTTTCCTCATCAATCTAGTTCGTATGAGGAACGAGGTGATCAAAGTCACAAGTTTCAGAATGAGACAGCCATCCTCCCAGCCGTTATGGGAAGTAGACTGATCCTGCATCCATGCCTGAGGCAGACCGATTCAACCAGCCAGCCAGCCCCGGCGTTGATCGGCATCCAAGGGCCCCGTTGTTCCGTACCTGTAGGTCCCATCGCTCACTCACACTCTCTCGCGGTACGAAGCACCCGATTGTTTTTTTTTTCTTTTTCTTTTCCCTTTTGGCCCGATTTCGTACAGGGTACATCCCAGTTAGGGGCGCTAACAATCCAGACTGCCAGGGGTCAATATCAAATCCTGCCAGTGTCTCTGATTGGTACCAATCCCAGGGGACACCGGGGACCACTAACCTAGTCTAAAGCTGGCGTAGCACCGCGCATCCTAGTCCCTCGAGTGTACGGAGGGGGGGGGGTGGAGGGGGGACTCTTGCCCGGATTCTTCGTGATCCGTGAATCAATTCAATCAATCAATCAATAACAGCAATAAAAATAAACACCTTAATTACCATTACCATGATAATGGCCGTGCTGACCTAACTTCCAGCCCCCCCCCCCCCCCCCCCAAACTGCTCCATACAGACCAACTTCGACCCGCGGAAAGCGATCTTATAGGCGAGGGAGAGCCTGAGGCCAATCTGAAAGACTCAAATAAGGAGATCGCCGTGATGTTACCAGCCGTTTTACTTACTGGGGGCGGATTGGGAGGGGGCTTATGACCTGTCACTTACACTTACACCTTTTTTTTTCTTTTTCCTTCTTCTCTTTCTTGTTTAGGTTAACGGTGGTTGAGACTGGCTTGTGTGTGAGACACCCTGGTGTTTGATCGGCTGTCTTTCTTGTCCCTTTCTATGGGGGAAGTCTTTTCTTACAGCATCCCTTCCTTCCGTCTGATGGTTTTCGATAGGGATTGTCAGGGTCCTGGTATGCATGCAAGATGAGAGATCGATGATCTATTTCCAGGGTGCGACGACGTCTGTCTGTATCATCGAATCCTCCTGTATGACTATCTTGCCTTGTGTAGGTAACTACCCTACCCATGTAGGTAATTGTAGGTATTCGTATGTACGAGTATGTACGGTCGTATGTAAGTATGTACGTCCGATGCGTTTGTACACCTACACGGCAACCTAACCCTCCGTTCCACGAGGTTGGATAGCGGGCACCCGTCCACATGGCTCTCCCGTAACCCTCCCATGGCGTTTGATGCAATGCGAATAGTTCGTCACCGGGTTCCTGTTCCCCCCGAATGGGGTGAAACTTTGCCCGAAGGTACGAGCGGTGGCTTGTCTATTCTCGAGATGCTGCAGAGTAGAAAGTTTCGTTCGCAGTGATAGTGATGACTATTGATTTGGAATTGGTAGTAGGATTAGAAGAAGGTTCGCGGGTCGGGGATTGACAGCGGGAAGCATCGCTGCCGCCTAGTAAACTTTGTTGTATGGATGTAAACGTTGCTTGGAATGTGATCTACCTACCGTGCCTCGTACGGAGCTTTTGGGTGCCCCCTTGCTGGAGACGCCATTGTATGGTGGCCACAGGTCGAGGACCTGGCGTTTGGCTTGCACTAACTACGATAATAAACAGAATTAATTTAACCCATCATTAAGGGTGAGGACACGACACGATATAGAAGCTGGGCGGATGGGGAAAATGAGATTATGGGAAGCTCGCACCAGGGAAGGGAGACCCTGAGCTGAATGACATTATCCTGGTGACGAATCACCGAGTAAACCCGCTTGACTGAAGTCTGAGACCCTCCAGCGATCCCTCCTCCTCCCTTCCGTTGACTAGGTGGTATATGGTTAGCACAGTTCAGGTTAAGCTGTTTGAGATAGGGACCCTAAGAGAGACTAAGCCTAAAATATTCTAATCGACCTTGGTAAATCTAGTAATCTACCCAGTATGGATAACCACGCGAATATCAAACTCAACAAAAAAAGCGCGACTTTCAGGGCTCTTGCTTATCATTACCGAAAACTGTAGTGGGTCCCACCAGCCCCGCTGTACCAGAATGACAAATACCTTATTTTGCCGGCCAATCAGTTTCCCACACCAAGGATTGGTCTTGCACGTCATGCCCGGGTGTGGTTCAGGGGTTCGTGCTTCTACCCTATTCTGGCATTTTTTTCTTCGTCTTTTTTTATTTTATTCTTGATTTCTTTGTAGCCGTCCCTGTTCTCCATACGAGACTATAGTCCAAGTGCAGGTGACTGATATACTGTAGCCAACAAAGGACCGCCTCCTATCGCTCTCCTCACCGTTTCTTCTGACTTGTCCAGCCAGATGGTTTCAACGGTCTTTAGCTCGTGGCAAATAATAGGTTCGTATAGACCTCTTTGTATACAAGAGAGCGACAGTTAATGTCCACTGTAAGTTTATTGAAATTGGGCAGCGTTGCTTCCCGTCACAATTGACAGCTTATCCACTTATGGCTGGCGGTTCAAAAGCCCGGTGCAGCTCCTGCTCTGTGCTTCATCGGATTTTGCGATGGCGTGCTCAAGGTGTTGACCTGGTGGTGATAAATTACCCCTTCCTTTCTGGTAAGGGTAACTTACAGAATCTACACTATAGGTTACAGCCTAGTGTATAGCCGTACGATTCATACTACCCACAATACCTACTGAAAGGCTCTCGTAATGACTCCCCTCAGCCCCATTTACAACTAACCAGCGACCAGGAGTGTGACGGAGTGCGGCGGAGGCCCAATGGCTCCATCTCTAGCCGAGTAGCTAGTTTACATTGGGAGGTAAGGTCCGAAAAGGATGCCCTAAAATAATGCCCTAGACACTGGTGCATGGAGGAGTCAATGGATGATCTATCCGATCACGCACAGTTAGCCCATGACGAAGCTTAATACTCCCTTTTCCAGTGTCTTGGAACCGTGGTCGAGAATTCATCCGATGTGTCTTAGATCGGCCAATCAACCCGCCCGATCTAAATCGATCCCCTGGGAAAATAACCCGATGAGTCTTAGCCATGGACCTGTGGAGTTCTCTATGGATGGCCCCGGGTGAAAGGAAACATCGCTAGTTTCAATAGTACCTTCCCTTACAAATTTTTTCCCCTCTCAATGTCCATCACACACACACACACACAGCTGGGTCCCGCACATGGCACTGCCCTCATTATCCGTGCTATTATCTTTAGTATCTTCTAGTTATCCATTTTTTTCGACGGCGGATGCGAGGTTCCAGTGTGCTGGGTACGAACAAACAGTTTTCCGGTCTATCACAATCATAGTAGCGCGATAGCGTGGACATTCTCCATGATGGAGGTCGCCATGCCATGGTGTCCCGACTTCCCCGAAATCGAAGTCGTGGGACCATCTTGTCATATTGAACGCCTCGAGAAACATTCAAGACACCGGTTCGTTTCTTCGGCAGCTGAACTGCTGCGTGTGGTGCATGGCTAGTGGGTTGCGTTCCCCACGAATCTCAAAGACACACCGCAGCGCGTCGAACCTGTCTCTTTCTTCCCCCCTCCCCCTGTCCTGCGTCCAGGGGCAAGAATCCTTTGAGATCTGTCAAATCGTCCACTAGTTACTGCATATGCGGGATGGGGGACAGCGCGGAAACGGGGCGCTCCCTTATGTTCCTACAGCCAATGTGAGCCCATTCGGTTCGGTTTTACTGAATTATTGTGGTTGCATCTGCTTTTTCCCCTGGATCACCCCGCTCGCTGGAGGAAAACCCGGTCATTCCAGCGTCTCTAGTAGAATATTGTAGAACTGAACTGGATTCTACATGATTGTCTCGTGCTTCGTCGGACTATAATGAACCGTCTTCCCGATTGCCGGGCTTGCAGAGGGGCTGTGTTTCTTGTGGACTGGGCTGAGCTTGCAGACTGACGAAATCCGACGATTCTCGCTCTTGGGGACGTTGACGATCCCGGTCCAGTGTCCTGGGACGAGCTATTCGCCCTCTAGTAGCAGGTAGTACTAGCCTCCAGCTAAGCCAACCCAGGTGGCGAAAGTAGTGGTGGCTCAGTAGGTACTGAGCTACACCGAGTCCGTACGAGTCCTCGTACTCGGGGGGACGACAGGCTCGATAAGATAGGAAACGAGCGAAGAAAGTCCGTAGGTATGTAATTTTCGATGTATTTCTATTACAGGGCGTGGTACGGGGCATAGTACACTTAGCGGGTTACATAGTCTATCTTCAATGTTTCTCCATCCGTGCCCTCGGCGGCACCGACGCAAAGGTAACTTTCCCCCCTCCCAATCCTAGAATAGCGATTGCATACGATCAACATGTCGATCACAGCCCCCTCGGGTAATGGAAAGTCAAAAGATTCCAAATTCCCAAATTCCCAACGACGCTAGCTCATCCGTGCCCACATGAACGGGTTCGGGTTCATGTTAGTGGTGTACTGGGCCCACGAGAGATCGGTCTGCTCTGTACCAGTGCTGTATGAGCCTATGAAGTCTTGCCGAAAAAAATATGGCTGGCTGGTCTCTGGAGCATGGCAATCAATAACCCGATCGAATATTTTGATTTTTCATTTCTCCTCATATCCTTAGTATTGTTGTCATCATTACTTTTGTGTATATTAATATTTATCGATATTTTTTTTTCGGATACTTTTTAATATTTATTCTTTTTTTATCTCGTACTGGTTCAATAGTGCCAGAAAAGAATCCTGCAGTCTGGTTACCTATGTTACTGAACAATGCACTCGCAGCGGGACCTGCCGACATTGACGCTTTTTTTTCCTCCCTCGATCTTGGTACCCCTTGACTACTGAAACGCTAACACTTTCATCGACGGCAACTAGATCGGGTTGGTTTGTCGTAATGAAATATTATTACAATTCGAATCCACTGGCTGCGTTTCCTCCCGTTCCCTTGGATCACTCAGGAATTCCTATTTCCGAACGGATAGGTGCCCCGCCCCGCCCTAGGTAAACGATGGCTGTCGCCTTTTTCCGCACCGTTTCTGTCGCTCCAGTTTTCCTGTCAGGGACTGAACCTAGACGAGCATGGGCCAGTCCGTTGTCGGTAGGAGGGGGAACGGAACTAATTGAAGGGCTGCCTAAGCGGTAGGCAGTATCATGGGTCCTAACTCCTCCCGTCCATTGGTGATATCCAGGGTCCATCCATCGATTCCATGGGTTTGGTCGATGGATCGATCGCGCTGAAGATGCAGCCACCATGGAAATGGAAGACTTGGGACAAAAAGAGATGCAGCAGGTCTTGGTGTGACTGGGATTGAATTGATTAATTGATATTTATTTTTACTTCTTATCTTGTATTTTCTTTTTTCTCTTTTCTTTTCCTCTTCTTTCTTCCTTTCTATCTATCTATCTATCTATCTATGTCTCTTTCTTCTCTTCCTTTTCTTTTTCTGTTCTCTACCCTCTCCACCCCAGTCTTCCATAGTTCCATGGATCGGTGCCGCACGATCGGTCTCTGCATCCTTCGTCATACCTGCACATCTTTAATCTATTTCTCTCTCGTCCGTTCGCCATAACTCGTATACCGGGTGGCTTTGCTCGGGCGACTGTCTTGTTCGCCCCCTGAGCCAAAGTCTCCACACCACAGCTGTGACCAGATGGGGAAAGTAGTCTGATACCTGGGCCATCGAAATAGATTAAAAAACACTGGGGACAAGCTTGCCAAGTCCAGGAGGGCCTGGTGAAGATCTTTTTTTGTTTTTGTTTTTCTTCTTTTTCTTCTTTTCCCATCTCACTTGAACGTCCCAGAATCAACGCATAGCGTGACATTCCACGATTCTGATCAAGCAATAGTAGCGAGGAGGACGAGATATGGCCCTGGGTATGTGGACATACCTGTCATGTGCCGCTATCACTTCCTCCACCCACCACCATCCACACTTGGACGACTGTCCAGGGTTCCCCCTGGCTCTTTTCCACTGTCTCTCCCTGTCTCTTACACAATGGATTCAATCTGTGCTTCACTTTACAAGGATAAAAATAAATCGAGAAAAAGATGATGAAATGAAAAAGAAAAGAGCCATAGTAATTGAGGCGCCTATTGTTCTTGTCTCACGTTGTAGGTCCTAGCACCGTTGTACTGACTCTGTAAACTATATCACATAGTCGAAAATCTTCCCCCACGATCTCTAAACAGTGGCGGTTGCAGCCTGTGTCTAATTCTCTCTCACAAACTCTTTTCTTTTCTTTTCATTTCTCTGTCCTCCATGCATTATCTTTGCTTTTCTTTCTCCTTCTGGTTGTGTGATCAGGTAGACTGGATTTTTTCTCTATTGATGATGGGTCTGATGTTACCTAAAGAAGGATAGATACTGTAGCAGGTTGAGTCCATCGCTGGGACCTCCCCACTTCTCGATCGGCTTAGATCTTTGCCATGTTGATTGATGATGATCATTATGATTCTGACAATATTTCTGTCTTGTCTTTTCTTCTTTTCTTTTCTTTGCTTTTGATTTTTCCTGCTTTTGGAAAACTCTCTTTGTACGTAGCTACGAACCTATCTGTAATTCTGGAGTTTAATTCCTGGGAAGTTTAACAGCTCTTGCACCTCTGGTTAGTTCCAGGGCTAGTTGATAGACTAGTACGGAGTACAGATTCATGAGGAGGGAGGTGATTGTTACTTACCGTACGTATTGAATCATTACCAACTGTAACAAAACCCCACCTGGAAAAAGAAAACAAATAAATAAATTAAAAAAGGAAAAATAGAAATAAAATAAAATCAAAAATAAAAAAAAATAAAAAAAAATAAAAACCAACAAAAGAATTAAATACAATACATAAAATCATTTTCACTCGATTTAATCTATTTTCTTTTCTGGATAGTCATTATTATTATTATTATTCCTCCGACAACTGTCAGCTCCGAGATCTTGGATCAGATCTTCTCCTATAGCATGCTGGAAGGTGTGGAGCAACAGCCTTTTTCTCTGACCCGTCTCCTTGGTCATTGTATTCTGCTTGTAGCTATAATAAATCATCATCATCCCTCCTCCTCATGCTCTATTGTCCAACTTAGTCCTCCATCACATCTCTCCTCCCCTTTCCATCCCACTCTCCCTCCGTCTGATTATATCTACCATCTGGCAGACGCACCTGGGACTTGCCAAAATCCTCCTCACTTCTCACTTCGATCCATTTCCTATACCCTGCAGCCTGATCAGTGCCATTCACACACTCCTTTGGGTTGCATTGGTTAAGACTACTCCCTCCTCATTTTCAACTCTTCCACCTACCAGACGATACTCGTATCCCTACATCGCATCCTCTTCAGCCACCTTCCATACCCTGAACGAGACCTCAACTCTACTACCGCTGCTCTCCGTGATTAGCTTTTCAAGTGCGCTAATCACGCTCGCTCACTTCTACTACTATCCACGGTACGTTACCAACCAGTCTCAAAGGAGACTTCCACCCTTCCCCCCCGCGCGCGCCCGCCTTCCGGGCAGCCGCTCGCCCTGCGGCCCTACCGTGCCTGAACTTTGTCGCCAATCCATTTTAAACCCCCTCTTTCCCTGCAACACTTGTTATTTTCCATTCTCCCCTTCAACCCTCTGATTCTGGTTCTTGTTTGCATTTGCGATCAGTCCTCTAATTTCACTCCAGAATAAACTGCCACTATTCTCATCCAAATAATGGCTCCCGCTCATCGCAGAGGACCTTGGGTTCCCGAGGAAGACCAGCTCCTCCTCCAACTGGTTCGCGAACAGGGCCCCAACAACTGGGTCCGCATCTCACAGCACATGCACTACCGGTCTCCCAAGCAATGTCGGGAGCGCTTTCACCAAAACCTGAAGCCGTCTCTAAACCGTGAGCCCATCTCCGCCGAGGAGGGGCTGATGATCGAGCGCATGGTCAACGAGATGGGAAAGCGCTGGGCCGAGATCGCACGACGACTGGGTAACCGCAGCGATAACGCCGTGAAGAACTGGTGGAACGGCAGCATGAACCGCAAGAGGAGGGGTCTCCCGACTAGCCCTCACCATTCCACCTCCCGCACCTACAACGGCCGCATCGAAGCCCCTTATACGCGGGCCTCGATGGGATTGAGCAGTCCGACCAGCCAGTCTCGTTTCTCGCCCATCTCCCATAGCCGTCCCTTCAGCTCGTGGAAGTCCCCCTCGCGTCGGGGCTCTTGCTCGACCGCCTCAGTCGACTGTCCCCCGCAGTTGACCCCGATCTATACCCTTCCCGCCCTCAACCGCCCCATCGAGACCCCTCTGACCTCCCCTGCCTTCTCCGAATCCTCGAACACCCTCTCCATTGAGCCACCTTCCATGATCTCCGACCACAACTCCGTCTCCTCCGCGTCTCCCCGAACCGTCTCCTCCCCTCAGCTGCTGCCGCTCCCCGTCGACCCCCGTCAGCACTATGGCGAATTCCGCAAGCACACAGACGACCTATACTACAGCGGGTATCAATTGCCGAAACCCCTGGAGCCTTGTTCCGAATTTTCTCTGAAGCAGCGGTGGATCGCGGATCACCAAGCCTGGAACCGTCCTTCCTCCCCGTTATCACAGCCTTGGCATGCTCATCCCGAGCCTGCGCGGCCTGAGTCGTCACGGGATTCCCGGATGGGTCTGGATGCACTCTTGAATTAACGGCGATGGTTCCTATCGCTTGATGACCGTATGACTTTCCTTGCCTGTGCTACTATTTTTCTCTTGTTATCTATTGTTTTGTCTTCTTGTATATGTGAACCCGACCTATGTCTGTCCTTAATCTTTTTTCTCCTTTTCCTGTGACTCTCTTTTGTTCTACATGGTGTACATCTAACCGGCTTCTCTTTCCACGGCGGGTCTCGTGGAAAATCTTGATAATCTTCTACTGGCGACTCGAGTCTGAAAGCCACTGGATGATTTCCCGAGAAAAAAAAGCAAATGAAAAAGAGAAAAAAAAATACTCTTGGGAAAATTTTACCCTAATCACTGATTGTTTTATTCTGGTTTCGATGGGTAATGTGACATGGTGGAAAAGGAGTATTGGCTGGGTTGTTTATAGAAAGGAAACTGGGGATTCGGACGCGGAGTGATGGATGGATTACCACCACTGTACTGATGTTTAAATTCCGGAGATTATGTGCAAGTGACCCGATTTGGCTGGGATGGATTTAATAATACCCTTTGAAGCAGCTCACTATTGTCTTTGATTCTACCGTAATAGTAATCAAAAAATCAATCTAAATTTCCCGAATCACATTCAGATCAATAAGTAGATACTAGATACCTAGGTAGTAGGTAGATCCAACCAGACACTGCTCTACTATAGTTCAGCTAGGAACCGCCTAACTTTCTCAGCTCCGGTCGATCCATCCATCGACCACCGACATGGGTAAAGCAAGGGATACACCCACTAACGAGCAGGACCTGCCCTGCTTTGCTTACCTTCCGTCGGTGGCTGGCTGTCACTGAACCGAGCAGCTGGCTAGCTAGCTAGTCCCTGCTGCGGTCTGTGAGCGAACCGAACCGAACCCACCACGGGAGGATATTCACGAGGGTGTGAGGAAGGAAGGGGGGGGAAGGGGCTGTCTCTGTGGGATGTCGTATGGAGTAATAGTAATAGTAATAGTAATAGTAATGTATGCATGTATTAAATCGGAGGTTTTGAGGGGCGACACGACACCATCCTTGTGTATTTTTTATTCCTTAGAGAGAAATCAATAGTAATGGGAATGACTACCTGGTCACTTAGTAGCTATATTATTCTAACAATATCAAAGTGTGAATATGAGAAATGTTGAAAAACATCACATTGTTATTAATCAAAGAAAAGAACGATAGAAAAGTAGTTCATATGCATGCAACACCATCCTTTGGGAAACCCAAGATCGATAGGTCTCTTCGTAACCCAGCTGGCATGACACCTACCTCGCTACCTAGCCTGGTGCTGCTCAAAACGAGCGGTGATTCGAAGAGACCGGGGTGGTGTTTATCCAATGGGTGGGAGAAGCGAAGATACCGTAGGGTAGTGGTGGTGGAGGGTGGATGGATGGATAGGATGGTTCATGCATTGCTTCCCTCCACCACTTTTTTCTTGCCACCCCTCCTCTGTGCCTCCTGGGGGCAAAAAGAGATCCTGCTAGGATGTGAGTACACCCCCTCCCTCCCCTTGGCTTGCTGGACCTGGTGACTGTTCGGGTTCCTTGGGTACTTTCCCACCGATCATTTTGATTATTGGGGTAGTAAGGCTTTTGGGTAGCTTTTTTTTTGCTGTTGACCTTTTTTTATTATTTTACTTTGTTCAATTTGTTTAGACGTGTAAATGGTTTGAAATGTTGATAGAGAGATGGAGCTAAGAGGGTTATTTCTGTATCGTGTGGTAGATTGTGTACTTGGGTATCTTACCTACCTACGTAGCAGATACCCTAGGTAATGGGTGTAAGTAAGTGGCTATGTCTCTTCCATAAACCTACAATATCTACGTTTATGCAGCAACAAAAGCTAATTCCCCGGTAAATCCATAGCTCGACCACGGACTGCACAAAAGGATAAAAGTAATGCTCGTGACCCTATCTGGCAATCCGTTCCCCCCTACTTACCTCTCCCGGGGCCATCCGCTGCAGCCCCCTTGTTGTGCGAGTCGGCCGGTTGTCATTTAGTCAATTAGATCTTGCTTTCCGGACCCCCGCTCCCTCCTCTTCCTCGTCTTCCTCCGGAGCTAGAGCTAGATCAATATTAACGGTCATGATGGCGGAGGGACTTGCGGGGTAAGCTGCTGCTTTTTTTGGCTTGAGGTTGGGTGACACTGTCTTTGATGGTTTACGTTTACATGTAGGGATTTTGTGTGTGCGTGTGTGTGGAGTATATTTCGTTTCGTCTCCTTTTCCCGTTTCCGTGCTTGAAGAAACCGGATGGTAAGGTATCCATCCATCCATCCATCCATCCATCCACTTTACAGTCCGAGCGGGGATATATGACTCGCAACGCCACTTTCACAAGGATAAAAGAAGTACAGACGATGATCAATAACCAGAGGGGATATTCTAACAGAAACAAAACACGAAAACAAAATAAAAAATAAACCTGATAAATCACTGAGTCGAAGAAGGGGTGAAATCCCCACAGAGTACGTGCCACAAGACAGTCCACCCAGCCTGGGCTTGTCACCGTTTTCCGCCTGGCCACTAGTTCGTGGCAGAGATGGTCGATTGGCTGTCTCTGCTGGTCCTGACTCGCGACACGGCCAGCTCAAGCCAGCGAGTGGCCCTGTGCTGCCGATCACACCTAGACGCTCTGCGATCTGACCTGGCTGGTTGGGTCCACTCTGGATGTGTCTACGGGTATTCAGTATTGATAATACGGATACAATGCCATGGGAAAAGGAGGTATAGGTATGGGTAGGGAAGGACCAGTGTATGTGTGTCAGTTCCTTTCCGGGATGTTTGAACCGAGTGGTGATCTACTCGGAGACAAAGGTGGATTGTACGACATACTATCCGTATATAGGTTAACCCTAACAATGGTCCCTCTATAGCTGTCAATCTCGACAAAGAATGGAACAATTGAATTCAAGCCTCAACAATGCCAACGACACGACAAGGGCAACGACATCCGTCAACAGGCTCAACACTCTTCCCTAAACCAGCCAACCAAAAGCCAACTGAGACATCCCATCCATACGAACGATGATCTCTAACCTTCCCAAACTAAGGCAAGTCAAGTAAGTTAATCTCAGGATCCGATCCTGGAGCCATGATTTGGAATACTGGTCACTAGCGTCGCGATTGGGGCGGAGCTAGTGGGATCCTTTCCAGCAAGCAACACGCCGTGACGTATTGTACTACACTTCGACGTCTACGTCTGGTAGGTCCTACCTTACCCTCGCAGGAGGGGGTTCCGATGCATCGTGAGGATTTGATAGTCGCCTGGTGGGGGTCCTTGACCGTTGTAGACATGCGATCCTTCATACGCCGGACATGACTCGATCGAACCGGGTTCAACGCCCGGTAGTTCCTTGTTGTACTTGGACTCACCTGTGATTGATTGAGTACGGGGCGCTGGAAGGTGATGGATCTTTTCGTTCTTTACCAGTCATACTGGTATATTAATCATATATTAATTTATATTAATTGCTGGAGGACTGCATACCCCGTGTCTTGCTGTGATCTGCAGTGTACTGTATCTGTACCTTTTTTTAGTCGTCCACTCCTGGTATGAAGCTTTCTTTTTTTACCCTTGTTATTTTGCATTTAGCAATATATTTATTTCCTAAACACAAGATTCAAGTGGGGAATTACGAGCTTGCTCCTTCGTCTGCCCCTAGAGGTCACTAGGCTGATCACATTGTTAGACCTGCAGAGAAGGGTAAGGGTGCCTTGCACGTTGCAATCCATCCCGGGGTTTCCCCTGGCCGGTAATTTTTGGTAACTTATGCCACATTACATTTCATACACATACATATTTACATACTTACATACTTGTCTCTTACTGTCATAAATACGGAGTACATACATCCATATCGTATTCTCCAAACTACAAGGCAAAACGAACATACTTTATACTTCATCATCGAGGAAAGCAAGCGATCATAATCATAGCAGCTGAAAGAATCCACTATTGTGTGTACAGGCCTGCCTAACTGTCCATCCTTGTAGACAGGGATGGTCTGTCCCAGGTTAATTAGACTATCAACGTTCGACGTCAACTAATTCGAGAGCTTACCAATCCGAAGCGCCCACTGCATTGCAGCTGGGATCATCTCACTGCAGCATGCGCAAATACGGATACAATCCTAGAATACGATACGAGTCGTGGTTCATTTCGTATGAAGATCAACGGGAGTCTGGACTTGTCGTAAATCTCCCAAGTACTGTATGGAACGTACTTTATTTATTTCTCTTTCTCTTTTTCTTCTTTTCGATAATGTCATTATCACTCTCATTAAAAAAAACCACAATCTCAAACCCAAGGATAGACATTATACAACCCTAGCGCGATACCCGATCAGGAAAACGCAGACGTTGCCCGCCGGGCTACACCCATCCCCTTACGTGGTTCCCGATCCTCACACAAAACTCTATGTAAAACACGACTCGGTGAGTGGCGAATGCAATCCAATCCCAAGAAGAAAAAAGAAGCAAGTCATGATGATTTTCTGGTGGTCCCAGCTTTTGCGCGCGAAACGCTCCCAGTGATTCCAGGTCGTGTGGGTGTGTGGCTCCTGATGTTGAAACGGCTGCACCGAAGTCGGTCCTTCGCAGCTCCACAGAGGGGACGAGGGAACTGAGTCGTGTTGTGCTGTCGGGCTTACTTTTCCGGTATACTGACTCGGTTCATCTACACTCATTCGTTGTTCTTGTTTTTGTCTCTGTACGGTCATTCGGTGAGACGCGGTGGATGTTGGACTACTGGATATCTTTTCCGTTTTGATATGCTTGCCTTCCAATGATGCTGCTTGATTGTGGTGTCTGGCGGTATTGTATATTGCAGGTAGTGACTGACTTTGTACTGTCATTTGTTTAACTGTAACCAGCACTGACAGGCCCCATCGTTATGTCAAACGCAACTAGCTTGTGCGGCTTCCATGTGGTGGGTTAAGCAGGGCAGTGAGTGCGGAATGCCAGGTAGAATAGCTTCCAAGGGGGCCTGCCAGGCGGTATCTACAGCACTTTTGTCTATGCAATACATATAGATTATTGAATATTAAGGCACGCAATCGAGCACCATGTTGACTGATTTTCAGCATTTAAATTTTATCTATGGATGTTCTTGTCACTGGTAGTAGTGCGTATAAGGAGTGGTTTAGATGGCTATGCCACACCTATGAAACATAAGTTGAGCATTGTGATATTCACTTTGAGTGTCTTCTGTCCAATGTTACAAATATATTTGATTTACAGCTCCTAACGGAGTCTATCACAGCTTTTGTATTTTCAGATACCCAGTCTCTTCACTGCAACTCAATCCCAGCTGGATGATATGATCTTTTTGAGTTTCAATGAGAGGCACCGACGCTCATACTAGGTAGTATAGAGGCAGCTGTTTTGCAATGTCTCTGTACCCCAAACAGGCAAACCTGAAGACCAATCCCAATCACTTGAATCTGGAGGACTTGAAAGAGGCCTGTTACTACAATCTTGATCTAGACAATGATTATATTGGTGTGTGAATATACTATGTGCCATAGCTTTAGCTGCCTGCTTAAGTGGTATCAAGGAATTACTTCACAAGCTGTATCATGCTTCTGTAATCACTCAACATGAACCTACAATGAGTAACAGAAGATACTGTATAGCTGTAGTGAATTGCCCTCTACTTTCCTTCTATGAAACGGTGAATAGATTCTGTAGATTTCGATGGGTGAATACTCCCACGATGGAGAAGGGGGACCCTTTCCTTTTCATCTTTTACTTTTTACTTCTGTCTTCTCTTCTTCTCTCTTCTACATCTCTCTAAACCTCAGAAAGAAAAAGGAAAACCCAGTTCTTACTAGATCTTTAAAGCTTCATCTCTTTTGGCATATCCTCTTTCACATCCAAGTCTCATATTCGCGTCTCTTGACCCCATTCAGTACCTCCTCTTTTCAACAGCCTCTTACTCTTTGCACTTACTATCCAGTAATCTGCCATTATTCAAAACCAGGTAAGTATCTCAGCGTCCCAAGCCGTGGTAGATTGATCATAGTAATCTCCAATTCAGAAGTCACCAATGGCGGGTTCCCGTACGAAACTCAGCCCAGAGGCTCCAGAGTTTGTCTACCACAGCGGTAAACCTGGTCCCATGGAAGTCCTTGAGGAAGAACTGTCTGCCCAAGATGCAGAACAGGCAAGCTATCCCAGATAAGTCACACATAGTACAGCAACTTTCTAACTCAATCTACTAGGGTGACAACGACCAGAACTTCGATGAGCCAAGGGCAAGTTTGCCAGGCGCCAGATCGACCATCCATGAGGTAATTTTTCTAATATTTCCAACGTTTTTTTCAGGAATCGGTCCTAATATCAGAACCAAGGCGAGCCAAATGATACACACGCTGGTGACAACTCTTTCCCGGTAGGTCACTATCATTGCTTCGGTGTGGTCCCTCAAGCAAAACCTATGAAAGCGGTTTCACAGTTTCTGGAAATATTGGGAACGCAGCCCCAGGAGATATCCACGTCATCCTCTACGGAAATCCTTTCAAGAAGTTGCTCAAGGACGCCGAAACCTCCGCTACTCACTCTGGGGTGATCAATTTCGACGTCAATGATGCACCAGTAAGGCGCTAGACAGATGCTCTGGTGAGGCTTCAGTCGAACGAAAACGGGGCTGGTCGGTGGCTTGACCTCCTTCTCAATCAAGAACCCAACGCATTGCCAAACGTAGACTTCCTACGGGGCAGAGACGTCAAAGTCATCAGCTCTGCAGTGGGTCGACTGCTTAGTCTAAAGCATTGGAATTCCCAACAAAAAGCCATGTTTAGGTCCCTTCGCATGACGAAGGGGGGTTGTTCCATTTTGGAGGGCTTCCCGGGGTGCGGCAAGACCACTGTCCTGGCCGCGACGGCGATCTTGCTTTACCACTGCGGCTTCAACGTTCTTCATGTCGGGGCAAGTAACGCCGCTGTTGATGCTTTGGCGGATGCGCTTACCGCACTGGAACCCACATCGTACGTGTGTATTCGTCGTGCAGAAATCGAACAAAGAGCCAAAAATGTCTGCCAACCCGCGTGAGCCCGGTGAAGTCGAGGAGGCGAACTCAGAACTCGGAAAGCACATTTCACTAGTCGGCCTCCTACAGACCCTCAAGGCAACACTATCCCAAAATGTCGAAGGGAATCCCGAGTATAGTCTATTGGCACATGTGAAGCGGAAGTGTACCGAAGGAGTCGCCAATGATGAAGTATATCTGGTGAACGTTGCGCCACGAGCACTGATACCGGACTCTGGAATCCCGGATGGAGAAGTGGACCCGAATACACATGACATCCAAAACGCTTATGAGGTCGTTCAAGAATATCTATCGCAGCCAAAAGCTCCACGCCCGGGTTCGGCTTCCCCGGAGGATGACAGCGAATGGCTCCCACGGGAAAGTGCATTCGAGAAATGCTATGAAAGCGTCGCGGACGTTGTGGTACAAGAAGCGTCTATCTTAGCCTGTACCAAAATCTTGCTGGCTTGCATCTTGTCAGAAGAAATTTTGGCGCAAACGGCGAAAGTATAGTTGTCATTGCGGATGAAGATGGGCAGGCTTTAGAACCAGACGCGATAATCCCACTCGTGTCCCTTGATAGGTCACACCTCGTCGTTGGAACGATTCGAGGAGGCGACCGAGGGCTTCTCGCTTCTCTCGCCAATACCGCAAAGGAGGTTCCTGGTTACAATGAATTCGGGTGCCAGATGGGTAGATCACTCTTCGATAGACTCTGTCGTGCCCGGTTCCCAGTGCATGTTGTCTCGAGACAAGATAGGATGGATCCCCGTCTCTCCAGATTTCCATCGCAATTCACATACTCTGGCGGGATGCCCGATGACCCCAGCGTGAATTCCATTTCGATCAGGGCTGAGATCGCCAATGCTCTTCGAGATCGGATAGAGAAGAAAGCATCAGGTGCAAATTTCGAACACGTGGAATTGATCGGAATTGATCGGAATTGATCGGAATCGTTGTCACTGACGGCGCAACATCCGGAAACAGCCAAAACCAATCGAGATCAAACATCGAGAATGTTGCTGTTGTCATGGATCTCGTTGAATTTATCGTCCGCCGTGGTGGACTGGGAAGCATGACCTGCGCCATCATCACAATTTACTCAGATCAGAGAAAATAATACATTGGGGGGATGATGCGTCTGTCCGAGAAGCTCGACATTGCCTGGAAGCATATGCCTAAAGTTGCGACAGTGGATTCCATGCAAGGCCACGAAGCGGACCTGATCATGCTAGATTGGGTTGTCGTCTCGGGGAAACAGTCTGGCCTCTGCTTTGCGGCTGATAATCGCCGCGCGAATGTCGCCCTCGCGAGAGCAAGGTCGTGTCTGATTGTTGTTGCCAAGGGGAAAGTTATCAACAATGGCCACCTCAGCGAGGCAAGGCCGAGGGAGTTCCACCCGGAGATCCTGGCTCATTGGCAACATCTCCTCTACAACGATTTGATTGTGGACGTGTCTGCTGCCGCTCTGATGACATGATGGCGAGGACGCCGGTGCGTGGTGATGGGCAAAGCTACTTGATGGTTTTGTCTCTCGCTACTCGTGGTAATTTCGAAAAATAAAGATATTTATAAAAGAATATCAGCCACTGCACCAAAATACTGAATCGATATAAGTTCGTATTCAACATCACAATATGCAACATCTTAGGGCCTTTGGGCTCTCTTGCCTTCAATTCTGCCTCCTTTTTGTTATTCCCTCGAATTTCGACCTCGTTGGTCCTTTTGTCAGCATATTCGTTCTATCTCTGTATGTGTGCATTGCCCTTATGGAAGGAATGCTTTTGCTCTTTTGTGGTTCCCCCATTGCGGTTTCCAATTCAGAAGACAATCCAACATTATTTCTACGGTTAGTTGATCCATGAACACCAAAAACCATCTTACCATCCACGCCATCTCACATCTGCGAAGGCATTTACTCTCTCTTTTCCTGATATCAAATTAACGTCAATCAGAGTCCGTGGCGGAAATTACAAAGTTGACAAAGATAAAAAGTAGTATGCTCCTCTTCTCTAGCCTTTGGTCATGCTTATACTGACCATAGATACTACAGCAGTGAAGAACCCCAGTCCCCGTTCCCGTCTCCGGCCTCGGAACCACACCAGATGGGGGTATATATATATATATATATATACATATGTATGATCACTTTTTGATCAATTTCACCACCGCCCTGGTGGAGATCCATGGTTGCGAACATTTCAGTAACCATCCTGAGCATACTGGGGTCGGGTTTAACCATGTGGTTATGGTTCCTCTTACGCAATCGGTGCGTACAAATATAATATGGGTCCCCGAGTCATACGTGCTGGATACAATTATTAACTTGACTTATAGGTACGGCCTCATAGAGGCCAGTGTCACTCGCGTGGCAAGCACATCCCAAGAATTTTTACAACTGGTGAACAGACGTGGTATGATAATTTTCTCTAGCCTTTAATACTGTTTATACTGACCTTGGGTACCACAACAAGAGCCACGACCGCAGCACCTCCCCCCCTCTCTCTCTGACAGCAGCTCTCTTTCTATCTCCCTCTCAGTTTCCCTTCTTCATTCCAACATGCCTGTTTTGCCAAACACCCCAACACAAGCAGCAACTACAGCACCAGCATTGTCGCAATCATCTGGGCCCTGGTGGACTGTTGTGATCAACAACTCAGTGATAATCAGTCTCACATGTCTTAGTATCACAATAGGACTTTGCGCCTTTTTTTGTCTGAGATCAAAGTGAGTAAAAAGATAATTAGATCCTTGAGTTATACGTGATAAATATAGTTATTAACTTTACTCAAAGATTCCCAGCTTCTGATCTCACAATTACGCGTCAAGCAGAGTCTGCCGCGGAGTTCCTAGAATTAACAAAAATGAAACGCAGTATGCTACTCTTCTCTAGCCTTTAATCATGCTTATACTGACCTTAGGTACCACAACAAAGGACGCTCCCGCCGGCGGTTCATACTTTGGCCCCCCAGATATACAGACTGTATCAAACGCGGTAATATCAAAAAGAGGATATCGGTGGATCCGGACTCTGGTTAGCGCAGGCCAACTGATCGATTCCAACCGATGTGCTGAGATCAGCCCCTGCACAAGTGGCATTGATTGGCTGCCGGAAGATCTCGGAGTTGCACCCTTGATCGGCTAGGCTTGGAGGGGTTTACTGTACCCGCCTTACCGGTCCGCCCGTGATCGGCAGAAGAGACAATTATTTATTGAGAATAAAAAGATTGGTGTGAAATATAGTACCGTCGTGATATATTACCTGTTTTGTGTGGGTGCGTTTGCTTTTCAGCTGGTCTTTTCTTCGTTTTCTTCTCGCTTTTTTCTTGTTTATTCGTTCTTCTTTTTCATTGTTATTGACCAATTTTTAGACCGTTGAATTATTAGCATAATACTCTCATAATAATCTCAACATTCTATTCAATACAGTGTCATCCTAACATCCCGTGCAGCTGTCAGTCGACCCATCCCACCCACGATGGCGTCCCCGATACTCCCAGCAGCAACAAGTACTGGCTCCGGCCACTATAAGGCCTCCCCCTGCCTTAGTTCCGAGACCAAAACAAGCGTGCAATACCTAATACAAGTCTCGACTAACCCGAGCATCCCTGTTCGGACGACAATCAGCGGCAGAGGTATTTGTCACGGTGGAGCTGTCTCTGTTCAACGTAACCGTCTCTATGGACGAGAAGGTGCGTCGGTGGGGACGGCCACACCATCTACTCGGCACGACAGAGTCATGGCCACGGACAAATCAGGTCCTCAATCTTGAGGATGCGCGTCGAAAGGCCCAAGCACAAACCACTCCGGCCAGAATAGTTCCTGCCCTGACCACGTGGACTTTTTGTCACATACGGGCCGTTGCCGTTGGCTTTCGTACCGTACCGTACCGTATCGGCTTTACCGAGCATATGGACTGACTCGCTAACGGTTTTTGGCAGACGAGCCTGGACCTCCTGGTTTGATTTGAGTTGATTGAAATTAATTGGTATTTTTATTATTCTGAATTTATTAATCGATGTACTTCATCCCTTATTTCATATTTATTTATTATATTACGATCACAGGATAATCGGTGTATCCAATTGCTCCATCCCCATCGGCTACTTTCAACGCCCGGGCGACCAACTATCGATTTTGGCAAACTTAATTTGTCCCTAGAAATTTTGATTTCCATTCTCCCCGTTGAACAAGGGTCAAACCTCCCTAGCCAATGATTCCCCCGGAGCATTGGCTTCCCTCACCCCAGAATCCATGTCCAATCTAATCCCCGATACAGGGCTCTCTCCCCCAGAAACAACGCTATTTCCTCCCCGTCCCGAAGCCACCGAAGAACCTTTCCTGCGCGTGAGTGGACAATCATATCTCTGCGCGTTGCATGCGGCGCCTTTTGATTCCAGCTTGGTCCCCGGCGTGTCGCCTGGGTGGGTTATTGCTTGCAAATACAAATACATCCCTGTTGACTCCACTGCTGGACCCCACTGGGTTATTGGGTGCCATGTTTCTCCCCTATCGCTAAGACGGATATGCTCGGATGAGAATGGTTGGGTGGATGGGTCTTCTTGATTGATCGATCGATTGATTGATTGAGATGCAGTCGCTTCCACATGCCGAGCTTGCCATAGCTGTCTCGACTTGACTGTCATGGTTCGAGGATGTTGTGGCTGGCTGGATGGCTGCTGGCCGGAATGGCCGAGATGAGCGAGGCTGAGCTGATCGACGAGAGAGGAAGTACTTCATACGTACCCAAACTTTTCAATTTGCCGTTCACCGCCGTGGCCAGCTTGGCCGCCGTGGCCTTCCAAAGGTTGACTAGACCTAATGTCACTAGTCAGTATAAGCAGTATCAAAGGTAAGAGAAAACTAGCATACAGACCTTTTGGGGTGATTGACTGCTCGATTTCTACTTGACTCGGCAACTCGTGTTGTTGTGATTTCGGCCATCTCGTACCTACGTAAAAGTGAAGTTAATAATCATATCTAGCATGTATAACTCAAGGACCTATATCATCTTTCTACTTACTTCTTTCCTGAAGAGGTGGCTATTTATAGCATTGTATACAGGATTGTATCAACTCTGGAAGTGTGCATTATAAACGGAGGAAATTACTGGATTGTGCTTGACAGGATTGGGTCGAATGAGGATGCCCAATCTTGGTAATTCTTTATGACAAGAGGAATACTTAGAAGATATTGCAATCGGCACTGCATCAAAACACAGATAGTGCTAAGGCAGAAAACAATATATCTAGATACGAACGAAAACTGGCATCGTGTCTATCGGACAATCAACCTCCACTTCATGCCCTCCCTCGTGAACACGTTCCTCCCCCCACAGCTTCCACGACGCTCCCTGCGGGAGATAAGCCCTTGTCTTGCGTTGTCCGGCCTCGAGAACCGGCACAACGAGATACTTAGAGCCGTACAAGTACTCCGTCTCGACGTCCCAGGCTTTCTTATCTTGCGGAAACTCATAGAAGAGGGTGCGGATGACCGGCGTGCCCTTCTCGTGGGCCTCCCGCATCAGACCTCGCGTGTAGTCGCGAAGCTCCTCACGGATGAAAATGTACTTCTTGCATATCTCGTAGATTTCCTCCCCGTAGGACCAGATCTCATTGTCGCCTCCCTCGGCCGTCGGCTGCCCCGCTGGCTTGGGCTCCCTGTCCCCGTGCAGGCGCATCACGGGACAGAACGCTCCCCACTGGAACCACCGCGTGAATAGCTCCCTGAACGCTGGGTCGTCTGGGTTGCCGCCGTGGAATCCCCCGATGTCTGTTGTCCACCAGGGGATACCGGCCAGGCCCATGTTCAAGCCAATGGCCAGCTGGTTGCGGAAGGCGCCCCACGACGACGCGATGTCGCCGCTCCACACCAGCGCGCCGTACTTCTGACTGCCGGCCCATGCGCTGCGTAGTAGATTCACGATATTGGTCTGTCCCTCTGCTTCCATTCCTTCGTAGAACCCCCGTGCGTATTCCTTCGGGAAGATGTTTCCGATCTGGAGGTTGCTGCCGGCGTGGTAGCGGTAGATGTCGAAGTCGTAGATGGAGTACTCGGGCTCGGCCTCGTCTAGCCAGAAGACTTTGATGCCCTTGTCGTAGTAGTGCTTTTTGGCCTTTTCCCAGATGTACTTTCGGGCTTCGGGGTTCGTCGCGTCGAAATGCGTCACGTCTCCGTCGCATTGCATGGCGACTCGCATGCCACGGTCGTGCCGGATTAGGAGTCCTCGTTCGAGCATCTCGGGGTAGTTCTCTGAGAGGTTCTCGACCGTTGGCCAGATTGATACCATTAGCTCGACGTTCATTTCTTTGAGCTCCTTGACCATCGCGTCTGTGTGGGGAGTTAGCTTTCGTCTTGTTTCTAGTGATTTGTCTCGCTTCAAGTGATGCGGACTGGATCGCCATACCTGGATCCGGCCAGAATTTGGGATCGAAACTCCATTCTCCCTGGTGTTTCCAGTGAAAGAAGTCAACGACGATGACGTCCAACGGAACCTTGCGTCGCCTATGCTCACGCGCCACTTCAAGCAACTGCTCCTGGTTCCAGTAGCGAAGTTTGCACTGCCAAAAGCCCAGTCCGTACTCCGGCATCATGGGAACGTGACCGGTCACCTTACTGTAGGCCTCTTCAATCTCTGCCGGAGTGTCGCCTGCAACTACCCAGTAATCCAATGACTTTGTCGAAAATGCCTCGAAGCTCATGGTGTTTGTCCCTAGCACAGCCCGCCCAAGGCCTGGATTATTCCACAGGAAGCCATACCCGAGCGAAGAAACAGCAAACGGCACACTGGCCTGGGAATTGCGGTGCGCTAGCTCGAGATCGGCCCCTTTCAGATTGAGGAAGGGCTGCTGATACTGGCCCATGCCGAAGATCTTCTCCTTGGGGTCCAGCGACTCAAACCGCATCGTGAGATGGAAGTCCCCTCCCAGAATTGGCCGCAGCTCGCGGGACTCGACCTCCAAAGCGCTGCATTTCGGGTCGGTCGGATCGCGGCGATGACGTGCGTACTCTTCCAGAAGTTTGTTTCCCTTGGAATCGTATATGATTATCTTGCCGCGGTGGGAGACCGTTGCTTTGATATTGCCATTGGAGATGCTGGCATCCTTGCCGGCTTGGATGTCAATTGACGGTGGCTGGGCTAGGTTCGTCTTTTCAGACAGAGCCCAGTCTTCAGTCGGCATGGATGCCTGCTTTGTGGCTCTGATGCGAAACGCATTCTCGCCCCATGGCTGTATCCAAAGGAGATGGTCGTCAAATCGAAAGACTAGCTTGTCGTCTTCGGCGAAGAGCATGATGGGAGAACAGATGAAAGCTTGTTATTGAAAGGACAATTGGTTTTGATTGACCTGAGAAACCTGGAGAGTCCAAATCTGCAGTCGCATCTCAACGGACTGCTGGTCAGTTAAGAGCAACAGACTTCTATTGATTTGCTTCGTCATTTCCCCTCATCGATCCGCATTTCCCCAACTGCAGTACAACCTGTTCCATAAGAGTAGGCCAATCCCCAACTTCATGCACAGACTTTGCCCCGCTGCAGTCGTGTCACCAAATCCTGAACCCATTAGCTGCCGTGCTCCTCGTTAGTTCCCCTCGTTGGATGGACCAGCATGAGTGGTGGGATATTTCATGTCTCTGAGCATGACCCGTTTAAAATACCCCGTGCAGCAACTGACATTAACACCGGGAAAACACTTGGTCAAGATCGAGTTGGGGATTATAGCCTAAAGTCTTGATTAATTGGCCAATAAATGCGACGGCCACGAGGCGGGGAAAGCACCGTGATTTAAACGACTTGACCACGGGTTAGTGTTTTGTTTTCCGCATTGTCTCTTCATCCACGATTCCTGGGCTTTGGCCTTCAATACTACTGGGTCGTCGTGGGCTTTGATGCAGCTTTCCGTCGTCATAGCTTCTCTTGTCATAAGAATGGACGATTCACCTTTGACATGGCGATGCGCTCAGAAGGATCATGACGATCATCACATGCAGTCGTACTTCTGCCCTCCCTCATCATGGGTAACTAGACTCGTTCCATTTACTCATTCTGAGTTTCTGGCAGGATCGGTTCCGGCTAAATGAAGCGTTGCAAATAAGACCAAGGACGATGTCTGAGAATGTGACTCGACGACAGCAGGGATGGTGGCCAATGGTCGACTAGACGGCCTCTAGATTCCACCAACACCCTGGCTTCAAAAATAACAGAAATGCGGGGATCTATGTGCCACTATACTAGAAGCTCCCTGGCGGCGCCAGGACGACGACTTAATCGTATGGTGGCTGCTAAGCCTCGTCAAGCCTCGATCACTGGGATGTTTGATTTATAGAAATCATCCTCGATATAAGCCCGCCGTGGCCCCTTGCAGTTCCCAGGACAGTCTTTGGGAACGACTTTCAAGGACAATCGAGCGATTCACTCGTGGAACGAACAATGGAGGCAGAAAATGACTCTAAAAAAGAGCAAAGTGCTCAGTTAGAGCACTCTGATCTCGTCAAGAATGAAGCTCAACAGGCCTCCGAAGCTGAGCATCAGGCGTCATTCTGGGAAGCCCTGAAGACCAATCGAAAGGCTGTTTTGTGGTCCGCAGCGATTTCTCTGACCATTATCATGGAAGGATACGACGTCGGTAGGAACAACACTTGTCCTCAGTGCGGTTTCCTTCGGATTTTGGAGAGTTCTGACAGTGATATATCATCTTAGGGCTGATCTTCCAGTTCTTCGCATATCCCGCGTTTCAACAGAAGTTCGGGGAGTACCGGGCGGATAAAGATGGCTACGAGGTATCCGGGCCCTGGCAAGCTGGTCTCAGCAACGGTGCCAACGTGGGCATTGTCATCGGCGGTTTCTTGAACGGCTTCTTGTCCACAAAATATGGTTACAAGAAAGTCCTCTTGGGCTCGCTGTTTTTCATGAACTGGTTCATCTTCATTTTGTTCTTCGCCCCGTCGGCACCAGTCCTCCTAGTCGGCCAGATCTTGTGTGGGTTCACTTGGGGTGTGTTTGCGACGACTGGGCCTGCTTATGCCTCCGAAGTATGTCCACTAGCGTTGCGTGGAGTCCTGACGTGCTATGTGAACCTGTGCTGGGCGATTGGCCAATTCATCGCATCCGGTGCGCTTTACGGTCTATTGAAGATCGAAAATGAGTGGTCTTACCGGATTGCCTATGCTCTGCAGTGGATATGGCCGGTCCCTCTCTTCATCCTTATCTTGTTTGCCCCGGAATCACCGTGGTGGCTGGTGCGAAATGGCAAGATGGATGATGCGCATAAGGCCCTCGGGAAGCTGGACAATAAAGATCGCGAATCCCACCAGAAAACGGTGGCTCAAATGAAACAGACACTTGATATCGAGAAGGAAATGGACGCAGGTTCGAGCTACCTGGATTGTTTCCGCGGCGTCGACCGACGCCGGACCGAAATCGTGTGTCTGGCCTTTGCGGGACAAGTACTTTCTGGCGCGCCATTTGCCTACACACCGACCTACTTCTTCGTCCAGGCTGGAATTGATACGAGCAGAGCATATCAAATCGCAATAGGCGGCACCGCCATCGCGTTTGTGGGGACGATCATCTCGTGGTTCTTGCTGGGATGGTTTGGTCGTCGCCAACTGTACGTGGGTGGCATCACTACCTTGGCCTGCCTACTGCTGATCATCGGCGTGATCGCCTCTGCTTCCGAATCTGGCGGTGCGAAATGGGGTCAAGCTGCAATGTGCCTTGTGTGGCTCTTCACCTATTCGGTTACGCTTGGTCCCATTACCTTCACCATCATATCTGAGACGTCATCTATTCAACTGCGCGCTAAGTCGGTGTGCCTGTCTCGAAACATCTACAACATCGCCCAGATCATCGCGAACGTTATCGAGCCGTACCTGATCAACCCGACCGAGGCCGATTTGAAGGGGCGGACGGCCTATTTTTGGTTTGCAACAGCCACGTTGACCGCGATCTGGGCTTATTTCCGACTCCCTGAATGCAGGGGTCGGACCTACGATGAGTTGGATGTCATGTTTCATCAGGGCGTGTCTGCCAGGAAGTTTGCCGACTATGAGATCAATGTGTATGATGGGAATGCGCTGCGTAAAAGGAGCGTGGGGGACGAGAAGGAACAGACGGAATAGAATGCCAGTAGATAAGAATGAGGACTGGGACTTGGTTACGGAGTAGTGTTACCAGCATATCAACATTGCAGTTAAGCTTGATTTCTTCAATTGTGTGTACACCCTATACGGGGCCTAGCTATGCAGGGCTAGATATAGTCAATGGTGATTTAGTTTGTAGAATAATCAATGTCTACGGCTTGTACAAGATGGTCAAATGTATGGGGAAAGGGCTGCAAACGCCGCAGGTCAGCTGACCGTTTGGCCAGTTGCCAGTCACTGCTTCTTCCACATGACTGACCTCAACAGTTTACATGCAACCAGCAACTGTTATGGCGGACGTGAGAAGGGCATCGCAATAGATACACATGTCAAAAAACTAAGTTACTCAGCCTTCCAGGAGACCGTTGTAACTACTCCACAGTTCACCAACAAACCTCTAAATCACACCAATGATGTCAAACGGTCAACTCCGCCACAACTTGACCGGGCGGTGAGAGAAGAACGTCTCATTCTCATTGCCGAATCTGACAAGCTCCATCACTTGGCGATCATTTCGCCTCAACCCTCCACCTCACTCTTGCTTTATTTATATCTTGCTACTCCCCGTTGAAATTCAATTTGGTTATTAAGCTCTGCAATTGCTCTGAAGAGTAACTTCACAATCACACTCGATCCAGCTTGAGACCCCACTATGGAGGTCGTCGCCAGTGCGGACACACCTCTCCAACCGGGACCCTCCTACGGTAACCATCCATTCCCCAGCGCCATGGACGCTTCTATGGATATCGATATGGACCTGGACCTAGGTCCCATGCCCGAAAATGAGCAAAGCGAGACCGTTCAGGATCCCATGGCCGTGGCATCTACCGCCGCCGAAGGCGCGGTAGACCCCGAAGAAGTGCTGTATGAAAAAGTTCACGTTAGAGGCGTCGACGAATTGACCACAGACAACATCAAAGAATTCTCAATGAGCCACTTCGCTGGAGAGAAGCCGAGCCGTGTCGAATGGATTGACGACACGTCCGCGAACCTGGTCTACTCATCAGCAGATGTTGGCCTTCAAGCCCTCTCCGCTTTGACACAAATCACCGAAGAAGAAGACGCGTCCTCCCTACCCGCCCTGCGCTTGCGTACAGCCAAGCTGCTAGCCAGCCACCCCGACTCGGTTCTTCAGGTGAGATCGGCCGTGAAGACAGATCGCAAAAAGGCACGCGCCCACGAGTCCAGTCGATTCTATCTCATGCATCCGGAGCACGACCCGCGCGAGAAACTACGACTGGAGCTTGCAGATCGACGGCGTCAAGGTGGGGATAGTGCCGATGGTGATTATAGACGAAGACGATTTGACGATCGGGAGTTGCGCCGACGACGGGACCGCGATGCGGATGAGCAATTTGGCGCGAGCATGTACGATGAAGGGGGCGCGACGAGCAGCGACCATTTCGATAGACGACCGCAACGAGGACACCAGGAGCTGTTCCCCGAGGACGAAGGGCGATCGTCTGGTCGTCTTCGCAACCGCAGCGCGTCGCCCGGGCGAGACACCTTGGTGGAACATGGATACTCGGAACCTGACGAGCGCGCCTCGCGCAGACGGTTCCGCGAACGGTCGCCTGGCCGTCGCAACCTCGGAAAGGAGCTTTTTCCCTCGTCCGGTACGGGTGACAACGAAGCTCCGCGGGAGCTGTTCCCGAACAAGCCCACTTCAAGTTACCTCAAGAAGGAACTTTTCCCAAACAAGGTCAGCAACCACCGTCGTTCCGACGCGATCGATGTTGCAGACGAGACTGCAGACCTTTTCGCCCGGAGGATTTCCCTTCCTTTAGTTGACGGACAACAGGAAGAGGCACCATCTCAGCGCAAACGAAACATCGAACTTTTCCCGGATTCATCAGCACCAGCGGGTGCCCGTATTCGAGGGTCCTCTGGTCGGGACCAAGGGTTTTCTATCCGCGGGTCTGCAGATGAGGGGATCTCGATCAAAGGACGGGGCGCGTCTGTCCGCGAACTCTTCCCGAATAAATATAACAGCAGCGGCAGGGCCGGGAACAATGCGAACAAGGAGTTGTTTTCCGATAAGATCGAGGGACGAGGAGGCCCCCGGCGGAAGGCTGAGGATTTGTTTGGTTAATTAGGATTTTCGGACACATTCGCCATGAATGATCATATACACACCATCTTATGAGCCATAATCGTTGTTATATTCGGGGAATTTGCATATGGGGAAAATACTAGTGACGCCACTCAAAACATCGTGATACCAATTAATTTTATACCATGTGATTTGACTAAATCTATCATCCTCATTCTAAGCCCCCGTAAAACAATTGTAAACAAATGCATCGAGAGACCGCGGAGATCACTCCAGAATCCAGATCCCCCGCGGTTGACTTGACTTTACCCGATAGAGCGGTGGTGATAGAGCGGCACCACCGCTCCATCCCACTTTCCCCCAAACATTATCCCAGGGACTTCGGTCCCACTCTAAAAGACAGCCAGCGACCATGACTTCCCAGTCCCAGTCCCGGACCCCCTCCCTACCAAGCACTCTCGTGGCGCGCTTTCTACGGACAAATAATTACACCGAGACGCTCCGCGCATTCATCCGGGAGGCGGGCCTCCCGAACAACGTGGGGCAACCCAGTAGCAGCAGCAGCAGCAGCCAGAACAACCACGGCGAGAGCAGCTGGACCATTGAGGGGGTGCTGGAGGAGAAGAAGGCGTTTGACAAGAGCGTGAATTTTGAGCGTTATGGGGGAGATGATAAGGAGCGAGGGGAGTGGAGTGAACCAGGTGTGTACATATATCCCACATTTCACGTTTCGTTTGCGTGCCTTAACTAAAGGTGTTGCTTGTAGCGCCCACGAAACCGAATCCCATTCAAACGCCCAACTCCGCGAACCTGTTGGCATGCTCTGTAGAGTCGTGGAAGCAGGCAGTCGGCGGTGACAGACAAGAGGGGGAGGAAGAAACAGAAGCAGAAGATAGCGGCGCATATCTCGTTGCTACCGGCGCAGACAGACAGCTCCATCTATTCACGACCGCCGCGGGAAACCACATCGTCAAATCGTTCTCGAGCCTCTCCGACTCGCCAATCTTGTCATATACGACTGTTCGAAATGGCAGATACGTTCTCTTGACGAATATGTCAGGCCAAGTGCTCCTCCAGAGGGGCACGGAGACGCTGGATTGCAGGAAGGACCATGCGAAATACGCGGTCAAAGTGGTCGCGCATGAAGAGGAGGATGCAGTATGGGTTGCTACGGCTGGCTGGGACTCGAAAATCGTTCTGTACAGACTGAGTATTCCCATCGAGGAGCCGGAGACTGGCGGTGGTGTCACCCTCGGGGACCCTACTGCGTATATCAGCCTGGCGTCTAATCCAGAGTCCATGCTTTTTGTCCGCCACATCGACACGGGAGAGCTCATTTTGCTTGTCTCCCGGCGCGACTCGACACATATCTACTACTATCAGGTCCAGGGCTCTAGTGCGCCAACACCCTACGAGTGCGCTCTCCTCGGGACGCAGAACCTCGCCCCGCACTCCAACGCCTGGGTGGCCTTCTCGCCATCGTGTCTAGCCCTCAGCCCCGACGACCCGGGCCTCCTCGCCGTCGCGGCGTCAACTACCCCGCACATGAAAGTCCTGCTCGTGCGGTTACTATTCCCATCGCAGTCGGAGAACCCAGGTCAAGATGAGACCGAGCCGCATGCCACGCAGGCCACGCAGGCGCTTGCGGCCCTGTCGCTGCAGAATAGGGAAGACGCGGCCATACTCATCCAGGCGAATACCTTTGCGCCGCAGACGGCGTACTCCACCCCGCAGGTTGTATGGCGGCCTGATGGATCTGGGGTCTGGGTGAATGGTGATGATGGGGTGATTCGGGGTGTTGAGAGAAGGACGGGGAAGGTCGCTGTGATGCTTAAGGATGGTCATGATACTGGGTATAAGGTGCGGTCTATCTGGGCGGGCTGGGTTGATGTGGTTGGGGATGGTGGTGAAATTGTTCGTGAGGAGTGGTTGGTTAGTGGGGGGTTTGATAAGAAGTTGATTGTTTGGAAGGCTGGTTGAGGATGCATATGTAGGCGGTTATGTTTTATGGTTTGGAGCATTTTGGTTTGGAGATTATAAAAGATAAGCGTTGCATTGCATAATATTGAATCATATGGATTCTCAAAACTCTTGAAAAAACTACGAACAATCTGTAGCCCTCCGTCCATGCACCCTCGACCATAAGAAAACGAGATGTAGGGTGTTTGGTAATTGGAGGGCTTGGGATCTGATCTCGGCACGTTGATAAATCCTTCAGCTAACGCGTACGGGGTGAAACCGCGGTGCTGTACACACATATGCCTGAATAACGAAACAAAACAAAACGCAAAAGCAGAACTACTTCCATCAATCGACCAGCCCATTCCTCGAATCTGATCAAGGAGAAATCACAGAGCCAGGAAAGGGAGGATGATGGCGTGGATCGAAGAATGGGACTTGGGGGTTGGTTATTGTATATAACAACCGTCGCGGAACCAGCCCAGCCAGGCTATCCGACAGGACAGGAGGGACGCTTTCATTGTCATCGCACGTGGGAGAGTAAAGGGTAAAAGAAACAGCTGCCGACTAGATCGAAATCGCTCTCATTTCAGAATTTTTCGGGTCTTTTCTATATTATTTAGTAGTGGACCTGATTTATGCGACCTCGCGCTTGCCCTCCTTGCGCTCCTTCTGTTGTGGGTGTTAGCGATATGCATCTTCAATCCGAGACTGTGGTTTTGGATCGGGTGGGAGGTGTTCGTGTGGATGTCGTGGGATAGGAGAGGTAAGAGTCTTCCACGTACCAGAGCCTTCATGGTGCCATGAAGAGCGTGTCTGTGGTTGCGGCGGAACTTGGGGTCGACACCCTTGAGGGAGGGGTAACGGTTGGTCTTAGGCTTCTTGATACTGTTGGGAGGAGGGAGCAGTCAGCGGTGTATTCCGACGGATACAAGGCCGGAAGATGTCGCGAGAGATTGAATGTGGCATGTTTGTTCGCATCAAGAGCAAGTCCCATCAACGTCATTCGAAGAGGTTCTCTCCGGCCGTCAAACACTGCCACATCCATTGGTTCGATTCCCGTTCGCAATACATCCGATCAGATCAACCGGGAAATACACACCCGTTACGGTGAGCCTTCTGGCTGTTGTGGTGCTGAGACGCGTTCTTCGACTCTGTAGAAAGGGAAGACCTTCGTCAGCGATTCATTCCGAGCGACGTGGGAGTAATATTCCCATTTTCATCGGATCATCCATATTCGAGAAGGATGGACGCCTGAGAAAACATAATGTCGAAGGGATCACGTACTGGCCATCTTGTCGGATTTTGTCGCAACTGGGAGACGGTTGACGGAAAGTTGGCGAGTGAGGGTATCCTGAGATTGAAGCAATGGGCCGTCCGGCCAGCAGCGCTTCGGCTAGGGCTTCCCACTATCCTTTTTGTGTGGGATTTCGCTTACCGGGCACGGTTAGCGCTGGTGATTGGTCCGTTGCGGCATTCGGACATTATGTAATCTACTATCCTCAGGCAACGATCTTCTGCCGACTCTCTTCTTGTATTCTCGTTATTGCTTCAAAATAGCATGTGATGGTCATGCGTGGTAGAATTTTGGGCAAAGCGGTATATCTTATCTGGTTACTTCGTGTCATTGAGTCAAATGGCTGGAGTTGCCATAACTTTTGTCGTCTCGCGAGGATAACTAGATGGGATCCCGTGATCGGTGACTCAGCAACCTCAAGAGCGTCGCGATTGTCTAAGTCTAATCGTCTGGGGATTTATTCAATGTTCAAGACAAAACCATTATTGTTGTATAGTCTAGTATATAATGTTTGGCCATGGACAAAGTTGACTATAAACCACTTGAGAACGCTCTCGCGTATCACCAGTTATCTGAAAAGAATGCCCTGAAGGAGTATTGCGGTTCTCAAATCACGTGATATCAAAGGTTTAGACAATCGTCTGGACAAAAACAAGTCAAGCAAGTGAGGTGTGATCAACTACAGAGTTGAAATCAAATCAGTCTTTAGGCAGTAAGAACTCCCAGCGTCTTTGATGTCGCCCCAGGCAAATCAAGTCCTCGGACAGCCGCAGGGACGAAGAATGGAGGTACACGTCGGGAATAAACCTCGTAGTATTCATTATTTTGACCGTAACATATAAATGCTCTCTACCAGTGTGTCTCCGTATCAATGAGAAACAAAGAAGAAAACCGACAGACAACCATATGTGATGAGGCAGAGGAAGAAAAGAGTGAATCACGGGGTGTGGCTGTTCGGTCCGGGAAACGGTCGGGCCACGTGACCGCAAGAGCCGCTAGGGAACAACCGGCATCCGACTTCGACCTTTGCACTTCAACCCAGGTTCCAGAGGGATACTATCACCACCGCTTCTATCCACCCAATTGCACCATGAGCTCTCTCCGTTTCGCTCGCGCTGCCCTCAGGGCCCGTCCCGCTGCCTTCGGCGCTCCTTTCCAGCGCCGCGGTTACGCTGAGGCCGTCTCGGACAAGCTGAAGCTGTCTCTGGTTCTCCCTCACCAGGTACGACCCTTCGAACAGGACCACCCACTTACACGCGCGCATGTGTTCGAAACTGACCAAGAAATCTTCCCTTTAGACCATCTTCCAGTCGACCGGCGTGTATGTCAACCTGCCTTTGCCCTTGCCATTTCCTTGATTCGCCGGAGGACCTTACGCCCCCCCTCTCTGAACGAGATCCCATACTCATCGATTCTTTCTCCCTACAGTGTCCAGGTCAACATCCCCGCCGAGTCCGGCGAGATGGGTGTCCTCGCCAACCACGTTCCCTCGATTGAGCAGCTCAAGCCCGGTCTCGTTGAGGTTATCGAGGAGAGTGGTGCCAACAAGAAGTTTTTCCGTACGTCCGACATATCATCCGATGCCCGCTTCTCCGGAGCCTCGCATCGCCCTGGCCGACAAACGGTCCGATTGTGAAAAGCAACTCTAACACTGATATTTCTTCTTATTGTAGTGTCCGGTGGCTTCGCTGTTGTCCAGCCCAACTCCCAGTTGAGCGTCAACGCCGTCGAGGGTTTCCCTCTCGAAGATTTCAGCGCCGACGTATGTTCCGCGCCCAGACATACCTATCACATTATACTAATGGATTATTTCTGTAGGCCGTCAAGAACCAGATCGCCGAGGCCCAGAAGATTGCCGGTGGCAACGGCAGCGAGCAGGATATTGCTGAGGCTAAGATCGAGCTCGAGGTAAGCCGTTCCGACCCGAAGATCATAACTACATCAGCGGCTAATCGTGCAATAGGTGCTGGAGACCCTGCAGGCTGTGCTCAAATAGATACCTGGTGTACATATCCACTTTTGATTGCAGCTCTGAACGTGTAGAATTATAACAGCTCCATTGCGAGTTTCACTGATACTTCACCAAGCGTCCATCCAAATAGATTATCTCTGTTCTAGTACCTTTTTGCAGTACTTATCCAGTCACCTACTTTTCTGGGTATCTGTGACCTTAATATTTAGGCTGTTTTTCATTAAGGTTGGGTCGTTCCTTCCGAATGGATGTTGAGCGCGTCCGATAGCGTTTCTCCCCACCGCCTTCTTTCCGAATGCTTTCTACATCCCCTGCTCTCCCTCTTTCGCTTCTTATCAGCCTACCTCTCTACGGACGTCGTTTCTATGAACTGATACTACACAGCAACAATCTGAACATCCAAAGGGCGGTAGAACGGTCAGGATGCAGTCACATTCGCCCTCTGTACCGAAAACGCTAGATTGCAACTCGACGAGCCTCTCCTCCCATCCGACGCCGCTCAACCCACCATCATCTCCAGATCCGGCCTCTTACCTGCCAGCAGAGGAACACAACCCAGCGGTTCCATGCTGCAGCGATGCCCAGAAAAGTGATACTTGCCAAGCTGGGCATGACAATGACCCAAATCAAACAGTATCTGGCAAAGGAAACGTCCGCTCGCCGGTTGTCGAAATACCGTTTCCTAGTTCAAATCTGGACTTGCTAGCCGAAGTGACGGACAGTGATCTTCTATACGATGGACCGGAAATGCCCCTGAACCCCCAGAACACACCCGAGGCTCGGGGTGGAAAAATCTCTCCCCTCTTCTCAAATAAGTCTCGGGATAAAGCCTCTCAATCGTCTCTACTGGCAGAGCCAACTGCATTAGCCTGGCTGACCGGTATATTCGAGAACTACGATGATTCCATTATTAAAAATGGGACAAGTCCGCTCTCATTGGAGCCACACAAACCTACCTTCCTATCAAGCACAGAACCTGTTGCTTCGAATTCACCAGCAAACAGCCGCCCAAGCCCCGCGGCACCACTTTCCCAGAACACGCATCGATCATGCCGGAAGTCGAGCAGTCTTTGCCATACGACGACACCTTTGAGCCTTGCGAAGCCGAAGAGTACCCAAATCCCATCCAATGATTCACCTGAATCGGGTCATGAAGTAGACCACGTAATAGCAGAAAAGCTGAAGAAATCGTCAAACAGAATAAAACTCAACCAGAGACGTTACATTGCGCGGACTCTACGTCGAAGTTCCTTGAAAAGCTTACGCACGTCGGTGGACTACACATCTAGGGATCCAGGCGGCCTTCATGCTTATCGCACAGCTAAACCGCCACCTAATATGAGCCCGGAGCCATGCCAGGCAAATGTACCTGGTTTTGTTTGGTACGGCAGGTTGTGGAGTGCTACAGACAACCCACCACGAGGCTCCCGAGCGACAGGGGGGTCTACAGATAGTATGGCCACTTCGGAGACCTTGAAACGAATCGGTAGAAGCTACCTCCCTTTGCTCGAGGAGCTGGAGCAAGGCCCGTTGTTCAAATGGAGCTTTTATCATTGCCAGGTGTGGATAAGCTTGTCTCATGGGGAAGGTGCAGAGAATCACAGGCCCCAGACGGCTCGCACCCACGAGTATCAAATCAGTCTAAATATACCTGGGCTGCTTCTCTATGTCGTCGTTTTGATCATCACTGCCAATCTCTATATTTTCTCATTGAGCCTCTTTTCTGGAGCCCTTGATCGCGCACATCGGCTGCTGTCTCAATTCATGGACATTGTTCTCCAAGAATTGGAAACACTGCGCACCGATACTCCCACGCACAGGCTTCCGCCGTCCGTCAGAGACTGTCTCTCCTGCTTGCAGAGTGCTCCTCGCGTTGACCTCGGGTTTGAGCTGGAAAGGGTTCATTGAATTTCAGTCAGCTCCTTTGCCACGTCTGCCAATCCTTGCAATGATCGCGTTTTCTTTTCTTCTTTTCTTCCTATTTTCTTTGTAGGTTCCTTATCCTTTTAATTTTCTTTTTGCTTCCCCCTCCCAAGCGTTTTGTCGTATACATATACCCAAAGCCCACGGGTCACATTACGAACTACGCAGAATGACTTGCAGGGCGTGGTATCCGATGACGGAATGCTTGGGCGATCTCGATGGCGGTTTCACGACACTAAATTGTATTATATATGGGCCCACTTCTACCTGATTGTCATGTGTATATTAATTTTTAAAAGAACCAGATCATTTTCACAAAAAGCCTTGATGTAGAGTACGCCGAGTACTGAATTATTTACTACATTGGTCTGTCTTGTTTATCCAAGACACTTCATCTGTCGATGATGGCATAACAGATGTGATAGTATTGTGATGAATTTATGGATAGGCTCCATAATACATTACAGATTTCGAGTCGCTCTATCCAGGCTCTATCTAGACTGAAAGAACAAAACAATGAATACATACATACATAGAGGTGTATACAGACAGTTAAACATAAGACATTCTTCATACTATGTGCATAGGATTAGAGCAACGATAAATCCCAACAACCAACACACTCTCTCTACGGAGAATGAGAGGACCAAGGCAAAAGGGAAAAAAAAGTGAAAAGAAAAGAACCAAAAGCAAGAGTTCATAATATGATGGCCATCCATCCAACATCGTCATTTGAACAAGCCAAAAGGGGGGCAGGAAGACCAAAACGTACATCCATCATTTATACTAGATTGGCTCGTTCTGGTATAGATGGTGGGGGGGTAGGTAGATGAATAAGTAAGTACATTGCGACGGAGACATCATTCAGTGGGTAGGTAGGTAGGTAGGGTATTCGGTTTTTGTTTGCCTGATTCGTAGTGTTCAGAGGTCATGGGCTGTAGGCATGGGATCTGGGGTCATTTTTTTTTGTCATTTTTTGGGGTCGTTTTTTTCTTCGTGATCTTCGAGGTCGTGGGTAGTGGTTGAGTAAGGGTCGTTATAGTGAAAAGGCATAAATAGACATGAAATGGAAACAGAAAATGAACACAGAAGGAAATAGAAAATTCAATGCTCGCGACATAAGCTTACCATGTCTTCGTGGTGATTGCGGAGAGGGATGTCGTTCGTCGTTCATGATAAGGGTAAGTGGGTAGGGCAAGAGAGGGGGGGAGGGGGGGATAATGTAGGGCAGGGTAGGACAGGCTGGTTGTACTGCTTTAAGTAAAGTCCACGCTGGGCTGCTGACGCTCTTGTCGCGTGCGGGCTCGTTCAGCACGTCTTCTCCGCCGATTATTGGCGTAGTCACCGCTGGCTTCCGTCCCCGTCCAAGTGCCAGGGGAGGTGACACTGCCGGGGCCGTAGGGCAGGCTGGAAGGGACGTGGGGCGGTGGGGGAGGTGCCATGTGGCTCATGTCCATGTTCGACGGGGGATGCATCGCGGGGGGGACGGTAGAAGCGGCAGCGGCGGCTTCCTGTTCTCGCTGCATCTGCTCTTGTTGCTGGCGCTCGAGTTCCTCGACTCGCCGCCAACGGGAATATCCGCTCTCGTTGCCGGACAGCGAGCTCGCGCTTCCTGTACGGCGTCGGGAGCTCCGTCGGTCTCGGCGCCGGTTTTCGCGGTTGGCGGCTGCTTCCTCCTCTGTGAGCCTGCGGAGCGTGACGTGTCGGCCGTCTTCGTGCATCTTCACTTTGAGGGAGACGGGGGGCGACTCGACGTTGTCTTCTCGGTGTCTGCTGCCGCTTCGGCGACGGTGGGGGCCGGGAGCCGCGCCCATTGCCGGTCCGGCAGTGAAGTCGGAGACGTCGGGTGGTGGTATATCCGAGGGGTGGTGGATTGGTGTAGCGTGGGGTAGCTCGGAGTGTGGGCCGTCGACAGGACCGGAGTAGGCAGCGGGGCCTGGGTGGCCGTGGGCAGGGCCACGAGGGGGGCGTGTCATGTCGCTGGTGAGATCGGTGGCTGAGAAGGACTGGGTTCTCCGGTTGTCTCTTCGGTTCTGCGGGTAATAACCGTCACCGGTATATCGGCGCTTGCTATTTGCTCGAGCCAGTCTCTCGTCTTCGATCTCCCGACGACGCAGTTCCTCTATGCGACGTTGATCGTCGTCGTCGCCTCTGCGGCGGTTGAATATGTTTTTGATGGCCGCAAACGCGCCGGCGCCCAGAAAAGCATTGCGCGCCTTGTGGGTGCCGCCGTGATCGTTTTGGGAAAGGTAGGTGCTATCGTAGAACTCTGATGATCCTGGGCTCTGTGGTCGGCTTGGGGGTCGACTTGGGGGTCGGTTCAGAGGCGTTCGGTGAGTTGGCTCCGGCCGCCGTCCGTCTTCCATCCGGCTCATGGTCGCCTCGGTCATACTGTCACTTCGCGTGTGGGCGCGACTATACCGGCCCGATTCTGTATCGTCGTCTCGATCGCGACGCCGGTCAAACAGCCTCTTAGCAAGGAAGGCACCGCCACCCAGCGCGCCCAGCTTGAAAAGTTTGCCGCCCCAGCCGCCACGGCGCGATTCCTCGTCGGAATACTTATCCTCCGTGTAAGACACTTGCGAGTCATCATGGTCTCTCTTCGAGCGACGCCTGAATAGCGCAGCCAGCCCAGCGGCCCCCGCGCCCGCGGCGGCCATCCGACCGAAGTTGTGTTGAGGACGATCCGGGGGAGCCGAGGGACCGGAAATGTAGCTATGGCGACTGTCGTAGTCACTTCCCATGTGATACCCATCTGTGTCGTATAGGTAGGATAGCACGAAAAAGGCGAGCAGCAGGCCGAAGGCCGCAAGCGCGAACAGGATAAACAATGACTTCGGGGAGCCATACAGGGTGAGTCCTAAGGGGATCTGGATGAGGCCCAGGAGGGCTAGGGCACGGCCCAACCATCGATGCAACTAGAACGATCAGAAGAGTCGCGCAATGAGACGATTTCGCAGGACTTACCACTAGTTTCAGAGGGACATGAACTCGCTCGCGCTTGCTTTCTACCTTGTGGAGCAACCAGCCCCAAAGAACTTGGACAATGACCATCACATAGATGGCCAGACCGATCCCATGATGAGGATTGGTCAGGCTCCTTCGCGGACCCACCGCAAACCAGCCCAGGACAAAGACCACAGTGGTCAGGAACAGAGTCAGGACCTGGCACCAGACATGCAACTTGAAAGCCCAGAACGGATTCGAACGGGAGTAGTATCGAATGAGCATCACCGAGAGTGGTACAATCCCCATGAACACGATCGTTGCGATGACGGCATGAGCGATGACGAAGGTGTGGTATTGAGGCATGTCTCTGAAGCGGTTTCCCATCCCTAGACCACAATGAGTACGACGAACGCTCCTAGAATTCCAGACCTGGACATACCGTTATATCGCATCGTCTCGAAGTTCACACCCATGAGATTGGGCAGCAGGAACGTATCGCGTCCGGAGTCCCATGTCCCATCACCGACGTGCAGTGTGTTCGAGGCATAGGTGCTGCTGCCCGGCTCTGTGAGATCGGAATTGGACGACATCGCGTTTCCTGGGGCGGCTCCGTAATCGCTCGCGGTCGTCGGTATGGATATCCCCACGGAGATCTATCGAGATCCCCCACTGCGGAGAATCCACCATGCACCGATCGCACCAGTCAATCGACGTTCGCAGCGCTTACCGATTCAATCCGGGGACAGGACGAAGACAAAAGAATCGAGAGGGATTGGGATGCGACCGCGATGGTTATCAGTTGTTTCGATGCGTCGAGGGCGTACAAATAGTCGGCGGCAACGGGTGAGAAATAAAAACAATGGCCGAGTAAGATGAGAGCGGGGAAGCTGAAACGGAAGGGATGGAAAGCAATCGTGGTTCGATGCGAGGAGGCCAATAACTTATCTCCGGTCTAGACCTAGACCGTGTACCAACTGCAGGACGGACAATTTGAGATTGAATAACAAGAACGATCGAAGAGAACCAGGGAAGAAGATGGAGAATTGATCGGTGGAATGCGATCGAGATCCACCGTCCGGTCCGCATATCAACTGTTTGCCGTTTCGGGTTTAGCGTGCCAGCGCATAACCAGGACAACCGGGTGCTGACTCAGCTGCACTATCTCTAGGGGTCACGTGGTCTTTATCTTATCAGTCCAGGTGATCAATTCATCGTCGTCGTTGGGTGTATGAATACTACCATCCCCTCATGTTTGGGGGTTTCTGTCATACATCCTTCCATCTCGCATCTGTAAATACTTCATCATCATCATTATCATTGCAGCCAGTCTCTCAGCATGTCTCAGCTCGAGATCTTTCTCAAGGCGCTGTCCCGGTAACGTCAACTGTCCCGTCCCTCGCGTGCTGACCGTCGTGGGGAGAGTCAGGGAAAGGACGATAACGGCTGACTTCTTGGGTCTGTAGACTATTAGGGTGGATATAGTATGTGAATGGAGGGATATCGACCTCTGATGACCCGGTCCCGCGGAGATAAGACTAACCCGCGTCTGCTTTGCCAGTACTTTTTGCTGGTCTGCGTCTTTTTATCCCCAACCAATAAGCAATTTCCGACGGCGGTCGACGACGGGACTCGCCATCGATTTCCCGACAATCAACGTCCTGGGGTTCATTTGCTACATGGGGTATACGGCCGCGTTCCTTTGGTCTCCCGTTATTCGTGATCAGTATGCGGCCCGTCATCCCTTGGCTGAAGAGCCGACCGTCCGCTTCAACGACTTCGCCTTTGCCATCCATGCAGTCGTCCTCAGCATCATCACCTACACCCAGTTTTGGCCCCGGATTTGGGGGTTCGAAGTGTCCCGTTTCCAACGCGTGAGTAAGCCGGTGGCCGGTCTTTTCTGGGGCTCGATTGCAGCCGTGGTCCTGGTGGTCTTCGTTGTGCTGCGCCAGGGCCCCAACCAAGGTTATGATCCATCGACATGGGCGTGGATTGATGTCGTAGGTGTTCTCGAAAATCTTCGAATTCTTTTTCGCTTTCTAACATGGAGGGGGTACAGGTTTATACCCTGTCCTACGTGAAATTGATCGTCACCATTGTCAAGTACGTTCCACAGGCATGGGTCAACTATAAGCGGAAATCCACGGCCGGCTGGAGCATTGTGCAGATTCTCCTAGATTTGATGGGTGGGGTTCTCTCCCTCATCCAGCTGGTCCTCGACTCGAGCTTTCAGAACGACGGGAGCGGCGTCACCGGAAACCCCGTCAAATTTCTTCTGTCCAACGTGAGCATCGCCTTTGATGTGGTTTTTATGGTTCAACATTATCTTCTGTATCGAGATGTAGAGGATGGCCCGGGCAAACCACCCAATGCCGGTATCACCACTCCGCTATTGGACCCTCAACAACGGTCAGCGAGTGTCTAAGGTGGGGTGAGAGGAGAGGAAACTATTCCCGAATAGGAGAAAACAGTGCAGGACCCACGTCTTAGTCCACCTCCTTACCCCCGTCGAGATTGATGCCTGATTAGCCCATTTCTGGAATTTTCGTGGTTTTGTCTTGCTTTTGGTGAACATTCGCATTGGTGTGATTGGTTTCAGGTTCCGGGCCCCCATCGATTTTACTCGGTGGTAACTTTCTATTTACATGCTTTTTTATTTTTAATTTCAGCTAGTGAACGCCATAGACCAGCAACGAGCGGATGACACCGCTCTTTGGGCGGTCGAGTTCATGGACGCCCCCAGAAACCAACCAGTCAGTGAAGGCGCTGCAAGGGCCGAAGATTACAGAGCAATGATCTAAGCCTAATTATGTTCCAACGGTTGCACACTCGGTGGGGTCGCATTGAGGCTTATCAACCGCTCTCTGAGCGGTCAGATTGTTGAGGATCGACATTCCTTTTCCTCAGCCATGTCCGCCAGCCTCGTATGGACCGCCTGACACCCCTGTTCCCTGGGTCAGAAAGAGACTCGTGTTTACTTGGCACTTCCCCATTTCCGGCCGGTGGATGCGTGGAGTTCGATGCATGGATTTCCATGTTCCCCAAAAAGCATATTCTCTCTGGAAGTCTGGATGCCTCCCGAAAACTAAGCCTCCTTCCCCACCGACAGATTTGTAGCGATCGATGCCCTGCCCTGGGGCTCGGGCGGCGGTCTATGATTAGATGCGATGTGCCCAGCGAAGACATTGGCCCCTGTTTTTGCCTGCATGAGTTTAGTTCGCAGCCTCCGTGGTAATTTGGTCTCCACTCCCGTCAATAGACAGCTGCCAATGGTAGTGGGGGAGGTCTCGTCTTTCGTCGAACGGGTTAGCCCTCTCTCTTCAGGGTCGTTCGAGGTGCTATCTGTCATTACCATCCTAGGGTAAAGACCAAACCAACGCTGCACGCCGGTGGAGACAGGAACCATGTGTCTTGGGTGACTCGATCCAAGCCACCGTTTCTTCTTCCGTCTTGGACACAGACATCCCCGGACATACCCGTCGTACTCGCTCTCCTTTCATCAGCCCTACCATGATGTCGACTGATTCCCTCTCCCCATCGGGCCACTGTCTGTTTCCCATTGTAGATCCCGTCACCCCGGATCCAATGAGGCTCCCTTGATCCCCAGGAAGACATGGCCCAGGTCCGTTAGATGGCCAATCACCGCGGAGTGTCCCCGCGACACTGAGGGACTAATTTTATCGTGGCCAGAGAATCCAACGGGGTCACCGAGCCAGAACGACTGATATAAGCGGTGATTTCCTTTCAGCTCCAATCTCGCACCATTCTCGTTTGAGGTTCAGAACTGGCATCTCCCTCAGCCATACTATTCTCGCTTGGGTAAAAACCGTGTAGACGGCTTAGAGCTGGAGGACGCTCGTCCCTTGACTCCTTCTTCAACCGGCCCCTCCATCGATGACTCGACGTGACATGCATACCAAATGTATTTATATCAACTTGTCATCTGAGAGTCGCTTTCACTCAGCTAATCTTGTCACTGTCAGCACGACCGATGGGACATGCATAGCCACATCTGACAACCTACCGAGCTCGGCTGTTTCCATTTATTGCTGTCGATCCACCTTGGCTCGATTTAAATATCCGCGATCTCAAAACGGGCACAGGCTAAGCAGAACAAGGTAAACCATATAGTTCCTTCCGTGCACTGACCCCATGGTTATTTATGAAGGCCCCGTTTCTTCATCTCATACTAAAATGGACTCAAGGCACGCCTCCAGCACCCGCAGAATTCTACCTTCCAGACCCTCTTCGAGCCCTGCAACCAACCCCACATCAGTCCCCATGACCGACGCTGCCTTCTTCCTACCTGGCTCCTCAATGATGCGCTCCGTGCCGGTGCCTTCACAGCAGAACCTCTACTCCACAGCGATCTATAACCACCATCCACTGTCCGACCTCCACGACATGTCCGATATCATTGCCTATCAGATGGAGCGCGACCAAGCGCGCGACCCCAGCATGGACCAGCTCTTTGCGCAACAGTCACCGGCGTTCTTCCAGTCGGACCTCGAGACCCCGCCGAGTCTGTCCGCCGGCGAGCCGTATGAGAATCCCATGCTCCTCAGCCCTAACCGGGGCTCTCACTCGCACTCGCACTCCCATTCCCCCTCCACCTCCACCACGACCAGCGCCGCCTATTCCCCCATGTCCGATCAATGGATTCACCCGGGTCCCGATTACTACCCCGTCCCCACAGCCAGCAGCGTCTGCAGCCGCCGAAACAGCATCAACAGCCTAGCCTACAATTCCCACTCTCACCATCACCAGTCCCACCACCACCAAGACTCCTGGGACCTCCATCAGCAGCAGCAGCAGCAACAACAACAACAACAAAACGCCCCCTCCAAAGACCTCACCAGCTACGGTCTCCCCTTGGGGGACGGCACCTGGCGCTGCGCCTACCCGGGCTGCACGTCGTCGGCCGTCTTCCGACGCGGCTGCGACCTGCGCAAGCACTACAACCGCCACCGCAAGCACCTCTTCTGCCGCCACGACGGCTGTCCGCAGGCGGTGACAGGCGGGTTCTCCAGTAAGAAGGACCGTGACCGGCACGAGGCGAAGCACAACCCCCTCGTGGAATGCGAGTGGAGTGGATGCGGACGGGTGTTCAGCCGGGTTGACAACATGAAAGATCACGTGAAGCGAATTCATCGTCGGAGGGATTATTGACTTTTTCTTTTCTTCTATACTTCTTTCATTCTCTTCGCTGTTTCGCCTTCTATTTACGTTCCTTTTTAATTGTCTCTGTCGCTCTATTCTCCCCTTTGTTCTGGCTCTGGTTCTGAGCGTTTTGGATTGCATTGATGGCTTGTCTTTTCTGACTGTGGACCTGCAGGCGGGTTTTCTCTCTATATTAGTATTATACTTATGGCTATCTACATACTATGATTGCTTTCTTTCTGTTTCTTTTTGTCTATTTCTATCTTGCATTGCCTTCACAGGTCACCTAGGAAAGTGCAGAAAAACACCGCCTCTACATCTACATATTAAATCCTGACGATGCAGAAAATACCCGTGAAGCACGTACACGGAGACACTAAGTATCATTTGAATACTTCCAACTTTCCTATTAAATTTTCCAGAATTGAAACATACTCCGTAATAACTTGGTACCGTAGCCCCACAATGTTCAGGACATGCATAATCCAAAAGCCACAAACATACACATAGACTCCAGTAATACGCATCCACCACAAGGCTAAGCTTTCACGTATTTAGCACACATACACGCACACGCACACATTCCACTCAAAAAAGGTACCACGCTACTCCGTACTTCCTTCTTGAAGATTAGCGCGTTAGCATAAAGCGTTGCGACGAGGCTGGGGCTGAGGCTGACACAGGCGGAAGCGAGGGGCGAGATTATCCATCTAGGTTCTTTTTCCGGACGTAAGTGTCCCTGATGTTTTGCATCTGTCCATCCTGTGAGGATATAATATGTTTATTTACTTGTTTATTTATAGTAACTTGATTCTCAAGTCAAGATGGCTTTTGGACGTGACCTCGCTGATGGAGCATACTTTTCTGTATAAACTTCCTAAACAAATAAGATCCATTGAACAATCCCAAACAAAGAAAGCAAGACTCTCATCTCCAGCCTAACTGCCTACCAACTGTGTATCCATAACCCCGACAATAAACAAAGAAATCCACCATCCAACTGGCCAACCCGTATCTCCCAACCCATCTCGATCTCAACCAACCAACCAAACAAAAAACAAGGTAACACACCCCCATGCAGCTGAGTCGATCGAACCTTGGTAGAGCCCTACCTACCAGGTAGTCAGGTAGTAGGTACTTACCAAGCTGACGGTGGAGACCATGGCGATCCCCCCGAATACGACAGCGCGAACACGAGAGGGTCGGTACTTGGTGGGGCTCTAGTTTAGATCTTACATGCTTGCTGTTTTTCTCCACTTTTGTTGTACTTATTGTTACTCACTCTGTGGTTAGCTATTGCCTTGTTTGGGTTGCTGGATGGTGATGTGTAGGTTTAGGTTAGTGTGAGGTGATCTGTTGGTTTAGTTGGGGTAAATATAGTTGTGACATGGAGCACTGCCTACTTCCTGATCTATATATATATGTACATGTGTATACACATACTACTGTAGGTATGTTGGTAGATTCGATCTTATTCTGTCTTGTGTTGACTCAGATAAGATCATCCGGATATTTCACAATAGATGGTGAGGTAGGATAATATTGATATACCTGATTATAAGTGTCGAATATCAAGACCCCCCCCCCCCCCCCCCCCCACTCGCCAATTGGTTTTTTGGTCGAATGGTCAAGATAAAAGACATGCTAACAATTGGGATCTTAACATCGCGCCGGAAATACTTACATATATATATACAATATACATACATGTCTGGGAGGCATATTTACATGTCTGGGAGGCATATTTACATGTCTGGGAGGCATATTTACACTTTATCTTGGTTTGAAGATTGGTACCTATGGACAAGCACAAACAAAACAGTACGTACAGCATAATCAGCACACACACACACAAGTATTGCATCTATCTACTCAACACTATACTTGGATCTAGATATGTATATTCGGGATATCCCAGTTTACAAGTCCATTATGTTATGCCATCATATATTGACGACATCATCTCCTTTCAACTCAGTCTACCACTGCGGACTACGTCCCTTTTTACTTGCTTTGCTATCATGGAACACCTTTCATCATCCTATCCATGTTAATTTGATTCGATTCGATTTGATAATTCAAGTCCATTTATTTCAGTTCAATTCAATTCCATTCCCAAGACGCCGTAGCTTCCTCTCATAAGATATCCAGGAATGAAAAACAAAACCAAAAGATAATCAAATGAATCAAAATGAGAATAAAAATAGAAGAATTAAAAAAGAAGAGAAGAATTAACGAATGACCGAACGAACGCCGCAACCGCAATCTTATACAACCCCCACACTCCACCCATTTCTGGCAAAAATGGGATGAGAACTCGTGTTATATGTGAAACAGAACCAAAAACACAAACAGAAACAAGAGCGAATGACAGTGATATCTCGTAACTCTAGCAGCTGGTATCATTGATGAAAGACAAATCGATCGATCCAAGGAAGAAAAAAGAAGAAGAGAAAGAAGAAAGTGAATCATGATGCGTACATGAAGGTGGCCGCGTTATCCTCGACTAGGTCGAGAAAGCCGTCAAAAAAGAGAGAGATAAGAAAAAAAAAAAAAAAAAAAAGGGAAAGGAAAGAAATGAACAGGCAATGCTACGCTGCGTATATGCAAGACAACAGGATATTAGAGCAAGATGGAAGAAAAAAAAAAAAAAAAAGGACTACCCGTGAGCTCGTCGTCGCCGTCCACGGGTGCTACCTTCGGGTCTGAGAGAAAGGACACTGTGTAACGCCGGGTCATCTCGACTCTTGTCCACGTGGTGAACCCGTACGTGTCTAAATTCCATTAGTATACCGTCACAGCCTATACAACCCTAGAAACATACCGCTGGAGATTATCCGGTCGTGGGTATTTATGTTGCTGGTCGGGACAAAATGGACACACATATCCGGGCGAATTGTGAACCAGCCCATGCCGGATCATTTCGTTTTTGCGTTTGAAACCTTTTCCACCCACGCCCCGAGTGCACCCGTCTACGGGACAGAAGTGGGGACGGTCTTGAGAATGGACGTTTGCGTGAGAGCTGTGACTGTCAGTTCTGCACAAGACGGTTACAAAGAGTAATGAGAGGGAGAGAAAGATGACTGACTTCAATAGGTATTGAGTTTGGAAAGGGGGGGCTGTGCACCCAGGATGGCGGCATTTATATGATGAGACTACCCCGTTGGGCGACGGATTCGCGGGGCTGAACGGCATCCGTTCGCATCCCCCCGCCGGTGGCGTGGGATCAACCGGGGTTGGGTAGTGCCCGGCTGGACTCTTACCTACCGGGCTGGCCGTATCGTATGGGGAGGTTAGATAGTGAATGTCGGATTTAAGGGGTGGGCGCCAGTAGGGAGCCTGGGAGGCGGGCGAAGACACGGCGGATAAATCTTTCGTACTCGCCGGGGACATGTGCGAATACGGGCTCGGTGGGATCTGCGGCGGGGGAAACGGCCCCGGGCGCTGGGTCTCCCACGTAAAATCATTCCGCAGCCTCTGTGGGGGAGACGTGGTGACCGGGGGAAGGGAGTAGGGCGATGTCCGATTGGTCGGTCCGGGTGGCTCTGGGGGAACGCCCATCCGATACAGCGTGGTTTGGAGCGACGGCAGACTGGTGTGATTCTCAGGCGAATTGGCATTCGCGGTCGGCGGATGGAGCGCTGGAAGAGTATTCCGAGTGGGGCCCTCCGATGGTGGAATGATGAGCTTATTCCAGCTGAACGGCGAGTCGGGTTTCGGTTCCACCGGGCTACTCGGCAGCGGAAGCGTGGGAGACCGCGGCTTCGAGTTGAAGAAGCTTTCTTGAGGCGGGAGCGGCGCGTCCGGCTGAAGCAGTTTAAGGGCACGCGATGCGGCCTCGTTCAACCCTTTTTCGTGATCGGATTGGGTCGTGCGTGGAGCCGTCGTTTGGAGCGTCGGTTGCCCGGTCGAGTCATTCGTCGCCGGGTTTCGGAAAATTTTCCCTTTCAACCCCGGCTTGTGATCATCTTCGACGAGACTATCTATCTTGGAGTGAGTTCTCTCATATTCAGCAAGATCCGGACGGTTGGGCTCTAAATTTCGAATCAGCGCCGAGTTGCCTTCCGCCGAGGCATGTGTGGAGATTTCCTGCAGGCGCTTACGGGATCCCGGCGATGGTCCCTCTCCTGTAATTTTCGCATCTTCGGCGTCGGTCGACTGCTCCTTCTCGTCGACTGCGAACGGCGGCGGCGTTGGTTCCTTAAGTCCATAGTGGATAACCTGGGGTTTCAGCTTGGGGGTGCGATAACCCTCATCGGAATCTGAATCAGTCATGGAGGCGGCAGTTTCGGACGCATCAGGCGTAGCAGCCTCTATTTATTCTGAGGATCCTTTTTTCTTTTTCTTTTTTTTTTTTTTGTTTTTATAATACCCCGGTGCAGCTTTGCGCCTACTGGGGAGGCAGCAGGGCGGAGTGATTCAACGAATGAAGCACGAGGCGGCGGACGCCGAGGGATCGGCCAATCAACGGGAGGTGCCACGTGCCCTGTCGAGTCGAAATCAGTATACGCGCCCAAGGCCGAGTCGAGGGCACGGGAGGTGGGCCAGGCAACAAAAATAGACAAGACAACTACATGATTACATTGAAGAAAGCCAGGGAAAACAGGACCGGGGATTGAGTGGGGGTGGTGAAGGAGGGATGCCCTGATAAAGCATGGGCCGCGGGAGTTTGATGGTCAACCGGGGACAAGATGGTAAACACTCATTTACCTAGAGTCGGGTTTCCACCGGACTAAGGAAAATCCAAAAAAGGAGGCGGACCCAGCGGGAGAATATTGGAAAGAAAAAAATGGAAGGATGAGGAGAAAAGGGGGGTGAGGGGAAAGAAAAACAAAAGGCAAGAGCTGTACATGAATGGGGAGAGTGTTGCGAGCGAGTTCAGATACATACTGTTCCCTCACTGGATATTTCGCCTCAGCTGATGGCCCTGTTTTGGTGGCAAGTTTGATCCGAACTCCAAGAACCAGCAAAGCCTTCAGGGAGAGACTCCACCGGGGCGCGCTTCGCGGGCCAGAAAGCCAGGCCTTTATCCAAGGAACATCAAGATCATCCCCCACCTTCCCACCCCCCTTTTTTTGAGGGCAGTGCAAGATGTAGGGGCGCGACAGACGTAAAAGGGTAAGAAACAGAGGATTGGGAATAAACCAAGTGTTGATAGAAAAAAGCCATGTAACCAGGAAAGCAAAGGAGGGGGGGAAAGGCCCATCAAAAAGAGAAAATCGAACAAGGAGATTAAGCTCACCGAGTGAAGGTTCTCCAGGAACGGAGGACACGGCAGGAACCAGTCACACTGGCGGGTCTCAGATGAGGCTCAATCGGAGACTATTTGCACGTCACAATCGAGAAGCGGAAGCAACATGCCATGCGCATGAAGAAACTGCCACAAAACCGAGGAAGCGCCCAAGCGAAGGACAATTTTTACCACAGCCCACGGACAGACGGAGATCAATTAATGATGCGATGTTTCCGATCGTGAGAGAAGTGGAGGGGGAAAGAACAACGAGGTCATCCACACCATAATCTCCTGACCGGTGTAGAAGAGGAGAGAAAAGAGTTGCAGTGGATGAGAGGAATCTCGAGGATAGTGGTAGTAATAGCAATGGCGATAAAAACCAGTAGTTGTTGTAATAGTCGCAGTCGTAGTAGTAGTAGAAGAAGGAGTAGTAGTAGTAGTAGTAGTAATCACAGGAACCACGATGGCAAGAATCGGGGCTAAATCGACCAGGTCGCCGATGAGGCTACCTTAGTTCGTCTGAAACGGAGGGTAAAGAAGTGCTTGGCAAGGGAAAATCAGAAACAAAAAATAAAATCCTACAAAGTGGGAGAGTTGGAGGGGAAATCCAAAGCACATCGAGGGGAAGCGAAGAAAAGGTTGTTGAGATGGGAAGCGGTCAAGCGTCACTCTAAAACAGTCACGGCAGAATGGAAGTTATGGATTGTCTGGAGATTGGAGATTGGAGGAGATCGATGGATGACTGGGATAGGCAGAACAGAAATAATGACCAGGTCAGAACCTCGTTGGGAGGTAGAGAGGTAGAGGTCAGAAGGAATGTTTCTCCAAGACGACCTATGAATTCGAAAGATCCACTTTGAAGGTGGAGAAAGAAGTTGAACCAGCCAGCAGGCAGGCAAGTTTGTTCTGGTTGGTCTTTTGGTCAGGGCCAACTTGACTTGGCTGTTTTTTCCTTGTTCTGTCCTATTATCTGAGAAAAATAATTCCTTTCTTTTTTGTTGATGATTTATTTGTTGATTGATTGATGGATTGATTGATTGATCTTTTCTTTTCTTTTCTTTTTTTTTTTTTTTTTTTTTTTCTCCCGGATGACCTCTGTTATCTCTTTAGAGGGAAAAAAAAAAACCCCCCCTACTGATCAGAAGAGAGACCAGGTCTGGAAGCTGACTCCAGACGCCACGGCAGCAAACAAAGTGGGGGTAGACACAGAGTCTAGTCGGGTTTATACCGCCCAGCTGATGTCGCAACAACACGTCGTCGCAATACCGATCACCTGGGTGCCTTAGGTATCTTTCAAAGAGTAAAGTAGAGAAAAAGCAAGGATAAGTCCAACCGATCGAATAAATGTCCTAATTTCCTGGTTTAAGAAGAAGAAGATGACGATGATTAGTATGGTGGCCACGTCCACGAGGTCGAGCCAGCCGCAGTCCGAGACCCGGCACTAAACCCAAACGGAGCCTCCACGTCCCGCCTCGGCGCGGCATGAGGCTCTCGTCTGTCCCGTCGGTCATTGGCGGATGCACGGGGGCAAAACGAGGAGGCTGAATTGTTCCTCTGCATCGGATGGTGGAACATATTATCTTATCTGCCTATCTTTCTTTCTTTCTTTTCATGCACTTGTAAATATATTTATGCCACACCGATATGTTCTATAATATGGATCTATATACCTCATCTATCATTTATCTATAATATTAATCTACGATTGATCTAGGAAATAGAGAATATATATGTCCACATTGTCCAGTGAAGATCAGCTCATGATTAGTAACCAAGGTACTTCCACCGCCTTCCCCTCCCTCGTGACTTTGACCGCCACAAACAAGAGCCTTGCTGGCGCTATCAACTTAATGATTATAGACTTCGAGCCTGGCGTAGACGGACCCCGTCCGGACTGCCTTCCGATCCTGAATCAGCCGGACCGGGTGCAGGAGAGAAAATAATAAAACAAAAAATCATCGAAAATAATTGACTTGGCAGACTGCAAAGTACTGAAGACACGGTATAAGAGGGAATGGTGAATGAGCCTATTTGATTTTAAATTTTCAATCTATGTGTTTTTTTTTTTTTTTTTTTTTTTCTCTTTTCCTCTATACTTTTTGATTTTGTTTTCCCTTTATTGTCCTAATCCCCTCTGACTATTGATTAAATATTGATCCTACAATCAATCACTTCCCTACGGTTGCTATTTCCGGGCTTGGCAACCGTCGTGGTGTTTGGTCCAGTTTCCTGGAGTGGATACTAGGTCGACAAGTCGGTCGAAGATAATTAACTACCTAGTTGAGAGTAGGAGATGTGAAATATCTCCCGCGTTTTACTTCCGTCTAGAAAAAAAAGAAAAGAAAGAAAGAGAAGAAGGAAGGGAGCTAGGTAGGGAGGAAAGGAGAAATCAAGACAAGCCTGACGATTGTGATTGCAACCAAGCAGGACACTTCCAAACCAACCAGAACGAATCGGATGCGTTCAGGAGGGGGCCACACTGCCTGAAGAATGGCATTTGAGTCGTTTTCGTTGGAGCCGCCCGCCGCTCGATACCGTGGACCAGTCAACCGCATAGTTTTGTGAGCAGAAGGTTTGGCTAGGTCGGTGGGGAAGAGGATTGGGGAGGGAATTGGAAGGGAACTGGGGAGGGAATTGGGGCAGAAAATGAATGAGGTGGGGGGGCGAAGATGAGGTGAAAGGACACTAAGAGGAGGGGAAAGGAGGGGGGGCGAGCCGATCCATCCGGGATTACTTACTGGGCTATGGCCTAGTCATGGCCCAGTGCGACAGATTTGCCGTGAGGGAGTCAATCAATCATAATCTGCAGGAAATGGAGAGAGTATGACTGGAGGAAGTCTATCAAGTGACAGGATACGATCAGGTTGAGAAGATCAACGATGGGGCAAGACAAGGCAAGGTCCACGTTCTCTTCTGTTGTTGGAGAATCAACCGCGCTCTGGAGCATGAGCCACATCAATCTCACTATAAGATCCTTATATAGCGGATCTTGGATTGCACTATTAGTATCTAGCATCATACCTACCTAGGTAGGATGATAGGTTAACATAGTACGATACGATAGTAGGTAGCTACGAACAACCCCAGGTATAATTGGCCCTACTATCCTACTACCTAATTAGGCAGCAGACTAGCACAAACTGGACGATGGAATTATGTCTGACCATCATGGTATCATATCACGATCCCTGTTGAGGTGAACGGGCGACATCATCGCCATCATCGCCCTCCGAAAGCACCCCAGCCTCTTCCCCCTCCCGCATCCTTCCACGCTACATATAGTAACGGGAGCGACGATCACTCCACCCTGGAGGACTAACTGCAGGGTTTCTTCAGATCGGTTACCAGCCTCATGTCGACAATCTCTCTACCCTTACCTAGTATCATCTACATAGCACTTACTAACTTGGACTAGTCATGCCATCTGATTCAAATACTGGATCGACACAGTCCACTAATATCAACACTAACACTGACCACTGATTGACACTGACTGCCCAACAAGACTGGAATAGCCTACCTAAACAACATGCGGCGCAAGCCACAACCAACGGGCATGCCACGGAACCCGGCGTGATCATCTCCTTCCATCGGAGGTCCAGGTAGACATACATTTACATACATATCTCCCTACCTACCCAGGCAAATATCATGTAAGTGCTCGGATCATCATGTCCATGTGTACGGAATACTCGATTAGGAAATAGGATAAGCAGACGAGAGTGCCAATCAGGGACATCATAGAACAAAGGAATATCTTCCACCACCAGACTAGAATAAACCCAAAGGGTTGAAAAAGTAAAAAAAAAAAGAAGGATCACACAGCTCATGGGAGCCGCACCCAATAATACCTACTTACTCCCCTACTTCCCTACTAGACTACCGTGGTCCAAGCGTGGGGCTTAGTAGATGCGCTGTTGCTGACATGCATTTGACCTAGTCCCACTCGTTGGGGCTTACGGAGGAAAGTATGTAGGTTGGTAGGAGGTAAGGTAGGTTTGAGTTAGGTCTAATCAATATCTGCTCATACAAGCACGGCGTGAGAAGACACCAAGAAGGAATTGTAATAGAGTAAGTCGGGTGTTTCCTGGCTTGGCGCATATACGAGGTGAAGGAAGGACGGGTTTGGATTTAGGTTGGTGGAGTGCTGACGCTGCTGATGGATGGATGTCTGTCCACCCAGTATTCATCCTGGCGAGTGGGGATTGCGGGATGTTGACAACTGGCAAGAGGGGTGTGGGATTACCCTGACGTGCAGATTGGAGTTGCACTGCAGTTGGATGGGTGTAATATTTGGGATTGAGTATTGATGATGAGTATGATGGTGATGGTGGTGATGATGATGATGATGACTATGCAGTGAGGTGGGTGGAATGACCATGGATTGGACATGCAGCTGGTCTTCGCTATTCAATAAAACTGCATACACAAACATCTAGATACAGGTCTAAGATGATCACCGTAGACTATCCCCTCTAAAATATCCTAGCTAGAATACCGTCGGGCCGCCGATTCTTGCTTACCATGCATATACGGGTGACGTGCCTTGCTCCACAAAAGAGGAGGTTCTGTTTGATCACCAAAAGGCCCAGGCACGACTGGAATGTCTCTTTTTTCTAGAGCTTGCCCTTCTGGCGCACTGCCGCCTGAGCCTGCTTGACGCGCTCCCAAGCTCCCAACGCAAACGGGGTCGTCTTCTGCGCATACTCGGCCGCCCGCGCACTGCTGGCCTGTCTCAGCGCATGCCGGGCCTTGATCCCCTGCATGATGACCGAACTCCGCCATTGGAAGAAGGCATCCCCCCAGATGATGTCCGGCACGGGGTTCCAGCCGGCCACTTGGCCATACAGCCGCAAACAGTCGTCCCGCGTCGGCAGGCCCGGCGTCACGCCCGGCTGGAAATTCGCGACCGTGTGGTCCGTTCCGTCCAGGAAGTAAGGACTGGTCAGGTTGCAGACGTCCGACAGCGGATGCCCAACCGTCGCCATCTCCCAGTCCAAGATGCCAATGACGCGCGGTTCGGTCTTGTGGAACACCATGTTGTCGATTTTGTAGTCGCCGTGCACCAGCGTGCCTCGGTCTTGCGGTTGCGTCGCCTTGTTGGCGAAGAACCGCACCATCTCTGCAAAGTGCGGCAGCTCGCCCACGGGCTCCTTGCTTTCTACGTCCACAGCCTGCGACTGTGCCTTGGACACCGCTGTAAAGGTGGCGATCTGGCGATCGTAGAACCCGGACGGCTTTCCGAATCCCTCCAGTCCGACGGATTGAGGCACAACCCGGTGGAATTTGGCGAGCGTCCGCACGGCGTCTTCCCACCTGTAAGGACGTCAGTCATGGCCCCCCTAACTTGACACACAATGAGGATAAGGGACATACAGCGCCTTTCTCTCCTCGGGCCCAACCTCAGGCATGGCCGGGTCGATGAATATCCGCCCGTCCAGGAACTCCATGATATAGAAGGGGGTGCCGACGACGCTGGAATCCTCGCACAGACAGTACGTCTTGGGCACGGGGACGTCGGTCTGCCCCAGTGCATGGATGATCTTGTATTCGCGCTCCACCTTGTGGGCCGTCTTCGACAGGAGCTTTCCGGGGGGCTTCTTCCGCAGCACGTAACGCTGGCCGTCGACGGTGGTGAGCAGATAGGTGGGGTTTGATTGGCCAAAGCCAAACTAGACGTCAGTCAATTACATATTGTCGTGGAGTACAGAGGCTGAAGGTATACACACCTGCTTCACCTGCAGGGGAGTCTTGATCTCGGGCACATTGCGATCGAGATAGCGCTCCAAGGACGGGATGTCAATGGGCTGGCGCACTGCTCCAGCCATGGTCGCGAGGATAATTACCGACCGTACGGGTCAATGTAACTTTGGATATATACTGTGTATGGGAAGCACACGATCACAGACCAGCTGGGACCAGTGCTCGAGGGGCTCGTAATAAGGGACCGAAGAGGCACTCTTTCTAATCGTCGCAGCCGTACCCGGACCGAGGCAAAACAGCCGTGTTTGATTGGCACCGGCTGCGGGGACTTGTTAGTGCCTCAAAGGACGGGTGTGGACCTTTCAGCTGAAGTTGATCGGTCATAATTACTCATCCGATTATGTACAGCGACTGTGCAAAATAGACAAATAGTTCAAACAAGCTAAACAAATCAAACAGGAAAACCACTTAACGCGGGACGCGTCTCACCGCCAGACGCGTCTCATCAAGAACTTCACCGATTGGAAGCAAAAGAACAACAGAGTAAGGGCCCTGTCCATGCAGCAACACTTCATACACCGCATATCCCGAGCCCTCTTCTCATCCAAACCCCATCATCTTTTTTCATCCTCCATCCGCCCATCCCTCACCTCCTCCCCAAGCCAAACAAGAAGTATCATGACCAAGGAGACCACGCCCCCACCTCCCGCCGCCGCCGCCACCCAACAAGCCGCCGCCCCCCACGAGCCTCCCTCCCTCCCCAACTCCCCCCTCGCCAAACGCACCAAGACCAACACCACCCAGGAAGAAGAACAGACCCAATCCGCCACAATGACCAAAGACCTCTCCACCTCGCAGGCCCCGCCTCCCCTGCTCGTCAAGAAGCTCAATGACAAGGCCCGCGCCCCCACGCGCGGCTCTGCCTTCGCTGCCGGCTACGATGTTTACAGCGCTAAGGAGACTGTCATCCCGGCCAAGGGCAAGGCGTTGGTAGATACGGGTATTGCCATTGCTGTTCCGGCTGGGACTTGTATGTTTCCTTCTATATATTTGAAGTCATTGGAATACTTAAGGAATATACTAATTAATCAAACAGACGGCCGCATCGCCCCCCGCAGCGGCCTCGCGTCGAAACACTTCATCGACACGGGCGCGGGCGTTATCGACGCTGACTACCGCGGTGAAGTCAAGGTGCTGCTGTTTAACTTTTCTGAGGTCGATTTCACGGTTCAGGAGGGGGATCGCGTTGCTCAGTTGATTGTGGAGCGGGTGAGTTTTCTCTTTTATTATTTCTCATATTACATACATATATACATATATGTATGTATATATATTATATATGATACTAACAATCTTACCTATACAGATCTACACCCCCGAGGTCACAGTCGTCGAAGAGCTGGAAGAGAGTGTGCGCGGCGCGGGCGGTTTCGGGAGTACCGGTACTAACTAAGTAGCACCTAGTGCAGGTGTCTTACTACTTAGGCTTGGTTATATCAACGAGAAATATGAAAACAATATGGTTAGATAAAATGAACAATCATGAGCTGTTATACAGCAGGATAGTACTGGTTACCATGGTGGTTATTCAACCATCTCTTGAACCCATTCTCCGGTGTATATAGACGGATGCTAGATATCATGATGACAGACTACCGTGGAGCACTCTTCAGGTTTTTACATCGGTTTCAATAGTCTCGGATATGCTATGCTTATGTATGCTATAGTTAATTTTATACTTCATAATAGATTCTACTAGCCTCGCCTCAAACATCCATTCCATCCAAAAGCAAGCTAAAAAACCCAACAATTCACCCCCGACGAATCCCCAACACCATAATCAACCCACTCCGCGCAGAATACTTCTCCCCACTAACATCCCCCGGCAACAGATGCCCATCCCCATTCGCAACCAGCGCCTCAGCAAGCGTACACTTCCCCACCTCCGCAAACCCCAGCCCCCGATACAAGCTGACCGTAGCATGGTTCTCAGGCTTCACCATCAACCGTACCAGAACCTCCCGCGGATAGTCTTTGGAAGAAGGAAGGCAATTCAGCGCCTCCTGGCACAGTTTCTTCCCTAGCCCCCGCCCGCGATGCTCGGGGAGCGTGAACAGGCTGAGCATTTGCCATAGTTCTTCGCCGGTGGGGTTCTGTTGTCCCGATTCGGGGGGGAGGGCGAAGTCTGAGGGTTATTTATGAGTTATATCACGAGAGTCATGGATGTTTGGCGAGCGGAATCGCGGGGGTTGTCCGATACTTGAGTTGAATGACGGCGATCTTGATGCGCTTTGCCGGGATTGGTTCAGCGGTGTGCCGAGGGTAAGGTGGAGTTTCTAATTACTGGAGACGATGGAATCAAAAATAGAAAAAGTGTCCATTATAACTACTAGGTGGGGCGGATTTCGCTCTTAAGGCGTTATCCCTTCCTTTATAGGACAAAATTCTTATCTGGCAAGAGACGATTTCATCTGCTTTCTCACGCTATTATCAATTTCCCAGGATATCACGACGTAACTATCACTGCGCTGAGTTAGGTTTATAAACAATAGTTCACTGTCTAATCTTATTATTTGATACTTCCCTTACAGGGATGAGTCAAAAGCCATCAAAGGCACATGTGTATATGTATATATCTGTTGAAATAATCTATTCGTATCATGACATCGGTATAATGCGTCTAATGCTAGTCTTTAATCTTTTATACTTTCAGTGTATGTGCTCTACCGAGGTAGATCCTCCTCCTTCCACTCCTGCGGGTGAAACTCCACCGTAGGCTCACGGAGGAACCGCGCATTCCGCACCACGCGCACCTCCGCGGCTTTCGTCTGGCGGAGATGGAGGCGCTTCTGGGCGTCTACCTGAGCGAGGGCATCGTCGTCCGGGGCGGTCGGCGTGGCGGCTAGCTCCGCATTGCGCGCCTCCATGGTCTTCTCCAGCACGTTGTGCATGCTGGCCAGGACCTTGACGGTCGACTGGGCCAGGGGGAGATCCGTTGCCTTGACGTCGTCGGGGGAGACCCAGGATCGCGTCGTTCGGAGAGTGGGTGAGGCGGCGAAGACGGCTTCACGGAGTCGCGCGACTGTCAGTGCGGCGAACATGTCGCCTGTGCCGCTGAAGTAGCAGTCTAGGGCGGGGACGTCCACGCGGAAGAGGCGCGGGGAGCCGTCGGAGCGGGTCGTGGATCCGATGACTGTGAGGGTGGTGGGTGAGGTAGTGGTGGATGGGTTGGTGGTGAGGTCGGATAGTTGCACGGAGGTGATGATGACGTGGGGGACATTGTAGGTCTTGTGGATTGCGCTGATGGCTTCGGCGAGGGTGCTGAGAGAGGTGATTTTGACTCCGGAGAGAACTCTGCATGGGTTAGTTGACCAGACACAGGATTGGATTGGGCCCCCATCCAACGCGAGAAAGAGACAAAGGAAAAAAGATAAGAGCAAAGAAGGGTCGCGTACTCGGCTTCAAATTGATTGGGTAGAATCAAGTCGGCATGATGGATGACCTTTTTGTAGGCGGGAACCACATCATCATTCACATATAGACGGCCCTGGTCTCCCATGACAGGGTCCAACACTAGGGGTTGTCAGAAAAAAAGGAAACACAAATTGGCGGTAGGACCTTACCCCAGAAGAACGATCCAGGGTTCTTCTCAGTCTTACGCTGGAGATCCATGCCAATAGCTCCGACCGCCTCCACGGCAGCGGCGCTGGGGGCGTACCCGGACAGCATGACATCGAAGTCGGTGAGATTGCTCTGGCGCATGCCTTCATAGATGGTAGTGATCTCATCCGCAGTGGCGCGCGTGCCCTTGAATTGCCGGTATCCGGTGTGGTTGCCTAGACTTCTGATCAGCTGGAGGATTCATTCGCGTCATCGATGGTGACTTCCGATGACTCACTGAAATGGACGGTGTTCAATGCGGCCACGTCGCAACCCAGTAGTTGCATGACCGCCGTAGCCATTTTGTTCCCGACATATCTAACACCAGAAAATTAGTCGCCATGGCCTGTTTAGATGGCGGTGGTAGGGATTTCAGCTCCCCCGATATCAAAATTGCGGGGGGGGGGGCACCCTCCGGGCCGTATGAGAGTTGCCTCTGGGTTAACAGAGTCAGAACATGAACATACCCATAGGCTACCTGTCATTTGGCCCGATTAGCATCATAGATATCACGCGTCGGTTAACGTTATTCCGTGGCATACTTACATGACTGGCAATCGCCAGGACCCTTGTCTCGGGGACCACAGGATCTGCGGACATGACGGAGGGGTTGATCTTGACACGCACGGGGAAAGGGCGGGGAAGAACAAGAATGAGCTCGAGGAATATCGACAGGTCTGTTAATTCAGGGTTTGATTTAATTGAGACAGACTGGATATGTCAGATCTGAATAGAAGTCATCCAGGCTGGTTAGTCAGGAAAGATCGATGTTGGCCAAATGCGATCAAGTTCGGCGCCGGTGGAGATGGAGCATTCGGGGGCCTTGATTGGCGGTGCCGGCCGGTCGGTCACATCCGTTCCATTCTTCTTTCTTCCATTTTAATCTTTATTTTTGGTCTTTGATTTTGATCTAGATTTTGATCTATAATATTTACCCTTTAACCTTTGATTCATGCTAAGTATTGTTGAATCTAGTAAAGCATTCTAGCTGTGGATTCTCTCTCATTGCGTTATTTTCTATGGATTGCATGTGACTAATTCATAAAAAGTGACCTGCTTGACCTACTGCGGACTAAGGACATATGTCTTGCCATGACTTGAATTACGGTGTTGCTGTGTGCGACTATTGGAAGAACATCTAAATGCAAGTGCAGTGGAGGGATCTAGGTCCCATACTCGGACAGCTTGTCATCCCAAATTCATCGCATTGACTAGCACTACTGAACTCATCTTGCCGCGGACGATGAGAGTCCGCTCCATTCAGCATCGGACAACGCAGGACGTTTGTCCCGGGGCTTCTGCAACAGCGACTTGATACTCGAGATTGATTGAACGTAGCGGCCAGTCTCCCTGAGGCTCAGCGTTATCGGATCATCTAGCTGCTTGCTATGACGCGCTTGCCAGATTCTCTTAATCGCAGCATCCACGTCATCTTCACTGTAAGCGGCAATTGCCATGGCGGCAGCGAGGTATTGTGACGGTTTTCGATAATATGGCCCTATCTTTCCATCATGGAAGATACCAGATTGTGCTACCTTGCGGGAATAATCTTGGAAGGTGGAGTATTCATACGCCCGAGATGTCTGGGCCTGAAACCAATCCTCGATATTGGGAATCCAGTACAGTCCCAGGATCTTGGCATACTGGTTGGCTCTCTTGTTCATTTGGAGCCGATTGATGAGCACGCGGCGCAGGCGCAGCTTCCCGCGGACGTCTAAGAGACCTTCGTAGTATTCGCGGATCGTTCGGAATACCACTTGGTGCTCAATCGTCTGATGCCCTGGGTTGGAACTAGAGTACTGCCGCATTAGGTACTTCAGAGACCAGGGGGAAAGCAGACCCCGGGCAGTCCTTCCGTAGCCACCGGTCGCTTCAGGGAAGTCTTCATCGACGACGAGGGGATAGCGCTCCTTCCAGGCAACGATCTCCGGATCGTCACCGTCGATGAAGCCTGCTTCAAACTTTTTCCTATCCCGCTTTGGGTGGGGATCAGAGGCCAACGCCGTGGGTAACTTGTCGTAGTTCTCTTTGTAGTGGTGCAGACTGTAGCCCGTCCTTTTCCAAAACTTTTCCTGCGATTCTGGGTCGCTAAAGACAGGGGAGGATCCGTAACCGTAGTCGATGTTAACTGGTAGACAGAGCCGGTGCATTTCTGCTACCAGGGCAGTCGTCAATTCCCGGTACTCGCGGGATGTGTCCTCATCCGGAGCAGGGGGAAGAAAGGGTGGTTCTTTCACGAGCTCGGAAATTGCGGCCGATGAAAATAGCCCGCCAGCGTGTCTCTGCGAATTCGACCATGCAAAACCGAATGGTTCCTGTTCCGTTTCTGCTGCTGCAAGGGTTGTCGCTGTCAAATTTTTGCCGCTGAAATCTGTGGTCTCAACCCAATGACCGGAAAAACACGATGTCATAAACATAGTCGTCCGGACGCTTGGGAATTCCGAGAGAATGGATGCGATATGGCTGGGTTTCAGGTACTTTTGTTCACAGTCGCCGTCGGTAAGCAGATCAACACCGAGGCATAAGCCACCGGCAGAATCATAATCGCCGTGTGAGAAAATCATGATAAGTACGTCATCTCCAAATTCTGCGGCATCGGCCATCGTATTCTTTAGTTGCTGCATGAAGAAGTCTCGCAGGTCGTCTCCTTTCGGTCCGATCGTAACCTTTGCCAGTACCTGAGGTAACAGGTTCTCATCGAGAACGACTTTTCGGGTTTCAAACGGATCCCCATGGATGAACCCAGACGCCCATTTTGTTCGCACGGGCTTCGTCACCTCTGGTTCATCGTCATCAATTACTTCTAGCGTCACCTTGTCTTCTTTGCCGTATTTTTGCAAAAGATAATCGGGAGACATCGAGGTGATCCATTTTTGGTCTTTACCCATGCCGTCGAGAACATGCAGCCACAAGTAGAAATCGGATACCATCCACCCGTCACCCAGGGATGGGCTTGCTGCCTTTGAGGCGCTCGAAGGTTCATCAACGCCCAGAACAGCAATGACGCGGGTTTGCGGTGTGACATTGGGAGCATTTTGTGTGTCGCGGGTGGGAATCACAGGATCAACCTTGAGCCGCTTGCTTGCGCATTCCGCGTGCGCCTTACAGGCTTTGCCAGCTTCGTCTATGCTCCCATGATGCGCTTCTAGCTCGCTTTTTGCGTGTGCACGATCAACCTTGTATTCTTTCATGAGCAGCCGGGTGAGATATTCAGTCTGAGCAGCCTGTAAACTATCCCCATATCCACTGTCGATGATATCCTGGACTTCTTGAAAGTATATTTCCTTCCATTCTCTCAACAAGGGCACGATGGCGCGGGTAATTCCTCGTCTCTCCACGATGTCATAGAGGCTGGCGGTATCACTGACCGCAATAATCTCCTGTGCGCAAATGTGCTCCACATTTTCCGGCTCAAGGAGCAGAAGGTATGCTTGCTGTGCGACTAAAGACGCTTGTTCCGAGACTTCGCGAGTCTCATGAGCACCATGTATCATGTCCGTAATGGATAGTGAAGACTGGAAACATCTGGCTGCTCGTGCTTGTGAACAGTTCAAGACAAACTGGAGAATGGCACGCTTCCCATCCTGCTCCGTAATCTTGGACTTTTGCATGAGACTCTCGAGCGCCTGCAGAATGTTGCCTGGCTTCTTGAGATTTGCAAGAGTCTGCTGGGCAGTTTCGCGGTCGATGTTGACAAGGCACTGGAGCCTAGCGAGACATTCCCACTGCCTGTCTCTGCCGTGATACATTCCCTCCGCCTTTGTTTTCAAAAAGATCATGTACATATCCTCATGTTCCGCAAGGTCACTTCTGAGAAGACTCCTGATAACCTTTTTGAGATCCTTTCTGGGTAGCTGAGTGAGCTCACCCGCCTGCTCTAGTAGGTCTTCAGGCACCTTCTCCTTCTCGAACGCCTTTCGCAGCATTGTTGTTATTTTGTCGTAAATCAGCGGACTGGCGTCTGAAAGTAAAATATTGGTGTTGCACTGTATGATGTAGGGGTTTCCAGGGTTGAAAGAGAGATGAAAAGAAGGATCAAGAGTAAAGTGAGAGATGGAGTGATGGCGAGGTGGAGCGAAGTGAGAGGTGGAGCAAAGTGAGAGATGGAGTAAATTGAGAGATGGAGCAAAGTGAGGGATGGAGTAAAGTAAGAGATGGAGTAAAGTAAGAGATGGAGTGATGGCGAGGTGGAGCGAAGTGAGAGGTGGAGCAAAGTGAAAGATGGAGTAAAGTGAGAGATGGAGCAAAGTGAGGGATGGAGTAAAGTAAGAGATGAGTGATATAGATCCATGAGAGTCCCGACATGCCTAAAAGGTAAGGCAAAAATCATGTCATGATGAGGCAAACATGTACTTATTCTTACAAAAGCTTGAATATGCTTTCCATTGAATAGCCAAATAGCTTCTTGCTACTCTCCTTCCATTCTAACAATCTGGACTAGCTAACATAACGGAGTAGCTCAATCTAGCTGATCGTTTGTATCCTCAAGCTGATCAAAGATGTATATATGATCGGCAGGTCTGGGCCCACGTCGACCTCATTGAGAGCCTTGGGGCCTGGGAGCCTGAAAGATGTAAACCTGACAGCCTCAGTCATCAGTCTACGGAGAGATTCTCCGGCCGAAGCCGAATGAAAATCGATACACCTTTATACTCTGTAACAACAATTGAGCGACCGATCAAACTTATGGTTCAATGTTCTGAAACATAAACAGGCATTCAATATGCAGGCCAATGATGAATCCATCGTGGCTGTCCCCCTGATCAATCAATGATCAGCCTAGTATTCAAGGCCACATGAGGGTAAGATCACTTGCTGCCATCGTCAAGATCCCAACAGTTTGTGCAACACCACCTCGATTGTTCTATCCAATACGGAATGGAATGTCGGAACTGGGACTTTTGCCTCCCACGGTCTCTGGGTGGGTCCCGGCCGAGTCTAGTGTCCGGTCCAGACCGCCGTTCGTCTTGGCTGTCAAAACATTTGATCGACTATTGAGGAGACAACCACGATGATCACCGGTCCTGCTGCAGTTGGGATCACGAGAATGTCCCCAGCCCGGTCGGCTCCAGGCATCCTCCAAATCCCTTCGAGGATGACTATTGGGAGTCTGAACAGCCTCTCAACCCGGTTCCATCCCCAATTGACCCAGGAATCCACCTCATGATCGATATGAAGGCCGATAGTTTCTCCGACGCTCTGGGAGGCTCATTCTCCCACGGGGTGTATCGCATCCGTCATCTCGATCAAAATGTTTCTTTCCCTTTGTATCTCTGGGATGGTCCCTGGAGTACGAGAATTGCTCCCTGATGAGCTTGATCCTTGAGAGAAGCGACACCAGAGGATAGCCTGAGACCCACCAAAACAGGGTCGGATAGACCAGGGTGTTTGCGCACTGGTCCACGGTCTCTCGGGTGACTTCCTGTCGTGCAACCCGGAGTCCGCCATCCCAACACGCAGCCCTGTTTTGCTTGCTAGGGAAGTCATGTAATCAGGGACGAGTGTTGGAAAGCAGACTTTTCCATCTCGTGGGGACCCCTGAGTCAGGCTGTCAAAGGAAATAATTTCCCGGACTGCATTGATGGAGATGATTAGTCGAACTAGGCGAATCAAATGAGTCGAGGATTAATTAAAATACCTCCAGTCACGGGCAGTGACCTTGGGTCCCTACAGTAGCGGAGCCCTGGTCTGTAGTCTGTAGTCTGGACTGTTGTCGATGTATCATTCAGTTAATGTTATTATTATAATACTTGGGGTTCTTAGGTAGTTGCCTACTAATTCTTTCTTTTTTCTCTTCGCCGGGCTGACACTCTTCTCATCTCCTCACCACCAAACGGTGCGCTCGTTTTCTTTCATGGATGCAAGGGTTTATTTCTTTTTCCTTTCTATCTAAATGATATTCTCTCGTTGTCATCAGTGATTAAATCTCTCTTAATTGTCCTCCCCCCTCCCCTATAATAGTTGTCACATCGGACGGGACGCTGGTGCAATGTCTCAATAGCCAAACCCCCCTCCTTCCTCTTGCGTTCTTTGTTAGTCCCGGTCTTTCATTTCGGACGTCATCCTCTCCGTTGGAATCGCTTCATTCTCTCGTCATTCATTCACCCATCATCCGTCGTGTAGATCGCTGGCGCCCAATTCCGACCGTGGCGCGCCAATATGCACTGTCAGGCTCCTCAGCGAATTGCGTCCCGCTTCTCCCTGTACCTGTTGGCGACCATCGCGATAACATCTGTCGCAGCATCGGCGCTGCCTTCAGACGCTCAATCGGACCCGTCACCTTTCCAGGGTGGAGAGATCGTCGGTGTTGATCAACAAGACCGATCCGATGGAGCTCCACCACAAGATCAGGCACCGTGGGAGCATCTGATCGCCCACGAGGGGAATCGGGGAAAGCAGGACTCGGACAAAGAGGGCGCGCACCAATCGCATTCGGACGCATCAGAGGAAGAAATTGGCGAATACGACCTGTCCCTATCGGGTCTGACACGGCGATCCCCCATCGACACATCCACCATCGACTCGGTTCCCCTACCGTTCGATACCAGCATCCTCAAGAATTTCACTGTCGCAAGTTGCCCCAAGTTCTTCAAAAAATTCCTCAACGATAAGTCCATCAATGACTGCCATGGCATCTCCCTACTCCTGCACGACTCCACCTCTTTCTTTCACACACTCTCTTCGGCGCCCGCCACCTCCCGGATTTTGGATCAGTCCTGTAACGCGGACGTCAAAAAATGTTCCACCACCATGCGCAAAATGGCCAAGGATCTGATCAAAGATGACCACTGCGGGAAGGACTACCGAAACGGCAACCCGAACATCGTCAATGCATACACCGACCTGATCATCTACGAGCCCGTCTATCGCGCAAGCTGCCTCAAGAACCCGGACACGAAGGACTACTGTTTCGTCGACGCTGTCAAAAACCGATCCAACGCGGCCAACTACGATATTTACTCCCTGCCATACGGCGTCTCTCTTCTCAAAGACCCTTATCCAGACTGTAACGAATGCGTGCAGGCCTCTCTCGATATTTTCGGCCGGTGGGCAGAGGTCGATGGCCAACCCCTCACGCGATCGTATCTGCAATCGGCCAAAAACATGAACGAAAAATGCGGCGCGAAATTCTCTAACACGAACATCACGGCCGGCAGCGCTAAGATGACCTCTGGGGCGTGGGAGACCGTCGGTCGGCCTGACGTGGCTCTGGTGAGCTGCTTCATGGCACTCTGTCTTGGTGTCGCCTTCATGGGCATGGTGTAGATTTTCCTTTCCCTTAGCTGGATCCATCCTGGTTCGATCCTGTCCATTTCAACAAGAAAGAGATCGAAGAGGAGCACTCGCTTCCGTCCGGTCTCGCCAGCTGTCTTTACTATCAGTTCACCTTGCATGAATACAGTTCTGACACGAAGTTTTTTTTCGGCTCCTTTCGGATTATGGTGGTAGATATGACAGCGATTGCTTCTTCTTCTTCTTTTTTTCTTCATTAACTTTTCTTCTTCTGTTTATTTTTACTGTTCACTTTTTCTCTGATGGATATAAGATCTTAGCATGTTTGACTTGATTAGCAGATACAGCGACATCGCATTCTATTTCATTTAATACCACCACTTTTTTCTTTCACATTACCAAATATTTCCAATCCAACTATCCATAACAAATACCTATCTATCAGGAATATACACACTCTAGAGTACACTGGTCAGATTTGTAGGACGATCAGACAGATCTAAGTAAAGGTCGATCTTCGTGCCAAGCCCCGCACGTGCCCTGGTGCCGGGCCGACTCGTGACTGATTGTTTGTTTGGCTGTTTTGCCTTTCTGGGAACCATACTTGTCAGCCTGGTTATCATTGCATCTGAATGTTATCGCAACACTTGTGAACTGATATTGTCGAAATAATAAACCTTTCTGAGAAAGGCTTGAGACCCAGCCTACTCGCTGACTATTTTCTCTTCGCTGCAAGGATTTGCTTGTCGGAGAACTATCTCCTTCTCCATAGTCAAGAGTCAATTCTGGAAACACTCACAGAGTTGAGTGCTTCTATTCATCATGGTAAATATTCACCTTCTAGACTTTCAGAAAGGCCCTTTCTAACATTTCCTTTCCAGGTCCCCTCCAACGCCCCATTCAAACCCTCCCCGCTATCATTCGCCTCCCCCCGCGCGTCCCCCTTCCGTCGACCGTCAACGTCCAACTCCCCGCCCGCCGCGCAGACAGGCCGACCCAGCACCCCGGGAAGCTCCCCCAGCCGTGGCTACACCCCGGTGGTGTCCCCAAGCAAACTGAATCAATCATACACAGCCGCCGACGAGGATGGTTCGCCCAAGAGCAGGGATCCGATTCCCCAGCCGCGCTTCACTCGAGAGGTGTCCCCGTCGCCGACTCGGGGCGCTGCCGCCTCCCCCGACCGACCCGCCTCGAGCTTCTCGGGTGTTAGAACGCAGGGCATGATGGGGGGGAGGTCGTCTGATGCTGCCTCACGCTTGTCACCTGTGCAGTTGAGAGAGATTAGAGAGGCGTTTCAGGTTTTAGATCGAGATAATGATGGCTCTGTTGATAGGGAGGACGTCGCGGATGTGTTGTCTAATGTTGGTGCGTATTATCCTGTCTCCCCCCTCTTGGATACCGTGGTACAGATACTGACGGTACCGTGGATTCAGGTCAGGACCCATCTTCGCTCTCACAGTTCTTCCCCCCGGGTTCGCCGCAGACAATCAATTTCCCGACGTTCCTGAACATACTCTCCACGCTGCTGGATCCCCTTTCGTCGCGACAGGAGCTCGTCAATGCCTTGGCGGCGTTTGATGAGGACGATAGCGGTCAGATTGATGTGAATGAACTACGGGATGCGCTGCTTCATACGGCCCCCGAGGACGGCGAGCGGCCCCTCAGTGAGAGGGAGATTAACCAGGTCTTGAGTGGGTTCACCGGTCGCCGGGCGTTTGGGGCCAAGATGTCTGGAGGGTCGAAGAGGGGCGATGTTTTCAAATACCATGAATTCGTTGACGGGATCATGGGCGGTACGACTTCCAACGCAGCGTCCCAGGGACGAGCGCAATCTTAATAATGATGATGGTGGAATTTGGCGTTTTGGGCTGGAATTTCTGTATGCATAGATCGCTCTGGCAGCCACGATTCACGTATAATGAGACTTGAAGTATATTGTTGCTCCTGTTGCTGCTGGTTATGACACCGCCGGTCTAATAATAGTAAGAAGGTATAACCTTTACTAGGTGTATACTAAGCGACGCTGGGTGGAGCAAAAGCTGACTATCGCATGCATGAGACGGCCTGCAACCCATGACGCCTCAAGTGGGCGGGTCTGACGCAGGATAATTGGATCCGAGACAGTGGACTAGATCGGACTATTGAAATGGACTTGGCTGGGTAGCTGAGTACTGACTCGGGGGAACTCATCAGGGAACTCATCAGGGAACTCACCATCAGGGTTTCTTTTGGGTCGTCAGGATTCATTGATCATCTTGAATATGCCGTAGCAACAGATCTGCTGTCCCCGCATTCCTCCACCCGGCAGAAAAAAAAAGAAAAGAAGAGAAGACACTAAGAGTGACGACGACTGTCTATCATCTCACCAATTTTTTATCCTCTTTCTTCTCTTCTCTTCCTCGACAATATTCCTCTGGTTAACTTGGAAGATGGTTTGTTCTTGTGGTGGGCTCCGGCAGACATAATCTCCCCCCTCACTCTCCTTCCCCTCCCCTGAACAAACCACCAGCCAGCCCCGACCACGCTACCCAGCCACCCAACCAGCACCAGCATCAGCATCAGCACCCAAAAGTCGCTGCAAGGCGTCACGGCGACGCCCGCCGCCGCCGCCGTCGACGAACTACGAAAACGAGCACGACGACGACGACCATGTCGTCCTCCCAGCCCACCCAAGCCCAGCTAAACCTCGCCGCGCTCGCTCGTTCCCCATCACCACGAGCCATGCGAGGCCTTCGGAAGATTCAGTCCCACGGGGTCCTCTCCCCCAACTCTCCGCAGCCGCCGCTGCCGTCCGGGTTGAGCAGGACACCCTACACGTCACAGCCTTCTACCGCGCGCACGTCCGCGACCGCGGAGGAACTCACCCTGTTGGATTCCCCCGTGCGGTTACGGTCACATCGTCGCGCGCGATCGAATAGCGATGCCGGATCGCGCGAGTTTCCGGCTATTGGGACGCAGCGTCGCTCTAGGAAGACTGGCTCGGGGGTGGGAGTGAGGAAATCCGTGCTGGAGTCTTTGTTACGGGATGGTCCCGTGGGGGGGGATCTTCGTGAGGCGCTGCAGGAGCTGCGGTACTTGGTGTTGTCGACGCGCGTGGAAGCTGATGGCGATGGCATGGTATGGAATACTAGATCTTATTTCCCCTCCTGTATTTTCGCGTCGTGACGCGTCCCGCTGACCGGTTCTCTAGTCCACATATCGGGTCTACCTTTGGCTCGTCCTGTTGGATATCGCCCCCGTACCGACCGACAACTACCTCTCGCTCATTCACCGCGGCCGCTCCCCGGCTTATACGAAGATCCGCAACGATACCTTCCGCACCCTCGCCACCGATCCGCTGTTCAAACGCCGTGTCACGGAAGCCAGTCTGATTCGCCTGCTCAACGCGGTCGCGTGGACGTTCCACGACGAAAAGAGGAAGAAGCTGCGCTCCAAATCCCGCCCGTCGGCGCGTCGACGCGACATCGAGCTGCTTATCAACACGCCGCCCAGCATCGCCGAGGAGGAATCCGAACCGAGCGTCGCGACACCGAGTAGCAGCAGCGTCACGGGCCGCAGTGGCAGCAATATCACCATCGACTCCGCCATCTACGTGCAGGGCATGAACGTCCTGTGCGCGCCGTTCCTCTACGCCGCCCGCAGCGAGGTCGAGGCCTACGCGCTCTTCCATACCTTCGTCACCCGCGAATGCCCTGGCTACATCCGCGGCGCCATGGACGGCGTCCACCGTGGACTGCGCCTCGTCGATCGGTGCCTCGAAGTCATCGAGCCTAAGCTCGCGTCTTACCTGTTCTCCAAGGGCATGCACGCCGAACTCTACGCCTTCCCGTCCGTCCTGACCCTCTGCGCCTGTACCCCACCACTTCCCGAGGTTCTCCATCTCTGGGATTTTCTCTTCGCATACGGTCCCCATCTCAACATCCTTTGCATTGTCGCGCAGCTCATCCGCATGAGAGACACTATCCTCAACAGCCCAAGGTACGTACAGTACAGTACATACAGTACATACATCTCTTTGTCTTCCCCTCCGAAAAAACAAAAATCACCCCAGCAACGGAGCAGCCCCCACGATAAGCAAGAAAAGAGAAAAGAGCAAAAAACGAGCTATTTTCAAGCCCACGCGAAAAAAAAAAAAGAAGAAGAACCCCACAATCTACACCGACAGATCACCTCGACCCCTCACATCCACCTATCATATTCTGATATCTACCTTACCCTGGGATCCACCCACCAGCTTAATCCTTTAGTATACTCTGCTAACAAGACAATCAGTCCAAACAAAATCCTCCGCTCCTTCCCACCGCTCGACGCTAAAGAGATCATCGCTTTGACGGTGTTGATCGTCCGAAAGATTCCGGAACCGCTGTTCGCGGAGCTGATCGACCATGCTAAATAGTTGGCGAGACGTCATACTCATACCTTGAATGGCTACGTGCATCATTGTGTGGATAGACTAAAACTAAACTTATGGTTTGTCTGGTTCGGTTCGGGTGATTGCATAGTTGGTTTTCTTTCTTGCGGCACTTTTTTTTTTAACTTTTTTTTGACATGTATTATCTACTTCTGCATGATTACCCATTGTTGTTCTGTTCTGCTTTGTTTTGTTCTGCTTGCTGTGTTTCACCTTGCTTTCCCTGATCGTTCTATCTGTTTGCTTTGTTCTACCTTTTTCTGTCTGCTGTCTGATAAGGTTGTCTTTTTTTCTTTTCTTTTTTCATATTACCCAGTGGTCGGCGTTGCGAGTCCCTTGCCCTTTTTTGCCGTTACTTCCCCTTTGATACTATTGTTTTCTGATTCACTTGTTTGTGTCACTGCCAGCGCTGTACTATTTCCCCTTTCCCCTGGTTTCACTTGATTTTTTTAACCCTTATGCGATAAGATGAGATGAGATGAGACGACACAAGACAAAAAGGATGCGATGAGATGCGATGAATGAGAAAAGACGGATGATACAGATGAGGAGACGATACAGATGATGAAGATGAACTCCATGAATGACTGAACTGAAACCAGCCAGACTGCCTGGGAAAGAAAGACGAAAGACACGGGACTGTGCATAGCATGCGAAAAAAAAAAAAAAAAAAAACCGCCAAGTCCAGTCTAGTCTAGTCTCCCCAAATGATTTTTTTTCCCCTGATGAGTATGGATACGGATATGGATATAAATCGAATGATCATGAATATGAATAATGAATGGAAGTTGCGTTGTTAAGTTTAAACAAGTTTTATTCTTTCTTTTTATGGAAGTATACAGTATAGTGTAGACTTGGACAATAGCAATGACTACCCTTTAGACGTCCCACATAGCCAGTTAGATTAGATACGTACGTCATAAAGCTATACGAAAGGAGATGGAGTCAGAAGACTATACTGCCAAAGACATTGAATAGAGTCGATTTGGTTTAGTCCGGTCGGTTTGTACTCATGCTCTGGTATTCGAAGATCCACCCATAGATGACTGACTGGTATATGACTTAGGGCTGTGACTACTATAAGCGGACAATTTATAGAAAATAGGGTATAAACCAATGGTTTCATTGGCTAGCATGTCTTTGATCTTGACCATCTGACTAGAAACACCAATTGGCGAGTGGTAGGGTCTTGATATCCAGCATTTTTCAGCTTACTAGTATACTTCAAAAAGAGTGACTGAGAACTCAATGTGTAGATCTAGATTTACTTACTTGGCTTGGTATCTCTTCGTTTAGTCTTGAGTTCTTCCTCTTCACGCTATATACCTCTCTCCTGTATTCAATCAAAGCTCGGTAGAAACAACAGCAAAAGAAATGTGGAAAGAAAACAAAAAAAAATAAATACAGGACAAAAAACATCACCTACCCAATAACACTATCAAACAGCAAAACTTAGATACAGACCTATTCTGGCAGTGTTCTTCCTTCCGGGTACCAGTTAATAGGGGAGAAACAGAAAAAGAAACGGCTACTGATGCACTATATCAATAAAAGAGGTCAATTCGAATCAAGTCACCACTGTCCTCTGTCCCACCCCTGACCCGTTGATCACTAACGGTTGGCATCGATCGGTAGTGGACTTTTGCGGGGTCGGGACGCTGCGTGGTCTCTCGTTGTGATCTTGTGCCACGTCCTGAGGGACAATGACGTCCTGCGCGGGGATGGCCGTTTCGGTAGTTGAGGGACTGTTAGTGTGGACGGTACTGCTACTCACAGTGCTGCTGTTGCTGCTGTTGCTGGCACTGCTGGCGTTGCTGCAGTCTGACCTCGTGGAGCCGTGGGAGAAACTGTGCGCCAGATGGAGACTGCGGTCCATCTTGACGCGGATTTTGGCGCCCTTTAGGAACCCGTTGTTGAATAGAGCCACGGCGCGCTTGGCCTCCTCGCCGTGTCGGAACGTCACTCGCGCAAAACCCTTGCAGCGGCCGGAGTCGGCGTCAGTCGGCATCTCGCACTGGTCGATTGTCCCTGCCTCGCGGAGGAAGTCTCCCAGATCCTCGGTGTCCGTCGTCGCGCTGATGTTCTGAATGAAAATCGTCCGGCGGCCCCCACCTCCAGGATAGCGGCCAGGAGGCCCCGATGTGGCGGTGGGAGGTCGGCCTTGGTAGATAGGCGGAACTGGGTAGGCTGGGTACATGACTTTGGGAGGGAGCACGGGTGGAGCACCGATGTGGTTGCTATGCCCCCCACCGAAGCGAATTTGGTTCTCGGGAAGGCCTTGCGGGTGCAGCATGGGGGTTATGTGGTACGGAGGGAAGACGGTGAAGGTGACGGGGTCGCAGAAAGAATGCCGCATAGCCGGAGACGGCGGCATCCCTGCCATGGATTGCGACAGAGCATCGGCGAAAAGGGGCATAAAGGGTGGATGAGCGAAGCCCATGGGGTTGAGAACCGGGCCATATTCGGATGGCTGAAAGGTTGGGCTTCCGGACATAACAGGCCTTCTAGACAGGTTAGTTTTGCCACCGATAGCTTTTGCTGATCGTGGGAACGTACTCTGGAGACATGGGAGACGCAGGGACAGCCAGATTCTGCGCGATTCTCGGAGGAGTGGTGTGCCCTGCAACGTAGCTGGGCGGAATCACGCAGCGCGGGCTTTTGGTTGGGCCAGCGATCGGGCGAGTTGGGGAGCTGGTGCGAGCCAAGGTGACGACCAAACTTTGCCCTTCCCATCCGGTGGTGGATAGCCGGTCTAAAAACAGAGGTCCTATTAGCGAGTCGATTCTAGATCTCGGTCTGACCACACCGATACGTACGATAAGTCCGCCAGGCTTCGTCTTCGTTCTTCACGATGATCTGCCCCAGACCCGTGGGAAATCCATGTTGGTCATCGTATACGACTGCTTGTCTGATGTGCAGCGCAGTCTGACGGACCATGTCCTTGAGCTCTTGCCAACGACAGTGGGCTGGAATCTGCATTTTCAGTAAGACTTGTCATCTGGGAGGTGAAGGTGGATTTGATCGCACTTACCCCCTGTAGAAAGAGAACAAACTCTTCTTCGGATCCCCTATGCCTCGTTCCTCGTCCTCGCGCAGGGGAAGGCATGGTGTCTGCGGTGTGGAAGTAATGATAGCAATCCACCTCTGTTAAGCTAGAAAATCACTCGTGCCACGATCAAGAGCCACAGTAAAACCAAAGTCACGAGACCAATCCAACCTCCGATTGCAAGATTTCCGGTTCAGGTGGGCCTAACTGAAACTCCAAAAAATTGAGTACAGATATAATGATACCTCACTTGACTGTCAACATGATTGTTTTGAGAGGGCTTGATCTAGCTCTTACCTTGGGAATATTCTAGACAGGGTTGCAGTAGCGAAAGCTGCAGTCCGATCTCAAAGGAAGGAACAGATCTAGACAAGCGGGTGCACGATGGAAAAAAGAGATCCTAGGCCTTTTAAAAGAACGGGAAGAAGAAGCAGGCACAGAGAGAAGAAAGAGGCGAAGAAAAGGTAAAAGAAAACGACAGTCCAAACCGATCCGAATCGATCTGCTTCCGTCATCGAGACAGGTCCCACATCTGGCGCGAGACGGCTCAGAGGCAGCGGCAGGAGTCAGTAGTAGGTAGTAATGCAGAGGGACAGATAATCGACGAAAGCTGCTGATGCATCGGCTGACGAATAAGGGGCGAACCCTTGACGGTCTGTCAGAGCAGGACTGGGTCGGTTTCTGACGCCTGGGATGTGTCAATTTGTTGCCAGTCTACTGGAGTAATCGGAGTGGATGTGCGGAGCAGCCTGATATGTCATGCATCAGCTACGATCGCAGGGTGTGATGGATAAAACGGGAAAGAAAATAAAAATCTACATAAGAAAGGATCGCGAGAGAAGCGGGATTATGGAAAGACGAACAAAAAAAAAAAGGAAATAAAGAAGAGTGTGTGAGGGAGAAAGAGTACACCAAGCTCGTTCCTTACTTATCCCGTGGATCTGACTCGAGGCCCTGGAGTTGAATCCCCGAGCTTGACGGGCTGGCTGGATGGAAAGGGTTCGTTGTATGGAACGGACAAGGGATGGGATTAGTAGGGCACAGCCAGACTGTGTTACCACCCGAACAACGCATTCATTCCCTCCAGCTCTTTTCCCGTGCCCCTTGGCATCTGGCCGTTACACCGCTAGATCTCAGGGCAGCCACTCCAGCAATCGTTGGGGAAATCCGTCCTGATGGATCATCATTCGCTGCGTTAGCGATTCTGTTGGTCCTCCCGAATGGCATTGTCCAGGATGAAGACCACCTGTCTCCCTGAGATTGATGAATGAAGAGTCGGCCGGGAGGGGAGTCGGTTTCATTGAAGAGAAGAAAAAGAAGCAATCCATGCCCAGCGGTGATTGGAGGAGAGGCCTCGACTGTAATGTGAGAAATCGCGCGTGGTGGTTGCTTTTTCCTCTCTTGCCGTTGGAGGGAAAAAAAAAAATACCTAAATAGCTAGAAATAAATAGGTGTCATAACAAGGACCCCAGATTCGGTGGTGCTGGACCCAAGATGATTGACGTATCAAGTCTGATAAGCGGTATGCACCAGCGGGGCTTGACTCGGGGGAGGGACGATCAGTTTAGTACATATTATCCCATCACCCTCGCCTGGTTTGATGATGATCGTTCAATCCATTGTCGGGAGCCGGTTCCGACATCTGAGCAACCGAACCGATCCAGTTTGATCAGAACGAGTACCATGGGTGTTTGCAGCATGTCTTCGTGTCGTCGCGATCCGTGTTTCAAATGGAGCGGGGGAATCCTAGCATCACCCGGCATGTGAGGGATCAACTCCTCACTGGAGACACTGGGGATTATTGCCACGTCCGGTTCGTCTCTCAATCATCCTGGAAGATACTCCGAGTGGCACTCGCGGTGGGAGTGAGGCTCGAGTGAGGCCGTGGATAAAGAGGAGAGAAAGAGGGAAAGTAAAGTCCGGAGTCGAAGTCACAAGATGTCCAACTTAGTCATGCGCTGCATAATAACTTAATATCTTCATTCATCCATCGCCATCTCTGACCATCCAATGTCCATACTCCGTACAATCTCGATAAAACCAAAACTGACCGTCTCGAACCCGGACGCTACTAAAAATCGATAGTCGGTCGATCGATCGATAGCCCGAGCCACCTACCGTGGAACGGGTCCCAAAGCGCTGGAAAGATCTGCCACTAGCCTGGTGGAAGTTTTATCTCGAAGGCTGCGGCTGGTACTTATGTTCCTTGCTCTCGGAAATTCGCAGACCTATCTCGCGTCAACTATCATATTCGCAGACAGGATCATCCCGGGAATTTTGACGGTCTACTCCGATGCAATCTGAAAAATATTTACGAGACTGCCACGGTCATGAGTCGATCTGCTTCGTATCTGATCTGCCCGTATTCTGTCTGGCTGACAGGAGAGTACTACCAGGTATAACCAGATCAAGGAATAATCAATCGTTTCCGGTGGAGAATGTCTCGTGATGACAATAGTTCTAGCTACAGACAGATAGCTAGTGGGATAAGGAGTAAGAACTAAATATGCGAGTATACTCTGTTGATACTTAGCATAGTGACATACCACTACATTAATGATGGCAGTTATACGTTATTATATCACCGTCAAAGCAATCAAACGCTTATGATAATCAGTCTAATCATCGTTTCATGTTATATATCTCCGTAAAACGTAAAAAGATCAGGGTTACCTGGGAATATCGTAAGGATGATACATATTATGCATGTAATCATGTCTTATCAATGGCCGAGCATTGATAGCAGAATTGTCTGTTCTATAACCGAGTTTATCTGGTGCACTCCAGGCTCACGTTCGATCAATCCGAACCAACGCACGGTATGAGTCCTGGCCACTCTTAGGTCCTCACTCAGCATATCTCAAGACCGCCACGTCAAAACGTTGACCAACGTTTGGTATAGGGCTTAGCCTAACTAACATCCCAACAGCATACACACGTAGCAAGCGTGTGGCCCCTGACGTGGCCGAGCCGTGACCAGGTTCCATCTCTCATCCGTAAACAAGGAGAGCAGTATTCCCGAGTCGATTGATCCGCAGAAGAAATGTCCCAAGGTGCCTCTGCAGGCCATCATCATGATAAACTCGGCATAGGTTAAAGAATAAGTATGCTCACCTATATTGTAGATTTCGCTATGCTCATACGCCTTTCAACTTTTACATATTTTCTTTTCTTTGGTTGAATCGTAGAGTATATTCGAGCCTGAATTCTACTATAGAGTCCGTGGCGAGTCTCCTCCTACGCCGATCTTTCACCGAGGCACGACCCGCTTTTGATGTATGAGGGTAAGGTATGCTCCACTCACAAGAGAGACGCCAACTTATGCTGAAATATAACGCTTTGTGGCTATATACGCCCTCTAAGAGTTTGTCACGCTGAGTCCCAGTTTGCTTACGAAGACCAAAAGTGTCATTATATCTTTGGTGAACGCGTGATATTTCCGTGCAACATTTCGTTATCTGCGAGTTGCTGGCCAGATTGAGGGTACAAATTCTGATTTCAGGGTAAGTCTCATGGCGTGACCAGGATAAATATTCCCTTTGAAAGTTCAATTGCATAATGCCATTGTATAATCCGGCCATTGTATAATCCGCTGTTAGCATTACAATAAACCCACTTCAATTACTTTGGATAGTCCGGAGACTCCGGGTGGATGATGGGAGAGCATCAGGTCCTCGGCAAATAGAATGACATAGGTCCATTCAGATCCATCGCGATAGACAGTTGAAGCATTTAACTCTCGTGGAGCCCCTGCAACAATTGAAAGACGTCATGATGTCCTCTCTCCTTGACACTCGACAACACCCCACTAAACCACTCGCTCTCAAGGTCAAAATGCACATTTTCGTGTCCGATCAATAAGCGCACGGTGCCAGGGTGTCCACCAAGTGCAGCACTGGACAGAGGTGTGTTGCTATCATGGCCAGCCCGGTTTGGGTTTACATCGGGATGGATTAGCAGCAGCTGAACCACGCCATCGTGTCCATTGACTGCAGCTGCCATGAGAGGGGTTTGACCGGTGGTATCAGGCGAGTCTGCCTCGGCGCCTTTTCCTAAGAAGTCGAGCAATTTCCTCATGCCCTCCATGAGCAGTAGACTAACAACGTCAGCGTGTCCATTCTGCGCTGCAATATGTAGAGATCTTTGACACTGGTGTCTGGTATTCAAGCTGACATTCTCCTGCTGGAGCAGAAGCTGGATAACTTCCTTATGTCCCAATGCTGCAGCTGCTTGCAATCAACTTCCAAATTGCCCGTAGGGCCCAATATTCCGGTTCTGCAGCTTGTCTGTGTTCAAAAGTAGCCTTACAACTTTTTCAGAGCCTCTGTATGCTGCGAGTTGCAACGCATCACCGTAAGCACCTTCTAATTGATAAATAACTACCCCATTATCAATCGAAAATCTTGCCAGAGGCTCGTGATCATTGTATGCGGCGGCGTACAATGCACTTCCCGGAAGACCGTGGTTTTCGGCAATCTTTTTGTAATTTGACTTATCCATGCAGACAGTGGTTAGTCCCAACCATGCAGCCACGACCATCAGGAAGTCACCCTTCAAGATAAAAAAGGCGTCATTGTCACTGTTCGTGGCCGTCAGGCTCTTCAGAACCCATTCCCGACCATTGCGCAGAGTCAGAGCGACACTTATCGCCCGCCGGCAACTATCACCAGTGACGTGGTAGTTCGGATTGACAGTTATACCCGGCAACGCCGTTAGTTGAGAGACAATTTCTACAAACTGGAAGTTGCTGGCTGTATCCTGGTTCATCCATTCAAGGAGGAGCCGCGATATGAGGCGGTCTCCTGCGTAGGATGGAACGGTAGTGATGTGGAGAAGGCTTGATATGATAATTTCCTCAAGATTTCCTGGAAACAAGAGTTTCAGTATCAAGCTGCTAGATTAACGTGAGAGTAAAACAGCACTCACGGCAGACACGTCTCAGGCACAAGATATCCACGAAATCCAAGCATCTGAACGTGAGGCATAGAACCTCCACGTTGAGATCTTGGAAGCCCATCTTGTATCCTCTTGTAGTTTGTGCCAGTCTGGTGGGTTCTATAACAACCTGGGCTGTGAAACAGAATAGATAAGACGATTCATTCAAAGATGCTTCGAGCGGACACGTACAGGGGCAGGCGGCTTAATGAAGCGCTTTCTGTATCGGTGCAAGCCACATAGTCATCCTTAAATCACACCACGCACGGAACGCCGGGATTTGACGAGTTGCATAGTAGCCTTCGGGTGATGATCTGCCACTTTCCAATTCAATTTGTTCATGTAGCCAGTGATTGCCTAGGTAAGAAATACAAATGGTGTAAGTGACTGCAATCGGTTGGCATGTCAGCTGACCTGCCAGGCGTTTCCCACACTATCTTATCATCTATGTTTCAATCATTCTTACAAAGTTCTACAACCTCCACATAGAGGGAATATCATCTGACGAGTTTTCATCGTGTATTTCCACACAGATATGATGTCGTTGAATGGGAGACCTTGGCAGAAACCCACCGTAGCGGTTACAGCAAAGCTTACCCGCACGTCGATCTCTCAACAATCAACGATCCACTGAGATCCTTGTCAAAAGTTGAACCCCTTTTGGGTTAGTGGTTATAGTGAATATTTGGATGGAATGATCTGATTGATTTAATCTACTGTCTTAATATGAAACCGACTTCTTTTCTACTCGAGAAAATTCGTAAACTAGGCTGCAGACAATGTCCTTTGGTCTCCATAGACTATAACTAAAACTAGTCAGTGGGTCAGGTAAGGCTGTGTACCTTATCGATAGCCCATTTGTGAGACATTTATAATTTATCCATTGATGATACATATACATTCGATATTGACAACCCAACGTCGTTGATAGATGATACACGGTAGTCCAACCAGCACCAACTAAATCCAGATATCAAACAGTGACCACAACAACCAGCAGAACCAACCATCTAATTATCTGCCTACAAACAACACTCAATTCCTATACTACCTACCACAACCCCAAAACCGTGAACCACCCAAAAGAACCCCAATATAGTAGGCCGTATCTCCGGTCGATCCCCACCCACCCGTTCCCCAACCCACGGTTCTAGACCCAGACCGCATCCAAAGTTCAACACACCCTCCGTTTCCGGTCTTACTATACTATCGACTCGATAGTATCGATCATATAATGTATAGTGTAGTATAGTGTATATAGAGTGTGGGGGTATCTATCCGGTGGGGCTTTATCCATTCATGTAGGACATAGGGGGAGTGGGGGGTGGATACTGGGTATAGGATGCGGTGGGCCTGTTCATATAGATACATATTGCCTACCTAGGTACTATAGTTGGCTTTGAGGTGATGGTTTGTGTGGTGGGGAGGGAAAGGAAAGGAGGGTCTTGGCTGATCACGTAATGGGTCGGTCTAGATGGGCTGAAACTTTGATGGATGGATGGATGGATGTTCGGGTGGATGGTAGGTTTGGTTTGGTTAGGTTAGGTACCTGTGGATTGGATTGGATTGGATCGACAGATTGGCATTGGCGCAGGTGTAGTTGTTGTCGTCGAATGAAGTCGCTCGCTGGTCGGGGTCTACTTTGTACCGTTGAAATTACGGTAGGACCATTTGATCATTGATCAAGATTGTATTGAATTGTATTCCGCCGGCTAAGCCAGGCAGTGGTTATATCACATGGTTGTTGGGGGACTCCGACAATGCTTCCCAGTCACAAACAAGTCTGGGTATCTGGGTAATGGCAACAGCGTAGCTAAATCGAAGACAGCAGTAATATATGGATACACTTCCAAGGTCGCTGCATGCATCACAGCGCTAAAGGACAAAAAAAAAAGAAAAGAAAAAAAAAAAAAACAATGCTATGCTGGCCTATTTCCACATGCACAGATCTAAGCGAGTGAAAATCATCATGCAGGGTATCTCAAAACGAACAAAAAAAAGACAGCTTCTATCGAGGATGCGTCGAAGTCGCACAGGTAGTGGTTCACAGTGGATAGGTATCAACGCGGATGCGAGCTAGAAAAAAGGGTGATCAGGCTGTTTGATCGACCGTTATTGCGCATTGTGTCCCGCTGATCCTTCCATCCCACCGCCTCGTCGGAGCTCGGGCACAGCGATCGATTTTTCAATGTCGGTCGGGCGCCATTGGGCAGAGGCGAGGGGGGGTCGGTGGAACCGGTCCTTCTCCGAGGGGACAGAAGTCCGCTACTCGACGATTCAGAGGAATCAACTGCGCCAGCACAGTGGAGTCTGGGGGGTCTCCCGCACATAGGAGACGGTATTTGAGCGAGTGGCCAAAAAAAAGGAAGAATGAAAAACACCAAAGAACCAAGACGTCAAGACTGGCTGATTCTTGTTTCGTAAGAACGATCGCAAATGGTATATAGCGAAGGTGATGACGAGGGGCGAATTCACGATGATGTTGTTTTCTTCTTTTCTTGTAGGTTTGGGGTTGTTATTGTTTTGGAAGGATTCGCTTCAGCGAACGAAGCCGACCATAGAGGCGCAGCGACTGCAGTAATAGGAATTCATTCCGAAACGAACCACGCCTGGGGAGGACTCATTTTCCAGACACAGCGAGCGCTGGCATCGCGAGCAGCGGACGATGTCGAACGACATGGAGTCGGGCGGGGAATCCGGCGATGGATGGGAGGAAACGCCCTTGGTGGTGTTGGGTTGTGGCTGGACTTGGAGCGAGGGAGAGCTCATGGTGTCGACAATAGGAGAGATCGAAACCACTTCGCGCGGCAACCCAGGTCGCCGTTCAAATAGTGCGACCAGGTCGATTTGGGGGTGTGGTCTGATTCTGAAACTTTCCGGATCGCAGGTGCGTTGATGCCGAATGTCGAAGGGAGGAAGAGAAACGGGAGGAAAATCGAGGAGGGAAAATATCGAGCCAAAAGTATAATCGACTACTGAAACAGGTAGTGATTAAAAAAAAAAAAAAACAAGGCTGAGTCAAGCCACCGTCAATGGATATCCACGAGGTTCAGAGCAGAAGACCAATAATGTTCGTAGGATGTTTAGGCAGGAAAGGATCCGAGCACAAGGATGAGTTTAGAGTGTGATGGGATTGAAACAGGGAAGAGAGAGCGAAGAGGGAAAGGTTGGAGGAGAGAGAGGGGGAGTTTTAAGATGAAGATACAGAAAGAGCAGAGCTGTGGATGGAGATGGAAGAGTCAACAATGAAATGATTCGAACCATTCAAAACCGGGAAATCATTCGAATGAAATAGAGAAATCATAAAATAATCGTGGAGTAGGGAAATAAAAATGAAATCATAAAATAAATAATAAGATAGAAAACAATAGACCATAATAATGGAGGTAAATAAATAATAAAAAGAATTAAATCAAATCAAATAATCAAATAATCAAGAAAAGAAATTAAATCGAACAATTAACCTGTTTTCTTCTCGCAAGGATTAATGAATGAGCTGTCGCCAAGGAGAGCAGAGTGGTTGCAGCAACAGATCGATCCACTTTTCCTTTCCCCCCTCTCTCCTTCGTCGTGATTAGTGGGAAGGCCGGATAACACCACGAGGGGAGGATAATGATGATCAGGAGACAGGATGGGACAAGATGGGGGCGATGCGAGAGATATCTGGGGCCCATCTAAGGAATGCTAATGTCAATCATTAAGCTGATACTCCGCAGGAGGTTTCCGCATCGGCATGGGGGGTTTCAGGATCAGGATTTCCACAGGGAAGATTGGCGCGTGTTTCTCCCCCCCAAGGCTGAAGGTGTCAGTCAACTGGAGGGTCAGGGAGAGGACGATCTGCCATGGAGATCCTCTCTAGGACCAGAGGATGGAGGGAGGAGGGATAGGAGAGGTAGGCAGAAGGACGATCAAACTCCGATCTGTGGTCTGTGGGATTTATATGACAGTATACAGAGGTCCTGTCCACCGTTGAGGGTCGACAACAGAGTGTGAAATCAATAAGCTCCTATTGTTGATGGTGACAACCATGGTACGAGTTGACTACCACTCTAGTCATTGTAATGAAGACTCTGGGTATGATTACATGGAAGGCGGATGGAATCCCATGCGGCATCGGCCATCGCTATCCCAGCGCCCCAATCAGGCTTGGTTCCATACATTCCTCCCCGACGAGCGCCAGTAGTCTCCGTCAATCGACTCGTGGAGACTAAAGACAATGTGGTTGCCTCCTTATCTCGAGGTCAGTCATTGTCGTCATGGACTTCATGCCTAGCTTGGGCGAACGGATTGCAAATGATCGACTGGGATGGTTCGAACGTCTAGGCCGATCATCTTTCGTTAACTGGTCCCCCAGGAACACCGTGAATGGGTGAGTTTAATTATCATGAACAACTTTGAAACGGAGACCACCAATCCTCGAGCTCGCCCATTCCTCCCCCCTTTTTTTGCACTTCGCGATGGGGTTAGGATTCCCCAATTGGAGTGTCAATCAAACAAGTCATGCCGATATGTCCTCGTTATTCGTGGGCTGGCCTCCCTTCTCCCGCTTCCTTCGCCCCCCCACCCTGGTTTCCGCAAACGGGTTTGTCTCGGGTTGTCTCATGGTGCTGGATCTTCCCGTTTGGAGGACCGCTGACTTTCCCCCAATGCCGACGCCCATTGGGTACCGAGTACCAATTTCTGGTGCGAACCACCAGTCCAGTGGAGCCCGTGGCGCTGGGCGAACCATGAGCATATTCGGCCTGTCCCCGAATTGCAAAGAGCTCATTCGATGATCAGTCACAGCTGTTCAATTGATAGGTGGAATGGATATATCGATCTATTCTCCAAGCAATTAGCAAACCAAAGAGCATCGACCGATGTGCCTCGTGGGAAAGATGACTAACTACTAGCTAGCTAGCTAGACTCATAGCACAGACTAACCAACCTAACAGTGACTACTAGACTAGTCCAACCAAGAACGAAGGTCCCATAATCCATAGTCTGCTGCTTTCTCCACCCCGATTGTTTCAGGATTGCGCCGTGACATGATTTGCAGAGAGACCAAGAATGCTCATTCCACCAACCCTATCCCTTTTTTTTTGAACCCCCCCAATGAGTCCAACGGGCGGAGACATTTTCCCTGGGAGCTTGGAGCTAAGGTCGGTAGGTTCTTTGACTAGGGAGTAGTCGGAGCCGGAGGTCCTCGGCAGGACGATCCATGATAGGGAATAGGGATATAGGGGCAATCACCTCCGTACACATTCCTAATTTCCTGTGTTGTTAACTGTAGATAGCGCTTCAGTTCTGCAGTACACCTATATCGTTCTTATTATATTTATTATTTTCTAGGTTAATATATATAAATTAATCCTTCTCACTACATATGAACCTTGCAATCCTAAGATCCGTAGATAAGTTAGTCTTGGCGGATGGTCTGACCATCATGACTGGCGCCAGGCTAATAAATCACCTGCAGGACGAACAACGAACGAGTCCTCTTTAACAACCCTTCTAGGTTTAGACCCAAAAAAAATGAAGATTAGATTGAAAAAAAAAAATAAAATAAAATAAAATTTTAACAAACGATCAATCATCACAAGGAGAGAAATGAATCTACCATGGCAAACAAGACCGGACTATCGGTTTTAGTTGGGAGCTAACTGAGGAATTCCCCAGCATGGTTAGAGTTTCTGTTCACCTACATTTCCCTAGGCGGTAATAGATGATAGACCTCCGGAGTATCCGTACTACCTGCGTAGGTAGATAGATAAGTGGTAGTGTCTGGTAGTGACCATAGTGTTTGTCCCCCCTGGCCTGTTCATGCGGAGGACTCTCATCCAGGGGAAATCATGTCGAGTCAGGTTATCTACTAGTTTGTAGGTCGAGATGGTTACTGTTTTCTTTCCTATCTATTCCTGAACATGATCGTGACTATCATTATCATCCGCCCCTTTTCCATACATACACCTTGAGAATTGAAATATAATCATAATTATCTACAATAAACATGACTAAGGATAATAAGGCAAACGGCAACTCGAGTCTGATGCGCCTTATATGTACGGAGTAGACACGCACATGGATTTCGTACCTGGAGATATCATTCTGTATCTGCACACCTATCCACGTGATGCACAATCCAATGTCGGACAGCATCAAAAACCAATCGATCCCTCTCTTTTTTTCCTTTTTCTCCCCCTTCCCCAGCTTTTCCCCAATCCACATTCCCTGCGCCCCGATCCTCTCTCCCCCTTGCGTTTTTGTCCAGCGGACACGGTGCATCCTATCTTACATACTGTACTGCACATCGCTATCTTAGTCTTGACGACGTGGATGGAAAGATCAATCACCTGACTGGGCTCAATCCCAGAATGGAGGTCTGATCAACACGTCAATCAGACGGACTAGAAATGCACTCCCGATCGATATCTTCATCCCACAGGAGTGATGTCACATTGATGATGTGATGGAAGATGAATAGAATGTCTTTACGGAATACAACAACGATAACAAGATATGCATCCCAAGACTCAGCCACCAAAACCCTGGCAATCATATGCGCCATCCATGCCATCTGCACTCCCCATACCTAAGCGACACCCCATATACGGAGTGCATACATGCATACTCGTGTAGGTAGGCGTGTAATCAACTGTACCTCAATAGGGACACTGATAGTATGGGATATATGTACTCCGCGCATTCCCCATGCCTCCGCATCACATGTATCACCATGCAGCCATGCTATATGATAGTGCCTGAAGTTAACTATTTCCATTTCGGCCGGCGTCTATTTTCTCCCCCCCTCCCCGCTCTCCCTCCCCCGCTAGTCACTACGGCCTATCCGCTCTGCGAGCGAGCGCGTAAGCTAAAAGGGAAAAGGAAAAGCGAAACTGGGGACCTCTGCAGAATGGTGTAATTGTGCGTGAAGTGCGCGGTCCGCGCCTCTACCGTACATAAGTTTGACAGCGGTCATCCTGCACGAGGCCAAATCGGTCGATGGTGTATCCCCGCTAGGAATGGTCTCATCGGAGTTGGCGACGAGAAGGGGGAAGCGAGTGAGTGATTTCTATGTTAGGCTTGAGGGTTTTTACTTTTTTCCTTGGCTTATCAGTCTTTATTTTATTTTTTTTATTCTTTAGTTCGCGTTTTTATTTCTTAACTTGATTTTTGAAGCGACGGAATCAAACAGAATAATTATTTAATTCAATTCAATTCGTGCAACTGATCTCCAGTAACTAGGTAACTAATAATTGTGGACATTTCAGTGACATCATCGCACATACAATAATCTTCCCTCTCCAGTCAGTCCGCTCCCTTGTGCACGAGCTTTACTATAGTTATGCGATGCCGGGGCAATAATACAAAGTGCTATGATTATTCCATTCCGCAGAGGAAGTCGGTTTCGGCCGACGTAGAAATCTCACTTATCTCAGGCATCGTCAAATATGTGCCGCCCGGATGGAATGCTGGTTATCAGCGCTTATTTTGTCCCCTGTTACATACCTCGCTGTCGGCGTGTCCGTGTCCCCCATTCCTTGGGCAGAGAGAAGAAATGATAACGTCATAACCTCCACCGGCAGAGAATGACGACAGGTTGCCGAGGGAGGTGGGATTCTGACATTCACTGCTCGTGTGATGGCTTTCGTTGATGAATTGGCTTGGGGACATTACTGATTATTGAAGTTCTAGGTTGACCTTGTTTTGAGGATTGAATTGAAATTCCAAACTAGAAAGAAGGATGGAAGGATGAAGAGGCAGAAATTGAAGGCAGATTGAAGGGATGCGGCAGGAACGGGCAGAAGAAAGTAGCCCCGCCGACCCCGCCGGCTCCAAGCTCCGATAGCAACTTGGTACTGCGACTGCGACTGCTGCCACTTTACCTACCTCACTCACCGTACTCACTACTTTCTCTTCCCTCGCTACCTTTATCTACCAACTGACATCTCAACGATACACAAGAAATAACCACCCGATTAAAGAATCGAAACAAGAAAACCACGATATCCGTCCTATCTCCCCCCGATTTCAATATGGCGAGTCCCGCTCCCAACCTCTACAGTTTCTCCGACAATGACGCCCTGGCCCAACAATTACGGCCCTACGTCCTTCGGTGCCAGAACACGGCCCTGACTCGACACACCAGCTTCCGCGTCGCCGTCTCAGGCGGATCTCTCCCGACCGTTCTGGCGAAAGCCCTCCTGGCTCCCGGGGACGGAACCCCCGAGGACACACCGCAGTTCGACAAGTGGGACGTCTTTTTCGCGGACGAGCGCGCCGTACCCCTCGACCACGAAGACAGCAACTACCGCCTCTTGAAGGACGAACTGGTGGACAAGATCCCCTCGCAGCTGGGCAAGCCGCGCGTGCACGCCATCGACGCCAACCACGTCAACGACGACGACCCGCAGGAGCTGGCCGACCTGTACCAGGAGGAGCTGATGCACATCTTCGCCGCCAAGGACAGCGTCAAGCTGCCTGTTTTCGACCTCATCCTGCTGGGCTGCGGCCCCGACGGTCACACCTGCAGTTTGTTCCCTGGCCATGAGCTTCTGCGCGAAAAGGACGCTTGGGTCGCTGCTGAGTCCAACTCCCCTAAGCCCCCGCCTAAGCGCATCACCTTGACTTTGCCGGTTGTTACCCACGCCATCCAAATCGCTTTCGTCGCTACCGGTGCCGGGAAGAAGGAGATCATGAAGCAGATCTTTGACGCTGGGGAGGATGGAAACTTGCCCGCTGCCCTGGTGAACCAGGGGGCAGGGGACAAGGTCAGCTGGTTTACCGATCACGCAGCTGTGGACGGGGTTTCCTTCCCCCGGCGTGGGAGTCTGTAAGTTGGGGTGACTGGTGGCTTGGGTGTTCTAGTTTTGGTGCCATCCCTGGAAATTGGTTGCACTTGCTATGATGTGGTTTGGCCATTATCTGGCGGAATGAAAAATCCGAGCATCGATCATCCGACAAATAAAATAAGAAACTCATTAGAAAAAGAAGAAAGAAAGAAAATCAGAGGAAAGATTGGGGGCAAAGGAAAACAAGCCAGGCTGCGATGTTTCCTGCGGAGTATGAGGTCCTCTGTTGTGTTCATGCTTTTTTTCCCCTTTCTTCTTACTTTAGCTTAGTTTTGTGTTTCCTTTGCCAGCGTCCTCTGTGGCAGATTTGATTCCTGTCTGATGTGACCTTATGTGTAAAAGTGTTGCTGCTGTCTATTATTGATATCACAGACCGTTTCATAATGGAGTAATGATCATTTCGCAATGCTACCCAACATAAAACCAAAAGGATAGACCAGATGCTCTGTATGGTTCTTAAAAGCCATCCATCTGCGTCAGAGGATATAACTACCTTCTAATAAGAAAGATGAGTTCTTTGTCTGAATGCCGGACGATCTTCCCCCGTACGCCAAGAAGGTTGAGTTGGGACTGACCGCCCAATGATTCGATCTCCATCCATCCCTCCCTGTTTGTTGTCCCTCCTCTGCTTCCCAAGTTTCTACTCGACGACTCGGAGTCCGGTCGAATCACTCTTGAATCTTGATTTTGAAGCTCAGCTTGGGTTGGACACAAGCTGCAATACAAGAGAATCCATCATGCCGATCCCCACCCGCACAGTCTCGGTTCGCAAGCAGGTCAGTGGCCCCAATTAATTAATTAACCTACTTGTTGTCTACTTGTACGACCTACCTTACTACCTATGATAACACCCCTCCTTTCTTAGCTTCTCCGGTGAGAAGATTCCCTTGTGTTCACTCGCGCATCTCATGGATTATTTCAGTGGCTGACAACTCCCCGAAAGCCCTCCACTGTAGGACGCACCACGACAGCCACGGCCACTTCGACAGCAGCAGTTAGCAAAGAAAATGCCCCCAACCGCCCGAATAAGAGCCTCCTCCCTGTTCGCGATGAAGTACGTCCCTCGGGCATCGCGCGGCCACAGAAGCTGGAAGCGAGCCGGCCTGTCCAGCGAAGTATCAAGCCCCCCAGCAAGAGCTCGGTGTCTCTCCCACAGCGACAAGATTCGCGACCCCAGTCTTCGTCGTCGGAATCCACCACCACCACCACCACCACCACCACCACGGCAGCGCCGGTCGCTCGCCGCCAGAGCCTAGTCCGTCCGAGTCCGCTGAAGAGCATCAGACCGCTACAGCCACCGCCAGCTAATTCGGCGACGACCCCCAGACGGACGACCCCCGCAGTCGGCCCCCCGTCGCCCTCCAAACAAAATGCCCGCCCTATCTCCCCGCGGAAGCCTTCCTCCAAGAACGACATGCTTCCTCCTCCGCGCCCGACACGGTCGGCGTCCCTCCGGCAACCGGCGAGCTCGAGCGCGGGCGCTGGCGCTCCGACCGCAGCACGGAGCCACGTCCGACACCGCAGTCAGGTGCTAGCACCGACCTCGACCCAGACCGCTCGGAAACTGGAGCCCCCATCCCCAACGACAGCAGCGCCCCGTTCGCGGACGCAGTTTTCGACCTATCAACAGCATTTCTCGCCCAAGAAGGCCACCCGACCCCCGCCTGCCGCAGCCCCACCCCCACCGTCAGCCTCGGGCCCTGCTCTCGATCCCTCGCTGATTCTTCCGTCGTCTGCGCCGGAGCTGGCAGCGCTCCAAACAGAGTTGCTCCAGCTGAACCTTCTCCACCTGTGCTCAACGCGCCAGGACGCAGAGTGGAAAGCCGACGCAGAGACGCACCTCCGGAGCAAATACGACGCGGTCGCAAAGAGCTATCGAGTAATCGTGGGACAAGAGAAGGACCACCAGCGGCAGATCAACGGGCAAGCCCTCCAGCACTGGGTGCAAAACTGCCAGGAACACAACGGGCACCAAGGGTTCGCAGAGCAGATCCAGGTGCTGTCGCAGGTTGCGCAGGAAGTGTGTGATCTGACGGAGAGTCCGGGCAGCCGATACCCGCGCATTGTGCAGGACTTCGAAGAGTGGTTTCTACAAGCGGAGGAGATCCAGGACTACCGGGCCCACCCGCCGCCGCCTGGCGATCCTGCTCCGGCGGCAGTATTCATCGACCCGCTGGACGGCGCATGGAAGGAGTCCGCCCACGCGCTGGGGTTGAAGCTGGAGCACTGCCTGCGACAACTACAGAGTCTCGATATCCTCGGCTACGGGGCGATAGAGGAGCAGCTGGAGCAGTCTGCGCTGGTGCGGACAGCCCGGCGGCTGGACGAGATGATCGCGATGATGGTGGAGGAGCTCACGGTGATTCGTCGTATTGAAAGCGACGTCGTCAAATCGGAGCGTCGGTGGGTGAGCGAGCTGGCGCAACAGCTGACTGCTGCGCCGACACCACCGACCGAACGAGGGCCGAGATGCGGGGTGTGGAGTCGGGCGTATTGAATTTATGGTCTTTTTTTTTTCTTTTTTTTTTCGGGGTTTGGATGGACAACAAGCCAATCCAGGCACATAGGTAATGTGTCACGTCTATGAATAATGAACGAATAATGGAATTTGAAGAAACCGCACCCCTACGACTATCATGGAAGAGTGCTACATGCAACAGGTCTTCTATCCAGTAGTGTAATCCACCAGCCAGTCAACCCGTGCGATTGACCCCCAGTCATCAAGGAGCAAGGAAGTATTGGAAATAAAAAACCTGTCCCCTGTCAGCTCTCCGACGAGTAATCCGGTTTCCCTCGACGTGGATGGCTCTCAAGTCTATTAGTGTCGCATCGCGAACCGGTTTTCCTGCGCGGGATTGAACCCCACCTCGTCTGCCTTATCAATTTCATTTGCCTTTGGTTTTTCATTTTACCTTTTCTGTTTTCATCCTCGTCTCATCCTGTTATATCCTCGCATATCGTGAGCCCACGGTTAATCCCTCAGAGATAACTTGTGAACAGGTTAGAAACAGTATGGAAACAGGATAGAAACAAACGCACAGACAAACCAAGCCTGATCTATAACCGGTTTTCTTGTGTCCCGACCTGATTGAATCCCGACCTCAAACAGATGGACAAATCATTACCTTACCTCTTACTTCGGCCGAAACTAGACGGATGATAGGTTACTAGGTAGGTAGGATTGGCTGAAGGGAATCCTTCCACCTACGATCACCTTTTCCCTTTCTCTTCTCCATTCTTTTTTCTTTCTTTTTTGTTTTTAAGCTTTGGTATTGGGATTAGTTGGTATGGCTGTGGTATCACTGTCACTGTTAGGGATATCATCAGTCTCGATGGTGAACGTAAGTTAAGTAAAAGATGGCTTGGAGGAGAGTTGACTCTGGGTTAGTCGTGCGGTTCCAATGTTGGAGAAGCTTGTATCAAGTTTATATACAGGTACGTATATAAATATTATATATAGACAGATGAAATGAAGTTCATGATAGCAAAACAAAACCAATCAATTAATCAATGAAAAATATCAAGTCAGGTACCTAGATAATACACTGGGTAGATACCTACTAGTTACATATACAAGCTGGTAAGCTACCTAGTGACTAGGTACTCGACAGCCAAACAGGAACCGGGATGAGAGACCTGAAAGTGGAGAGTGCTGCACTGATACTGTTTTGTATATTCATACACCGTATTCTTTATCATATAGTAAGGTCCTCCAGTATGATATGGACCAGAGCTCAATTCCCATGTGGAGAACCAGCCAATGGTGACATTCCTTTAGATCCACCATGAGGTCATCTGCAGTTTGACATTTGCTTCGTTGGGATTAACCTTGGTCGGTCTCCACTTTACATATATATAGCTTGGAGGACAGTTATGAATTGTCTGTGGGAGTTGTATAGTATAGATGAATGGTTTTATTCGGTTGATTGATCTACATTATTCTTTCTTTGATTGATATATGGATAACGATCTATATAGATATATCGATGTATGGAGATTGAGGGAATGTCCACCACTATAAATCGATGACTTCATGAGTTCTGCTCGGTTCTGGGCCGGTCGATCTGGTGATGCTCTTGTCCATTGAAAGATCCAATCAATCTACTATAGAATAGAATAGAATACACTATATAATTTAGGATAGTACAGATAGAATATATATCTCTATTTATCTATCTAAGGGGATATAGACAAGTGTAGGTAGATATTAAGCAAGAGATAAAAAGGATAAGGTACTATCAGTTACCGAACCATACACCCTTCGGCAGGGAAAAGTGTGCCTGTATCATACCGGCCCCGGATCAATACCGGTTCCAAACCGTCATTTTCCTCTGTTCTGGTACCTCTCCTCATATCTTTCTCTTCTCATCTCTCTCTCTCTCTTTCTCTTCTTCTCTTTCTTATTTTCTCCTTCATCCTTCATTCCTGCATCTTCACTCTTAAATCTTCATTCCTACATCTTCCTTACATTATACGTCCTGTCATACTGTCATCCTGTCATCCTGTCATCCTGTCCTCCCGCCTCACATCAAACCCCACCGACCACTCTCATATTGCGATCCGCCTTGCGCCGCACGTCGATCCCCACTCAATTTCTCCCACTCTCCGCCTCGCCATGATCTAGTCTCGTTCCTTTTTACCTTACCCCCCGGTCAGCCTCTGCCCATCATGAAAAATCATTCGATCTCCCTATACGATCGCATCTGGCGTCGAGAGGCCGGCGATGCCTCCCCCTCGGCTAGTATCCGGGGCCTCTATGGTTCCAAGGAATGGATCGACAATTTAGACATCGTCAACGAGCTCGGTGGACACACTGGCTGTGTCAACGCGCTCTCGTACGTCTCGTCTCAATTCTTTTTCTGATTTTCTCCATATCTGACCATGACAGATGGTCGCGATCGGGTCAACTGCTGGCCTCGGGCTCCGATGATCATAACCTCAACATCTACTCCTACCAGCCCGACTCGTCCACCGCCCCATTCGCCCTCAACACCACCGTCTTCACCGGTCACCGCGCCAACATCTTCTCCGTCAAGTTCATGCCTCACTCCAATGACCGCACCGTGGTCACCTGCGCCGGCGACTCCCAAGTCCGCGTCTTTGACATCGAACACGCCGCCGCCAACCGCGACGTCGCCGCCACCTCCGCCCTCTCTGCCTCCGCCCGCAGTCAGAACTTCAACAACTTCTTCACCAACACCCGCTACCTGAGCGAGGGCAACACAAACGTCCGCGTCTATCGCAGCCATGCCGACCGTGTCAAGCGCATCGTCACCGAGTCCTCCCCCCACCTCTTCCTGACCTGCTCCGAGGACGGCGAGGTGCGCCAGTGGGACCTGCGCCAGCCCTCCTCCGCCTACCCCAAGCCCCGCGGCGGCCAGGGCTTCATGGCCTATCGCCCCGGCTTGGTCCACGACGACTCCAACGTTCCGCCCCCCTTGATCTCCTACAAGCGCTACCAGCTCGACCTCAACACCATCTCCTGCTCCCCCTCCCAGCCCCACTACATCGCCCTGGGCGGCGCGCACCTGCATTGCTTCCTGCACGACCGCCGCATGCTGGGTCGGGACCGCGTCGCCGAGACGGGGGCCCCCACGGGCACCCCGCCCCGCAGCACGCGAGATGACGAGGTCATGGGCCAGGCCACCCGCTGCGTGCGTCGCTTCGCCCCCGGCGGCCGCCGGCACATGAACCCGCGCAGCGAGGGGCACATCACCGCCTGCAAGATCAGCGACGCCAACCCCAACGAGATGGTCGTGAGCTGGTCCGGGGACCACATCTACAGTTTCGATCTCATCCGGAGCCCCGATGCCGCCGCCGCCCGGGCCCGCGGCCAGTCCGTCCGCCAGACCCACGACCCCCGCCGGGTCGCCGACGCTCGGGATCGCAAGCGCAAGCGCCAGAAGCAACCGTCCACGTCGTCCGCGTCCAGCGGGACGCAGCCGCGCCGCCGCTCACGCGCCCGCGAGGAGGACCCCGAGCTGAAGTTTCGGGTCCGCTACGGCAATGGCGCGCTGGAGGACATCTCCATCCCGTCGCTGGCGGACACCGTCGGCGACACCCAGCAGAACGTCTTTGAGCAGGCCCGGTACGCGGTGCTGAACGATGCCCAGCGGCTGGGGATGGAGATCGCCAAGGGTCTGGTCAAGCTCCGCAAGGCCTTGTTCTCCCTCGATGCCGCCGTGCGCGAGTGGGACGGGTCCACCGAGGAGGCGCCGTACGCCGACGCGCTGTCCACGGCCTTGACCCAGGCGTCCCGGTCCCTGCCGCGCATGACCGCCGTCATGCGCGACTGGCGCTACCCCCTGAATCCCTCCTGCCACGTCGTCAACATGCAGCAGACGCTGCGGCACAACCGGGAGTCGTCCTGGCGGTTCGTGCAGGCGGCCGGCACCTTGGCTAAGGCCTTGGGGGCAGACGTCCGGGGCGCGGCCGCATCGGACGACGACAGCGGTGATGATGACGACGTCGATGACGGAGGGCAGTTCGACCAGATCCGGCTCGCACCGGGTGAGAATAACTCCGTGGATCGCAGCGCCCAGTTCGGCTACGACTTCCTCAAGGCCATCCTCCTGTTCTTCGCCGGCGGCCGAGAAGCCGTGCGCGCCGGGTTCCTGCGCAACTCCGCCGCGCGACGCAACCAGACACGGTTCCCCCTCGCCGCCGAGGCCGACGACAGCGCCATCGAGTCTGTCCTGATCCCGTACCTACAGCGTCTAGCCGGTGACGAGCCCGTGGTCAACGTCGACGCCTCGCGCTTCGAGCACGACTCCAGCCGCATCTTGTTCCCGACCCAGCAGGCCGCCGTGACCGCGTTCGGCCGCGTGGTTCAGCTGCCCCTGGAGGATCTGGGTCCTACCGCAGCCGCCCGGGCGGATCCCGGCACCGGGGAGGAACGGAGCGATGCGCCGCCCGTGCGCGCTCTGGACCGGTCTGCGGCCGCACGCTTCTGGCAGTTCAAGGTCGGCCGCGGGATCTTGATGGCCGCGGGGTCCGGCGTCAACTATGCCTTCGTCAACCAGGCCTTTGGCGGGCTGCGTATGACGGTGGAGGAAGAATCAGAGAGTGAAGGGGCGGTCCCAGAGCGGTCGCAGGACGATACCGAGGCCACCCGGGAGGAGGAACCGATCCGCGACGTCCGTCTGATGATCGACGGCGGTTCGCCAAGTGGCAGTCCCTCGGACTCGCAACCCCAGCCAGGGCACCGGCGCGAGACCACCATCGGCCGGATGTCTGCCAGCGGCAGTGCGGAGATCAACGAGGAGTTTTTCGAATGGAAACCGCGCGAAGATACGGAAGGTGACGGCGAGCCGGATGGCCCGGCGGAAGACGACGACGATGACAGCGTGGAGGATGAATCCGAGGATGAAACCTCGGTCAGCGAGGATGACGAGGACGACCTGAGCAATCTTATGGACGATTCGTCCGACGCAAATGATGATGACGATGATCTTACGGGTGATTATGATATTGATGCTGATGATGGTTCTGGCAACGAGCGCTTACTCCGCAACTATGGCTTCCAACGCACCAAACGCCACAATGTGCATTCCGACATCCCGTGCTCCTCGCACACCCGGACCTACCGGGGCCATTGCAATGTAAAGACCGTCAAGGACGTTAATTATTATGGGATGGACGACGAGTATGTGGTGAGTGGTAGCGACTCGGGGCATGTGTTTATATGGGATCGAAAGACTTGCGATTTGGTGAATATTCTTGAGGGGGATAGTGAGGTGGTCAATGTGGTGCAAGGTACATTCTTTTCTCCGTCTTTTTCTCCGTGCCCTTTTCGCTCCCTGAACTCTGATGCTCATTCCCCAGGCCATCCCTACGAACCGACGATTGCCGCGTCAGGTATCGACAACACGATCAAAATCTTCTCGCCCGACCGACACGCCCAGGAGAACGCCCGCCGCGGCATCAACATCCTTGACCCGGATAACCCGGCCAACACGCTAGGTCCGAATGTCGATAGCTCCATCGGAGGCCTCAAAAGCTGCAAGCGCATGCACGATAGCTACCGCATCATGAACCAGAACGACGTCAACCGACAAGGTGGTTTAGATGATGCGTTCATCACGGTGGGTTCCCATTCCCCCGTTCCCTGGTCCCATTCCCGCCTTTCCTGACTTTAATCAGAGGAACATGCTGGCTGAATTTGCGTCGGCCCTGAGAGAACGACAGGTCCCTGGTGGGGCAGGAAATAACCCTGGCGTACAGGACGGACCTGCCCTGGTCCTGGATGACAATTGCAGTGTATGTTTACCCACCCCTCTTTGGTTTAGGATGTCAGGACTGACGGTTGCAGGTAATGTAACGGACCAACCACACAGGAGAGAACGGGCTCTACAGCTAGTTCGTCTAAACGTGTCTTCCTTACTTTGAATCTTTTCTTTAATATGCATGAGTAGACTGGTCCTATCACGTTAGTGTGCATTCTCCTCGCGGGTGTTTGATTGATTTCATGGCGGCGTTCTGGGATTAAAAATGAAATAAGGGGAATTGGGGATGGAACTGTCTTTCCTGTTTGAGCTTAGCAAATACAACAACGTATGCACATGAGGATGTAGGCAGCTGTTCGTTGCAAGCTGTTATGATACTGTAGATAGAGTGATGCCTGAATCAGCAGGCATAAAGAATACGGTATCTCCACGTGATCTTATCATCATTTCCCCGCATTCTTTTTTTTTTTTTTTTTTTCCTCCCCTCCAACTCACCCAACAAAGGCCTCATTTCCTCGCAATCAATCCCTTATGCGAATAACCACACATTAACCAAGAGTACATGAAGTGACAAGTGAAATCCTTACATCCAAAACCAAACCCCAAAATGCAATCCCTCCTCACCACCCGCTCCGAAACAACCTCCCGCCTCTACGCCGACCCCCACAACCCCCACCTGCACCTCGAGCGAGGCCGCGTCCACGAGCAATTGGGCTTCCCGGATTTGGCGTCGGCGGATGCGTATCGTGCGCTGTCGCTGCTGGACTCGGTTGTTGATCCGGATGGGTGTGAGTTTCATGCGAGGCGGCGGATCGTTGATTTGAATGATCGTGCTGTCAGCGGGGATAACGAGGAGGAGGATGGGGAGGATGAGGATGAGGACGAAGATGAAGGGTTTGCTCCCATAACGCAAGAGGAATACGACGCTATTATCGGCGACGTGTACGCCCTCCTCGTCCGGAGTCTCGTCAGCTGTGGCTGTTTCCGCGATGCGTATGACTTTGCCGTGCGGGGGCTGGCTGTTTTGGGGGATAAGCCGCAGTCGACAGCGGTGGATGTGCTTCGAGAACAGATGCGCAATATCAAGTCTGCATATAGAGCTCGGCTCGGATCTGACGCCCCTCCCCCTCCTACCACCAACGAAGATGACATCCAGATCGACCCCAGTCGACTCCCCGCGCAAGGCTATGCCCGCCGCGTCCTCTACCCGTGGAACACGCACGAACCAGACCGTAAAGCCCCCGAGACGCTGGCGCTGCTCAATGAGCGGTTAAAGACGGTTGCGCCGAAGTGCGAAGTCCGTGCCGTGGCTCTGCCAGCCTTGCACAACACCCCCACCCCAGCCGATACCAAAGAGCAAGGGCAAGAGCAAGAAGTCTCCATCCAGCTCGGCCTCTTCGCGAAAGAAGACCTCCACCCGGGTGAAGCCATCCTGCGGGAATCGTCGCTGCTTACGGCGACGAACCGTCTCCATGACGACCTCTGCGATGCATGCAATGCGCCCCTGCCGGCTATCGACTCTGAGAGCCCGCCTGTTCCGTGCGGAGAGTGCGCTGATGAAGATGATATTTTCTTCTGCAGTCAGGCTTGTCATGATGCTGCGCAGAGTACCTACCACGGTGCTGTCTGCGGTCTCATGCATAACCTCGACTCTATCGGCAAAGATATCCCCGATAAAAAGGACAAGGCTGATTATCTTTACCTGCTGCTTCTGGCCCGCGCGCTCGCCATGGCAGCCACGCAATCCTTACACCCCCTCGACCTCCCAGAAGTGAAATACATCTGGGGAGATTTCCACCCTTACCGAACCGACCCCGCAACCGACGAGCAAGAGAAAGAAAAAGAACTCCCCTTCTCCTTCCACCTCTCCATCCTCCAGCCAATGCGCTTCCTCGAAGAAATGTCCCTCGATCCCTACACCACCCTCCCCCACTACGACACATGGGTCCTTAACTCGCTGTACGCCAAGTTCCGCGGAACTGCCTCCGGACGCCTGTCTACCTGGGACGGCGGCCCCGAGCTCTGCGCTGTGCATCCGCTTTGGTGTCTGGCGAATCACTCCTGTGATCCCAATGTGCGGTGGGATTGGGCGGCGGATATCTGTTTTACGGTGCGGGATGGGGGGAAGGGGGAGAGGGTTGTTTGGGGGGAGGGGGCTTCTTCTGGTGGTGGTTCTGCTGATGGTAATGGTGGGATTAAGAAGGATCAGGAAATTTTGAACCATTACTGTGATATCGGCATGGATGTGAAGCAGAGGAGGGAGTGGGCTTGTGGGGCTCTTGGGGGGATTTGTTTGTGTGAGAGGTGTGTTTGGGAGAGTGCGCATTGTTGATTTTTTTTTTCTCTGGTGTTTCTTTGCTTCTTCTTTTGTTCTTTTTCTTGTTCTTTGGGGCAATGCGTAGTTGGTAGCTTGTTTGCTTGGGTGACTACTACTCGGACTCAAATAGACTATACAGATAGAAGATAATGTAAATAGATGATAAATATAGATACCCAGTGATGAAACCGAGATCATTGATTTCCTTCCTATCTTACCATACTATCTTATGTAGATCTCCCGTACTCCTCCTCCCAATACTACCAAGAATACAGTCCATTTCCTTTCCATCTCATGTCCATTCTTCCAACTCCCGATCCCCCTGCAATGCTACCTAATCGCGACAGACACTCCGACTCCGACTCCGACTAGGAGACCTCCGCCTCCGAGGCGGCGATCGCGACGGTGATAGCGAGTCAGAGTATCTTCGGCGTTTCGGTCCGTCCTTAGCTCGCGGCCCCTCCTTAACTCGTGGTGGTGGAGAGCGAGACCGGGACAAAGACCGAGAACGAGACGGAGAAGGTGAGTCGCGACGGCCTGCGCGTCGAGGTGGGGACGGACGTCTGCGCGGTGGGGTGATGGATCGCGAGTAGCTCCGTGCTCTGCCGCCCTTGCGCGGTGGTGGACTGACGGAGCGGGAGGGTGAGCGGCGCGCGCGGTACGGGCTGCGGCTGCGGCTGGGGGACCGCGAGTCGTAGGACCGCGCGCGCGTGCGTCGGGGGGGGCTGCGCGACTTAGACACTGACGGCGAGCGGCTGTAGGTGACTGAGCGGCGGCGGCGGCTGCTTTTTGGCGGTGGGGAGCGCGACCGCGACGGTGTGTAGCTGTAGCTGCGCGAGGAGGCTGAGATGGAGCGGCTGTAGGAGCGGCCTCGGCTGACGGAGCGGGCGGGGCGTCCGCGGCTTCGGGATGGTGAGCGCGAGTACGATCTGGAGCGCGATGACGGGCAGGTTGAGCAAGAGGCTGGGTGCGAGCTGACTGAGCTTGAGCGCGAGTCTGCGCTGGTGGCGCGGGCGGCTGGTAGTGCGGGGACGGTCGGCTTGGGGAGGTTCTTCAGGTGCTCGCGCATGTCCTCTGTCAGAACACCCAATCCGATGCTGGTGAAGTAGTTGACGGAGAAGCGCGTCTTGCGGGGGTCGTCGAGCGGGAAGAGGCCCTCGAAGCTGGGGCGCAGGATTTCGTCTGCCGTCAGGCGCTGCTTGAGCTGCGGGAGGCCGAGGTGCTCGATCAGGTTCTGGAAGAGGATCTTGACGAAGATACGGCTGCTGGATGTGGTCTCCTCTTCGTTCATGTGGATGACGGACATGACGTGCCATCCGATCGCGTCCGTGCTGAACATGTGGCCGAAGAAGGAGGCGATATTGCGCAGCCGGTTGGTCTCGTAGCGGTGGATCGTGTCGTAGTATTTGGCAAAGGCAGCCTCGAACAGATCCGACCAGAGACGGTTGATCTTGGCGAATCGCTCGCCGATCAGACCGTAGAACTTCGAGTATGTCCGTTCCTGCGAGCAACACTCGATGATCATCGACGGTAGCTCCGGCTCCAGGCCGGCCGGCAGGGAGATCTTCATCAGCTTGTGGCAGCATTCTTCGAAATCGATACTGGACATGATGGTTAGGTAGATCGTCCGTCGCAGGTTGACGAGATCCGTGTTGCTCTGGTCCTTGATGTCCATCTGTTGCTCCTCGTCCGACTCCTCGTCGGAACTCTCATCCGAATCGGCCTCCTCGTCTTCGTCGCTGTCCTCGCCCAGGATCTCCGCTTTCAGCCTTTTGTAGGCCTCCTCGTGTTCCTCCCATTGAGGGTCGTATTTGAAGATGTTCAGGGTGTCCTGCGTCTCGAGCTCGTCATCGAGACCGACCCGATGGGTGATCTGGTCCTCCTCCTCAATCAAGTCCAACTCCTCCTTGACCGCCGGGTTGTCCTTGAAGCGGTCTTTGCGGACCTGGAACAGGACCTCGATCATGTACTGCACTCGCTTGTCGATATCCGCCTCGTGGAGGATGTTCCGGAACTGATCGAACACGGCCAGGGCGATCGGGCCGCTCATGGCTTCCAGATGCTGCCCGACCTCCCGTGTGAGGCCGACGGCGATCTCCACACTGTCGTCGGTCGGCTTATGAAGCAAGAGCAAGAGAATCTGAGCGGCGACCATCTCGTGCACCACCTGCTGGTTGCACAGGTGAGCGATAAACGTCGACGACGCGATACAGACAGCCTTGTCATTCCGTTTGAACGCTTTGCGGAACTGCACGACCAACCGGTGAAGCAGCAGCTCGCCCACCTGGGGTAACTTTGTATTGACAATCGCCGCCATAGCGGCGTAGATCGGAGTGAAGGGCAAACTCGCCGCCTGAGCCTTCATGATACTCCGGCAGAACAGACCGCGACCGCGGACCAGGTTCTCGCTAAACAATTCTGGAACGATGAATTTGATGTTCGACACGTTGACCTTGTTGATAAGACCGTTGATCGACTTTTTCAACGCCTCCCACGCCATCCGCTGGTACTCCTTGCTCGTCTTGTCGGTGATCTGCGACTGCAGGGCGCGGAGTCGAGCCGGGGGAATGTACGTGCCGCCCGATCGCATGTTGAGGAGCTTCTCGTATTCCGCTTTGGCAGACGCCTGTTTCTCCTCCTCTGTCATGGGTTTGCGCGCGGCCTCCTGCTGCTCATGTTGACGCAGCCGCTCCGCCAGCTGCCGTTCTCTCTCGATGGCGCGGTCGGGGTCGATTCGCGGTACATCGCCGCCGTCTTCATTATTATGAGAGTCCCCGGGAGGCGACCGGCGACGATTGGGCGAAGGAGATCGCGATGGAGGGGACCGTTTTCGCGATCCTGTGGGCTGAGGCGAGTAGGAGGCGCCTGGGGGAGGCGTCGGCACACGGACGGCGGACTGCAACACCACGGGGTCCGTCATTTTCCTGCACCTATAATCTTCCTCTTTCGACTCGTATGTGGGTTTATGGGAAATAAAATCCACGACCACACGGAAACGCTGTGAAAAGGAAAGGAAGGGGGTGAGGGTGAGCTGATGGTCTGTCTCAAGAAATCGTGAGGCGGCGAAAAGGCAAGACGGCCGCTGGTCTTGGCCGGGAAGTGTCACGTGATGTGTTCAGGAGTTGCGGCGCGGTGGCTTCTTGTGTTGGCGCGCTTTACGGAGTACGGGTCTTCCTCATCGTCAACTTGAAGCTCTCTCGTCGGTCGCGTGTGTTGCTTTTAGAAAGTGATTTCACTATGGTAAGAGACTGATGTGTTTTCCTCCTAGCTGTATCTGGCTTTGTTTCCAAAGAACTAACTGGTGAAAGCTGGGCCAACTTGTAGGATCCGCCATGCTTTTGGCCGCAACCGCCATCTTCCTCTACTACACCACCTGGACGCTGCTCATGGTAGGCTTTCGCACTCGAATTCCCTACGACGTCTACTGATTCCATTTTCCAGCCGTTCGTCGATCCGGGCCACCCTCTGCATGACCTCTTCCCGCCCCGTGTTTGGGCCATCCGCATCCCCGTCTTCCTGACCCTCCTGGGCTCCGCCGTCGTTGGAACATTTATCGGCATTGTGATGATCAACAGCAACAAGAAGAAGGCCGCGAAGGCCAAGGCGGCAGCTGCGAAGAAGAAGACTTGAACGCGTACCCTTCGAGGGAGAGGAGTGTTGAGATGGGATAGGGTGGAGAGCGCGAAAGGTGGCTGACCCGAAAGTACCTACAGCTTCGGATGTGCCATCTGTCTGATATGACGTGTAACAATACCACTTTCTTTCTATTTTCTTTTTTTTTCTTTCTTTTTGCTTCCTGTACCCCAGCGTTCGTTTTCACTGCATCGTCACAAAGGGATAATGTACTGTCTCAAACGGGAAGAGACCAAAGTTACGGAGACTTCCCTCGGTCTTTCATCAATAATGACGTTGAGGGAAGGGAGCGGATGGAAACAGCCACTGAATTCAATCAGCCTTGTAGTAACAATCACTCCAGGTGGTGAGTTCCAGGTCACCCCTTCGTAAGGAACACCCGAAACCCCACGACGACACTTCCTTGGCGTGGACTCCCATCCATCGCGTCATCATTCAGTCACAGCCCGGGGGCGTGTACCAATGACGGTCAGGGGCCTTACAGATGATGGGCGGTGCTGGACCCCTGCCATGCGACCCGTGACCGTGACTCGAACGGAACCAGAGGACCTCAACTACCGCAAGGGCGTTGGGCATTCCACCGGAGCGTCAGAAGGCTGATTGGGTCGACTCGAGTGGCGGCTAGACCCGGAATATTGATGGAACGAGGATGAACCGGGGGAAGCTGGAGAGGCAAGAAACTTCGTTGATGACCGATCCGTCTCACAGCCTCATTTGTCAAGAGGAGAGGAGTTCAATCAGGTCAATCTCCTGGTCATGACCATTGATGGTCATCCAGGGATCTTGCTGCTCTGGGGCTTCACTGGCTGCTCCGCCCAGGCGCATCACGTGGCAGCCTGCATTGGGACCGCGTGTGGGGTTTGTCTGGTTTGTTTCTTTATCACGACAACTCAGAGAGTCAAAAAGTGCAGTTACCCCTCATGACTGTACCAATCAATAGTACTGAACCGTTGAAGATATCGCCGTGGTTGGTCTTTCATTTGCCAGGCAGTCAGTCTCAGACCTCGGATTCAGGGTTAAAGGCGCAGTAGTGAGCAGTTACTAGTCGGTGGTCGCAGCAGTCGATCCCCCACTGCAGGAGATGCGATAAGTCATCTGTTACGTATCGTGACAATAGATACCATTCTTACCGGACCTTGATACCATCCATCCCCCCAAACCATCTTCTCGGGTGTCTTCTAGATCCAACAGATCATGGGAAAGAAGTGGAATTACAGTCATCGTTTATTGTCAGTTGAGAATAGACGGAGAGATGACCAAGATACCCCAAATGATCACGATCCTTTGGGATACCAGCTGAGGACTTCCTGACAAAAACGGTCATGCGGGGGATGCCTTACCTGATGATACCAGATCCGGTAAGGAGTGATACATACCGTACTGCATCGATAGTCCCTGATACCGATACCGATAACAGATAACAAGTCAGCCCGATGTAGTCATCCAGACTCCTGACCTTCTTCTCCCCCTCTCCCACTCCCCCTCCTTCTTCTCTCTTCCTCTTCTTCTTCTCTAGATTACTTCTCTTGACTACTTCTTCTATCCATCTTCATCTCTTAATGTACTATTTCAAATCATCATCTCCACTTTTTGTCCTCTTGTAACTCTACTATAACTAGGCGTATCTCGCCTCTGACGCTTGTTGTATCTCGGACATCGAAGCAGTGCTTCTCGGCCTGTCCAGACCTCCCATCCTCCGCGTATCTTCAGAGTGCCTTTCACTCCAGGTACGCGACGCCACAACGCTTGTTCCCGGGTGCTTTTGATAAGCCCTCGACAATCAACGGTTCCTTGTGTCGGTGGAAGCCTCGACACCGGTTATCTTTCACGGGTAGATCGTACGTCGCGTTTGACTCATCACATCGCCGTACCCCGTATCAGCGTCTCGAGGCTCTTTTGCTAACAGAGGTTGGTGGCGATCCATAGTGCTCGCGGACTCGTTCCGGTAGCATCATCTACCATATTCCCCGCTTCGGTCGACCACGTCGCCGGAGCCCTCGTCCTCCGTTTCTCAGACCGATCCCGGGTCTTGGGACCGGTCTTCCCCCTAGACATCCCATTGCCTCCCCGGAGGCAATCCCACCCATTTGTATGCCCCCGGTAGCGTCAGACGATCTTCTCAACCTGCAAAACCGGTCTCAAGCCGACCCGAGCCCGCTCCCCGAGGATCTGATTACGGTGAACCCGGAGAATGACCTGGGTGGGAGAAGCAAAAAGAAGGGGAAGAGCGGCAAAGGGAAGAACAAGGCCGCCAAGGCGGCCGCAAAGTCCCCACCGGACGACCTGTATGTGTCTGATCCCCGTTCACGGGAGGCTCAAGTGGCTGATCGTGGACCCATCTCCATCCACAGGATCGCAGCTTCGCCCCCGCCGCTAGAGCCGACGTCATGTCCAGATCCCCCCTTACACCCCCCGGCAAACAATCATCATATAAACCAAATTTCCTCCCCAGTGCTTGATGCACTGGAATCGATGAGGGACACTCCCGATAACGATCTTACCTATCGTACGGATAAGTGGGCCAGGGCCATCCCCGTGGGCAAGAGCCCTCCGAACGATGCCGTGGACGGTGAGATGCCCAGCGGCTCCCCACTGGGCTTCCTCTCCAGTGCAGACAAGGCAGGCTTCAGCAATCCGTCGTCGGCCTCGCCCCCTCCCCGGACGAGGCCCCTCAGTTACGCGTCCGGCTACTCCAGCAACAACGACTTCTCTCGGCAGCAGTCGGTGGATCGCCCCAAGAGCTACTACTCTCTGAGCAATCCCGTCTCCACCCAGATGCCGCCTCCGCCCCACCTGCCGCAGCCGCACTTCTATCGGGCCCCGGAGATTGATCTCCCCCTGTTCTCCGGGCAAGGTCGCGCCATGTCCGACGGCTACTCATTCTGTGCCTTTGACACCATCCCCAGTCCGTCGGCCAAACCGACGCGGATGGGGGGCAATGTCCTCCTCGTGGGGTCCGATGGCGACCTCGAGGTTCTCGCCATCGAGGACCGCAAGTCCCGCGGCGTGGGCAAGTTGAGCGGCCTCAATGGTCGGGTGGTGGATGCGAAAGTCCTACCGGGTGGCTCGTCGGATGATCCAAGTGTCCCACCGCGGCCGCATGTCGCCGTGATCGTTCACGGGCCCTCAGGCCCCCCGGATGACGAGAGTCACGCCTCCTCCGCGGCGTCGGAGACGCACGAGATCCCTGCCGCTGGCCGACAGGCAGATCACCCCCGCGATGAAGCCAAATTTTATCAAACCCGGGTGGAAGTCTATTCGCTCCGGACAGGGGACCATGTCGCCACGCTGTTCACGACCAAGCCCACTCCGTGTCTGGATAATCTTCCTGGGCTGCCCGCGTTTGTGCCCCCACCATCAGGCAATCTGAAGCTTCTTGCGGGCGAGAGCCACGTCGTCTTAGCGTCGGGCGTCAGTGGGGAGGTCTACGTCTACGCAGCGCATAGCTACCGGTGCCTAGGGAAGACGTGGACCAGCATCCAGCCCAAGGAAGCGCGGCGGTACTCGACGTCCTCCAGCTCCACTGACCCGGACGGATCGCGCACCGACTCGCCCAACGGTCCCGCCAGCTACGACGGCGCGATTCTTGCGCTGAAGGGCCGATGGTTGTCGGTGGTTCCGCCGTCGGCGTCGGCCTATCGGGCATCCATCCGCGGGGTGGTCCCCCCCGCTCGTCTGCAGGGGAAAGTCTACGGGATCGAGACGCATAGCCCTCCGACAAAGCCAACCGTGAACTGTGACGCGGATGTCGGGGACGGTGAGAGCCTGTTCGACAAGCTGGCCCGCGGCGTCACGCAGGAGTTTGTCCGCGGCGCGCGGTGGGTCGGCGACCAGTCGCTGCAGGCCTGGAACAATTACTGGAACAAGGAGCAGCAGGCTGGACCCCCGGCGGCGCGGCGCTCCCCGCACATGCCCGACCTTCCCCAGCCCGGCTACGGCCTGTTCCCACCCACCCATGCCCAGGAGACCCCGACCGTGGCCGAGCCAGACCTGGTATCCATCGTGGACCTGAAACGGCTCGAGGATGCCGGAGACGCCCGGAACGCACTGCTCAATCCCCTGGCGACATTCCCGGTCCCGAACGGATGCAGTTTCCTATCGTTCTCCCCCAACGGTCTCATGCTCCTCACCGCCAGCAAGAAGGGGGATGTCCAATACGTCTGGGACCTCCTACAGGTCAAGATCTGTCGCGCGGGCGCCTTTCTGACCGACGACGCCCCGCCACCCGGCCCCAATGTGCGCCAGATCGCGCGGTATCCCCGGCTGACCACGTCGCAGATCGTGGACGTGATCTGGTACCCGCCGTCCGGGGAACGGCTGGCGGTGATCACCCGGAAGGGGACGGTCCACGTCTTCGATCTGCCGCGGAGTGCCTTCCAGTGGCCCCCGTTCCGTCGGGCTCGCCCGCCGCCCAGCAAAACCTCCGTCCCCGACCCGGCCACCGACGAACTGGCGGACCGCGCCGCCGGCAAAAACGCGCTGTCTGCGGCGATGAAACTGGTCGGGGGCAAGACGCAACCCATCCTGGCCGCCGTCCGCGGTCGCACGCCGTCGGTCGGGGCGGCTTTACCCGCCGTCGGGGGGTTTTCGTCCGCCGCCGGGGTCCGCGGCGGGAAGGTCGTGGCGGCCGGCCTCAGCAAATCCATGGGGGCCGCCTCGGGGACCGTCAACACCCTGCGGCACGTGGGCGAAAACCGCCTGCACCTGTCAGGGTTGAGTCGCGATCCAGCCCCGGGTCGCGTGGTCTGGATCAACCACCGCGGGTTGCCCTTCTTGGGCTTGGTGGACTATGGGTTTTTCCGGCTGTATCGGGTGCGGCGGTCTTTGTCCCCCCAGAAGCCCCGGCACCTCCAATCGGTGATCGGCAGCAAGGAGATCGAGTACCGTCTGCCGCCCACGCTGCAGAGTACATGCGGGCCCCTGTCGATCCGGACTTTTCCTCCGGGGCCCGTCGCCTGCGCTCCGTTGGCTTTGCCGTCCGCGAATTCCCGGCCGTCGCCGGCGAGCAAGTCGAAGTGCCAGCCCCTCTCCCAGGCGGAGATTGAGACCAACGCGCCCTATCAGCCGTTCCACACCGATCAGCGCGTGAGTCTCTACATCTACACCGAGACGGCCGAGACAGACGAGTCTCTGGTCCCTACGGGCCAGTGGGTCTTTGGCGGCGATATGGCGACTTCCAAGCTACACGTGCGACCCTTCAGCTCCGGTGGTGATGAGGAGGCGGACGACGAGGGCGACGTGATGCACGGGCAGCGACCCGGCTTGGGCAGCGGGATGGAGAACCACATCCGTCTGGGCAATAGCACCGGCCATGGCGAAGAGGTCGTCATCACCACGCGCCGGAAGAAGAAGCGCTTCCCCTCGACGACGTCGGGCGCGGACGAAGGGTTCTTCGAAGACGACTGTGACGTGGTAGATTGGCCCGAAAACCGTGTGTAACCTCGGTCTTTTACCTCGTTCTCTCGGTGGGTGTAATTGATCTTTTCTTGATTGGGATTTGGGACCATAATCAGACTTAGACAGTATACGGGGTTTGGCGTTCCTAGTTGGGTAATCGATGTACACTGATATTGGATATTGAAACTCGTCCCGTGACGGACTGACTACCTGGTTAACTGATTGATTGATCGATTGATGATGAAATTGCGTGGGCTGAGTCCACCTTACCTTCGTTTTGCGCTGGCGTGCTTGGTTCATCTATCTGTCATACAACCATACCCTAGTTAAATCTCATAGAATTTTGAGACAGTCAGGTCGTGGTCGTTTGTAGGCGGATGCGTAGACTGGAATTTACAGTGAATAACATAAGCTCTCCACATGCTTGAACTACTGCATTTTGAACCCTCGAAATTCACGTGCTTCATCTATATTTGCGGGCCCACGTCCCTGAAACCTAGTCGGGGGAATTGGTTGTGGTTGTCTATCAAACTCAACTTTCTGCTCAGCTGGTGATACTCGATATATATAACAAAACCCAACAACAGCGACCAACCCAACAATCATCCAAAAAGACCAACAAGTGGTTTGAAAAATACTAGGTTATATGATAGGTCTTATACTACATAGTCATATACGCCACCCACCAGCTCGGTATAATCATACAAACACTGCACGGTAATGATGAATCCTAAACATGATGGATATACTGCCCAACCTGATACTAAGTAAACAACTGCTAACATATAACATAATATTAGGATATATATTAAACACCCCCATCCACATAATATACAAACGGTCCTGTGGTCTAGTGGTCATGACGTCGGATTCTGATTCCGTAAGCCCCGGTTCAATTCCGGGCAGGACCTCTTCTTTTTCTTTTTTGAGATTTTTATTTTCTTTTACTTCTGTTTGGGTGCTGCATTTTAGCCTGCTCGTCTTTTTTCTTTGTTTTTCTTTCGAGTTAATGATACGGTGCTAGGGCGGGGTCCCTTCTTCGCGGGGCTCGCTGGGTTCTAGTTATTTGATTCCTGTCGTCAGGGCTTTACTTGTGGATATTATACTAATATACTCTGTTTGTGTTGGTACCATGGCTTGTGATGCTATTTAAGCGTTGACCCTTTTGGATATAAGTATTGCGTTATCTCCTTGTCTCCTCGTTTCAATAGTTATACCGAGTGCCTCATACCAGCTGCGAAGAGCCTGGATACACCTACCTACCCACCTGTATCATTTATCATGACAAAAAAGGGCTGCATCTGACCAGGTTATGGCTGCCTCCTGGTATACATGGAACAAGTTATATCCGTCACTAGAAGTACGGGGTCTTTTATGTGTCGCAGGACCCTCTAGATAGCATAGCATAGCATGCGATCCAGCAAAGAAGTATACGTAATGATTGCACTGACATAGTTGTCTTACTGCCGAAAGAACTACATATAGAGCATGGGGGTTCTATCCTTTAGCTATCAGAACAGAAAAAACGTGTCTCACATTAAGTTTGAATGAATATTCCCTCCAGACACAGGAGTAGACAGGACATTATCACTATAAACTATGGAGTTGTGATCAACTTCAAAGGTACTAACTATATGCGCGAATCAAATATTATTCACACACTTTCCATGACCCTCACCAACAATCATATCCAAACCACCATGACGCAACAAGACAAAATAAAAAGACGGGAGGCAATCCCATCCACCCTTGCAGGGAGATTGGATGGTAAAAAGCAAAAAAGAAAAAGAAGAGGTCCTGCCCGGAATTGAACCGGGGCTTACGGAATCAGAATCCGACGTCATAACCACTAGACCACAGGACCATTTGTTGATTGGGCAAATTGTATTTGGTACTATTAACAAGTACAGGTGCCTGTTATCTTGCCCTAATCATGCTTTTACTAGATCTGGTGTGGGTTTTTATAGAGTGATTCTGGTAGGTTCAACTCGATGTGTTGACTGAGCTATAGTCAGCAGATTCACTATTTGAAGGCATCTTTCCCCTCACTTCCACGGAGTTTATCTTGATTGCGAATTGGCGGAAGTGCCAATTCTGTGAATCTTGACGACATGCCTGGTTTTGCATCTAGATTACATATTGCATAGCGATTGTTGGATACCTTACCGGAGCACCTACCCGAGGGACGATAGGTGGAAAAGACAGTAGCAGTCAATTGGAAACTATAGAAATATAATTAGCTAGTGAGTCATCATTAGACTCGACTAAACGTCGCTATAGGATAGCCCAACACATCCATTAACCCGTCTCATCCATCTCCCGATTGTCAAGACCCCACTCGTAAAATATAGACGTATATTTGCTCCCGAAGTCAAAATCCTTTGCACCCTCTTCTGCAACAAAGTGGCAGTTATCGAGGCCGATAAGATAGCTAGACTGCGTCTTAGCCTAGAATATTGCTATCATTGACTGACAAGGGAAGGAGAGCAAACCATTTCCCCTTCTCACTATCCCAGATTATATTTCGAAAGCCGGGGTCCCCGTGGTGGATGCCACAGCGGATAGGTTCTCTGGATATAATGGATTAACGCCAATTCAAGTACCAGATAGTCCCAGTCCATGGTGATTAGGAAAAAGGAATGACCTACAAAAATGAGTGTTTGAAAGCCTGTCGTATCCGATCTTGCTCTCCCCGCCCATATTCCTAAAAAGTCGTGAAGATCTGTTCCAAAAAGTTTTTCCAAAGATGTCAAAGTGATACACCCGTTAGGAGCCCACAGGTTGTCTGTCTGCGTGCCACAGCACCAGTAGATCAGACGCGCCGTGGAAGTACAATCCCTATCGTATAACTATTCCAGAGCAGGGTATTCCGTTACAGCCATGGGAGAGCGTCTTGGGTCTGCTTCTATTGCACGGATGGAGGGGTCGGGGTGAACCAGTCTATCTGCTGACATGCTTGATAATTAGATTGGAATGCATGGTATCAAGGGGCTGAGGAAACTAGGCTCCAACACGGTGAAAGGCAAGTAGGAACGTACTGAGCGCGTATTTTAGAAGAGCCTCGCGTCCAGTATCGGGGGTGACCTGGACACAGTTGTAGATTTGGCGTATTTCGTGGTATGGGCTATCTCGATCGTACGCAGCTTGAGCTATTCTCTTTCCTAGTCTCCACCTGTCGCGGTGGTTAGGTAGGTCGATGGTTTCGTCCTCGAGGTGTAGGTCGAATGGTTTGCAGAATTCAGTCATTGTTTTTGTGACGTTGTGGGGGTCATGTAGAGAGTGCGTAGTGAGGAATGACCAGTGATGTAGATTGTCTTTGTGTCTTGTTGTTGCCTGAAGAAACTTGACTGTTGGTGGAATCCATGTTATTTAGACGCGCCAAGATCTCGGGTGCCTCCGCAGAAGAGAAACAGATGTCCAACACTTGAATTGACCTAGCCTCGAGGGGTGATTAGGTTTAGAGGAACTATTTTGTCTGGTATTTTGCTTATCTCTCTTCTATCTGTATACCTCCCTCCTACCTCTCTACCTAGGTATTACGTCGGCAGTACTGGAAGGACAGATGAAATAAGTACTCCAACCGAGACCTGCAGCTCAGTGCATGTCAAATCATATCGAGGACTGCATTGGCAGATGGTCGGATTGGCGCATGGTTGTGTGATTCGGTCGGCTGTCCGAAGTATTATACTTGGGGTCTTATTATGCGGGGTGATCGGCGGTGGTCTGTGTTGGAGACCCGTAGATCTGCTGTCAATCATGGTTTTTTTTTTTGGATTACCATTGTATTTCGGCTGGTTGATTTAATTCGTATCCATGGATGGTAGAGGATTACAGGAATACAAGAGAAATGCAAGACAATGCAATACTAGGATTATTAAAACAGGCTATTGATATCAGGATAAAACACCGTATTGAACGCAGATTATGCTCTCCTCATTCTTCCATCTCTTCATACTGTGGGGTGATATTTATGGTCTGACCAGCCCCTTACAGAGCCCAGGCAGCCAGAGCGAAGCCAACCAGACCGGCAGCGGACGCGCCGACATTGAGCTGACCGGCGGAGGCCGCATTGGGAGTCTGGGAGGCGGAGGGAGCGGAGCTGGACTTGGAGCCCGACTTGGAGCCTGTATTTGGTTAGTGGGCATATGGAAGAGGGGAGGATGGAAGAGAGACATACTGTCGTCAGAGTCCTTGTCAGAGTCTTTGTCAGAGTCCTTGTCAGAGTCCTTGTCCGAGGAGCTACCATCGGTAGCGGTGGCATCGGCATCCTTGGCGCTGGTGGCAGTGCTACCGCTGGAACCAGTAGGGCTGGCAGGGAAGAAGTGGCTGCTGTAGCAGCTGGCCTGGCAAGCGGCGTAGTTGTCGGTATCCTTGGGGGTGCCGGAGCCCTGGGGACAGTCGGCGACGCAGCTGGTGGTGTCGTTGGCCTGATTGTCGCTGGGGCAAGGGACCTTGTAGCAGGCGGCCATGCAGCAGACCTCCTTCTGGTCGCCTGGGAGATGTTATGAATTGTCCTACCAAATTTTCTCTATTGTAAAGAGGTGAAGAACTTACACTTGGCAGCGCACTTGGCCTCGGGGGTGAGGGAGGCAGTGGGAGCAGCGGCCTCGGAGCCGGTGGAGGACTGGGCGACAGCCACAGCGACCAGAGAAGCGAGGACAAGGCTGAGCTTCATGTTGAGGATTTGAAGAGACTGGAGAGAATATTACTATTAAGGGTAGATTAGAGGAAGTAGATGAAAACGGAGGACTTCAAACGAGTGAAGATAAGCGAGTCAAACGAAAGACGGATGGAGAGGAAGAGAGAGGAAGAAGAGAGAGAAAGAAAAAACGAGAGAAAAGGAGGAGAGTTTGGTATAAATAACCATCCCAGACCAGAGTGACAGCGCGGTGGCCAACGGGGTTAGTCGCAGCGCCTCTTCATTAGCGGGGTTTCACTTCAGCCTGGCATCAAATGGGCCGATTTCTTTTTTTTTTTTTCTCGAGAGAATTGATCATGCTCATGAGATATATCTTCTTGGTTTTCCTGATACTTGATGATCCATCTATATGTATATTGATACAATTTGAGAGAGATATATATGTATATATAGATCTATTATATACGTCTGTGAATATCAACATACAAGAGATGGAGAAAGAGAGAAAATCAGATCAATAAATCTGGGGACAACAAACAAGACTAACCGGATTGAGACGCCCTATTAATATCTTGCAATCTTCATCTCCACCTCCAATCGTTGTTACTAGTGCTGTATGGTCTGGTATGTCTTTCTCTTCATCCATGGTCTCACTCTGTCCGACTAAACTAGACTCGACTGGGTAGACTGGTCATTCCTTGCTTGCCACCTCTAGCTGCAGGGTGCATTCAAGCCAACCCCAGACTTGGCTCGGACCTATTTGCTCCATCTCTCTCCTCCCTACGGATCTAGTACCATTTGGACTATCTAGCTATCTACTATCTACGATCTTCTCATAGGTCAAATCATCCTCTCCACTCGGCTTCGCTACCCGTGCCGATCTCTCGCTTCCTGTCTGTCTCCACTACCCATTCCAACTCCAATGACTCGCCAAGTTGTGTTGTCGATCCACTCGCGGAGAAATCCTGCAGTCATGGCAGACCTGACAACGGAAGGACCACAGGATCTTTGATCAACAACGGTCGAAAAGATCATCCCCCCCCCCCCTCCCCTCCCCCCAACATGTCACAACAGTCGCAACACCCTAACCCCCCCGTGCGGTTCGCCGACGTGAGTCCTGTCTATCGCCCCTCTATCGCCATCTCGCGGACGTGACTAAAATTTGATCCGAGGTGGCCGTCACCTTCACGGCAGACCAATTCCAAGGCATCTACCGCGGCAAGAGATACCATGATTCCGACTTTGCACAGGTCTTGCAGCGCGCCCGAGACTATGGCTGCGAGCGCGTCATGTTGACGACCATGACCCTCGCTGGAGCCCACGCCAATCTGCAAGTCGCCAGGGAGTTCCCTGAGATGTGCACCCTGACCCTCGGCGTGCATCCGTACCACGCGGGCGAGATCTACGCCGTCGACGGAAAGGCACACCTGCAAGAGCTCCGGGAGCTAGGTGTCGCCCTTCTCGCCGAAGGTCCGTCATCGCCGTTGGTGGCCTTCGGTGAGATCGGTCTCGACTACGACTATCTCAACCGCGCCGACAAAGACACCCAGCAGCGCGCGTTCCGCGATCAGCTCGACCTCGCCGTTGAGCTACAGCTGCCCCTCTTCCTGCACGTGCGCGAGTCTTGCGCCGACTTTGTCGACATCATCACCCCCTACCTGCCCCGGCTGCCGCGCGGCGGGCTCGTCCACTCCTTTGCCGGGACCGCAGAGGAGATGCGACAGCTCGTCGATCTCGGACTGGAGATCAGTGTCAACGGGGTGTGTTTCCGCACCGACGAGCAGCTCGACATGGTGCGCCAGATCCCGCTCGACAAGCTCCATCTTGAGACCGACGCCCCGTGGTGTGAGGTTCTGGCTACCGATGAGAAGATTGCACCCTACTTGGTGAATGCGCGACCGCTGCCGCCCTCGCGCAAGCACAACAAGTTCCTCCCGGGCCAGATGGTCAAGACCCGGAATGAGAGCTGTACTATTGAGCGTGTGGCCCTGGTGGTCGCGGGCCTGAAGGGGGTGGCCGTAGAAGAGGTGGCGCAGGCGGCGTGGAATAATAGTGTGCGTCTGTTTGGGCTGCGCGTGTAGCCCATCGCGGCTTGTATATAGCATCTCTACATGTTGATAGATCCTAGACTAGAGTTGGAATACCCGGGAAACACAGTGACCGACACTTGAGCAGTGATGTCTGCATGTATGATACACTCACTCATTGGAACCACAAGTATAATGCATCCTAATGGTTATTAGTTAATTAATGAGAAGTCTATTAGTTAACAATGCTGCAGTGTAGTGACATCCTCTCTATATCAATCCAATGCAAACACCCCAAACAATCACATGACACCGCGATACCGCGACGCGCCTACTGCAATGAAGTCACCACAACTTCCAGAAACACCACAACCAGCGAGGTCGCCATGTCCGACTACGACGATTATTTCGACGACGGCGGCATGGAGGATGATATAGGCGACCTCACCCGAACCGTCCACCCCAATGAGGCCGATCAATCCTCCCCGCGACCAACAAAGCGCCGCCGCCTGCACCGCGGCAAGCCCACCTCCGCGAACCGCGACAGCGACAGTCTAGAGTCAGCCTCGGACTCCTTCATAGACTACGATACAGACCCCTGCGAAGATGAAATCCCGTCACCGACCCAGTCGTCGCGCTACTTCAATGATCCCACCCCTCCGCCGCGCTCCAGAGTGAAAGCCTTCGTGCCGAAGCGCAGTGTACCCCAGGAGGATATATTCGTTACCCAGTTGACACAGCCGCCCTCGCCTCCGGAGCTGATTCGCGGTCCCCGCTGGAAGAAACCCGATCCGAGGCCCCCTGTGACGAATACCGTTCCGGCTGTACATCGTGGGGATGTGGGGGGGAGAGCGCCTGCGCCTGCGCCCGCTCCCGCCGGCGCGCCGGCTGCGGATGATGACGATGACGATGATATGGACGCTGCTATCGCTGCGTCGCTGGCCTCTTTTGAGGAGGAGAACTCCCGCGGTGGCTTGTTCGTAACCCCCGAAGCCCCCGAGTCGCCTCGCGCCGCTCCTGCTGTGCAGAAGGGCAGCGCGGAGAGCGCGTCGTTCGACGACCTCCTCGACGATATCCCCGATGATGCGTTTGACTCGGATCTCGAGTCGTCGCCGCCGCCGCTGGAAGACCCGCGCGGAGACTCACGGCCTGTGGCACGGCCTGCGCAGCCGACGCCGATACAGTCCGTTAACCGGCCGCTGGGTGTGCGCCAGACGTCGCTGTTTGAGATGGCCTCTCAGAATCGAACGGTCAGGCCGCCGCCCGTCGGGGAGCAGGTGTTTACCCCTCCGGAGAAGACAGAGCCTCCAACCCAGCACAAGCTGAACCAAGACGCGCTGGATACATGGCTCTACCCGACGAACCTGGGCAAGACCAGAGACTATCAGTTCAACATCGCGCAGAAGGGCCTGTTCCACAATCTGCTGGTGGCGCTTCCAACGGGTCTGGGAAAGACGTTCATCGCGGCGACGATCATGTTGAACTGGTTCCGATGGACCAAGGATTCACAGATAATTTTCGTCGCCCCTACCAAACCGCTTGTCTCGCAGCAGGTATCCGCCTGCTTTGGGATTGCCGGCATCCCGCGCTCGCAGACCACCATGCTGACAGGTGAAGCAGCGCCGGGTATTCGGGCCGAGGAGTGGAAGGCGAAGCGGGTATTCTTCATGACACCGCAAACGCTGATCAACGACCTGAAGTCGGGGATCGCCGACCCCAAGCGCATCGTCTTGCTGGTAGTTGACGAAGCGCACCGCGCGACCGGCGGGTACGCGTACGTGGAAGTGGTCAATTTCCTCCGGCGATATAACCAGAGTTTCCGCGTCCTGGCTCTGACGGCAACGCCGGGGTCGACGGTCGAGTCCGTGCAGGCTGTCATCGACGGGCTGGATATCTCGAGAGTGGAGATCCGCACCGAGCACTCGCTCGACATCCGCGAGTACGTCCACGCCAAGCACACGGACGTCGAGACATTCAAGAACTCCGAGGAGATAGTTTTGTGCATGGACCTCTTGTCCAAGGCGTTGCAGCCTCTCGTTGACCAGCTGCGGAACCTGAACGCTTACTGGGGCCGGGACCCCATGGCGCTGACTGCGTACGGCCTGACCAAAGCCCGTCAGCAGTGGATGCTCTCCGACGCGGGCAGGAATGCACACTGGGGATTGAAGAACAAGCTCAACGCGATCTTCACTGTCCTGGCGAGCGTGGCCCACGGCATTGATCTCCTCAAGTATCACGGCATCACGCCGTTTTACCGCCACCTGCAACATTTCCAGTCCAATACCGAAGGGCAGAAGGGCGGCAAGTACCAGCGGGAGATTGTGAAGGACGAACACTTCAAGAAGCTCATGAACCACGTCCAACCGTGGGTCAAGAACCCGGAGTTCATCGGGCACCCGAAACTGGAGCACCTGAAACAGGTGGTGTTGAACCACTTCCTAGACGCCGGCGAAGGCGCCGAGGGCCAAAACGGCGGCAGCGGCCACCCGTCCACGCGCGTCATGATCTTCGTCCACTTCCGCGACAGCGCGGAGGAAGTAACGCGGGTCCTCAAGCGGTACGAGCCGATGATCCGACCTCACGTTTTCGTCGGCCAAAGCACAGCGAAGGGCTCCGAAGGCATGGGCCAAAAAACCCAACTGGACATCGTGCAGAAGTTCAAAAAAGGCACCTACAACACCATCGTCGCCACCTCCATCGGCGAAGAGGGCCTCGACATCGGCGAGATCGACCTCATCGTCTGCTACGACTCGTCGGCTTCGCCCATCCGCATGCTGCAGCGCATGGGACGTACGGGTCGCAAGCGTGCAGGAAATATCCTCCTCCTCCTCATGCAGGGCAAGGAGGAAGAATCTTACATCAAGGCCAAGGACAACTACGAGAAAATGCAGGAGATGATCGCCAGCGGCTCCCGCTTTACCTTCCACGACGATAAGTCTCCGCGTATCCTCCCCGCCGGCGTGCGCCCTGTATCCAGCAAACAAGCCATCGACATCCCCGACGAAAACGCCGACCAGGGCCTGCCTGAGCCGAAGAGACGAGCCCGCGCACCCAAGAAACCCCCCAAGAAATTCCACATGCCCGACAACGTCGAAACGGGCTTCACCACCGTAACTTCGTTCCTCACAGGCGGCCACCAACCTCAACCCAACAACAAGAAAAAGGCAACCCCCGCAAAAAAGACACCCAGGAAAACCCGCACCCCCACCCCAGAACCAGTCGCCATCCCACCCCTGGAAGACGTCCTCCTGACAGACACCCAGCAACGGGACCTCGAACGCCGCTACTGCAACGTAGTCGGCACCAGTCCCCAGTTCATCCGCTACCCGCGCAGCGACGCCTTCCCCCGCCACCAGCTGCAGCCGCGGCCTACGAACGCCGTCAAGCATGGGTCGTTGACGCAGCGCATGATTGGTGCACTGCAGAAGATGGACAGGGTGGGACCTGACTGCGAGGGTAGATATAGGGAGGTTTTGGCGCGTGAGTCGAGTCGACGGTCGGGGGAGTCGGTGCTTGATCCGCCATCTCCGCCTTCCCGTCGTCCTGTTGCGAAGCGTAATCGGACTGATGAGCAGTCTGCGGAACGGGACAAGGATGAGGAGGACGAATTGATATCGCCTGAGCAGTTGCTGTCTTCGTTTTTTGGGCCTTGACATTGGTTTATAACCCTGACGGTTTTATCGATGGATGGTTGGGCTGGTGTTGGAAATTATATCATTGATATGGATAGGTCCTGAAGGGTGTTGGCGCAGGCGCCGCACTGGCTAAACAGGACTGTTTTGATGACGACGTGATGAGTGGTTTCGGTATGTTCTTGGGTAGAGAGGATGTATACGTTTTTGAATACAAATACATGACTCTATATATCATTCGCAACTGGTCTACTGTAATAAGGCACGACAGGTACTGATTTATATACCTGATATAGTATAATAGAATAGTATATGACTAGTGACTACGGAGTAGAGTTGGAAGAATTGAATTAAATTAGATATATCCTGGCTTGGTATTAACACCAGCACTGTACTGACAAAATCGAACTGTTTTGATAAAGAATATAATATGTAATCTTAGCATGATTTGGTAGAGATGAAGTGTGAGTTTTTCAAAATGAATTTTTGACTCTATATATCATTCACAACTGATCTACTATCACAAAGACATGCTAACAAAAACCGATCCATACACCAGACACAGCGCAATAGAACAGTATATAAACAGCAACAGAAACAGCAATAGCAACACCAACCAGCAAAAAAGACAAGCAAAGAAAGGAAAAGAGAGAGAGACAGGGAGAGAGAGAAACTAAGCCTCCTCCTCCGTCTTCAACCCTTGCGCCCAAGAAATCACCTCACCAGCCGCCTTACCCTTCAAATCTGCAACCCGGATCACCGCCGGCTGCGTCACAAACGGCATCTTTTTATCATCATCACCGTCCTCGTCACTCGCGACCACCTCCGTCCGGAACCGAGTATGGGTCTCGTTGTCCTTGTTCCACAGGCCGAAGCTCACCGCGCCGGCCGCTTCGTACGCGGCCTTCAGCTCCTCAAACCGCGCCTCTTCGTCCTTGTCTTTCTTGGCGGGCTTGAGCAGGTGGCGCAGCGGGGACGAGTCGTTGCTCTGCGGTGACAGTCGCTCCATGGCGGATTCCCAGAGTTTGGCGCTCGCGACGGCGGGGCCGGCTTTTGAGATGGCGTATGGGGCAAGGGCTTTGCGCATGGTGTGGGCGTACGATTCGTCTTTGACTTGTTAGCTAGGCTATCCCTTGTCTTTTCTTTTCTCTCCCATCGTAGTAGAAAAGAGACGGTAGATGGGAAAACTCACTCTCCAAACGTGTCTTCTCCCACGCGACCCTTCTCCCCTCAAGAATCGTCCCCTCCGCCAGAGCCAACGGATTCTGCACCACATTCAGAAACACGTCTTTCGCCAACACAACCACCGCCAGCGCCTGGGGCAGCTTCTCCACCGATCCCGGCGGCAGGCTGTCCACGAGCGCCTTCCAGCCGTCGTCGGCCTTGGTGCAGTAACCGCCTAGCTCGCGGAGGAGGGCATTGCGGGCATCCAGGGGAAATTCTTTGTCGCCGGGGAGGGACTCCACGGCGTGGGCGCGCACCCAGTTGTCAAGCTCGGTTTGGATGGTCGATAAATGGGCTTGCAGCTTTTTGTCGGCGGTGGAGACTTTGGTGGTTGCGCGGGTCTTGTGGGCCTTGGATTTGGGGGCTTTGGGGCCTGCGGTGCGTTGTTTCTGGATGGGTTGTTAGTTAGGTACAATACATGTATACTACTTAGGTGTGGGGGAGGTCTTGCTTTGGCTGCGCTGTCTGAGGCGCTGTCGTTGTCGGACTTGCGTTTGGGAGGCATGATGCTGGTTTGGATTGTAGGGATTGGGTAGTAATATGCTTGTATAAGGTTTGTGTAGAATGAAGAAGTGTATAGTCTTGTAGGCTGGTTGGATGTTCTGATCAGAAGGATATCGAGCAGTCTGTTAGGGCTTTATATATCTGATCGAGACATACTTCCGTATGTCCATGTTCAAGTGCCAACCCCCCATTCTCCTCCCCTCGGATCAGAGTCTACCCATTCTGACGCTTTGTCTTTGGAATTTACCATGGCAGTGGCTTAGATTTGTCGGATAGTACGTCCTGAGAAGGCATTTCTTTGTGGTTCTTTGAGTAGTTCTTTTCGAGATCTCTTCGCCCTTTGACTTTCTTTATTCGATGGATCGGGCGTTGGACGTAACCAAAAACAGTGAGTCCCCAACAACAGAGAGAAGAAGGAGAAGATGCCGAGATTACTATGCTTCAACTGAGAATACTACTCCGTTGTCGACTCCTTTGTTGTTTATTTTGAGAACCCCGGTAGGCTTCGTCCGTTTGATCTCTTCCACGGTGGATTTCTTTTTCTTTCAGTGGTTTCTTTCGTTTCATTCAAGTCATGGCATGAACTGTACCACCCTGTCAATCAAATCCGATATGGTCAAAGACGTTGCTGGAAGTAATGGGGGTAAAAATAGATGTGACGCTGATATCTCTCGGACGGACCCACCTGAAACGGAGTCAACAACACTAACCAACGACTCTACTCCCCTCCAACCCGAACCACTCATTCCACCGACAATCAACATCCACCACAATAATCCATACTTCTCCTCCCATTCTTTCATTCTCACTCTGAAACCATGGCAGACTCCCAATTCGACAGCGCCCTGTGAGTCTCCCTCCCTCTACCCCCTCCTATCCCCCCCCCTCCTATTCCTACCCCACACTGACACCCCCAAAGCGACCTCCTCCGCCGTCTCAACCCCCGCGACACAAAACAGCACCTCAACGCCATCACCTCCATCGTCCCCGACCTAGCCGAAGACCTCCTCTCCTCCGTTGACCAGCCCCTCGAGATCCGCCGCTGCCCTAAATCCTCCCGCGATTACCTCCTCTGCGACTACAACCGCGACGGAGATAGCTACCGCTCCCCCTGGAGCAACGAGTTCGACCCCCCGCTCGACGACGGCACCGTGCCCAGTGAGCGCGTGCGCAAGCTGGAAATTGCGGCGAACGAGGCCTTTGATGTCTACCGTGAGCTGTACTATGAGGGGGGTGTTGGGAGTGTGTACTTTTGGGATTTGGATGATGGGTTTGCGGGGGTGATTTTGTTGAAGAAGGGTATGATCTTCCCCCCCCGCTCGGAGTGACTATTTGAGCGAGAGCGAAATAAGGAAATGGAATGCTAATTAATCAGGTGTTACCCCCGGCGGTAAGAGCTCCGGCGAATGGGACAGTATCCACGTCTTTGAAGCGACCGATCGCGCCCGCATGTCCCACTACAAGCTGACCAGCACGGTCATCCTGCACCTCGCCAACGAGACCGAGGCCCTGGGCGAGATGGACCTCAGCGGGAATATGACCCGTCAGGTGGAGGTCGATCTGCCCGTCGAGTCGGATGCCAGCCATGTCGCGAACGTGGGTCGCTTGGTTGAGGATATGGAGTTGAAGATGAGGAACTTGCTGCGTATGTTTTGTTCTTGGCTTGGTCAGATTTTGGAAGAAGATGCTGATATCGTTTACAGAGGAGGTCTACTTTGGCAAGGCTAAGGATGTGGTTGGGGAGTTGCGGAGTACGTATCCCCTTTTCTCTCTTTCTCTCTTTCTTTTATTCGTGCTAACGAGATAGGCGTCTCTTCCCTCTCCGAGTCCAGCAAGGAGCGCGCAAACCACGCTGAGATGATCCGGTCGATGCACGGGTAGTAGGTTTATTCTGATTGTATGTAGATGAGCTGAGGTTCCTGGTGATCCGCAGTTCGAGCGTGCCACTGGACTAATAATGGATTGCTCTCAATAATATGGGTATCATAACGCTGCCATTCCAACTGTATCGCCATTTCTTATTCCCCAAGGGAGTAAACACACAAGTCCCTTCCCCTCCCCCCCAATGTTCCCTTCAAAACCAGTAGTCCATCAATCCATCTCCATCTTGCCTTGTCCCTCTTTCTCACCCGGACCCATCTGCTCCACAAACTCCCTCGCAGCCGCCCACAACTCCGCCTCCTTATCCTTCCCAACCGTATCCTTCCGACTATTCAACCAACTGATATCCAACGGATTTGCGGCACCAGCAGCCACCCCCGCACCCCCCGCCGCACCCCCCGCCACCCCGCCCACATCCGACAACTCCGGCGGCAAGATGGCGGCCTCCTCCAGCGCGTAAGCCTGCCGTCGCAACCGGACATCAATGGAGGACAGCAGCGCGAAGTACTGTGCGGTGGCTTCTTTGAAGCGCGTCTTGTGGGCCTCAAGGGAGCGGTCGGCGGCGTCGCCGGATCGTGCGTTCGTGAGGGCTTGGATGGCGAGGCCGGCCGAGTGGATCAATTTGGCTACATCCTGAGGGTGGTGATATTTGCTTTAGTGGGGGCCTGTATTTTTTTTTTGGTTTGTTTTATGTGAAGCTGGGTTGGTTGCGCTGCTTGCTTCTTACCTTGTCTACCTCGTTTAGTTGGCGGATGCGATCTGCGGATGTGAAGACCTGATCGGGTTGTTTTGCGGGCTTGGGGTCGGCCATTGTGTCTGTTCAGTTCCACCGAGGAAGGTGGTCCAATCCAGTAAAGGAGAGAGAATGATGTTGTCGGGATGAGCTCCAGAAGCATCGTGAGAGGCAGATAGATCACGTGCTGTACCTGGGGAACGCTAGTCCATAACTAGACTAGTCCATCATATTGATGACATAATACAAGCTAACCGCATCCAGCCTAGTCAATATCAAACCCCAAAGCCGCAAAACTCCCCGTTTACATCGATGCGTACATCATTCTCCCCATCCAACCTCGCCGGTCGTTCATCTCGCTCTCATCTATTCGCCGGCAGTTGCAAGAGAGTGCGACCACCCCATCATGTCTGCGCCAGGCGGGGCCCCCAGCCCTGCTCCCCGAAGTGGTAGTCTCGGGCCCGGTGGAGGTATGCCTTCCCAGCAGCCCATGGGCGGTCCGTCCACCCCCGTCGGCGCGCCCACCCCGGGCCCTCCGCCGCCGCCCAGCGGTGCCATGTCGCAGCAGAATTTGAATCAGATTGTAGGTTTTTTCTTATTTATTGATTTGTGATGTATGCTTTGATGGTCATTGGGGTGTTTTATGTTGAGATGGGATTTGTTAGAGAGCTTGATTGTGCAATTTACCTTTGTTATTCGCTTGGCGTTGTCCTTGCTGTGATTGCGCTCGTGTGGTTTATTATGTCGCGCTTCTGCAACATGGCGCTTGGAAAATTGAGATGCACTACTGACAATTACAGGTCATCGACTATTTGGCCAAGAAAGGCTACAGTCGTACGGAGGCCATGCTGCGCATGGAGTCCGCAAATCAAGAGATTGATGGCCGTCCTCTCCCCGCCCTGGGTGAAGACGCCCGACCTAAATACCGACAAGGTTTCGGTAGGTGTGCTCTACCCAGACCAAGTCATCGACCGTGCTGACCACCTTCAGACCTGATCAAAGTATGGGTGGAAGATAACCTGGATCTGTACAAGGTATGGCCGAATGACGCCGTGCATCGTTTCCCCACTGACGGCTTCTCCGACAGCCGGAGCTCAGAAGGGCCCTTTGGCCGCTGTTTGTCTACTCCTTTCTGAACATGGTGACCTCGTTCTATCCCCAAGAGGCCAAGCACTTCTTCGAGTCCAACAAGAACCTGTTTCTGCCTGAGCACTCGGAAGACGTGCGCACGCTTGAGCCGATCGGTCTGCCCGAACATGTCCAGCACAACTCCACCGCCAAGCTGTACCGCAACAACAAGTACCGCTTGGTTCTCAGCAACCCGGCATTTTCCAACCTCATGCAGTTCCTGGAGAGCAAGCAGAAAGAGGGTGGCTCCGTCATGTCCGCCATTCTGAGCAGTTTCTGCACGATCATCACCCGCGAGCGCGCCGTCGATGACCGCTTCAGCTTCGCTGCCATGCTGGGTCAAGCCGGCGCCGGTCACACGTTCCCCACCGAAGATGAAGGCATCCCGGGCCACCACCCGGGATCGGCCTACACGGGCGACAATCCGGCCATGGCGGGCACGCTGCCTCGACTTCGTTTGGGCAGACTCCCCATGGAACAGACGCTCGAAGGGGACGTGAGGGGTGAACTTGCCGACGAAGACGCCAAGAACCCGCCGGCGGCGGGCCAGAAAACCCTCATCCAGGAGTTAGACCACATGATCAAGAAGGAGGACGATGACGAAGCGCCGACGCGGGCGGAAATTCCCTACCCGCCGTCCACCGCTCGCGATGTGGCCATGGAGGTCCAGAAGGTGAAGGAGAACCGCGACCGATTCCAGATCGAGGGTCGGTCGGGCGGTGTCGGTCCGGGCGTCAGTGTCTGCATGTTCACTTTCCACAACACTTATGATGGGTATGATCTCTCCACTTCCTTCTTCTTCTTTCAAAAGCAAGGCTAAGCCGCCCCCAGAGTCAACTGTATAGATTTCTCCGACGATAATATGCTCGTCGCAGCTGGCATGCAAGAGTCATATATCCGCGTCTGGAGCATGGACGGAAAAAAGATCCCAACGACATACGAAAACGTAGACGACGGCTCCGCATCGAACTCCCGGCGTCTCATTGGTCACTCAGGCCCGGTCTACGCCGTGGCATTTGCACCCTCCATCACCCGTACAGAGAACGCAGTCGCGCCGACAAACACGCGCTGGCTGCTCTCATCCTCGTCCGACAAAACAATCCGACTATGGTCTCTCGACCTCTGGCAATGCATGGTCGTCTACAAAGGCCACGACCAGCCCGTCTGGGACCTCCAGTGGGGCCCCTACGGACACTACTTCGTGTCCGCTGGACACGACCGCACCGCGCGCCTATGGGTAACAGACCACATCCGCCAGCAGCGCATCTTCGTCGGCCACGACCAAGACGTCGACTGCGTCGCCTTCCACCCCAACTCAGCCTACGTCTTCACCGGCAGCTCCGACCACACCGTGCGCATGTGGGCCGTCACAACGGGCAACGCGGTCCGCATGTTCACCGGCCACACGGGCAACATCACCGCACTAGCCTGCAGCCGCAACGGCAAACTACTCGCCTCAGCCGACGACCACGGCTCCATCTTCGTGTGGGACCTCGCCCCGGGCCGCCTCGTCAAGCGCATGCGCGGCCACGGCAAGGGCGGCATCTGGTCGCTGAGCTGGAGCGTCGAGTCGACGGTCCTCGTCTCCGGCGGGGCTGACTCCACCGTGCGCGTGTGGGACGTGACAGGGCCGACACCCGACGCGGGCCAGGGCCGCGTCGTAGGTGAGGCAGGCGGCACAGCCACTAAGATCGATGGCGGTGCTGCGCCGTCCGGTGCCGCGCAGTCGTCGAGCGCTGTTGGGCCGGGCATGGGAAAGAAGAAGGGCAAGGATGTCGTCGTCACGCCGGATCAGATTAGCGCTTTTCCGACGAAGAAGAGCCCCGTTTATAAGGTGAAATTCACTAATATGAATTTGATCATTGCGGGGGGTGCGTATCTTCCTTGAGCGATGATTATCTCTTGTATTATTCTTCTCTTTCTCCTCTTTGCTCCCTCCCCTTCTCTCTTCTGATTATGGATCTGAGACACGACTCTCACAGCCAAGCAAGGAAAAGAAAGACAAGAACAAACCAGGTCATGGATTTCACAATACTAGCAACCTATCTAGCTAGATAGATAGATACAGGCGTCGGGGGTAGGCTACTAGGCTAGGTTAGCCAGGACGGGTGTTTCTTTTCATTCAATTTTTTCTTTCTATTTACTTATTTTGATCTGGTCAGTATAATCCTAAATGCACACACAGATTCTTTGATTGATTTATTTACATCTATATCTTATCTGGTTTATTCCGTCACGTATACTATCTATGTATCACCTGTATGCAATACCCGTCAAGACTTCTTCAACGACCCCGACCGGTCCCCTTTTTGCGCAGCCAGCACGCCGGCCCCAGCCCCAGGCCCTGATCCAGCCCCTGATCCAGCCCCCGATCCAGTCCCCGATCCAGTCCCAGACCGCATCGCAGCAGAAGCCTGCATATCAGCCACCTTGGGCGGCAGCACCAATGCACTGCGATCATTGCGCTTGTAAAAGTCGACGAGGATCTGCGCTGTTTTGGTCGGCTGGTCCTCCTGGATGAAGTGGCCTGCTTCGGGGAAGACTTGCAGTTGGTATTTTCCTGTGGTATCCCGTTAGTGGGTCTTGGACTGAAAGGCAAGAAGACAAGGTGCAGGAAGGGGAAGAGAAAGACAAACCCTGCATCTGACCTATCATCAACTCCTTATCCAACCGGTCCGTCCCAGCCAGTAAAAGTAACTTGCCTCCCCTAGCTTCGAGAAACTTGCGACTGAGCCCCACAAACCAGTCTTCCCAGAAAGGCTTGGTAGCTGCTAGGTTGGTGCGCCAGACCCAGGGCTTTTGCGGGTCGGAGGGGGAGGTCTCCTCGTCCAGGAGGGAGGGCACGGAGACGCGCGCGGAGGCCTTGTTGCGAATTGTCCGGGAGCGGGTGCTGGGTTGGGTTGTGATTAGTGGGCGAGATGGGTAGAGATGGGTTTGCTTTGGGGATTGCGTACTGCCATTCTATGCCTGATGCGACGGATGGAAAACGCGAGGGCCGTGTTGAGAGGTATTGCTCCATGCTTTGGAGGGCGTCTAATGCGGAGCCTATATTTGATAAGGATATTGTTAGTTGTGTGTAGACCATATAATATAGATCAATGCTCGCTGCACGAGTGAGCTAAGTAGGGGAAAGTACATACCCTCCACAACATCCAACACCGCATACGCCAGCAACTTCGCACCGAGCTCGCCGCTCCGCGCAACGTCCGTGATGACCGCGCCCCCGAGGCTGTGGCCCACAAGGACCATATCCGGCGGCTTCTGGCCCCAGTGCATGCGCGCGTGTGTCTCACGGATGACGAAGACGAGATCGCGGGAGAGAGTCTCCAGTCGTAGATCCATGTTGTCGCCTTCCGCTTGTTCTTCTGCTTCCCCGTGGGTACCTGTTGTTTGGCCGTGCGCGCGGGCGTCGACGGAGAGGATGCCGGCGTTGGGGAGGATGTGACGGATCTCGTCGGCGCAGGTCGCGAAGGAGAGACCTGACGAGCCTGCGCCGTGGTGCATGACGAAGAGCGGCGCGGATGCGGCGGAGGGAGGCGTTAGGTAGACATGGTGGGTGATGTGGGTGGCGGGGTTGGGGAGGAAGAGCTCCTGGGTGAAGAAGTCGGTCCAGGGGAGGGTGGATTGGGTTGTTCTATATCAATTAATTTTTTGCTATCAATTTCCAGAGACAAGGGGAGAGGAACATACCTGTCTGGCCGGGAAAATAGCTGGCGGCTTGGAGAGGGAACCACGGTGTTGGAGGACGAGACGGACGAGGACTCATGCTCCTCGTCGTCCTCCCGCGGCGGGTCCATGACAGGAACAGGCGGATCCGCGGGGAGTTGAGCGAGCTTGGCTTTGGCAAACGAGCGGTGAAGGTCACTCATGAGGATGGGAGCAAGCAATATAGGATGTGTGGGCTGATCTGACGATGTTGAAGTTTCCCCGAAGCCCAAGACGATGCGGGGGATCATGTTATCTTATCGGGGCAGCTTATTTAATTATACATGTTATGCAGGCATAATATCTGCCTCAGATGTACAGACTCGTGACGTCATACATCACGGACTTGATCTTTCCTCCTCATCCACGTCCAACGTCCAACAATCCAATTCTGTCGATATCGACCATGGATGGAGTGAAACAGAAGATTACCAAACCTGCAGGCCATCATCAATGTTGTTCCGCTTACCTGTTTGGAGAATGCTAAATAAGCTTCATCGATTGAGTTATTGGCTCCCCCATGACCAATGACCTCATCACCACACCGTCAAGTCGTTCCACGGCAATCGTGTTGTGTATGAGACCGTGTCACCTATCTTCTCACCATGACATCACCGCTGCTCATCAGGATCACCATGTCGACCATCTTTTATCCTCCATCCTAGGCCCAACCACTGTCCATCGTCATAACCATCGCATCCCATCGACATGTCGTCTCTCTGGCCGAAGAATCGCTCCCCATCGCGTGGGGGCAGTCGCAATAACAATGGGAGTAGAAATGGAAACGACGGTAGTAATGATCAAGAGTCTGGACGACCGTCCGTGTCTCGCGACCCCGACGAGCGCACTCGATTGTTACCGCATGGTCAACCTGGCTATCTAAGCCCGGACGATCCAGCCGTATGTCTTCCAACAGAATCTAACGAAGTCACCCAAATTCCTGACAAAAAGAGATACGACAGGTCTCGCCATACAACCTCTGGTCCATCCGCGCCCTGCGCAGCATCACCGTCATCCTCTTCGCCGTGACCTTCATCTGGTGGACATTCCTCCTCGTCTCGCTCTTCGTAACACCACCAGGCATGCACACGCGCGGATCAGGCTTCTTCGCCTTCGGCTTCACGACGCTCACGCTTGCGGGCCTCTCTATGAACCTCCTCCTCTTCGCTATCCCCTCCCTCCCAATGACAATCTGGGGCTCCGTCCTCGCAGTCCTGCTAACAATCGACTGGATCATCATCCTGTCCGTGCCGCGCCTCCGCGTCGAAGAAGGCTGGGTCGGCATCGCCTCCGCAATCTGGGCAATGGTGCTCGCTCTCTTCTACGTCCTGCGCACCCGCTCTGTCGCCTGGGGCAAGCGCGAGGAGGAAGAGCGTCTAACGGGCCGCGAGGAGACCCGCCGTCCGCTCCGCGAATGGGTCGCCGTCTTCGGCGAGACCGTCACCATGGCTGTCCTCGTTCTCGTCGCGCTCTTTATCACCGCGACTCTCATCCTGCGTGCCCGTGACGTCTCCCTCGCGCCGCCTGGAAAACGCTACTACGTTAACGGAGACACCTACCAGGTGCACCTCGCCTGCGTTGGCCCTCCCCCGCCTTCCACTTCCGCCACCAACGAAACCCTCCCCACCGTCCTCCTCGAAGCAGGCGAAGGCCCCGTCGAAGACTCCCTGCAGCCCTTCCTAGACGACATGCGCCAAGCAGGCCACATCGCCCGCTACTGCTACTGGGACCGACCAGGCCTAGGATGGTCCGAGAACGCCCCCTCACCCTACAGCGCCGGCATGGCAGCCGACGCGCTCTCCGAAGCGCTCGCGCTAGCATCCAACACCGACAAGGACGCCGACCCCCGCGCCGAGGGACCCTGGGTGCTCGTCTCCGCCGGAGTCGGCAGCATCTACAGCCGCATCTTCGCCAGCCGGCACCTCCTCCAGGTCCAGGGTCTACTTCTGATCGACCCGCTCCACGAGCAGTACCTCCATAGTCGGATCGGGGCCCCAGGCCGTGGCTTCCTCCTCTGGCTAAGGGGCATCCTATCCCCGCTGGGCGTAGACAGACTAGCGGGGGCGATCTTCAAGGGCCGCACGCGCGAAGACCGCGTCTTCGGTCGCTCCGCGTACCAGGGTGGTAGGGCGATTCGCGCCAAACTGCAGGAGAACCTCGTGGCGCGGTCGCTGACGGCGTCGGAGATTCAGACGGCGAGGCATGTCCAGATGGCGGATACGCCGCTTGTGGTTGTCAGCTCGGGTGTTGAGGTCGATCGGAGTGAGCGCTGGGGCAAGGCGCAGGAGGAGTTGACGCGGGTGACGAGCAATTTGAAGCATTGGGATACGGTTGATGGGGCGCCGCATGAGGTGTGGAGGGACGTGAAGGGACGGCAGGTTTTGGGGGAGAGGTTGCGCGCGTTGGTGAGGGGTGGGGGGGAGGATGATTAATTGGTTATCTAGTCAGTTGATTATGTCGACGAGAGGTGAGAACATATGTAGTGGATTGTTTTGCTGGAAGGTCGAGGTGATAAGTTTGTATATTTGCCTTCCTTATGCCTTGATTTGTGAAAGGCCAGATTGAGATACGCGAGGATTCGAACTGAACATGTTGTTTGTATATTACCCAATGAAGAGTATATGCTTTGCCATGTTTTCCAAAATGTCAATTGTTGATACCTAGGCTTCGATGCATTCCTTGTCCATAGTATATCCTATCCCATTGTACATCCACGGGGACAATGCTCTAACACTTAGATCAACCCGTTCCATGTACACTAGCCTATTTATTTATCCTAGGTAGAACAGCCCATCATAAGCATTGTCATCCAGCCAACCACTCCATCATTAAACTTCGAGCTCGATTCGAGTGGGCGCTAGCGAGGAATAAGGAAATCGAGGAAGATCGAGTCGAGGCGGATATTTACCGGATCGGGGCACAGATACATTTCCCTCGCTACCTTTCCATCTTTCCCTTGACTAAACTTCCATCTCCGTCAACGACCCGAATCGGATAAACGGCGAGGCGATGCACCAGTCAAATCATTCTAGACTAGCTCCCTTGAACCGCTTAGCAAGTTGTTCACTGTCCGACCGGGGAGATTCTGCCCGGGCAGTGGCCAGGCGGCGTTTGCCCGGTGGGACCACTAGGGAGGGAGATGCGTCCCAGCGGCGCTTGGGGGGGCGCTCACCACTTTCCTGAAGAATTGTCACCAGCGTCGCCCATCCGGGGGTGTTGATCAGCTGCATTCCATCCACCGGCCGCTTCGACGTTGCCACGCGGGCCAGCAGCGCCTCCTCGTCCTGGAATATGTCAGTCGCCTTCCAATATCGGTGGGGTGGGCGTATTCAACACCCAAAGGGGGTAAGGGGGGCTACCTTGTTGAATGTCGATAGGGAGTGCAGGAAGCAAAGAAGGTGAAAGTCGGACACCGCGCGGATCGCTTGGTCCGGATCCCCGTGGGACACTAGCTTCTTGGCCACGTGACGTAGCTCCTGGCTCTCGCCGATGACCTCGCGGTTTTCGATGGGGAACTTGCTGTCGGTGAAGAGGGGTGCCGTGGCCGCTCCCGTGGGGAACCCGTGCGTTAACGTGACCAGCAAGAACTCGACGGGGAAACTCGGCTTGGCGTTCTGTTGAGCACTGACGCCGTACTCGTTGATCTTGCGGTAAAAGACCTCGGGGATATAGCGAGAGCGATTCTCCGGGTCGTCCTCCTCCGACTGTACCAGCATGACCGACGGCTCGGCGGACGGTTCGACGATGTCGGCCCGCACCATCTCCACGGCGCTCACCGAGGCCTGGTAGGAGCTGACGGAAATGGCGCCAGCGTCGTCGCCACTGAGGACACACGTCACGAAGTTGGACCCGAACCGACCCGTGCGGCTCCACTTGGTGGCTTTGGGATGCTGCGCCTGCAGCCGTGCGGCGAAGGCGATCTCCAACGACGACAGATAGTACGAATCGATGTGACGCTTGCAGACGACGGAGCCGTCGCCCTGACCGGCGTCCAGCAGGTCCGTGAAGATGACGCCGACCTTCTCCAGGCCGCAGAGGCGCGCGACCTCGTCCACTTCCTTCTCGTTGGCCCACTCGTGCAGCGTGACGCCATCAAGCTCGTTCATCTGCGGCGGCTCGTAGATCGCCTGCACGACGGCCTTGACGCCGAGCGGGACCTCCGTGTACTCCTCGTACGTGCCGTATAAGAAGCCCAGACGCTGGGCCCCGGACTTCCGCCAGAAGTCCAGCAGCGAGTTGATGAGGTCGGGGGAGGAGAACTCGACGTGGTCGACCATGCGGAATTCCTGCGGCTGCAGACTGATGGCGCTGGGCTGACATTTGCTGCAGATGCCCTCGGGCCACTGGGGATGGCCCGATGGGCAGTCGCGTGCGACGCGGTAGAACGGTTCGCTGAGCGGGGGGATGAAGGACTGCTTTAATTCGGATTTGTTGGTGGCGGCGTTGATCTTGCGCATGTACGAGTGGAAGGACAGGTGCTTGATCTTTTTCTCCGCCAGATATTTAGGGTCGTAGGGTTCCAGCGGCATGCAATAGTCACACATTCCTTTGGGCCCGTGCTTGCACATCTTGGAATCCAGCTTTCGTGGAATCTTACCATCCTTGCTGTCCAACCTGTTGTCCAGTGGCGACTGTTGCACGACCTCCCACGGATTCTTCCCCGAGACGGCGGAGGGCTCTTTCTGTGGCACGGGGGCGCCGTCTAGACGTCGGGACGTGTCATTGTTGACGGTGTGGCCGTTGGTGGTGCCATCCTGGGATCCTTTCTCGGTATATCCAATAAAGAGTTTGTCGCCGTGCCTGCGTTGGAAGGTGTCAGCGAATCCCGCACCGACCGGGAAGTGCGGGTCCCCGACGACCGGCTAACCTTAGACCAACTTGTTCGATGGCAACACCATCGAGAGTGTTCAGAAACCGTTCCTCGCCACCGGTACCGATCGGTCGGTTAGACAGGCAGACCGATGATGGATCCACGTCGGAGGGAAGATGCTCCACGATCTAGGAGTGCGAAGAAGTCAGCGCGCTGTGATCTCCACCCGAAGACCAGTGAGGGGTTTCGTTCACCTTCTCGTGGAGGGTGGGGAAAAGGTCCTTGGGGCTAACGGTGAGCCGGAACTGGCCATTCCGGCTTTCAAATCGGAGGATGATCGGGCGTTCAGTCATGATGTCGAGATGCAGGTGGCGATGGGACGGCGAGGAGGGCGACGGAGGAGAGAAGCCGATGGCTCACAGTAATCGTGGAATGGGAGGATCAATCATTCAATCGTCAAGAGGGTTGCGGATGAATCAGTCAAACGGGACCATGGCGTTCGAGAGGAAGATCGATAGGGTAGATAAAATTTAAAGAGAAGAAGGGTTGGTGGGAGGGAATGACAGTAAGCTGAAGAGGGGAGAAAGAGAAGCTGAAGAAAGCGGAGGTTTTGAAAGGAGCTCCAGGCTTATCGTCATCGGTATGATGGTTACCATTGTTACCGTACCATATGAGGGAATATGACGTATTTGGGGTAATACAGTTACATGCCATACTTGGGGGCATCCTACCATATATCGACCTGATATATGACAATATCTACCAACCATAATATACTGTAATGTTATACCTTAATCGGTATCTATCAAGTGTAGGTCCATATGAGACTTTCTTGAAGGAGACACAAATCTACGATAGCTCGAAGTGCTATCCGACAATTAGTAAATTTGATATAGTTCCAAGATTAGACCAAGGGTTTGGACGATGATGACTCTAAGATCCAAAAACGTGAAGCAAGCAAGAAGCGAACTGAGACTTCAATAGAGTACTATACTCTGCGGATGAAGAGTGCTGACGAGTTGAAGCTAGAAATAAATTTTATACACACTCAACTGCAAGACATGAGGTTGTACACGAAGAACTAAACTACTGCACATCTAGCTGCTCAGGTCTCTCAATCAGATCAATCTAGACACATAAGCTTCTATGAAAAGTAAAGACCGTGCTGAATAATCTGACATCTGCTGAATTCCCGAAATAGCGGGTCATTCTAGTTGACATATGATATACTCGTTTCCTACGCATCACCACGGGTAGGGCTTGAAAATTTTGATCATATGCATTCATTCATTATTTAAGAAGATCTAGATGTACACCCATCATGAGCACACCGAGTATAAGATATAAGAGAGTTTGACAGCGTGTTGGCATAATTAGAGGATGGTGCACTTCTTGGGCAATCCACACGGACCCCCCTCCTCGCTCTTCGCCGCACGGCTCGCCTGCTGCTCTCCACTCGGGCCATTCTTCTGTGGGGGTTGTTGCTGCTGTTGGTTTTGCTGGTTTTGTTGTTTTTGTGGGGGCTGGGAGGACGAGCCGGCCGCAGTGGCAGTGTTGCTATCATGTAGTCACGCGTGGTTCACACGAGCAACGTGCTCGTAGAAGGCCTTGCCTTGGCTCTCGGCGAGCTCGAGCTCCAGGGGGGTAGGCTGGCGGGAACCATCGGCGCCCTGCATGTCTCGAGTTAGATCTGGTATGCTAAGCTAATTAAGAGGGAGAAGAGAAGACGTACAGCAAAAGTACCCGCACCCCAAGCGCTACCACCGTGGACCTCATCCAAGTTGGCCAGCAGAGGGAAAACAGTCTTGTATCCAAGCGGCACATAGATGAAGCCGTGGTGGGCAAGGGTCGACATAGCCGCCAAACAGGTGGACTCCTGACCACCGCCCTGGGTGCCGGTCGAGACGAACAGACCGGCGTACTTACCCCAGTAGCCGCCCGAGGCCCAGATGCCACCGGTGCGGTCCCAGAACGCCTTCCACTGGGCGGGGAAGTTACCGTATCGGGTGGGGATGCCGAAGAGCACGGCGTCGTAGTCCTTGACGGTATCGACTGTGGCGACGGGGTGGCTAGCCTTTGCGGGGGCGTGCATCTTGGTCAGGACGTCCTCTGGGAGGGTCTCGGCGATCTGGTAGATGTCGGCTTTGCCGCCCGCGGCTTCGATGCCCTTCTTTTCGGCTTCAGCCAACTTGACGATGTGGCCGTACATCGAGTACTGGATGGGTTGGGCTGGTTAGTTTCTTTCAGGATATTGAGTTTAGATGAGGGGAGGTATACATAGATGATAGCGATCTTGGGAGTCATTGTGACGGATTCGATTAATTGAATTAGATCGAAAAGAAGAGTTGAGGAGAGAGAATCTATGCAGAGAGAAGATGCAGAGTAGAAAATTGGATACTGCAAAATGATGACGGGAAGTAGGAGAGTTATATAGATCGGGAGAACCCCTCCACTGGAGCTCATCGTCCCACTTCTCCATCGTTACCAAGCCGAATGTCAGCATCCTGTAATCGACTAATTGTGGAGAACTCCCGATGGAACTCCAATCACGTCGCGTTTCTCCCACTTAGATGGTTCTGACCGATCGTTGACAAATGAACGAGATCGGCAGTATGAACCTGTTTCTCTCTCTCTTTCGATGAACAAGGGTGATGCATATTAATAATGATCAATAATAGATTATGAACGGCAGTCTAGATTCAATTGATTATTGTATTCATTTATTTGAGTCTCTATTCTACTAGTATATTCCCCATGATGGAAGCTACTAAGCTGTTTGCAGACATCGTGATGTCATCTGCCGATCCACTTTTTGGCACCACAAAAATAAGAAAACTAAATACAACCGAATTCCAGATGAAAATGTTTCCGCTTGGTACATTTCAGGAATGACCCATTGGTTACTCCGGATATGGTATGTAGCATATCGAATTGTACCATGTTCGTGTAAAGAACAACAACAACAATAATAATAGATCATAATACATGGGTCAAGCTACCACGGGGTATCGAGGGATGGAAACCAATCTCCGAAAAAAAAGCCCAAAAAGAAAGCACAAAATAAGAGAAACCCAGCTCTGAACTATCCCCGTCCGCGCCCCCGATACCGTCCCCGCATGAAGCCCCCGCCACGCCCACGCTCGCTGCGCCATTCGCGTTCCCGCTCCTTCTCCTTCTCCTGCTCCTCCCGGATCAACACCCGCTCCTGTTCTCGTTCCTCCTCCGTCTTCTCCACGCGCATCGACGGCGGCGGCAGATTCTCTGACCACCGCGCATGTGCCGACTGACACGCCTTGCCATCAGGGCAGAACCCGGCCAAGTAGAAGGGACATAACCGTCGGCGAACGTGACGTTTGGCGCACAACGGTCCCAGCGGGCAGAATCCCCGATCGTAGTGCTCGCAGGGCGGCAGACGCGCCTCCTCGCGCACGTGCTGGTACAGGCAGTCGTCGCCGTTGGGGCAGTAGCCGGACCGCGAGAAGGACTGGCACTCGGGCATGCGCCGCAGGTTGTATTCGTGGAGATACTCGCACTTCAGCCCCTTCTTGCAGAGCCCCTTGAGGAAATGTTTGCACACCAGCGACCCGTGGGTGGTCGACGGGGCCAGCCCCGATGCTGTGGTCGTGGAGGTGGTGACGCGCGACGGTGTCGGGTGGCGATCTGGGCAGGCGGGTCCTAGCGGACAGTGGCCTTCGCTATAGGCCTTGCACACTGGCACGTCGCTGGCCAGTCCGAAGCCGAAGCTCTTGCGCAGGAATGGGGCAAAGGAGAGCTCGTCATAGTTGGGATCACGCGTCCGGTCGGTGGAGAGGATTTGCGCTGCCGCATGGTGCACGTCGGTCGTCATGATGGATGGTGATGAGGTGTGAAGCCTGGTGTGACCAACGAATGGGTTGCGTTGAGGGCAACAGATAGGAGGTAATCCGTTGTCTGACTGGATATCCTGGTTGATATCAATACCTCCGCCAGATTGAACACCCGGCTAATGAAGATCGCGGACGAAACGGGGAGATGTTGGAGTTGGAGACGGAGCCAGACAAAGAAACGTGAACTTATCGCCAATGTTGACGAAAGTGGAAGGCGGTGGCAACTGACCCACATCCCATCCAGCTCCCTTGCGTCCACGTGACTTACTAACGACGATATAGTTCTATGGCAAAGATCTCTCCATAACAAGAATATATATAATCATTTGACTTCTCTAAACAATCACCACGACTGCAAATCCTTGACAAACCATGTGAGATATTCTGTTATTATGGAATAAAGGGCAAGGAATTTAATCAATCCAGTTTTGAAGGTAATATCTCGTATACCAGGCCCTGCATCTAAAACTGCTTGTACACGCCGCAGACTTCACTGATCTGTCAAATTTAACTCGCCCTATATCCTCCTACGCTTGCTCAATTATATTTGAACATGAAATCTGAACTCTGCGTTGAATCATCCACATGAAACCATATCAGGATCAATCTCATAGATGCGTTGTTCGAGCATGGTCCGCGCGTGTTTTATAGGGTTGAGATCCGGTGGGTATGGTGGACAGTCTATACACAAAATGCCGTGATCATAAAATCATCCCCAGTTAACCAAATAATACCTAACATCGTGCCACCTCTGTGCTCTGTGGGTGATCTTTTGACATTTTATATCGCGACACCTACCAAGACGTGGCAGATGGCGTAAGCATCGAGTAATCTTGCAGCTATTCATCGTAGATATGAATTGCTATCAGCGTAACCCGTATATTCAACAAAGAAGACTGGAAGAGAAATAGTGAAACCGCCATACGCAGCTTATAGATTCAATCAATGGCATCCTTTTGTATCATATATCCTAGTCGAATAGGCAGCCAGTCTGTGAAATCCACTACTCTTTTCGGTCCAAGCGACCTCTCAGATTACCATCATCCAAGAAACTACCCCACATAGCCGCCTCGGAGAGGCGATCTCACCTGCCAGGCATGGTGGCTCGCATGAGCGAGTGACCAAGCCAAATCACCCACTAATCCATGCGCATACATCACTGACATAGTGATCCTCAATTCCTCTGCGATTTCGTCTTCTTCGACCTCGGACACGGCTCCTGCCGTGATGTACTGCAGAAGGCGGCCGGGAAGGAGCCACCAACATTTATCGAATAACTCCTGCTCGCTGCTGGATTCGGCACGTTGCCGCACTTGATCGCATCGTTCAAGGCCACTGCAAGCAGTAGCCAAAGGCCTACTGAGCCCTGTGATACGGAAATCCACGTCGAACGCCTCTTCTAGGTCCGCTTCCCTCTGACCTTCCGCAGGCTGTCCGAAAGCCGAGCAATGCGCGTCGCAGTAAACCGTGCCTATTGCTCACAATATGCCAGGGTAATAATATTGCATCCATCTGGACTCCTGGGTCTGACCAGCGCTCGGTATACATTCGCCCGCACGAGTGCGCATACGCATCATACACCCATCGCAACGCTTCCTCGGTGACAATTCCAGTGTCCGTTACATCTGCGGTACCCAAGATACAACCAGCCAGCTCGGAATTATAGAGGTCAGACCCTACATCAACAACGTCAGTTTGCGGGTTACTGAAGACAAAATCATGCATAACTGCCGCCAGATTGAATCCCCGTGCTGCTGCCTCCCCTGCGATTCCGAGGATACTGCTGTCGCAGAATGCCAACACTATGCCATCGTGCCAGTTCAATTTCAAGCTCTTGCTTGATAAGTCCATATTGTGTAATTTTTCGAGGTCTGTCTTGCGTTTGATATATTGTATAACGTGGCGACAAAAAACCGCCGCTCTCGACCGCCCGGTGTCTTCAAGGCATGCGGGTCATTGATAGCATCTTCAACTAAAGACCCGTACTCTAGGAACACTTTAATGTAAGAGTGTTCGAAGTGAAACAGAGGTCGACGCAGATGTTGGCGAATAGCGTCTGCGCGTCGTGTGCTCCAATCAGCATGTTGACCATGCCGATACCAAAGAGCGTATTATTTGTCAACAATGGCGCAGGCCAGTTCTCGATGTACAGAGTTTTAATCACTTCGGCTGATGCCATCGTTAAACCGTTTCCTTTGCTCGGGAGAACGCGCCCGAGTTCGTGTTGATCTTCGCGCCATCTTTGAAGACTATTACCCCAGGTCAGGTCCACAATGGCCTTCTTTGAATCGGCTGGGTTCTCGAGTGTCTCGAGGGCTCGCGTGAGAATATTAGTACCTTCTCCTAAGAGACGCTCAAAATCTCGGACGTCTCCGTTACCGATCAGCTTGCGGAGCTCTAAATTGCCAGTCGCTGTGGCACGCATAGCACACCAATAGGGCCCGTCTGTCTGGTCCGACAATGGAGTCCTTCCCTTGATGTCGTGGTTCATAAAAACCTCAGGGGAGACCGACAACTCCCTTGCTTGCTCACAGTGGGGGACACTGCCAGCTGTAGTTGCCATAGCGAATCACTAATGAATCAAGTCTTTGGAGAGTATCAATACCAGCAGTAACAAAAGCAGGCATGATCGCGAATTGCGAGACAGCAAAGCGGTTTTGATCCCGACATCTCCTTCTCTTTACAGTTCCTTCGAGAACACCTCTCGACCAAGAATCCCTCATACTATGGCAACTATCACACCCTTGATCAAAAAACCTGCCACAACCAGGTTTGTTTCCCCCGATGTGGGTGGTCGATGCAGATCTTTCCAGCTATGGGGTTGTACGAGCAAAACCTGTTCAGGTATTCCATCCGAGTAATCCTCACATACATCCCTTTCTTCATAATCGTTTCTAGAAAAAATAGACACGAGATACTCCTTTCGAGTCAGTGCTTGGTTACACCGGTTTTAGTTGTAGAATTGCATCGCCGTACTCGAAAACACACGAAGTTTCAGTATCGCCTTGCATAAACCCACCTAGTAGTTATATAGATAGTCAGCTAGAAGATCCTTCCGTAAGCGCAGTCAGTTACACAACTCCAGCCGTTGTGTTGCATCATCGTACTTCCACAATCGTTGCATGCCCTAACTAGTTAACTGGTTTATTTCGCCTGAGCCTTCTAAGGCTGGGTGTATAAGCCGGATGATATACGGATATGCTTATCTTGTGCACGTATCTTAGATTATAGTATGCAATTAATTTGCTTATGATGTAGATTGGAGCTGGTTGAAAGGTCAGATCATCGGGGATTTTCAGTTATGGTGGGTTGTTGGAAACAGGCATGGGATGTGCGGGGGTGGGATGTGCCAGGCTATACTGGGTCAGACGATAAGAAGATAGGATGAAGTATCCTATTGTAGACGGACGACTGTGTCTTTGCCCATTGATGGACTAGCTATACGGCGTCTACGACATTCCTATCCAGCAGGGGACGAGTCACCTTGACACCTCCCTACAGAGTACTGACAATGGCGATATTTGGGTTGTAACCAGTTAGACCTCACAGCACATGTCCATGCTTGAACACAGCATTACAGAGGAAGGTAAATCTCATCGGCGCAGTTGGAAGCGTGCCACGAACCAGGGGGCCTGTCAGCCTGCCGTCAGCGGGATACGGGCTCTCTAACCACTGAGCAAGTGAGGACCGGCGAAGCTTCATTCACCGCATCGTGACTTGTCTGGTTCTGACTATCTCTCTGCCCACGATGCCCTTCCGCGGTAGGCAAGTACTTCCGATAAAGATCACATGGCCTAGAATTCTAGGCCAGGATCCCCATTCCCTGTCACCGTACTTACTTCCCGCGGTGTGTCTCGAGGACCAGACGGATACCTTGTATTAGGGAGTGACCCCGAGCGAGCGACAACAACAACCAGTCATAGTGGCGGCGTCGAGACTCGCAGTCTGTCATGCGGGGGAAAAGGAAAATCCCTTAGTCCCTCGGACTAGGCGGCGCTTGCATTCTCTCCGTCCCCACATCTGCTGGTAGGGGCAAAAAGCAACTTCCCAGGCTAGAGGTCAGTGGAAAAAAGCAAAACGACACCAAGAGGAAAGACGGGGAGAATAAATAGAGCATCGCCTCCCAACAGATCGTCCGGTCTAGGTAGAAACCAGCACTAGTCCCTGACTTTGGGTGAAGATTTTTTTCTTCCCCCTCATCGTCTGGTCGTCCTCCTCTCCGCTTCTTTTGTGCGGTCAAACCTCCCGACAACCATGACTGTTACTGGAGATCCACCCACGGAGCCTGGGTTTGGGTGTGAAAAGGAATAGATGAGGTTGGTGCGACCAATTACCGCCAGAGCTTTTCTCACCGAGGTCTGGCCTGAACTTAAGCCAGCATGATCCTGTCCGTCGAGAGGATGCCAGGGCATCCAATAATAGCATCTTTGTGATCTGGGGGATCCGATCTGGGGGGCAAAGTCCGTCACTGTGCGATTCGGGCCGCAACCAGCTGGTCACAATGACAAGCGATGGTTCCCTGTATCGAGGATCCGATTCAACCAGCTGGGATCCATCAGATGAAGTTCGTCCAACTGTCAATCGCTCACGCCGTCAATCGCTTTGTCGAGAGGCGGGGGAGTCCGACGTATCATATGAGAGTAAACTGTTGCGTAGATTATGATTGACGGACCAAGCTGCACGGTGAATTCGAGGGTAGTCATGTCATTCTGCTTTTGGGCGAGCTGATCGGGTTGCCTTTTCATTTAATTTACTGTTTATTTATTTATTTATTCAATTTTTTGGGTCCACCCAGGTCTTTGTTCGTGACTTGGGCCGTTGTCCACAAGATGTGTGGGATTGGAATCCATGGGGTGTTCCCGATGGAATTACCCCACAGTCCAATAGGTTTGGAATGAAACAGACTGTTGATAATAAAAAGATATGGAGCAATGACCATCGAGGGGAACAAGAGCTATGACGGAGAACGGAGGAAAAGAAAAGAGAGAGAGAGAGAGAGAGAGAGAAAGAGAAAGCTGGAGAAGAAGGAACCCCACACGTGACAGTGACCTGATTGGGGCAGTTGCGCTTCATCCATTCATCTCCATCTCCATCATCATCTTGTCTTCGTCTTCTTTCTTCTGCTTCGTCCAGACCTTTCTTTTACTTTTCTTTTTATTTCTTCATATCTTTGTCTTCCTGACAGTCTCCCCCTTTTTTTGTCATTTCTATAATTCAACCTTCCGTATTAGACATCTTCATGTTCTCCGGCTCCCTCTTTCCCCACTGGCGCCGCAAGGCAGCCGAACGCTCTAGCAGCAGCTCATACGAGGTCCCCTTCTTTCTCAACGCCGCTTACTACCCCAATTGGAGAATCTATCGCAAGCAACCGCCGTCATCACTCCGCTTGGGTTTCATCTCTCACATCTTCTACGCGTTTGCCTGGTACTAAAGATACTCACATTGCATACCCATACGTATATACATCCCCACGGGGGATCCGGTCGGGTCACTGGTTAACCAACTCCTTTTCTTCTCTCTAGGGTCAAGGAAGACGGAACGGTCTATGTATTCTGCCCCTTGGTGCATGTGGGATACCGTCAAGCTGACTCTTCCAGTTGAGCGATGAGTGGGCCGATACACAGATGCCGGTAGACGGCACCCAGGGCTGCCTCCGGGCGTTCGTGCAGATGAAGCAGCAGTATTCGAAGATGAAGATCATCCTCTCCGTCGGAGGCGGCGGGAAGGGAAGCGAGAACTTCGCCGGCGTGGCTCGGAGCCAATCCCGCGTCGAGACATTCGTGCGCACCGCCCGCGCCTTGGTCGATCAGTTCGGACTCGACGGCATCGACGGTAGGCTCCCCACTTCCCTTCGTCGAGATCCAAGATAGTGAACGGTTCGAATTGACTCCACGTTTTAGTTGACTGGGAGCACCCCTCGGATCCGCAGCAGGGTCAGGATTACGTCCGGCTGTTGGCGCGACTTCGGGAGGTGCTGCCGGCGCCGCGGTATGTGCTGGCGACGTGTCTGCCAGCGGGCCAGTGGGCTCTCCGCAACATCGATCTCGGCAAGGCGTCGCTGTACGTCGACCTCCTGAACATCATGACGTACGATTTCGCTGGTCCCTGGGCCAATGAGACGGGCCATCAGGCCCAGCTGTATGGGCGCTCCAGCGGCGCCATCTCGTGTCAGTCGTCTGTCAATTACGTGCTGCACCAGGGGGTCGATCCGAAGAAGCTCCTGCTGGGGGTGCCCGCGTACGGGCGGTCGTTCTTGGGGAGCAGCAACACCGGACAACGGTACGCAGGGTGCGGTGGAGAGGACGGCGTCTTCGACTACAGCGACCTACCGCGACCGGGAGCCAAAGAGCACCACGACGACAAGGCGGGTGCGGCCTGGTGTTCCGGGGGTGACGGTGGGTTTGTGACGTACGACACGCCTCGGACGGTGCAAGCCAAAGCCAAGTTTGTCACCAAGACGAAACTGGGGGGGTTATTTTATTGGCATATTGGCGGAGATGCACGCGGTTCACGGAGTTTGATTGAGACGGGATATAATTCATTGCATGATCTTTGATTGGGGAGGCTTTCAACCAGACGGGAAAAAGGAAAGAAAGTAAAACAATCAATGAAAGAAAGAAACAAGAGAAAGAAAGAAAGGAATAAAAGAAAGAAACAAAACAAAACAGCACAATGAAGAATGAAAATGGGCGGCTTTTTGATTTATGACAGCAATGACCAGAACGAAAGGATCACTCACTCACGTCAGGGGGGAGCAGCGATTGATTTATAAACTAGTATACACAGTACTATTGTTAGTCTGGTTTAGTCTAGTCCATTCTATTCTTATTTACTATTTGTTGCTTGTTTCCAGCTGATAAGACGATGGAAAGCAATTCGCCTGTTTGCAGCGTCCTGTATGTCACTCGATCAGTTCGGTACTAGTTAACTAGCGGTGTGATAAACATACCTTTATACAGTGTATCTACTCCGTAGTCACTTAGTATATTTTATCTAGATTAACTGAACTTAGTAAAATCTATGTATCCAGGTAGTACCAAGTAAAAACCAATCCCCAAACTAGATAGACATTCTTTGGTCGGTATACTCGAAAATCATGACATGTTGAAATGAAGTGGTGGCTTGATACCCAGGTACATCAACATAGACAAAGCTATCACATCGATCACGTTTCCTTTTCTGCTGGAGCACGCCATAGGAGTCAGACTTACTGTAGTACCTTACTTTACTTTACTTTAATTCCTTTATCTGACCTCACCTTGGTTATCTAATGGGTGTATACTTAAGGTACTGACTGGGTATCTAGGATCCATGTATACACTACTACGTAGGTTGGGTAGGTAGCAGACTGGCAATAACGCCAAACAGGGATTCGATAGCATCATTCAGGCAACCCATAGTTTTTTTGGCTTTAGTGGACCTGCCTACCCGCCTCCCTGCTTATCTACCATCATTTCTTCACTACTTGATTATTGAGTCAGAAGAAGGGAGGATAAGAGAGATAAATGTCAACATGCAGCCATCAAGCATTTGTTTCATTACATTATGTCGATCTCGCGTAACTACATTCGGTTTGTTTCTCCCCTTTCTTTCTTTCTTTTCTTTTCTTCGGGAAATGAATAAGTGAAGGGAACGGAAGGGTCCGGATCAATACAGACGAAAGCAGAGGCCAGAGAAAGTAAACAGTTCCGTAGGCTAGACCTGGGATAGGGAATCGAGAAAAAGAAAATATATGAAAGACATGATTAATCAAAGAAAAGAAACAACTCAAAATAAAACAACAAGACAGGATATGATATCAACGGTATGATTTAATCAAGCAAAGAAGAAAAGAAGAAGAAGAAGAAGAAGAAGACAGATCACTTCACACCCTTCAGGATCTCACCCACATCCAAATCCACCTTCAACTTATTCGCCGCCAACGCAGCCGCGAAATAAGGCAGATCCTGGCCGTTGTAGGTGGTCGAGTTGCCTGTGATATCGACGGGGATGATGTTGTTCTTGTACTTGGGGAGCAGCTTGGTGACGGTGATCAATTTCGTCTTGGCGAACATGTCGAGGTTGTTGTCGCCGGGTTTGAGGACGAGTTCGTTGAGGAAAGATTGGCCGATGGGTTGGCCGTCGACGGAGAGGTCGAGGGTTACGTTGCCCTATTATTGTTGATTAGTATTTTCAATGTGATTGTTGGTTGAGAAAAAAAAAATGAGGAGACATACCATGGTGATCGTCATGACGGATGGGTTGGGGATGAAGACATTGCCCTTGAGGTTGGCGCCGTTGGGGCCGTCCTCGAGGTGCATCTTGCTGAGTTTGAAGCCCTCGAGCTTGTTCAGGCCTGTGATGGTCAGTCGGTCATATTGACAGTGACATCGTGGTGTTGTAGGACCCACCCTTCATAGTGACGGTCTTGTTGTAAGTCACGTCGATAGTAGGCAGAGCCCCCTGCTTCAGGTCGGGCACGCCATAAACGTTCAGCTTAACCTCCTTCTCGAGCATCACCGCCTTAGAGAAGTCCGTGAAGGCATCCACGTCGGACAGGTCCAAGCGCTGATCGATGTCCATCTTCGTGCCATCATTGGCCTTGATCTCCGGCACGCGGACCTTTGCGAACGCGGCGGACCCGAGCAGCGACACGGCTGCGTCGAAGGCGAAGATAGTCGGGTGGAAGATGCTGTCTGTGCCGATCACCTGGGTCTGTTTCAGGGTGAAGGCGTCCGTCGCAGGGTCGGTGATGGCCATCGAGGTGATCTTGAGCGTGGACTCGTTGATATCATCCTGCGCGATGTTCGGATAGCCGACGTACACACTGCCTCAGACAAGGCATTATTAGTTTCTGCCCAGACTCGCAGTTCAATTCAACCAGGGAAACCTACACAGGAAGAGCGATCACCAAGACGACCGCGATAAAGATGATAACGTGGACCCACCACCAGCGCTTGAAGTGAGCAGCCACGCGCGACCCAAGCGAGGGCTTCGCCGACATAGGGCTCACGCCCACCGCAGTGACCCCGTCTTTAGACATGTTGGGATCGATGCGAGTGGTGAAGGGTGAGGTGAACTGGTACTGGAATCAAGTAAACTGCGAGGGTCAGTGTGACGTAACACAGGAGAGAACTCTGTTACTCAAGCGACCAATATGAGGACGAGAAACGAAAGCCACCGGGACGGGGGAGGAGAGCAGGGATTGCTGGGCAGCTGCTGGGCAGTTGAAAGACGAACCGATGGTTGAGGGTGAAGAGGTTGTATTCAGCTCTGGATGACCTGTCTGGGAAGGGTTAGTGACAATTTCATTGACGACCGACAATGTCCATTTGGGATTAATGGCAAGAGAACTCTGACCTCTGAGGGGAGGGTTCTGCAAAACGGTTGAATGAGAGTAACCGCGAAATGAGGAAACTATCTAGCTATAAGAGAGAAACGAACGAAACGATAGTATCCCAATTTTACTGAAAGCAACAAACCGGCCACGCCTACTCAGACAGAATCCAAAGCAAAGAGAACCGATAAATGGACCCCCCAGACCATTGCAGGTCCCCAGGGCAATATATCTACTCCGGACAATCTTAAACGAGGGCCAGACAGACCATCACATGTCTCCACCAGACGGTTGAAAGTGGTTTAGTTACTCGAGTCCAGCACCGCGGACCTTCTTTTAGTGTACGAAACTCGTGCAGAAGACACCTTCCACGCTGGCCGGGGTCGGGAGCTAGCTACACCGGAAGGCCCAAGGTTCCAAAAAAAGGGGGCGAAGAAGGGACATTACTTAGTTAGTGACATGGGCAATCTGTCAATCTCTGCAGACCTCGGCGGAGGATCACCATTTCCCGCGACATGGTTCTGAAGCGGTTGATATCTGTTTCAAACAAACTAACCCTCGAGATATTCTCGGAACTTGTTGGAACATGGGGATGATAAACCGAGGCAGGTGCCGTCTGCCAGACCGAAAAAGAAAAAGTCAAAAAAAAGCCAAAAGAGAGAGCCACAATGCAAGTCGAGGAAGGTCAGATGGCAAACCGACCAGTATCGGCGTCGAGAGCGATTGGTGGACCTGGGCAGAACTTTTCTCTCTTGCCTGTACTCCTCCACTGGGCAGGCGATGCAACCCAACCTAGCGCGGGGTGGGGAGGGGGGGCGTGCCTCGCCTATTTCCCCAAATTTCCCCATGGGCGATCTGAGACTTGGCGGGAACCAGGATCTCATTGGGCTCAAACTGAGACTAGCAAGCATCCAGATATCCCGAATTGGACTGGCGGGGCCAAGCCCCAGCACGGGGCCCCCCCGGACACGAGAGGCGAATACGGAGAGACGGTGGCTGAGTACCGGCCTGATCATTGGTGTTACCCTTCGCAGGGAAATTGTGACTTCTGATTTGGAACTTGGCCCATGGTCAGCGTTGGCGTCTGACTGTCTTGGCCCCCCGGTCCAGGGGAGGGCACCAATAGGCTCGATGGTCCCCGCCAATTTTTACTCCGGGGTTCTTTTTGCTCTTATTGTTTCGACCCCTGTTAGCGAGGGAGTCAGTCCTCATGTCATTAGTGAATGGTCCGAGATTGATCGACACGAGCAAATCAAACTGGGGGGAGATGGGGGTGAGACAAAACATGTGGAAGGCTTACGGAATCTTAAAGATCCCGGGGATTGGAGAAGGATGAAGGAATGAAGAATGGAGGAATGGAGGGAATGGAAGGATTGACGAGAAGGGAAAGAGATCAATTTGGCTTGGCTGAGGTCAGGTGTTGCGCACGGGATCCATTCTTGCCTCTGTCACGGGACTGTCTGACATTGATGATTCGAGTCTCATCAGCGCTTCTGACATGCATGATCACTCCAGACCTTGTGTCTTCCTCCGAGGTGTTCGACAAAGAATGCACTCCATTCTCCACGTCGATCTGATCCACTACTGGAACGGGGGGTGATCCCCTCCGCCCTGTCGATCACCACCATCACACTTGACGGCATCCCAGCAGGTACTACCCCTCCGCTACAACTACTCCAGAGAAATCCTATGAGTACTGGTAAATAGCAAACTATCAATCAATTGCTGAAAGACATGCGACTATATATGATCATGAGTATCATCAGGTGTGATCTCTCCAACACAAATCAAGGAGCAAAGGAAGCGAATGATTCACAAGAAAAGAAATATGTGGAAGAAAGAGGTAAGCAAAGAAAGGTTCAAGAAAAAGGGAATCAACGAAGGAGAATGAGATAGATCAAGGGAAAAAGGTAAAAAGAAAGATCACACAGTGATTAGAAATTATGGGGTATCCAAGAAACGAAGTATGGTGCCCACATAGAGCCGGTGGAAAAAGCAATCATGAGATGCAAGTTCCGCTCAATCAACAAGAAACTTGCAGACCCAACAGAGAAGGAGAAAGATGAAGCAAACAGGAGATAAGGAGGGAAAGAACGGAAATACCAGGAGTCACGACTCGAGATCTGGTCAGACGGGTGGATTTGGCAAATGCAAAAAAAAAAGGTAAAGGAAGCAAGAGAAAAGAAGAGAAGGAAGAAAGAAAAAAAAAAAAAGAAGGGAAAAGAAAGAAAAATAAAAGTAACGATGGAGAGATCAGGCTTCCGCGGTAGTCGACTTCTTGCGTTGAAACAGACTACGGGTGCGAGACTTGTTGCGCAGCTGTTGTTTCTTTTCCGGCGTGCCGTTCGCTCGGCCGCGGCCGCGCGACGACGACGCGTTCGCTTCCTCATCGGACATGTATTTATCCTTGTAGATCCTATCAAAGAGATCAGGTTAGTACAGGACGAAATCGAATCCAAGACAAATTCCCACATACCAGCTATTTCCAACCATGCTGAGTCCCTTGGCCTCCGCCGCCCGATAGAGGCGCGCGGCCTTCTTCAGATCCTTCTTGCAGCCCACTCCCTCGGCGTAGCAGTAGCCCGCCTCCGCCAGCGCGTCGCCATCCCCCCACTGGCCGGCAATCTCGAAGCAGCGGAGCGCAAGCACCTTGTCCTGCTCAATGCCCCACCCGTTCAGGTGGCTCACGCCAAGCTCGTAGACGCTCAGGGCGAACTGGGCCCGGTACGTCTTCTGCAGCTCGCGCGTCTTGGCGGGGACCGACGTGTTGGCCTCGTCCATCAACTCCGGACCGACCGAGCCCACTGCCTTGCGCAACCACTGCACTCCCTCGCGCTGGTTGGGGCGCATACCCCACCCGTGCCGGCAGGCGAGCGCATAGAGCAGCATCCCCGTAGGATGGTTCTGCTTGGCCGCGATGCGCAGGTGATAGGTGGATTCCTTCAGCGAGCCCTTCTCGTGGCATTCGATCCCCTTAGACACATGGTCGTCGGCCGTGACGACAGACGACGTCGTCGCCGTGGACCGGGCGGTCTGGGGGCGCACAGTCGACGCGGAATCTGCCGAGGACGTCGCGTCGGTCCGGTCCTCGGGGATTGAGGTCTCCGGCGCAGACGGTCCGCCGGGCGCCGACTGGGGGGTGGTCGCCTCCGGCGAGGGCGGGGTCCGAGCGGAGGGCGAGACGGCGGGCTCCGGCGTCAACAGGCGGCGCTCGTGCGCGGCGGGTTCGTTGAGCGAGCGGGCCTTAAGCGATGAGATCGACTGCCGCGACGGCGGGGGCGACGGGGAGCGCGCCGAGCGGGGCCGTCCCGTGGGACTCAGCAGCTGCTCCGTGCCCTCAAACAGCGGCTCCTGCCACTCGAAGTGCGGCGTCTGCAGTCCGGAGAAGACGATCGAATCTCGGGACATCATGCGGCCGCGCGGAAGGGAGTACTTGGCGTAGATATAGGAGGCCGCGGTGGCTGAGAGCGGCTCCTCGCCGGGGCGTAGGGACCGGTCCGACGTGGGCACGACGATCGGGGTGGGTTTGTGATCGCGGTGCATCGAGGTGCGGGCAAGGGGGTTGGGGGGTTCGGGGCCTCCCATCTGCGGGGCCGAGAGGCTAGTGCTGGATCGGCTGAGGGGACGCGAGAAGTTGAAGGATGGGCGGGTGAGGTGATTGCCGTTGTTGGAGGTCTCCGAGTTGATGGACGGGGAGCGCGGGCGCGACGACCGGTTCATCGAGGACATGGGCGATTGGGGCATCGACATGGCACTGCCGGAGGACAGCTTGCGCGGTTTGGAAAAGGTCGAGCCCGCGTTGGAGCTGCTGTAGTCGTCGTCGGAGCTCTCGGGCTGCGTGCCCCGCGAGCCGGTGGACGGCCGCGAGAAGGGCGAGGTCGGCGGGGCCAAGTTGTGGCGCGCCACGTTGAGTCGCGAGGCGGAATCAGACGAGGAGGTGCGGGGTGGGCCGGTCAACGAGACGCCCGGGGGCGCGGGGGCATAGAAGCGACGGGGGGTTCCCGGGTGGTCGGAGATGGACATGTCCTCCTCCGGGGAGTCGGCGCGAAGCATGTCAAACGGATTGTGGGCGAGGTGGTAATTCCCCGATTCCACCCGCGGGGTCGCACTGTCATCGCGGCGATCGCCCTGTTCATTTGCCAAGTGCGAGACCGCGCTGAGACGGGGATGTTCGGACTGCGGGCGAAACTGCGGTTCCTCCACCTCGACGTTGGTGGTGTGCGTGTGTTGGCGGGAGAGGCTGCGGGGAGCCCCTCGCGACAATTCGCCCGAGGACGGGGATCGGAAGTAACCTGGTCGCGGTTGGGACAGCGAGCGGGCGACGCTGGCCGGAGGTAGGCGACTCAAGCGACGGTCCCGTTGAGCGGACTCTTCGAGCTGGCGAGCCAGCAGCCGACCCTGGGCGGCGAAAGCGTCCAGGGGTGAGAGAGCGGGGGGGATTTCTCCATCGAAGTGTTCGATGCGCGGCGACGGGGCGCCGCTGCGGAAGGTTTCGTGGGATTGCGAGCGTTGCTCTCCCAGTTGCGGCCGGAGATTCACGATCGCACCGGGATGGGTTCGATCAACCATGGTCAGGAAGTCTAAAAGAAACAATATAAAAAATAAAAAATCGAAGATAAAAATCGAACCCTGGATGCGAAACGCTCCAGAGAAAAGTGATCACAGGTCGGTCGGATTCCACCGAATCATTTATATACGTTTCGTGTCGAAATCGAGAGAGGTGTCCGGAGGACTTTAATCAGGAGGGGGCCAATCTGACGGGGGCGGATTCTTTCGGTGGGTTTGGGGGTGGTAAGCCCCGGTGATACGGCCCGCTAAGGTGATGGAAAAGGGCGGAATACGAGAAGGAATGACAGCCCGAGAGAAGGTGAGAATGGTAGGGGAGGGAGGGAGGGAGAGAGAGAGAGAGAGAGAGGAGGAAGATAGAGAGATGGGTTTCAACGGGGTACACGTGAAGAGACCAGCGTGGATAGAGCGGAGGGCCAAGGAGCGACGAGGGTGGGAGGAGAGGGTGAGAATGGAAGGATTGAACGGGATGGATGGGATGGAGGGAGGGAGATAGGGAGAGGGATTAGATCAGGAAATCAATCTCAAGCCCAGGGGAGACAGGAAGAACAGGCATCGTGAAGATGAGAGACAACTGGGAGGTGGAGGAAGAATAGAGAGAGAGAGAGAGAGAGAGAAAAGAAGCAAGCGGGAAAGGATGAAAGAAAGTGAGAAAGTGAGAAAGAAAAAAGCGCCCACGGTGGTTGTTGTTGTTTCGCCCTGACGATCACCCTCTCCAACGAGGGTCCGTCTCCACGGGGTATTCTAGGTATTGATTCTATCGTTACCATCTTGTATTCTATCCATTTTGATTCTTCTTTTTTCCTGAACTTGATATAATAGTATCTACCTTGTTATTCTATAGATACTATCTGGCTACTCGGTATATTATCATTGTAGAGATGAATACCTGACATGTTGAGCGGGGTGCAGCAACAGCAAGCAGCAGCCACTGCAAGGGACGGGCCGTTTCAGGGGAAGAGAGACATCGTTTGATTGGTATGTTACCGTACCGTACCATACCTGATCTATTTCTCCATATACCTCCCGAAGGTATATGGAAAGTACAATTCTCCGATTTATTGATTGCCTCAACCTCAGTCCCTGCGATCAATTCCGGAACAGGCAGAGAGTGGACCAGTGGCATGAATTCTGTCCAGAAATAGATCATTCATCGGGAGAAGGAATGTTGTAGGCTGACCGGGTGAGTTTTCTAGAAAGAGGAAATGGAATCTTGGCCGGGATGAGACCCATGGTTGAAGAACGTCTGGAGTGGAGTCCATCTCTGGTCTATATATATTCTGCCATTGGGTTCCATGGTTGTGGACATTGGACATCATCCTTTTGATTGTTTATCATACCACTCTGTCTGTATTAATCTGTTGATTCATTTTCTGATTGTTATTATGATCATTCTCGTCTGGAATAAACCACAGTGTGTGACAGTATCCTCCAGGTGGAAATTACCATCGATACGGCATTTACCGACAGAGAGCCCCGTAAATCAGGCATCGCTGGGGTTAATTGCGATTCTCTCCACCTTTACTGAGAAGAGTTAATCCTCTTTCAACCTCACTCCACTTCTCTCTCCCTCGATGGATGAAGAATGTTCATCCATTGTTCTCTTGTAGTTGATAGGACCAGTTTCAATGGCAGGAGATCATCCCCACCTTAACATAATAACGTTACCGTTGACTGACACGGACTTTGGAGTCGCTGTACCATTCCTATCAATTTCCACTATCTACCACTATCCAACTGACTATCTACTATCTATCCCAACCGGCTTGTTGACTACTACCTACTGCCCCTCAAAATAGCCGTGGAAGTCTAAGGGGTGAATCCATTGTGGGTCAGACTCACACTAATCTATTTTTTTCTTTCTTCATTCTTACTTTCTCTTTTTTGGATCTCTCCTATCTCGTCCAGTGGAAGGAGTCTCCCGTTTAAGCTTATTCAAGTTACATCGTACAATCCGACCGGTCCAATCGGGAATCCCATCCCGCCGGATCTTTCGATCTACTATTCTTTAATCTGAACCGTCCTCTCTCTCATTTTCTCTCTCTCTCTATATACTCCATCATAATAATTACCCAACGCTCCCCAATACCTATCGTAAGGCTGATGTAAAAACCAATCCCTTGGCATCCTAGCATTGGCACGGCATCAATGGTGTGATTCCCCACCAGATGACACCACTCGTTTTTCCTGTCCTTGGCAGGCTGATCGTTGTCGGACAGACTACTAAATACCGAGTTGATCCTGATCTCGGTCGCTGTCCATCAATCAGGTTTGGATATGGAGATATCGTGGAGGTCCGCTATGTCATATGCCTTTCGGGGATGTGAAACTCGAGTGTGCTTCAGCCTTCTCCTGGTCTACTTACATTAGGGACTGCCTGGGTCTTCGTTTGTCGTGGAGGCTACCGTCTGCGGTCGGTACATACTAGAGATATACTTCGTTTTTTACTTCTTTTTTGCTTATCCTTCTCCTGTTATAGTATTCTATTTATTTACCTCATCATGTGGTGTCCTCTGCGAGTAATTGGCCGGCATGTCTCCGACATATATACCGTTAGTGACGTCGAGTCGCATATCGAACCCCACCTTTCATTCCCCATACCCCAGTCATCTCCATCACACATGCATTATATACCAAATACCGACTTGATCAATTGACAACCGTCATGACGACAATCTACTTGCTGTCGAACCCCACACTACCAGTATCCCACCTCACTTTTCCTTGTGTTATCCACGCTCTGTTTCTGCTCTCCTGCTACGTCTGCGTTGCCTCTCCCTGCTTGACTAGAGTTTCACTATTTGATTCATTGGTAGGGTTGTATAAAAGGTGGTTGGATTAAGAGTGTCAATACCGGAAACTTGTTCATGGATTCAATTGGTTTTTTTTTTCGTTCCCGTTTAGCCAACGATTATGAGAGAAGAGTACATGCTTGCGCCGCGATATCAAACCTTACCAATGCCTTCGAGATCCCACCCCCAAAATAAAATGATAGAGAGAGAAAAATGATAGAGAAAAGAATGATAGAGAGGAGAGAATGAGAGAGTGAGAGGAAACAGAAAAGAAGAGATTATACCTTCTCCCAGTTCGTCTCGCTACTGCTCCCGCTGGGGCTGTCGCCCGGCGTGCGCTGTCCCGATCGCATCCCCAACATCCATCCCACCAATCCAGCCGGCACCCACTCACCAATAATGCTGTAAGTTCGCGCCCCCCGTCCGACGAACATCACCGGGCTTTTCGACACCTTGCGCCCGAAGATGTCCCGCGACGCCGGCTCCAGCGCGTCCATTACGGCGTAGTGCAGGCTGCGCGCCGGAGATCCCCGCACCGTGCTCGGTCCCGCCGAAGCCACGGGCCGCTGCTCGATGCTGGATAGGTACTGCGGTCCGTACAGCGACCGCTGCTGCGCGCTCCATGCCAGAACTTCTGTGCCGGTGATGTGGCCCTGCGCGTTCCGGTACGGCGCACCCAGGTCGATGTTCCCGAGCTTCAGCTCAACCACGTCGATCTTGCCGTGTTGCAGGAGACTGAGCTCTCGTCGCAGCGATGTGGCAAACCCGGACAGTGCCCGGGTGGTGGTGACTTCGGGGCCTGTGAACGGGGCTGAGAGCGACGAGGAGATGGAGGGGTAGACAAGGACGATGGTGCTGTTGGTGTTGCGGACGGTGAGGAGGGGCAGGAAGAGTTGAGTGGTCAGAATGGGCGACAGCAAACGGGCGTTGACGGTATCGGCCCAGGAAGAAGGCGGGATCGTAGCCACGGGGCCGGTGCTGTAGTTGGGCGATGGCACGAGGATAAGTCCGCTCAGCTGGCAGGTGTGTGGTGGCACACCGGCCATCGGACTTTGGGGTTGGGTGATCAACGAATGGATCTCATTCAGACACGGGTGGATATCCGAGGGAGAAGATGTAATCTGTATGTATGAGTCAATGTCTTTCTTGTCCACTCCAAGGGGGTGCGGTCCGGCTTACCGTCGTAAGATCCAGCCAGAGGCTGCGAATGTCCCCTCGATTTTCCGACTGGACCAGACGCTCCTCATCTGCAGACGCCACGGTAATGTAGACGATGTATCCCCGACGTTCCAAATCCGAGGCGATGGCTCTGGTCATCGGCTCATGAGGGGACCCGGCGACAACTGCCTGCCGTTAGACTTTTTCGTTTCACGCAAACCGTCCCCGCGCGGGCAACATACCAACTATCTCTTTCCGAGCGCCGTTCCCAGCTCTGCGCGCCCTCCTTCGTCGACCGCCCAGCTTTTTATTTCCATAGTAGAGCACGCAGCTAGTTCCCACAAAGGCGAGGATGGCAGCGCTCCACGCTCGGTTCCGGTGGACCCAGTCCTGCGCCCGAGTGACGAGGGAGTGTGAGGAATGCAAGTCCGGGGTGCGTTTAGGTATAGGCCGCACTGAAGAAGGCAGCCATGACTGATTAGAAAGCAGATCTCGAATCGTCGTGGCGGCGTGGTCGACCTGCCGGTCGATAGAATCTGCTACTTGCGTGGAGTACCGCCTTACGTCATGGGGTATCGTGGCAAGCTAAAGACAGCAACAGGTCAGATTCGGCTTTGGAAAAGGGACCTGATCTCAAGAGATATACTCACGTAGTCAAAGAAGAACTGATCATCACTCGTCATTTTGAAAGGGGACAAAGATGGACTGAAGCTTTCGAAGACCAGGCAGAGGTGATGCCGTGAAGAAATCCACTGATGTTAGCAACGATACGGGAAAGTCACATGAGTTCCACATCGGGACCCACCATATGCAAGCTGTATATCACGTGCCATGATCACTTCCTAGAAAATGCTATTACGACTATTCTTCTATAAGAATAGGAACTGGTGTGTGCTAGTTATCTTCAACTTCACTCTAGGCGTGCTGAAAAAAATGATAACATTGATGAGTGGGTTACGAGTGGAGAACGTGCATTCGCCTTGGTGTCGATGATCTCGGTCATCCATCGGTCGAGATGACTATGCGTTGGATTATCCTAGAGACTACCTAGTATATGAAGTGTCTACTGCAGGTATCTGACTACCAGGAACAACTGCCTGAGATTCGAGTGTATGCTCCCCATGTAGAGTGTACAAATCCTCAGGCATCCAGTGTAAGTCACGTGACCACGTTCCTGGCAGGTTCCGTGGATTATCAATACAATTTCCTCGTCCTTTCAACTCTCAAGTGCCACCCTGTTCCATGACGCGGCTTCATCTCTGGGCTGTCTGCCTGGACTGTGGTAAATGATTTTGTCGAGAACCATCGGAAGCATAGTGTGCTCGCTCTGATGGATGGACACTGCTTTCTGCTAGGCTGGAGATAACCTGGCGGAAACGTCCCACTACATTCTTTACTACCTGCTAGTACTATACTACGGTTCCTCAATTTTAATTCACGATTTTGATTATCTGCACACGATATCTCGTTCTTTCCTACTATTTTGGCCATTTAGATCATTTTTGTCTTGTTCAACCCTACAGAATGCGTGAAATCGACCCGCTGGTCCTCGAATACCAGCATGACAAGCATCGGCCCAGAGAATCTGAGGCGTTGATGGTTCTCCGAAAGGTCGCCTCCCTAGTCAAGCCAATCATGCGCCGAAGAGACTGGAAAGTTGGGACTCTGGCAGAGTTCTATCCAAATCAGAGAAATCTTCTAGGTCTCAACATCAACGGCGGCCTGAAGATATGTCTGCGGCTGCGATACCCTTCCGATCAACGTCAATTTCTTCCTGTCCAGGATGTGGTGGATACTATGCTGCACGAGTAGGTGGCTAGCTCCTTACTACAGATCTATTACTGACATACATAGACTTTGCCACATCGTTATCGGGCCCCACAACCAGCAGTTCCATGCTCTCTGGAACCAGCTGCGGGACGAGCATGAAGAGCTCGCCATCAAGGGCTACACCGGAGAAGGTTTCCTGTCCCAAGGCAAACGTCTTGGCGGGCGCCACATGCCTGTCGACGAGGCTCGTCGGCAAGCGAGAGCAGCTGCGGAACGCCGGAAGACGCTCTCTGCTGGTTCTGGACAGCGATTGGGCGGTGCTCCAGTCCGTCGAGGCACAGACATCCGCAGGGCCATTGCCGATGCTGCGCAACGGCGCATCGAGGTGACCAACGGCTGTGCCTCTGGGGCAGAGAACAGTACTGAGCTTGCAGAAGAGGCTTCTCGGAACAACTTTAGCACCAAAGCCGAAGAAGATGACGCAAACGAACGCGCGATCATGCAGGCTTACATTGACCTGATCGAGGAAGAAGAGCGGGAGCGCTACGGACCTGGCTATATCCCTCCCAGCCAAGCGATCCCTGCCGGACCCCGCTCCGTGCTTTCTCCACCACCTCAGAGCGTCAATCCTCCTGCGCCGTCTGGACCGTCTCAGTCAGAAGTCCCTATTGACTTAACGACGGATGATCGACTATACGAGACACCGTGGACATGTCCTACCTGCACCCTCGAAAACCCCGCCACCTACCTCTGCTGTGACGTTTGTGCAGCCGAGCGACCTCGACCATCCAACCCCAGGTCTATGTCTGGCCCTGCAACTACTAAACCCAGTGAGACGGAGATTAGAAAAACGAACAAGAGACCTCTCAGTCGCTCCGCGGCGCAGGAACCGTTCAGGAACCGGACCAGAGCTGTCGAGTCTCTCGCATCCCTAGAACGAAAATCTTCCAAACGGCCCCTGGGATGGCTCTGTGACGATTGTGGCAGCTTTATGGAAACAGAGTGGTGGACATGTTCTAACTGTGGGAAAATGAAGCGGGCGTCATGAGATTGGCTCGCGCAAGAGTTGCTTGCACCTCCTGGGCTGGCCCGTAGCATAGCAATGTGTAACGGATTACGAGACATGAATCTTAATAGATCTAAGTTCAACTTGATTAAATCACAACGGGCCCAAGGCTCGAGAACGCTTGTATCTCTTTTATAAATATCGTCGATAGATTAAGCGCTCAAAGTTATCCAGTTATGCACACATAATTATACGCAATATCACAACTATGACTAATTATGCCCTACCCGGCCCGTCCATCATCCCGATCCCGACGCCAAAACTTATTTTTACTCGTTTTTTTTCTCTTTCTTTTCTCCTCTTCTTCTCTATTGTGGAAATGCTCAACCACGAACACCAACAAGGATGAAATAATGCAGTCAATCCACTGACAATCAGGTATGCTCACAACATCCATCTCTACAAAAAACACAACCAATCTCCGAACCAATCAATCAAATCATCATCACCCCGCCATAACCACAAAGCCACAAAAGACAAAGACAAGCAGAGCACAAGCCAAACCAAACCAAAAACCAAACAAACACAATAATAAGACACACCCTTGTCACCTAAATGATGAGAACGTTTCTCTAGAACCGGTATTTTTTAGGAAGAGCCGGAAAAGGTATGGCAGGGATTGCCCTTCTCACTCCTATGGGGGAGAGGGTGTCTCTTGTCGTCGGTGCTTAGAATGGTTCTTCTGAGATGGTGTCTTGGATGTGTTCTATTATTGTTGTTGTTTTGTGGGGTTGGTTTGGTTTAGAGGGTAATTTTTAATGCCCTTGCTGGCTTTGGTGGTTACTCGCCTATTTGGCTAGCTGCTGGCTACTTGGGCCCTTGGCCTTGTCTTTGTCCTTGTCCTTTGTGGTCGGGTCTTTTTTCTGCTTTTTTGGTGGATCATGCTGACTCGTTCTAGTTACTAGACTTCATTCTATACGCTGTAGATTAGTGGAAGTTACGGAGGATTATTATAGAGTAATGTCTAGTTATATTGAACATAATGAACATTTTTTAATTACATCGAAGATATACATATAATTTTTTTGAACCTACACCCTCCTAGGTAGAAAAAAGCGTCTTGTAAACTCCCGGATATATAACTTTTGGTAGAAGTAGCCCATGAACCAACACCTCACAACGCCATGAATATGCTCTTTTTACAACAGGATAGACAATAGACCTGGACCAAGTTCAAGTTCAAAGTTCAAGTTCAGGCAACACTGATAAACTGGCGCTTCTTGCCGGTCCCCGTCGTCCGCTGCTGCTTCTCGTAGAGCTCCTCGTCGATGTAGTCCTTGGTGCTTTCCTCCTTGACCTGGTTGCTGATGAACTGCAGCGCAGACAGGTTGAAGCCCATCTCGTCTTTCTGGCGCGCGAGCACCCGCCGCAGCGTCGACCGGATGCTGTCCAGCATCGGACGCATGGTCTTGCTGGCGACGATCTGGCGGTGGTGCGTCTTGAGGATGAAGAAGAGGATCCGGCAGGTGAGGGGCACGTTCCACTCGCGCGTGGCCCAGATATTCAGGAAGGTGAACAGCGGCGGGACCTTGGAGAAGGGCAGGACGAGCAGTGCGTCTTGGAGAGATGCGGCGGGGATCTTCTGCACGACGCTCAGGACGTGCTTCTCTGCGGAGATGTTGCCTAGCGCCATGTAGAGGGGGTTGCGCGTGGGAGGGGCTGCGTTGGGCTGCTTGGCTTTGATGGCGCGCCACTCGCGCACGATCTCGAGATCTTCCATGCCTAGCTCTAAGGCTTCCATGATGCGTTCACCGGCCATGAGGGTCAGGGTGGTCTGCTTGCCGGCGTCGACGGCTTCGGCTTTCTCGCCATCTTTGTCGTCTTCCTGCTCGAAAGACGCGGTCAGGGTGTTGTCGTACACCTCCTCGAGTTCCTTCTCCCGCTCTTCTTCGAGGAAGAGCGGCTCGTCGGTCTGGTCCCAGGTGCGGATGCTCTTGTCGTGACTGGCGGTGACGACGAACTCGCCGGTTTGACTGATTGCCATGGCCCAGATCTCGCCGTGGTGGCCGCCCAGTCGCTGGATCTGCTCGAACTTGTCGCCGTCCCAGTACTTGATGGTGCGGTCCTTGCTGGCACTGAAGAAGTTGTGCCCGTTTCCTTCCTTGTTGGTGGGCACAAACGCCACCGCCATGATACTGTCTTCGTGGGCCAGGAATGCCCTGTGGCAGTCACCGAAGTCCAGACCCCACAGACGGACCGTCTTATCAGCCGAACAGGTGACAATGAGCTTACTGTCGTATGAAATGTCCATGTTCAACACAGGGAGTTTGTGGCCGTAAAGGTTCAGGAAGAGCTTCAACGAGTCGGTGAAGAACACCTTGACGGTGTTGTCGAGCATGGCAACAGCCAAGAGCCGAGCATCGGGCGAGAAACGGAGACTCAGAACATCGTCCGCGACCTTCAGCGTCCGCGTGTGGACAAGCTTCAAGCGCGGCGTGGTCCGCTTCGTACCGGGAATTTCTTCCTGGACCACTTGGAAGTTCCAGAACTTGGCGGATTTATCGGCGCTACCGCTCGCCAAGGACTTTCCATCGGGATGAACATGGAGCGACCACACCGGTCCATCGTGGGCGTTGATCGTCTCGAGGAGAGTCGAGGAGGCAATATCAAAGACTTCGAGCTGCCCCTCCTTGTTTCCAACGACGACAATTTTGTCGCCAGGAAGGAAGGCGGAACAGAGAGAGTAGCCGCATTCCAAGGAACGCAGGCAGCTCTGCGTCCGAGTGTTCCAGACCTTGAGGCTGCCGTTCGAAGCAGACGCCAACATTCGATCATCCGAGCTGAGAGCAATGGACCGAATGTCGGTGCGGTGTCCCGGAATATCGACCGCCAGGTTTCGAGTGTACTCCGACTCATCCTCGTCCTTGTTCTTCTTATTGGCCATGGCGACATTGTAGGACTCCAGTTGATTGTTGGTGGTCGCGACAAGCAGCTGGAGGTTGCCAGTCGACTTGCTTCCAATCCAATCAAAGGAGCGCACCTTTCCGCCGGTTCGGACGATCACGTACGAGACAAAAACTTCCGACACGGGTGCCGAGGAGATGTCGTCCACTTTGTCGTCGTCCGCTGCCGGAGTAGACTCGCCCTTCTCGGCGGCCTTCAGAGCCTCCTTCTCCCTTCTTCTCCGGCGCTTCCTCGCCAAAGCCTTCTGAATCTCCGTGGCAGAGCGAATCCGCCAAATCTCGACAGACTTCTCGGACCCATGGAACGCGACGTAATCAGCGCGCGGGTGAAAGCTGATACCGATCGTGCGGTCCTTTCCATTCCGGTAAAATGTGCCTCTGTCCGTCAAGATCTTCATGTCCTCCGACCCGACCTTTTCCTTGGAGATCGTGATCGCAGCGCTTTCGTCGATCGACCAGACCCTCAGCTCTCCATCGTTGCCGGCAGTGATACAGCCACTCTGGTCCGGGGACAGGCCCAAACCCCAACACTCGCCGTTGGACTGTGCCACATGCGTCTCAATGCAATGTTGCGAAGCCAAATCCCACACCTTGATCAAAGAATCTTTGCCGGTCGTGATCAGGAACCCGGCGTGCTCACCAAGTCCGGCCTCATTGAGCATCTCCAGGGACGGAGTGAGGAAGTGAAGCGACGTGACTTGGTCGGTGTGTCCTCGGAGTTTGAAGAGTCCGACTTCCGCCACAAGATCCCACACAATGATATCCGTGTCCTTCGAACCACTCGCAATGCGGGCGCCAGTGCTGTCGAACGCGATCTCCGTGATGGCGGTCTTATGGCCGTTGAAAGAGATGATTACCGTGGCGGTTCTCGAGTCCCAGACGCGAATGCTTCCATCTTCGTATCTAGAATCAAACACAGCACATGATCAGCATTGGCCGGCCTTCATCTGTGCAAAGCGAAAAACTTACCCGACCGCAAAAATATCCTCATCAGTCGGGCTATGGGTGATCGCGGTGACCTGCGCTTTACACGCCGAGTCTCGCCATTTCCCCAGCAACTCCCCCTTCTTTATATCCCAACACAAAACATCCTCACCGGCCCCGACGAAAGCCCTTCCGGAGCCCGTGCGGCGAGCAGCGCCTGCGATCCCATCGTCTGGGGCCCAGACAGCATTCGACGTCGCGGACGTAATGAGCCCGAACGTTTTCGAATGCTCGAATTTTCTGTACTAATTAGCCTTCCATATCCAATCAGCGATCCATTGAACTTACAAGTATGACTTGACCATCGTTGGGTGACCGAGTCTGGAGAATAATTGGAGAGCTCCAAAAGATGGTCGACTTTTTTTTTTTTCTTAGGCGCAAAAGAGAATAGCACGGGCGGCAACAACTAAGGCGGGCAGAACGATGTCCACCGCCTTCCCCTTTCTCTTCCCCCCTCCCCGAAACACTTACGGGGGTTATCATGGGCAGCGAACTACGTAACTGCCTTACTCCTACTCCGTACTCCCTCAATCATACAATTTACTCCCTTTGACTCTTTCAGATATTCCACGAACAAGTGCTATAGGACGCCTGGGTAAAGTATTATACTTTCAGTTGTTGATGGTATAAACATCAGCAGAATGCTGCTTCTTGATTACCATAACGTCCTCATCCACACCCTCCTCACGGAGCGGTTCTCGGGGTACGGCCGCCCCCTCCCCCTCCTCATGTTCACCCCACCACATGCTGTATAAACTTACAAACATGTTCTTCGCTGACAAATGATCTATGTGATTCGATAGAGCTCCCCCGGTATCAATTGATCAAGTCGTTTCCGACTTCGACGGTGTTACCTTCCATGTGTCTACCCCCGAGTCGAAGTCCCAGATCCTCATCTCGATCAATGTGAAGTGTTTCAGAGAGCTGGTCCAGTGTGGTGCCCAGCAGGTCCTGGAGAGAGAATACGGGTCGTACATTGTCGCCCCCGAGCCGGGTTATGATTTCTCGGTACTGATCGACTTGGAAAACCTCCCCGCTGACCAGGAAGCGCGGGATGAACTCATCATGCGGCTGGCCCTGATGAAGCGCAACGCCATGGCGGCTCCCTTCGAGAAAGCCTTCAGCGAATTCTCTAGCCTTGCGGAGGAGGCTGCTCAATACACCTCCGAATCAGCTCCCCAGGGGGTGAAGGAGGGGGGACAGGTGATGGCAATCCACTACCGGGAGGAAGAAGCCATCTATGTCAAGGCCAGCTATGACCGAGTCACGGTGATCTTCAGCACCGTCTTCCGTGAAGAGACCGATCGCATCTTTGGCAAGGTCTTCGTGCAGGAGTTTGTGGACGCTCGCCGCCGTGTATTGACTCTGCAAAACGCCCCGCAAGTGCTTTTCCGGAACGACCCTCCCCTGGAGCTGGAGGGTGTTCCTGGCCTTGCCAACGATGGCAAGACTAGCTACGTAACTTTCGGTAGGCTGTTGTGGAGCCCCTCATGGCACGAACCCTGGCTGACGATATGTAGTGCTCTTCCCCCGCCACTTGTCCGCCCAGCGACGTTACGACAACATCTCCCATATCCAAATCTTCCGCGATTATTTCCATTACCACATCAAAGCCTCGAAGGTAGATACCCAGTGCTGTGCTCTTTGTGAAAAACTCTTCGTTGATGACATGTTCTTTCCTTCCCCTAGGTGTACCTCCATACCCGGATGCGCAAGAGAACCGCCGACTTCCTCCAGGGTAAGTTCAAAAACGACCTCCAGTGTCGGTCCCATATGCTAACAGAGGGTAGTTCTCAACCGAGCTCGACCGGAGAACGAGGAACGGGAGCGAAAGACCGCCAGTGGCCGGACTTTCCGGGTGCAGGCGTAGAGCAACTGGCGGTGGACTGTATGTGGTTTGTGTTGACAAGGAAACAAACGAGGGTCAAGCATACATGTTACACAAACAAACCGAATATGCAAATTGTACAGGATGGCGTCTCCAGAGAGATATCTCTGTGGCTCCTTTAATATATATTGAGCCCGTACATTCGTATCTTCCTTTTTTCCTGGCTTTTACCAATCAATCGGCTAGTATGGAAAGAGCGGTAACCACAATCGAACAGTATACTCACAGTATGTTAGTTTTCTGAAGTCATATTCGGAGTCAGAAAGGAGGCATGTTTGTTATCACTGGGTCAAGTTACGACGTGCAGGGTGGGTGGGGGAGCCGATGCGCGCAACTCGTGATCCATCACATCTATGTCTTTCGGCCGCCTTGCTTCTTTTTTCAGTCTCCCACAACACCAGCACCTTCAGTTTCCAGTTCTCTCCCGTCGACTCATGTCGGAGTTGCCAATCGAGAGTCGATTTGCCGTTCTGTGACTTTCTCTCCGCTACAGAAGGAGTCATTGTTGATTTCCATGGGTCTTTTCCATGCCCTATGGTTCTGGATCGGGGGAGCGCCGTCTCAGCCAGGAATGTCAGCCCTTCCAAGCTAAATATCGAACCCATGACTCGGGTCTCACTAGTGATAGACTACTGCGGTGATCGACCCTCTAGTACTGTGCCTCGTACCCAATCTGTACATTCTCCAGACTCTAAAGTTTCAACCCTCGGCGCAGAAGAAAGTTGGACCTAATCTGGGTAAAGTGGACCCGATCATGCCCGTCCGATCCTCCCGTCCGATTATGTCCACCCAACCAGAGACATGTCTGGCGCCCCATCTGGAGTGAGCGATTGGACGATCTAAACCTCTAAATTACTCCCCATTCAGGCGATCAACACCATGCTGGTTGATCATCCTCATCTGGCTGGTACGGTTTCGATTGGCTAGACGGGCCCGACAGACTGGTTCAGGGTCACGCAAACAATGCAAGGAGAATGGATTTACTGGCCCACCTGGATGCGAGCTGGGACAATCCTTGTCTGCATCCGAGGAGTTGGGCGGAATGGAGACTGGGACAAGGGGACAACCCGATTGACTTGTGGTTTTGCTGGATCACTCGGGTCCGAAAATCGTGAGATTCTCGGTCGAACAGGATCAGGGATCTGACATCTGTCACCTTCCCGTCTTTGCAGGACATTAATCTTTCGGTTATCCCGGATTAGTGAGAATAATTCCACCCGTGGGATTTCTCTCGCTTGGGTCGCGAATCAAAGGGGGATCCAAAGGTTTGTGACGGCACCCCACCCCCTACATACCTGCTTGCGTGAACCCGGCAGATGGGGTTTAGGCTGCATTGGTGTCTCCCAGTGTCCCCAGCACCGGGTCAGCCTAAAGAAGGGAGAACGCCTCCGCCAGCAGACATTACGAATGTTGAGGGCCCCATCCATGTACGTCCTGGTGGTACACAATTCCAGCCGACACGCCTTGTGACTTTGAGAGGATCATGCCACAAAAAAGAAACGTTGTCATCGTCGCATTCTTGTCCAACCTGTGCCTGCAACTCGAGTTGTGCTGACCCAGGTAATTGGGCCTTCGGGGCCTCTCGCCAAGTCCGAGGTGCTCCCGGATGCAACTGCTACAACGTATTGTGGCATTGTTTTGGTCTGGACTAGGTTCTGGCATTTCCCCGGCTCCTCTTACTACGTGTTATTCCCCGTGTTTTTGTAGAGGCTCTCCGCCTCTGGATCATTCTTGGGTTCACCCTAGTCAACAACATTCCTTGCCTCGGAAATAATACCGCCTGGTCCTCGGCATCACACAGGGCCTGTTTCTTTCACTTCTTTGTCTCTTCGTCCACGGAATCAGCGCTCTAAACACCGCTCTCTTCTCTCCGACCAGTTCTCTTTCCCTGACCGGTTCCCGGATATATCAAGGGCGGGGTTTGGTGTAATGACGTGCAAGTATTTTGATTTAACTCCAGTCTAAAGTTCAATCCCATGTCAGCTTTGTGAGTCTGAACACCTGTTCTGCCTTGTTTTATCACCTCTTCAACTGTTTCTCTTCCTCGAGACTATATCATGGTTCTTCAGAGATCAATTGATTGAAAGAACCCGATGAACCTATTCTATACCGTCCATAATTTCATTTCCGGGTTGCCCCAGCCTGCCTACGTATCTATGTTCAAGGGCAATGACCTCTTTGACCGCTACAATTTATAGCAGAATGTGCAGTACGCATATAAAACCTTGTCCTATCCTATAGTCAAGCATGTTTTTGAGATCTCTGGCACGGCGAATTACCGCTCCTCTTCGAACAATCGAGTCTAAGCGGAAATCATTTACTAATGCATCGATAAGCAGAAAGAAAAGCATAAGTCACAGCCATTCTTCCAGGGGAAGCAGAGACCCTATCGACGAAACAACATATGGGAACGAGAGAAACAAAGGTCTCATGTATAGCCACTTCAACGCCCTCCCGCTGGAGGTCATCCTCGAAATCCTATCTTATCTTCCCTTTGAGGCACTTGTTGCCTTCGGCGGGGTATCTCGCGCAAGTTACCGCGCACACACCCTGTGTCTACGGCGCCTGCGGTTAGCGGTCTTCGAAAAACGGATCCACTGCATGATCTCTCATCTCCAGGCGGGATGGGCTACTCCCGAGCAAGTAGGCAAGTTTGCGGGGGATGAGGATATCCGAGGAGAATACACGATCTCCATCATCCAACCCATTGTCAAACGCATCGGCCACGACGCCACCCGCAAGCCTTTAACGAAGACGAATGAGCCAAGAAGCCGCAGTCAATCACAGCAGGACAGATCTCGGGTCCAGGACCGGATGATTCGCAAGCAGAATAGAGTCTTCACCAAGATGGTGAACCGGTACGGGTCGTCACTGATGAAACTTGAGTTCATGGCGTATGACATCGACATCGAAGGTGCCCAGGCTTTGTCCACCAAATGCCAACACACCCTGCGTCATTTGGCATTGCGCTTCGAGCATCCACACATTCGAGATGGCTACATGAGGCCCAGTTCTTGGCTTCATCCTGCACCGGCCAGCACTGTCTGGAATCCTCTCATCGGCATTGGACAGTATCAGGGCATGGGAATGTCGGGCCTGGAGTCCCTGGTAATGGAGAGGGCGGGCATCACGCCGTGGCAACTGATGATGCTCGTGAGGAACAATCCAGGATTAAACGTGCTCAAACTGCGGACTTGCCGCGGCGTGCAACCCGAGTTCCTCGATTGGCTCGGAGGGATGAGCAGAGACACGGAAGAGGAGGATTTTCTACGGACGGAAGACAAATGCCACGTGCCCGGAGAGAATCTGAAAGTCCTCTGGCTGGAGAACTGCCACCAGATTGTGACCAAGTCTCACGAGCATCCCAAGGACCTGGCCAATGACAGTTGTGATCTTGGGCTTGAATGGGTCCGGGGTCTGAAGAATCTCAAGGTGTGTATATGTTGTCTTTTTCGAGATCGAAAGCTAACCTCATGCTGAAGTCTCTCTCTTTGAACGAATGTATGAACGTTTCATCCGAGTGCGTCGATCGAGCGAATCAGACCATCTGGAAGATCGACGAAGTCATCCTGCCATACTCTTACCACACTCCTGCCTCGATCATCGAAGTGGACCCGGCGTTGCTCTAATCTATGACAGTCAAGGGGCGTTTATTGGGACTGGCACATTGTCATCTTGCATATCTCTTCATTTGGTCTTGTTCGAATTAGCGGGTAGTTTGGATGCTAAGTGGGATTTTGATTGTCCTTGGAATTGCATATCAATAATAAACGAAGTCATTAATGTTGGGGTCTAAACAATAATTCTAGATTTATATACATTCCGTCTTTGGAGTTAATTAGTATCTTGTTCAATGTGTCTTTCAACTAATCCTGTAAGGTGTATGATCTGTCTACATTTAGCGTTGTCTCACTAACACTTGCAGAAGAGACATGCCTCCCAGTCACATCCAACCGAATATGTAAAACCCAGGTGTAGATAGCCTGATGTACTTGTATTACGCATATAATGTTTGCTATTGATTATACCAGACCATGCCATAGTAGTTACATCCTGTGCAAAGTGACTGTCAAAGGAAAGAGGCCTCGGCCGTTCCAACCTGAGGCAGTGACTGAACCTTCACCAAGGACTCCTCACCAGATCATCCATCATGCATACAATCACTGACAGTCCAGCGGTCTCACTCCAATCACAGCTGGAAAGAAAGAAAAACGAGAGAGAAAGAGAAAAAATGCGCTCTTATGACTTTCTTCAATGCCGTCTCATACTTGTTTTTTCTGTCCCAGAACTCAACATCACGAACTGCTCACCTCACTACTTAGTTCCAGATCGCATCATCGACAACGTTCGCCAGCGACGGTTCTCGGCGCTTACAGTGAACGACAGTATGGGCCCTGCAGTTCGCAAGTCCCCCTCCCGTCTCTGGGGCCTTGTGCGCCAGAAAGTTTTTCACAAACGTCCTTCCACTCCGTCTGACCAACTCACCTACCTATCTGACAGCCTATCCACAAACGAGGAGATTTGCCGCCGCAAAGCGGAGCAGGTAAACAGCATGGATAGCTACTCGCAGGCTATGATGGAGAAGGAGCGCAAGAAGATGCAGGCTTTGGTGCAGCAGAGATCTGACAGCACGGATGTTTCTTACCATTCTGCTGTGAGTTGACTGCAATCATTTGAGAGATAGATCTGACGAAAGAGCAGCTCATGATTCCGGAGCGTCCTACTCTTCCATACACCGTCAGCGCACCTGAATGGAATGTCTATTCGTCTGCGGTCAAGTACCTGGAGATTCAGATTGATGAGGCGGAGGAGTGGCTGGCGAGTGTCCTGAGGGTGTTCACGAAGGTCTATACAATTTCGAAGATCTTCGTCATGATCCTTCGTCACTATGGCGTGGAGGTAAGGAGCAATGTAGTCCAAGTCCCCCGGTCGGGCGTCAACAGTGTTCAGCTGACTGGGCTAGTTGGATGACGGTCCGGACGGCATCATGGCCAATCTCAACAGAGCGGAAGAGCTCGCCACCTGCGACTCGGTTCTCGCGCTGATCGAGAATGTGGAGAACTTGTACTATGCCGCCTATGCGCGTCTCATCATGGAGATTGCGAACGTCGAGCTGTGTTCCTACTTCACGGCGGATCTAGCCCCCGCAGGCCATCGCAGAGAGTCGCGTCTGCCCGAGCCCAAATTTCTGGTCAAGATCCTGCTTTTCTGTAAACAGGTGCTGGATTCTCCCTCCATTTGCGTCGTTCGCAACAGAAAACTGGTTCAAACGCACCAGGACTATTTTCTCCGCTACTCCATGGAGAGATTTGTCGGCCATGCTTTCCCCCTGGACGATCTGCTGGGCTACCGCCGCTTTGTCCTGCGCATCGTCGGCGACCCGGACTCGCAGTTTTGCCAGAAGTGGGCGTCTGACAACCCGTCCATCGAGTACCAGCTGCCTGTGCAGGAGGTGCTGGCGATCCAATCGGAGAAATACCTGACCTTCACCCCCAAGGCGCTCGTGGCCGACGAGATTCCTACTTCCGTCCTGCCTTTGGTCCGACGCAGGGACGATCCCGCGCGCTGGGAAAGAGAGCTGATCCGCGACTATCGCCAGGCGACTCTAGCCAAGCTGGAGGGCCGCTGCATCGGAGATATCCGCCGCGAGGACGACCGCCGACTGCTGGTGGAATACGCCAAGGAGCGCAAGTGCACCTGTCGTTCGGCCTGCGTCTGCGCCTGGGACTGCACCATGTTCCCGGAGCGTGTCTGTCCCTGCGGGGACCGCGTGATGCGCGTCATGTTCGTCAAGCATCGCAAGAACCACGCTGATCGCCCTGTCGGCGTGCGCTGCAACAGTCTGGCGCGCGCCGTGTTCCAGGGTCTCTCGTGCCTGAAGCGTGACATTGACGACTTTGAGATCGCGGTGGAGCTCAACCGGGCATTTTTGCTCTTCGCAGAAGAGATTCAAAAACAGCGCGTGGCTTCGATGACTAGTATGGCTAGAAATGGTCTGTGAGTTGTGCAGAGTTCTGGGGTTTGCCTCTCTTCTTTTCCTCTTTTCTCCCTTATTTCTTGTTTTTTTTTTTTTTTTCTTCTTCTTCCTGCTTTCTTCTTGCCTTCCTCCATATTTCCTTCTTTCTTTTGTTCTTCTTCATGTCACTTTTTGACGATGACATGACGCGACGAGAGATGCCATGATACCCCGAAACTGCGACGACTAGTCCACAGTCAACGAGACCAACGAATACACGAGATATGAATTGCATGACATGTAAGCCTGATGTAGATATCAATGTATCCTGTACATCTTTATTGTAGCAGGGAGTATCGGATTCGTAATCCACGGGATAGACCGGTTTCCTTCCTTCACCCCCATAGCACTAATAAATATACGGTGAGATCCCTGGACGATCTCCCGACTATTCCCCGAGTCGTCCAAACGCCTCACTCGGCCATAACAGCCTCGACCATAGCAAAGACCCAAGACAAACAACCAACACACCACCTCATGATGAAGTTGAAACAAACGAGGCCATACCCCATCATGTGATCGACGGGTGGACTAGGAACTGTATCCATTGATTTAACCCATTTAATCAATTCCATGGAGTCGATCCTCGGGTCTAGTGGGTATCATGAGCCAAAGAAAAACGGCGCGATGACATCATATGGTAATCAGATGGGTTGTAAACAGGGCCGATCATTCATTGAACTAGAACTTGCAATTCCAAGTTGTCAGGAGATGGGATAGGAGGGTTTATGATTGACTACACTGTAATTGCTTATGAGCTGTTCTAACGGGTGGTCTGGAATGACACCAGTGGTGGCGACAACCAGGCTAAACCTTTAGGGCCATGATAAAGATAGAAATCCACGTCCATCAGTTGATCCATTTGATCCATTTGATCCATCAGAGAGCCTAACAGTAACGCGGAATTGCTGATTCGCCGCCTTGTGGTTGGCCAACTGGTGTACGGATGCCTGGGTGCCTTATATCGCAGTAGGAAAAAAAAAAAAAAGGAAAAAAAAGGAGAAAAGAAAAAGAGAAAACAGGGTAAAAAGATCCCTGGAGGATTTACGTTTCTTACTTACCTGAAGAGGAAAAGAAAGGAAGAAAAGAAAACCAAATCGAAAAAAAAATAAAATAAAATAAAATAAAATAAAAATCAATAATCAAAAACGAGGGATTGAAAGGATTCTCGACCTGTTGAAATATGCAACTCCCCAAATAGAATTTTTCCCCTTCTCCTTCTCCTCCTACTTTCTATCTATTTATCCCATTTACTGTCCTCTTCCCTTTCCTTATTTCGAATGTCTCTCGTTGGTCTTTTCCTCCCAGACACATCACACTCGCGGGCATGGTACCTCCGACCGGTGCCTGTTCCCCCGTTAGACCCTCTTTCCGGATACTTGGCTCCCTCGCATCGCACTGTCGATTGCCCGGTCATGGTCACCACCACAATAGCCACCTCAATAACCACGCTCTGTGGATCCGCGGCTCGATAATACAGTCCCGCCGATACCCAGGCGCCGTTTGGCCCTCCTACGGTATCACCACTCCCGTCCCCGACCCGCCTCCGCAGTTCCCTATCGCCAAATCGCCCTTCTGCTTCCAGACGGGCTATGCCTTGCGCGCCAAACGACCTTCACGGCCCTTCCCCCCGCCGTTCCTGTCACCGCCGTCGTCTTCCTTCTCCGATCCTCTGACCACCCACTCCCTGAGCCAGGATAGGAGATTGTCCGTTGGGGGGGAACTCGTGCGCGGTCTCAACAACGGCGACGATGCCGTCCTCGTCGCGGACAACTTCCTGGCCGTTAACGACGGCGTGGGAGCTTGGATGACCAAGCCGCGAGGTCACGCTGCGTAAGTCGACTCCTTAACAGACCAAAAAGGAAATCCCCTAACCCGATCATGCACTCCCTAGTCTCTGGTCCCGGCTTCTGCTACACTTCTGGGCCCTCGAGGTCGAGCGCGAACCCGACGGCGAAAATCCCCCCGATCCAATCGAGTACCTCCAGCGAGCCTACGAAGAGACCACCCGGGCTACGACCACTCCGAGTGCCTGGTACGGCACGACCACCTCAGTAACGACGCTACTGCACTACTCGCGCGACAGCGAGGGAAACCCCAAACCCCTCCTCTACGTGACCAACCTGGGCGACTGCAAGGTGCTTGTCATCCGGCCGCGGGAGAAAAAGGTGCTCTTCCGCACCGAGGAGCAGTGGCACTGGTTCGACTGCCCCATGCAGCTGGGCACCAACAGTGTCGACACCCCTCGCAACGATGCCGTCCTGTCGCTGGTCGACCTGGAAGAGGATGACATCGTGCTGGCTGCGTCGGATGGCGTGCTGGACAATCTGTGGGAGCACGAGGTGCTCACGTTGACGCTGGAGAGCTTGGAGAAATGGGAACAGGGCCGCAAGGAGGGCGAAGCTCCTGACCAGACGCATCCCGCCATACTGACCGAGGAGTGTATGGTCTTTGTGGCACGCGAGCTGCTCCGCGCGGCGCTTGAAATCGCGCAGGATCCGTACGCGGAGAGCCCTTATATGGAGAAGGCGATTGATGAGGGACTGGCCATCCAAGGGGGTAAGCAGATCACCTGTTGTTGAGTATGGTAGTTGATGTAACTGACATGGAATAGGCAAAATGGACGACATCAGCGTGGTCGTGGGTCGCTGCCGGCGCAGAGAGAGCTGAACACAGCCCGACGGTCTTTGATTTCAGATCTTCGACAGACTTACGAGGCCAAGAACCACGCCCCGTCTCATACGGCTACCCATCGCCGAGACATACCCAGGGAGGCCATTGACGATCGTCCGGCCCGATGCAGGCAGACATGCCGCTCCGGCCGCTACGTCCTCCCGACCACGAGCGCCAGCTCCAAACGCTGCCCAAAGCGCAGCCGATTAGAGGCATATACATGACTACACGCGATGAACATAATGCATTAAGGGATATACTGGTTTGGGCTTTATTGGGATACTTTCTTTCTTCTTTCTTTTTACACTCTTATTTCTTATTATCTTTAACCAGATTGCATGGCGATTGATTTGTACTATGGATGATAAATGAAATGACACTAACTACAATAATACATAATTAATAATTTATCACTTCTATATCAGCATGAGTAATGGCGTAGTCTGACTCCCCGTGTATACTCCATAGTCCATAGTATGACCGCACAGACCAATCCAAACCGCGCCTCACCGCCCGGCAAAATCCCTCAAAAAAAGTTTCAACTCTACCAGCAGCGCAAATCAACCACAACCGCCAATCCTCCATTTTCCCCCCAAATAACCTCATTTTCACACGCTAAAAATGAGGGCCAAGCGATCGAAGAAGTACCGCAAGCTCATGCACCAGTATGAGCTTGCTTTCGGGTTCCGCGAGCCGTACCAAGTGCTTGGTGTGTATACCCGATTGAATTATCTCATGCTATAGATGTGACTGACTGGGTTGCTTGTGGGACAGTTGATGCCAGTTTCTTACATGCTGTGCATACCTTTAAGATGGAGTTGATTCCGGCGCTGGAGAGGACGCTGCAGGGGAAGGTTAAGCCTCGTATGTTTTTCCTCTTTACTTCTCTATATCCAGTCGTCCTTTACCACCGGACAAGAGAAAACAACAGAAACCAGCGAAGAAGAATAAAACTAACAGAACAGTCCTCACAAAATGCTCCCTAGCAGCAATAATGGCCGCGCAGCCCATCAACCCCAAAACCAACAATCCCTACCGACCCTTCCACCTCCCCCCGCCCACAGAGCTCCCCCTCCGCCACTGCTCCCACAACGCGGACTCGACTCCCATCGACGAAACAGAGTGTCTGCTCTCTCTGCTGTGTCCCTCGGCGGACGCCAAGAAGAAAAACAAAGAGCATTACATCCTCGCGACGGCGGACCCGCCGGCGCCCAAGAAGGACGCGGCGGCTGACGCGGGCAGGAAGCGCAAGCGCGGAGGCGTTGACGAGGCTGCTGTGGCGCTGAGGCGCGCGCAGAAGTTCCGCTCTGCGGCGCGGTCTATCCCCGGTGTGCCGATTGTTTATGTGAAGCGGTCCGTGATGATTCTGGAGCCGATGAGTGCGCCGTCGGATGGGATTCGTGAGGGGTATGAGAAGGGGAAGTTTAGGGTGGGACTCAATGATGAAGCGATGCAGAAGAAGAGGGGTGCTGCGGGTGAGGGGGATAAGGATAAGGAGAAGAGTAAGAGTAAGGGTGGGGTGAAGAAGCCTAAGCAGCCGAATCCGTTGAGTGTCAAGAAGCCGAAGAAGAAGACGCCTGGTGGTGAGGCTGGGCAGAAGGAGGGTGGTTCCGGGGAGAGGGCCGCCGCGGAGCAGGATGAGGGTGAGGGCGAGGGCGCGCCGAAGAAGAGGAGACGGCGTCATCATAAGAGCGCGAACCAGGATGGTGCGGAGTCGGCTGCTGTTGGCGGGGATGCCATGGAGGAGTGATCTTTTTGACTCTGATTGTGGACTCTTTTTCTTCTTTTCTGAATATTGGTTAAAAGTGACTATGGTATGGCGTTTTGGTTGGAAGCGAGTGCTGTCTCGTTGATAATGTACAGTCGATAGATCTCAATACCTACACATGTATCATGGGCGTAGTACTTCAACCTTAGAAAGAGGAGTAGTTGATATACATAGTCTGATAGTGTAGTATACAAGAGTCGCAACAAAAAAAAAGCCAAATGAACACCCAACACCATCTACCCACGCATTAACAAGCAAATCCACACCATCACCCACATAGGTATACACCAACACAGCAACACCACAAAAGATAGAGAGTAAGACAATTTACTTCCCCTCAGCAGCCGCACCCACACCCGATGACGAAATCGGACCCCCCGTCACCTCCAAAGCCTTCTCATCCGCCCAGATCTTCTCAATCCGTCTGCGATTCTCCCTCGCCGTATCGCGGTTGCGCTTTGCGCGCGCGTACCGCTCCTCACCCAGACACTTGTTCACGTCGCGCTTGATGTCGTTGCAGCTGCCGATGGCCTTGTGCAGGAAGCCCTTTGCGTGGCATTCGTCGAGGGCGGTCATGATTTCCTCGCAGTCTATTTCAATATTTGTTAGTTGGTTATCTTTTTGTGAGGAGGTGGGTGGGGTGGGTTTATGATCGATTGGGATGGGGTGGGGGATGAGGGGGTTGACGTACTTGCGTTGTAGGGTGTGTGTAAGTGGGAATGCATTTTGATCTGGATTAATTGTTTGCAGCGCTTGTATAGCTAATCCTGTGGTTGAAGTTGGGAAGAGAGACTGAGATAGACATCATACAATCAAATCAAGGATGGAGAAATCTCCGAGCGCATCCCGGGCGGTGAGCGAAAAGCGGGCGGGTTCTGCCGGGCGGAAAGACCAGAGGGGGAAATTTGATAAAAAAAAAAAAAAAGTAGTCAAAACGAGACGGACTGACAGACGATCAATGGTTTGATTATCTTGACTTTTTGAACTTACCTTTTTGTTCTCGTTATAACAGTGGACTTTCATCTTGTGGATGAGCCGCTGACGGGGTATCTTCTATTTTACCGGTTTTCACTTGAGTTTGGAGGTTGAAGTTTCTGTTCGACTATAAAGACGACACATTCTTACTACAGCAGCCCATTCGGGTGACACGAGACGATGTCCATGATTACGACTTCTGCGTGGGTGCGCCGCGGCGTGGCGGCGCAGTTCCCTGCGAAATATGAGATTGATGAGGAGGAGATGAGCCGTATATCGAAGCTTGCGCGCGAGCAGCTCGAGGACGCCCGGGAGGATCTGAGTGCCGCTCAGGAGGGCCAGGGCGATGACGATGAGATGGATGAGGGTGGGGATGCTAAGGCGGCGGTGCAAGGTGGGGGTGAGAAGAAGGGTGATGCGAAGGAGAGCAATGAGTATGTTTCTTTGACTGCTATTACTCTTGTGATTTGGTTGAATTGGTTCTGATAATGTTTAGTGATGACGACCTCAAAGAATACGATCTCGACCACTACGACAGCGACGAGGTCGACGACGACGGCGAGAAGATCACCATGTTCGGCAATGTCAAGTCCCTGGCGTATCACCAGCCCAACGAGGAAGACCCGTACCTGGTGATGCCGGAGGAGGAAGACGAAGACGAGGAGCGCGAGGAGCTACAGATCATGCCGACGGACAACCTTCTGCTGGCCGGAAAGATCGAGGACGAGGTCGCGCATCTGGAGGTCTACGTCTACGAGGACGCGGCGGACAATCTCTACGTGCACCACGACGTGATGCTGCCGGCGATCCCGCTGTGCCTGGAGTGGCTGGACATGCCGGTCGGCAAGGCGGCCGAGGGGCGCACGACGGGCAACTTCGTCGCGGTGGGCACCATGGAGTCCGACATTGAGATCTGGGACTTGGACATCGTGGACTGCATGTACCCGAACGCGATCCTAGGCCAGGGCGGCGCGGACAAAGCGCCCAAGAAGAAGTCCAAGAAGACCAAGGCCAACCCCGAGTTCCACGTCGACTCGGTGCTCGCGCTCGCGGCCAACCGCCAGCACCGCAACCTGCTGGCGTCCGCGTCGGCAGACCGCACCGTCAAGCTGTGGGACCTCAACACGGGCAAGTGCGCCAAGTCCTACTCCCACCACACGGACAAGGTGTGCTCGCTGGACTGGCACCCGCGGGAGTCGACCGTGCTGCTGAGCGGCAGCTACGACCGCACCGTCGTCGCGGCGGACATGCGCGGCGCGGACGCCACCGCCCGCTGGGCCGTCGACGCCGACGTCGAGGCCGTGCGCTGGGACGTTCACGACCCCAACTTCTTCTACGTGACGACCGACGCCGGCATGGTGTACAAGTTCGACGCGCGGAACGCCCCCGCCACTCCCGGCGCGAGCAAGCCCGTGTGGTCGCTGCAGGCGCACGACTCGTCCGTCTCGTCCTTCGACATCAGCGGCAACATCCCCGGGTTCCTGGTGACGGGTTCGACCGATAAGCAGGTCAAGCTGTGGAACGTCGAGAACGACAGGCCCACCCTGGTGGTGTCGCGCAAGATGGAGCTCGGCAAGATCTTCTCGACCACCTTCGCCCCCGACGCCGAGGTCGGGTTCCGCCTGGCGGTCGCTGGTAGCAAGGGCGTCGTCCAGATCTGGGACACCTCGACCAACGCGGCGGTGCGCCGGGCGTTTGTGTCGCGCGCGCCTCAGCTGGAGGGCGAGGTGAAGGAGCGGATGGTCGGCCTGCCGGCCGATCACGACGAATCGGATGACGATGAGGGTCCGGCGGAGGAGGGTCCCGTGCAAGGGGGCGATGGCTGGGAGTCGATGGACGAGGATTGATTTGATAATGTTTGAAGTGGACGGAAAAAGGAAAAAGGAGAGACCCGTGACGTTATGATGATTGCATTCGGATTAGAATATTGGTTTGAATTGATGAGTATATACCTCTATCGCTACTGCTACCTACATAACTGTATCCTGGGTTATATTTGGTGTAAGGCAACGCCCCCTTCAGGCATGCGATGCAAACGTACAAACATGCCAAACATAAACAGTAGCCTTAAGGCACTTATTTATTCCGACTTCAGGCACATTCCCCCCTCAGGCACGGAATGCCCTGCCGAAAGTATAAGTCATGTGACACATATTAACCCCACCAATCGGGGGGCAGTATGAAGGCCGTGCGCTTCGAACCAGGGTTGGACGGAGAAGGATGACATGGATAAGCAGTGGACATTACGTGTTGTCCGAGGTTCCATCGTTCGTCACGGTCTGGAAGAACAGACGAAATCCGGAGCGATGGACTCAGCTGGGATCCACCGTTCAGAGTGGTTGTAAGGTGCGGAAGTAGGACGTATCCGATGGAACTGAAGAAGTACTGTACCCCCAACAGACGTGTCGAGCCAGGATCGATAGTCACCGAGGAGGATTGGATACGTAGCGTGGGATTGATAAGAAGAACGCCAGGACTACTTAGTTAGTATCTTACCTTGGTCCTAGGTACTCCGTACTAGGAGGTGGTGATCTGCCAACTCTGTTTGATGGTAGGTATCAGGACCAATCCTGGGAGATGCCAAGAGGGGTCAGAAACTTAAGAACAGGTCACGATTCATCTGGCGGACAATTCATTCTGGGATCCACTCGGTGGGTGGAGGACCCACCTTTTTCTTTTCGGCTACTCCACTGTTTTGTTTGGAGTCTACTACGAGTCTTGATTGATATGCACTCTGTTGGATAGGGAACATGGCAAGACATCTGCAAGAAGTGTTTGAGAATTAGATAAGAGCACCAAAAAGATCAAACAGATGATATCATCGCAGACTCCCCAGACAACCAGGTGTGACAGAGTCACGGGCTGAGACAACGCGGACGGGACGTCGGTTTCATGCGGGTTGGCTGAGAGGACCACCAGGGGCTCCCACAGGCCCCGTCCCTGGCGCCATCGCCGAGCCTAACCCCCACTGCGGTTTAGTGGCGGCCATTGTGAGGCACCGGGGCAGTTTCGCTTTAGCTTCTGACTCGGTCAGCCAAGTGGGCGGCGCTTCGGCCGTTATTCCTGTCGAGTAATTCCTTTAGTTTTTTTAGTCGAGGGGAACCAACAGGTCGAGATTGTTGGTCGGTATCCAGGTTGACGAATGTAGGAGGGGCACAACCAATGTAGGTACAATGTAGGTACCACCATCAGGTTGTACACGTCGAACGGTATGACTGGAACAGAGGAACCTCCAAGGCGAGCGATATGACTCGTCCAGGTTGGGGATACCCTGGATCACCCTGACCTGTAACGTTACCTTCTCCCACTACCTCAAATTAAATGTCCGTCACGCTAGTCTGTAAAGTGAACAAGTCACACCGAAGCATCATCCGCTTCATATTGGGAGGAGGGGTGGATGGTGTCGCCTCCGGAGTCCGTCTCCATATATCCTCCGGAAGAACCCCGGTCTACCAAGGGACATGGTATTCTCACGAACCATTGACAAAGCGGAAAAAATAAAAAATAGCGCACTGGAACCAGAGGCAAACGAGGAAAGGGACAACCCAAGGGTAAAGAAAGGAAAAAAAAAGAGAGAGAAAAGGAAGTAGACGAACAGGTCGGGAGACCCACGGGTGAAGAGAAAAAGTTCCAGACTTTGATCCTGCTGTGGAGAAACCCTCCCCAAACGCCTAAGGCAGGACTATCTAGACTGCTTTTGCCTTTTCTGTCCCGCCTTTTCTTCCTCTCTTCTCTCTCTTCTCTTCTCCTCTTCTCTTCTTTCTTTTCTTTCTTTCCTCTCTGTCTTCATCGTCATTCTTCGTTCACCTCCCTGGGGGAATCTCTGGTGAACGCTTCATTCCTTTATACCTTTCATTTTTCCATTCTTCAGTCCTGTCCGGGACTCCCTTCATTACACTCCTATTTCCCTTCTCCTGGCGCGTCCTGGTTGTCCGCCCTGATCTACTGTGTGTCACTGCAGCAGATTTCTTATCCCTTGAGTCGTAAAACACTCGAAAGGGAAAAATTCCGAAAACAAATTAAAAATAAAACAGTTCTCGCCTCCTAGTCGATTGAGGGTCTAGATTCCCCATCCATTCGAGTTTCTTATTTTACCCTTTGCTGTGCAAGGGAAATAAAAGAACCAGGAAATAAGAAAGAAAAAAAACATACGGCTATCTGGATCTGTACGACTAGTTCGATCCTCCAACTTCGCGATATTTCGAGATATACGTCCACCTCATCTGTCTGATACCGGTCATTCCAATCACATACCGATCTTCCATTCCTTCTGTGACACCACCACCGCGATCAACTGCCGCACATTCTTTGTCTTCTCACCAAAGATCAGCACTGGCGCAAACGATCACTTGTTAAAAATAGGCCGAGAGGAAGAAGGCGTCCGACGCTTGGTATTCAAAAGCACGAATACAGAAAGACAGATATATTTTCGACGCTGGTCGACCGTTTAAGCTCCCGCAACTACCTATCGGATTTCTGTTGAACCGTTGATCGACTACCCAGAAATTCACCCATTTACCCACCATCATGTCGACCTTGACTCGAGCGTTCACCAAGCGCAACAAGCGCCCCGAGGTCTCCGCCCCGATGCCCTACCGCGAGAACCAGACCAAGTTCTCAGCCGGCACGATCAAGCGCGGAAAGATATCGGGCCCTATGGAGTTGTTGTCGACAACCAACATGCTGGCCTACAACGCCCCCAACCTGCCGTCCGCTGGATCATCCTCGACCTCGTCGTTGCAGTCGCCGGACGACTCCGAACTGTCCTTTGCACACCAGAGTTTTGGGTCCCCGGTCACCACCCCCGACGACTCGCCTGTCGACGCCAACCCGCTCTCCGCGTATTTCCCCAAGCGGTCGGCCACAGTGACCAGTCACCCCCGCTCCTCTACCTCGACCGCGTCCTCCACCGAAGCCCCGCTGGTCCCCAAGCGCGCGCTGTCGCACACGAAGCGCTCCCATCAGGAGCTCGCCCGCCACCGCTCGCTGTCCCGGCTGTCACCGCCCCCACTGAGCTCGACCCGCAGCAATCCCCAAATGCGACCCTCGCAGGATTACAAGCCGGAACCCCACCCGTTCGGAAAGGAGCTGGAGCAGGTCAACGAGGTGGCCGAGGAGTTCGGGGGCCCCCGCATTTTCGACGAGGAGGAGATGATCTTGTACAACAAGGGCCTGAAGAAGTTCACCGTCGATGACTACCTCGTGGAGATCCAAGACCTGTACGGCAGCATCTTCGACGATCAATTAGGCCCGATCGGCGCGGGCCCATGGTTATGAGTATCTTCCCGCTCGGCGGATAATTGACGCGCTACGGAACATTTTCATTCGACTCCGCCGGAAATACCGGAAATGTGGAGCGGAGCTTTCCCTTCTCTCTCTCGTTTTTTATTTTTTATTCGTTTATCTTTTAGCCCATTGCGCTGACGCTGGCCATGACCCACCCTCTTCCTTCGTTTGATGCCTGTTTTTTGAACCTTGTTTGCTATTGTTTTCACCAGTTAGATACCAGGGGAGGACGTTTGTTTCCCTATGTTATGATTCAGTGATGTTAAATTCGGCTTGTATGTGACCGCTCCTCGATGGGCGTGGGACTTGCGACGGATCTGCGATGTGATGGGGTGCCTTTTGGCTCCTCAGGAGTATACTGGGAGTTTGATTTAGTTTATCTGGTAGTCTGGTGAATTGTGAATCGAATATTTGATATGATTAGGAACTCGACTTGATGTACTCATTTATACACGCGAACGATCTGTAGTCGAGATCTGTAGTCGAGTCTCTGGCTCTCAGACATGGTATGTTGAAGCGCCTGGCCTCAACCATCCACAAAGCTCATTGCAAAAACGCGTCCATTTCGCACTTTCTATCTCTATGAGAACCTATTTTGATAGTTTTATCTCTCTTGGTAGAGAAAAGTGTGGTGTAAGCAGAGAAAGATGTGGTCACGCGTTGGTCACGCGCGGATCACGGGGTGGCAGCCTCAGGCTCCACACAGGCCCCACAGGAAAAAATTGCATCTCCGCCTTACTTTTTTCTCTCTCTCTCTCGCTCTTCCTGGTCGATCCGATTCTGGTCTTGTCTTTTCACTCCTCTCTTTCAACACCCCCTGCTTCGTCGATTTGCATCTGCATCCGGCAGCCATGTCCGTCTGGCCAGTCTCCCACAGTTGATTCTCTAGCTTTATTCCTAATTTTAGAGCCTCTTTGATCCGTAGCCGCCCGGTTGTTGAACCTGGTGGATCGGTCAAGCCTTGCCACAAAGTCGTGTCGTGTGCTTACCTGCCGCTTGCCGACACCATCCATTTGCATCACCGCAGCTGTTGGTAAATCCATGATCAAACATAGGCACCCACTTCACCCCCTCGCACCAGCATATCGCGTCATATCCCTTGATCGGTCATGGTTTCTCTCTCGTCGGCAACGCGCAGCCCAGCGGCTCCCCGACCGACCAACCCCTCCAAGATGCTAGCCACGTCGTCACCCGTGCCGATCTTGAAAACCTCCAAAATCAATACCCCCACCGCGGGGATCAAACACAGGATGGAAGAGATGGATCTGTCGTTATCACCGGCCTCGTCGGTCACGTCGGACCCAGACGCCCACCCGAGTCCCCGGAAGCGGACCAGGGTCCAGTTCGAGAAAAACGTCGAAATGCGGGAAATGTCAGACCACGAGGAAAAGGCGCCGCCGATTACGAGGGCACCCGGCAAGAGCGCGGCTGTGGTGCGGGAGGAGGTGCGCAGGGCCATCCAGCGGCACGTCTCGGGAGCGGACAGCGAAAGCTATGACCGCATCAAGGAGGTCTTTGCGGTGGATCCCCGGCGACGGGATGAGGACGGGCATTTATCACCTGATGTACCTACACACACTTCATTGAGACACCATCTGTTGGGACTTTTGTCCAACGTCGCCGCCCTGGATCGCAGTTGCGATGGGCTGGTGAGCGCTGTGCTGAACAGCGAATGGCTCGGGCGGGACGAGTCGTACATCAAGCTGTATATCCGATTCCTTGGTAATCTGGCGGCCGCCCAGGGTACCCATCTGCGGTCGGTGCTGAAAATGCTGGTCGGGTATCTGGGGGAGCTTCCCAAGGGTACCGGTAAACTGCCAGGCTATGGCCTCGTCCAGATACCAGATATCTACACCCGGGTGCACATGGCGCTACGCCATGTGATGCAGTTGATCCCTTCTGGTAGCGGCACGCTGTCTCCGATCCTGTCGATGCAGTTCCCGTTCGACAATGATCCGGCCAAGACCAACATTGCGTACACCAGGAATCTGATCCGTGTCATTGGCTACGCACCGGAGCTGCAAGCCGACATCCTCGCTCTCGTGACCGAGAAATTGGTGAAGATCGATGTGCAGATCCAGGTGGACATGGAAGACATCGAGGACGAGGAAGGCGAGGATGTCCTGCACAATGTATCCCCGGAAGCACTGGTTGAGGAAGACGACGACGACAACGCATCGGTCATGAGCGACGAGTCGGTGGACCCGGAGACTCGCCGCGTCAAGGCGATCAAGGAGAACATCGTCAAGCTGGATGGCATGATCGACTCGCTTTTCGAGTATTATGCCCCTCCGTTCACCAGTGGCACTTTGGACGACAAGGAGAACGCCCTGGATCTGCTGTTGAGCCACTTCCAAACCATTGTCCTGCCGACTTACCGCTCGCGTCACACCCAATTCCTCCTGTTCCACTACTCCCAGTCGTCTTCCATCCTCGTGGACCGCTTCGCCGCCACATGCATCTCGCTCATCTTCAACAAGACACAACCTGCTATCATGCGCCAGTCGGCAGCCGCCTACCTGGCCAGCTTCGTCGCCCGCGGTGCCCACATCTCCGGTGAGGTCGTCCGTGACGTATACGACCTCCTCGGCACGCACTTGAACAACCTCCGTTCCGAATGCGAATCCTCCTGCCGCGGCCCAGACCTCCGCCGCTACGGACCCTTCTACTCGACGGCGCAGGCCCTCCTGTACATCTTCTGCTTCCGCTGGCGCGACCTAACGACGGCCGCCATTGAAGGCGACACGCCCGAACAAGTCGACGACCTCGAGCCAGAAGACATCATCTTCCCGCCATCAGTCAAGAGCGTGCTGCAACAAGCCATCCACTCGAAGCTCAACCCACTCAAGGTGTGCTCCCCGGCGATCGTGGCGGAATTCGCACGCATCTCCCAGCACCTGAACTTCATGTATGTGTTCAGCATTCTCGAGACGAACAAGCGTCTGCGCATCTCCTCCTACCGCAACATGGCCGCCCTCGCCGATCCCCGCTTCAGCCAGGTTGAGCGCGAGATTCGCGCTGGCGATGATCTCGGGTATCAGCTTGATGCGTACTTCCCGTTCGACCCGTACCAGCTGCCTCGCAGTCGCCGCTGGTTGGAGGGTGACTATATCGAGTACCGGGGTATTCCAGGCCAAGGCGATGACGACTCGTCCGAGAGTGAGGTTGATGATGACCTCGACAGCCTGAGTGATGGGACTGGTACGGATGACGATGAGTAAACTTCCTCCCGATTCCATGCCTCAGACGCGCCTTCCTTCCCAGGCTTGTCTATATAAAAAGGCGTCCACATAAGGAAAGATCGAGAGACGCGAGTTCCTCCCTAAAATACCCGAGTGATTGCCATTTGCAACACCTCGTCTTGGTTGCATTAAGCAACAAAAAAAACAACCCCCAAAACCAGTGCTTGCAAAAAGTTTACCACGGAGTCTGCTTTTTTTTTTTCTTCTTTATTTTGATACACCGTTAGCGTGGCGTTCGGAGATCATCAACCTACCTACCCTACCCGACTTCTCATCAACCCTTTGATCTGATTTTATTTGATTGTTCTATTCTCTATTCATATTGTGTATGCGCTTGCTTGATCTGTCGATCGCTAGATACCATACTGTTGTTTCTTGCTTCTGATTTGATATTTGATTGATTGATTATGAGGAGATGAGATGGGATGATACTGAAGAGAACTTGAACGGAGCTGGACATGATACACAGGTGTGAACGGGGTGCTGTGTATCTTAAGGAGAGAAAAATACAATGATTTTGGAACATTTACCTACATCCTTCCTCTAATTAAATATCTACCTATGTATATCAAGGTCATCCTACACCATATGTATCCATTCTATCACAACCATCAGGCCATACGACAACATACATACCCAATCGAGCAAACACCAATCCAGTAAATCCGAAACAAAGTCAATAAACAGAGAAAACAGTAACGCGAAAAGGATCAAGCGGAAACCAACATCCCACTCCTCAACCCGGGCACTTCAACCCCGACCACCTCCCCATTCCCACCAACATCAACAACAAAAACCACCCTATCCAGCGCCTCCCCCCCATACCTCATCCAATCCCCCATCTGCCACCCCGCACAATACGCATCGCTGTTCCATCCTCCTTGGCCCGGCAAATCGGACATAGCCCCTCCGTCAAGCGGGACGATATCAAGATTGATTCTCCAGTCTTGCCGGACTAGTCTTTTTGAGGGGTGTCCGAGGGAACTGGCTTCGGCGGGGGAGACGGGCGTTTCGATTCCGGTGGGGTAAAGCCGCATGTCTGGGGAGAGGAGGCCGAAGCCGAGGGGGGTGTATTGGGTTTTGTAAATTTTGGAGAGGGCGTCTTTGATTGATGTGTTGGATTGGGTGAGGGTGGTGAGGTGGAGGCCTGGTCCGGCGTCGAGGGAGAGGGAGAGGGTTATATTATTGTTTGATTGTGGTTGTGGTTGTGGTTGTGATGGTGATGGTGATTGTGATGGTGTTGTCCATTTCCCTGTGTATTTGGCACTTTGGGCTCGGGTCTCCGCCTCAATAGCAGGAAGAAACGTCCCCAACACAGCATGATACAATACATCCAACGCGCCAACAGGCCCAGCTGTCAGTATGACAGCACCCACACCGTACTGGTCTACCAGCGAGAATTGGGCAGTGTAGCCTAGGGCACCGCCAGATTTACCGTATATGTCGACTGTGTGCGGGTGATCTGGGATGAGGTGTGTTGTGCGGAGGATTTCCCAGGGGGAGCCAACGAGGGTGCTGGGTGAGCTTGTGACTGAGGTGGGTTTGAGCCATTTGCGGACGGCGGCGGGGGTGGGGAGGATTGTATGGGCTAGGATTGAGGTGGCGAGGGTGTTGAGGTCGTTGAGGGTTGAGAAGAGGCCGCCGCCGCTGGGTTTGGGTTTGTTAGTTGGTTGGTATAGTTGGGTGGGATAGTTGAGAGTGTATAGGAGATGAGGGTATAGTGGGTGGATGGACGTACGGGGCGTTGAATCCAAAGTCGGATCCCCAGGAGGAGGGGCCTGGTGGGATCACAGCTTGTTGGGTGTTTCCAGGAGACACGCCAGTGTTGGCCAAGTTCAACGGCTGCAGGATGGTCTCATGCAGTAGAGTTGAGTAGTTCTTCCCGGTAGCCTGCTCGAGACAGAAGGTGAACAGGAGGAAGGACAGTTGCGAGTAGGTAGGCCTGGAGTTCACAGGGTTCACGGGCAGCGTAGACAGGAGACCACGGAGGATTTCTACCACGCGCATTAGCACCAGCTTGTTGGATGATGAGATTGGAGTGACATACCTTGTCGAGTACAAGCCTTGGTACCGTTCAGCCCTACGACACCGCAGGGAGGATAGTCCGATGGATCGAGATGAGGCAGGCCCAGACTCTCGTAAAAAGGCTGGAGATAGTAGAACTCGTACACGTCTATCTTGTTGGCCTCATTCATCGTTACAGAACGGTGGAGAATAGGGTATACATACAATTCGGTGGAATCCCCGCCAGATGCTCCCCCAGCGTCTCCAGCGTGATCTCACTCCAGGGTATAGCAGACTCCGGCGCCGCCAGCTCAGGAAAGAAGTGCGTTACCGGGGTACGCCAATCAACCCCAGCCTTCAGCAGCAAGAGATCGGAAAACACCTTCGACACAGACCCAATAAGATATTGCGAGTCGCCGGTGACAGTCTCAGTCCCTTGGGAGCTGAGCGCTGCCCGATGATGATACTCCCAGATGGGCTTTGCGCCCTGTCCCCCATTGGGAGAGACGAGTCCTATGGAGAAGGAGACGTTGTCTATCGGCCAGCCAGCTCGTATGTCGCCCTTGAGGGCTGAGTCTAAGGCTGTGGTTAGGGTGTGCGCTGCGTTATTGATGTGTTTGGATTGGGACAGGTTGGTGGGTTGGGGTAGGAGGGGCCCGTCTGGGGGACAGCCGCTGTAGGAGGGGATTGGGTTGAGGGGGGGGATCGGGGGGAGTTGGGCTGTGGAGGTTTGTATGAGAGAAGCTGCAATGGCTAGGTAGAGGAGGAATTGCATTGTGTTGTGGTTTCAATCTGGGATTGAGGTATAGGACGAGAGTAGACGTTAGGATTAGGGATATGTCTGCGATGTCTCCTTGAAGTGGAAGGGGGAGAATGGAGAGCATTTTGGAAGAATCTTTCATGGATTGACGGTTAACTGGGATTAATATCTATATAGAGAGATGTTGAATAGATATCGATAGAGAAATAAGTAGAGTTGAATGACGTGTGCTCGTATAACCACAACAGGCAAGTCTCGTATCCGCATAATAGACTTCTGACTAACCAATCTACGATGTAGATATCTTGGCAGCATCTACTGCAAACAAAGAACCCAGAACAATCAGAACCCAATCCTGAAAAGCCAAGAACAATACCTCATGCACCCCCTATCATGGTGTCGGCAACAATTAAAGGAGCCCTTCGCGCCTTGCATGCATGGTGACACCCTGCATCATTGTCAGCCAACAAGCCTATTACAATTCAATTACAACATCGATATTGTTCCCATCCGGACTTTACTGCTCTGCTGCTCTGTTCGAGATGGATATCAAACGGTACTACAGCGCTATTGAGACCCGCATCGGCAATTGGCTGCTCTTTGGTGGTCGCGCGCACTTGGGTTACTATCCCCGCGATACCTGGTGGCCGTTCCCTATCTACCGGTCCCTGTTGGCGATGGAGGACCAGATCGCCCAGTCGCTGCGTTTGGCGCCGGGCTCTCGCGTTCTCGATGCTGGATGTGGGGATGGCCAGGTGGCGCTGCATCTGGCGCGTCAAGGCGGCCTGCGCGTCCATGCCATCGACGTGTTGCCTCAGCAGGTCCAACGAGCGCAGGAGAACGTTGCGGCGGCGGCGGCATCGAGAGGGCATGCGACTACTCGATTGAAACCAAAGGCGGAGGCGGCTGTGGGCGCAGTGACCGTACACACAGACGACTACCACCATCTCACCACGGTGACTGCCAACTCGATGGACGGGATCTACACGATCGAAACGCTCGTGCACGCGTCGGACCTCCCGACGGTTTTGGCGGAGTTATACCGCGCTTTGAAACCCGGGGGCCGTATCGCCTTTTACGAATACGACCACTGGCGGGATCAAGGGGCCGCGTCGGTGGACGGCGCCGGAGACGAATCCCCGGCTATGGACGACAAAGTTCGTCAGTACGGCGCACTCGCTCGCGCCGACGGGGATGCCGGCAGCGGAGGGTGGGACGGCCTGGCCCAGGCGGTGGCACAGGCGGGTTTCGTGGACGTGCAGGAGCGGGACATTTCGGCGCACATCCGGCCGCTGCTGCGGTGGCTGGTCTTCTTCCTGTCCCTTCCGTGCTTGATCGTGGTGGCATTGGGGGTCGAGTCGTATTTCATCAATACGTGTGCGGTCGTGGTGAACTACCGCCGTGGGTGGAAGTATGTGGCCGTGACGGCCCAGAAGCCGGAGGGGCAGAACCCGAGATGAGATGCCGATCGCTGTGGATCCACGCTACCCACGGGGGGGAATGTGACGTGATGGTCTCATGGTGAACCTGGAATCGAATTTGATCAGACGCTATTGTACATGACTGTCGTAATCCCAACGCTTTAATGAACTATGCCCGGAACACCGAAAAACAAAAATCAAGAGAAAATAGTAATAACAACAATAGATGCAATGAGATCAAAAAATACAGCATCAAACGAAGGATCTAGGATGACTTCTCGAAAATGGCCTTCATATCCGCGCAGGCATCGCGGTAGAGGATGTTGACCTTCTTCTGGTCCCGGAAGGGATTGGGGGACTTGTCCCAGGCGTGCGGTTCCTTCTCGATCATCATGGCGCGCACGTGCTTGTTGATGTTTTGCAGGCGGCGGACAAAGTGCTGGCCCTCGTTGAGGAGCATGTCCCATTCGCAGATGTAGAGGAAGATGTCGCGGGGCAGGGCATCGGCCAGAATGTCGTCGTGGGCCCGGACGGGGGACGCATAGGGCGACCGGCGCGCAGTCCGATCCGGCAGGTAAGCCTCGTCAAAGAGATCGGTGAAGAAGTTGGGCAGGGTCTTGTTGGGCATGACACTCATGGCGCGGCGGTGGTCGCGGGATTCTTCAAAGTCCAGGATGGGGTACCAGGAAAACAGACCGACGATGTTGAGGTCACTGGCCGCGGTGTTGATCAGTTCCTGGGTGGAATCGGCCCGGTTCAACCAGCGGTCGTGCACGTCGTGGGACATGAGGGCGCGCAGGCGGAGGGGGACGGTGACGGCCAGATTGCCCCCGGCGGAGAAGCCCGAGAGCACGATGCGCGAGACGTCGAGGCCCAGCTCGGGAGCATTGGTCGAGAGATACTGCAAGGCCAGGACGCCATCATCGACGGCGGCGGGAAAGGGGTGCTCGGGAGCGCGGCGGTATCCCACGCTGACCACGACGGCGCCCACCTCCTCGAGAATGGCCTGGGCCCAGCGGCTGTCATCCGTGGGGGATCCCAAGGTAAAGCCACCCCCGTGGAAATTGACGACGACAGGAAGTCGTCGACCCTCCTTGCGACCGGCAACGTAGGCGGGCGGACAGTAGAAGGACAAGGTAACCCGGGCAGAACCGGACGGAAAGGAGCGGACAAAGGAGGGAGACGGGGCTCGTGGAGGGGCGATATCATGCAGGAACATGCCGAGGCGCATTAGAGAGCGCCAGAAGACGGCCTGGACGAGTAACCACCATCGAGAGGGGGGGGAGGGCATGTCTTCTAACCCGTGCATGCGAATTGACGTGTAATGAGATAAGGTATTTAAAAATTGATCGAATTGAAAGAGAGAGAGATAAATGTGACGATAGAATTAGAGGACGGAACGACGAGCCGATCAGGAGACTAAGAGATGGAAGAGAGTGGCGAGACCAGTCTAGAGATCGGAAGAAACGGAGTGGAGACGAGAGGCAATTTGGGTGATCAGACTGGTAGAGTACAACAGTAGGAGAGAAAAGAGAGAAACACGAAGAGAGAGATAGAAAGACAAAAAAGATTGAAGAAAATAGAGGGACAAGAAAACCACAGAGAGAGAGAGAAGAAGAAGACAGAGAGAGAGAAGTGAAGATGAAGAAGAGAAGAAGAGAAGAAGAGGAGAAGAAAGAGATGCGGTGATGTATTGAGTATGAGACAGGTAATATCGTGATGTAGACCGAGAGAATGGGTGGTAATCCCAGTATTCCCGAGGTATCAGCGTGTAATTTAAGTATGACATCATCCATGCCGGACTGGGGACCCGTTTCAAGGCTTGTTCGGATCGTCCTTTTTTTTCCCTGCCTTTCATTGGCGATGATCATTATGATATGACTCTTGGTTCTCTTGAATTCTTTGGCAAATTCTTCTTTACCTGAGACAGGAGAGGGATTGACATAATTGGTTCATGGTCTGAATTAGATCTGGGTGGTTCATCGTTTATAACCCCATAGTAACCCCCCTCATCTCATCTCTCGTCATCCGGATCCATCCCGGTTTTCTCCTCGACTTCTCTCCCTCTCTACCTTTTATCTCTTCCTCTACATATCCTCCCTTTCTTCATCCTTAGTTCTCTTTCTTCTCATCGATTGATCACGAAAGACATATCTCTTTCAGTTGCATTGTGGTCCACTGTTGATGGTTGAGCATCTTGGTCTGCCGTCATTCTGATACCCCCCCCACCTATCTCGCCAGTTGCCACTGTCTCCCAACCACTTCATTCCTCTTCTCCTTTCCTCCGTCTTCATCCTGGAAAGTGAGAGAGAAAAAAAAAATCATGTCTATCAAACGCGCCTTGACCAAACTCACCCCCAAATTGGGGGAAACGGAGGACGTCTCCTCCCAGTCGTCAACCTCCCCCCACCGGCGGAAAACCTCCACCGTCACCACCTCCCCCCGTCGCAGCATTCTCTCGAGCTTCCTCTCCAATCGCGAATATGCCTCTTCCTCCGAAGACATGTCGGATGATTCCTCCATCACCGGGGTCCTCTCCAAGAACCAGCAAAAACGCCTGGCGCGCCAGCAACGCCGCAGTGGCCAGCGTTCGCGCTTGAGCGAGGACCAGCAGCACTCCGAAGGCTCGGAACGGCGACACCGGGAGGATGTCGAGAACGCGGCCCGCGAGGAGACCGCCGAGATGAAGGCCCGCTACGGGGATCTCGCCTTGATGCAGTCCCGCAACCGACCGCGAGAGTTACGGACCAGCTTCACCGACATCTCCGCCGACTTGGCCGGCCAGGAGGTCATGTTCACCGCGCGCCTGCATATCATCCGCCGCATGAGCGCCAAGCTGGTCTTCCTCGTCTTCCGCCAGCAGCTCGATACCTTCCAGGGGGTCCTGCACGAGCAGGCCGGCACCAAGTCGCTGGCCATGGTCCAGTGGGCCGAGCACCTGCGCATCGGCTCCATCGTGCGCGTCCAGGGCACCGTCCAGGTGCCCCAGGTGCCCGTCCTCGGCTGTACCATTCACAATGTCGAGTTGGCCGTCGAGTCCATCCATCAGGTCGTGCGCCGCGAGGAGCCCGTGCCCTTCAGCGTCTATGAGGCCGAGATCCACCCCCCCAAGGAGGAACATGTCGACGGCCGGCGCAACCACATCTCCGACCGCACCCGTCTGAACAACCGCCTCCTCGACCTGCGCACCCCCACCTCGCAGTCCATCTTCCGCATCCAGTCCGGCATCGGCAACCTCTTCCGCAACGCCCTGGACGACCAGCGCTTTATCGAGATCCACACCCCCAAGCTGCAGGGCGCCGCCACCGAGTCCGGCGCCAGCGTCTTCGAGGTCAACTACTTTGGCCGCCCCGCCTTCCTGGCCCAGAGCCCCCAGCTGGCCAAGCAGATGTGCATCGCCGCCGACTTTGGCCGCGTCTACGAGATCGGCGCCGTCTTCCGCGCCGAGAACTCCAACACCCACCGCCACCTGACCGAGTACACGGGGCTGGATATCGAGATGGCTATCGAGGAGCACTACCACGAAATGCTCGACGTGCTCGACACCACCATCAAGAACATCCTGCGCGGCGTCTACACCCGGTACCGCCGCGAGATCGACACGGTGAAGCAGCAGTTCCCCGTCGACGACCTGGTCTGGCTGGACCAGACCCCTGTCATCCGCTTCACCGAGGGCATCGACATGCTCAACGCCTCGGGCTGGCGCGACGAGGACGGCAACCCGCTCCCCGGGGACGAGGACCTGTCCACGCGCGACGAGATCCGCCTCGGCCAGCTGGTCAAGGAGCAGTACGGCACCGACTACTACGTCCTAGACAAGTTCCCCACCGGCGCCCGGCCCTTCTACGCCATGCCCGACCCGGATGACCCCCGCTTCACCAACTCCTTTGACATCTTCATCCGCGGCCAGGAGATCGTCTCGGGCGGCCAGCGGATCCACGACCCGGACCTGCTCGAGGAGAACATGCGCCGCGTCGGCATCGACCCGGAGAGCATGGACGAGTACATGGAGGGCTTCCGCTGGGGGGCCCCCCCGCACGCCGGCGCCGGCGTGGGCCTCGAGCGACTGCTGATGCTCATCCTCCAGCTGGGCAACATCCGCCTGGCCACGCTCTTCTACCGGGACCCGCGGACCTTCCCGCGCCGGCCGCCAGTCGAGCGACTGCGGCATCCGGAGTCGTCGACGCTCGAGCCCCCGTGGGTGAAGCACCAGCTGGGCACGACCGCGCCCGACGAGAGCCACCTGCAGCCGATCGAGCACCTCATCGCCAACTACGGCGACGCCACGTCCACCTCCTACGGCGACGACCGGTTCAAGATCTGGCGCGACCTGGCCACAGGCGCGGCCGTCGCCTACGTGCCCAGCAGCAACAACTACGCCATCATCCCGGGCAACCCGCTCTGCGACCCCCGACAGTACCACCGCATCATCGCGCAGTTCCTGCAGTGGCTGCGACGCACCACCAAGTACCGGCCCGTGTGGCTCCTCTGCTCCCCGGCCGTCGAGACCGTGCTGGGCGAGCGACTCGGTTGGCGCAGTCTCTCCTGCGTCGCCGAAGAGCGCATCGACCCCTCGCGCAATCTCGCCGCGGCCGACGGCGAGATCGCGCGCAAGATCCGCCACTCCGAAAGCGAGGGCGTCAAGCTCGTCACCCTCAACCAGGGCGAACTCCCAAGCGACGACGCCCGGCAAAAGATCGACAAACGCATCCAAGACTGGCTCGCCAACCGCAAGGGCACACAGGTGCACCTGTCCGAGATTCGACCCTGGTGGGACGCCGACCACCGCTGGTACTTCTACGCGGTCGACAAAACCGGCACGGTCTGCGCCTTCGTCGCGCTCTGCACACTGGCGCCCGCGTGGGGCATGCAGGTCAAATACAGCTTCGACTTCCCCGGGGCCCCCAACGGCGTCATCGAGCACCTCGTCACGCACGCGATCCAGACAGCCGCGCGTTCCGGCATCAAGAGCCTCACCTTCGGCGCCGGAGCCACCAGCTCGCTCACGCCGGGCCATAACATGTACGGGCCCAAGACGAAGATGCTGCAGCACACGTACGACACGCTGGCGAAGCAGTTCCACCTGGTGCGGAAGAGCGAGTTCCGGGCGAAGCTGGGGGCGACTGACGATCCGCTGTATATTGCTTATCCGGCGCATGGGCTGGGGTCGAAGGGGATACGGGCGATTTTGCACTTCTTTGAAGATTAGACCTTTCTCTTTCTTTCTAGATTCTCCCCTCTATACTTTTTTGTCCCTTTCGGGTTTGTTTGTCATTTTCTGAGCCGTTATGTTGGTTAGATGTTGTCTTGTTTGCATTTCCCTCATGTTGGATTGCTTGATTTGTTCTGATGTTATGGTCTTTTAGCCATGGTTCTACCATTGGTGCCTTCCTATCTATAATATATGTGAGATGTATTTACGCTATGTTTACCCTTTATTTACCCCCTGTTCTACTGCTCTACTCTTCCAAAAGGACCCAGACCCCCGGCATTCAAACTATCTAGATGTATACAATGGACGCCTCTTCGTTTAATACTCCAATGCTACCTACCACTTCAAGATGTAGTCTCCGTTCTCTTGACTTTTGTTTTCTTGTACAACTTCTCTTCTGCTTTCTTTTTCCTGCTATCAATATCAAGACCATTATATTATCATACATATTATCAACATTACTATACAAGGTTCTTATTGGACTTTCTTCCCTTCTGTCTTCCCTTCTGATTTCCCACCCTTCCCCTTCCCCTCCCCCTCACTCATCAAAGCAACCAACCTCCCAACCTCCCCAACAACCCAACACGCAACCGCCGCCGCCACGCCAGCCACGACAACCACCCACCCCGCCGTCCTCACCAATGACCTCGGAAACACATTCCCCAAGTACGGATCCAGCACCACATCCACCACAACAGGCGGCACCCTCTCCATCAGCTCCTTATCCAGCGAGTAATAGTCTGCTTCGGCGCGCACACGCAGGAAGAGCACCGAGTCGCTGGTGAGGGTGGGGTCGTGCGGGGAGGAGGAGGCGCTGTCGGGGGGGATGGGGACGATGGGCGCGGCGAGGGGTTTGGCTGGGAGGGTGGAGAGGCGTAGGCTGGAGTAGAGGGTTAGGGAGGTTAGGAGGTGTGGCGTGGAGATTGTTGTGTGGGGGTGGTGGGTTGTGACGGTGAATTTTGTTGGTTGCTTTTGTATTGTATGTTGGTTAGTTTGGTTGATTTGTATTGTAGGGTTGAGAGGGGGGAGGGAGGAGGATGGAGGAGGGAGGAGGGAGGAGAAGAAGAAGAAGGAAGAGATACCGTGGCTAGCCAGCAGAGGCGTACTTCGTAGCGTTGGCCTGGGGTGAGATTCTCGAGAAAGTACCATGTGTCTGTGCCGGTGTCTGTGCTAGTGTCTCCATTGGAGTGGTCGGTGGTGGGAAAAGAAGCGTTCAATTGAGTGCGGAGGTAGGAGCTTGATGGAGAGAGGCGTTGGAGACCGAGATCGTCGAGGTTGGGGGTGAGGGTGGGGACGAGGACGGGGGAGGGAGCGAGGAAGATGGTCTTTTCGGTGTTGGCGGAGGTGGTGGTCAGAAGGGAAAGGAGGAAGAGGGGGAGGAAGAAAGAAAGGTGAGAATACATGTCGACGTATTATGTAGATAGTAAAGATGTTAAAGGGAAGTGTTTATAGATCTTGGTCTAGATCGTAGCTAGGATAGCTGCCTGAGGAAGAGTGCGTCATACACGTGACGCCAAGGATGGAAAACAGAGGATGACTCAGCTGCACACCGCACCATGGATAAACAGCCGTCTTGGCCAATCAGAAACCCCCAATCACAACGCGACCCAACTGGAACGTGATCAGCCCGACTAGAGAGCGGTTCGCCCAGTAGTGCGGCCTTAGGCGTGCGCTGTCATGCGTAGTCCTGTTCTGTGTCTGTTTTGGTCTGTTTTGGTCTGTTTTGGTCTCTGGGACCCCATTTCATTCCCATCCACTTCCTTCCCTCTTTTCTTCCTCTCTTCCTCTTCTCTTCTTCTTTTTCTTTTCTTTTCTCTTCTCTTACCTCTCTCAATCATTCCAATACTAAGGTATCTCTGGTTCGTCCCCCCCCCTTCTCCCCCGTAATTTAGCCCCATTCCCACCCGTTCCTCTGGCGGGTGTTGTTCTTCCCGTTTAGGTATCTGACTTACCCCTGAAACTTCCGTACAGATCCATTTCAGGGTATTTTATTTTTTCCCCTTCCCCTCCCACTTTCCTCACCGTTTGTTATTACCTCTTCTCTTCATCTCCCTCTCTCTCCCTCTCTTCCTTCCTCTCTCTCCCCTCCATTTCTCTCCACCATAATCTCCCCCAATTCCATATCGACAACATGAGAGAGGTTATTAGTTTGAACGGTATGTTGACGCGTCTCCCCTCTTTCTTTCTTTGATTTGTTTTGTTTCGAGGACGTTCCCGTCTCGTTTGTCTCTCCGTTCCGTAACTAATTGTTTTTCTTCCCCTCAGTCGGCCAGGCTGGTTGCCAGATCGCCAATTCCTGCTGGGAGGTATGATCAATTAAATACCATGGGAGTTTTGGAGAAGTCTTCAAGGATAAGAACTGACTTTGGTAGCTCTACTGTCTCGAGCACGGTATCCAGGTACGTGGCTTCGTGGCTTGACCGCCTCTAGTCGAGTGCCCAATACTCGGCCTTGGCCCAAGAATGTGTCAATCGACGGAATGCACATGATGGAATTCGACTGACAGATTCTAGCCCGATGGATACTTGACCGAGGAACGCAAGAAGGGTGATCCCGACCATGGCTTCAGCACTTTCTTCTCCGAGACTGGTACGTACCAATGGACACCACATGGATACCACATGGCACATGGCACACATGGCTTCAACCACAACAACAACAGCAACAACAACCCAATTGACACCTTCCAGGTCAGGGCAAATATGTCCCTCGCACCATCTACGCCGATCTCGAGCCCAACGTGGTCGATGAGGTCCGCACCGGCACCTACCGCTCCCTTTTCCACCCCGAGAACATGATCACCGGCAAGGAGGATGCCTCCAACAACTACGCCCGTGGTCACTACACCGTGGGCAAGGAGATGATCGAGCAGGTCCTCGACAAGGTCCGCCGTGTCGCCGACAACTGCGCCGGTCTCCAGGGCTTCCTCGTCTTCCACTCCTTCGGTGGTGGTACCGGCTCCGGCTTCGGCGCCCTCCTCATGGAGCGTCTCTCCGTCGACTACGGCAAGAAGTCCAAGCTCGAGTTCTGCGTCTACCCGGCCCCCCAGAACGCCACCTCCGTCGTCGAGCCCTACAACTCCATCCTCACCACCCACACCACCCTGGAGCACTCCGACTGCTCCTTCATGGTCGACAACGAGGCCATCTACGACATCTGCCGCCGCAACCTCGGCATCGAGCGCCCCAGCTACGAGAACCTGAACCGCCTCATTGCCCAGGTCGTCTCGTCCATTACCGCCTCCCTGCGTTTCGACGGCTCCCTCAACGTCGACCTCAACGAGTTCCAGACCAACCTGGTCCCCTACCCCCGCATCCACTTCCCCCTCGTGGCCTACGCCCCCGTCATCTCCGCCGACAAGGCCTCCCACGAGGCCAACTCCGTCAGCGAGATCACCACCGCCTGCTTCGAGCCCAACAACCAGATGGTCAAGTGCGACCCCCGCAACGGCAAGTACATGGCCACCTGTCTGCTCTACCGCGGCGACGTCGTCCCCAAGGACACCCACGGCGCCGTTGCCACCCTCAAGACCAAGCGCACCATCCAGTTTGTCGACTGGTGCCCCACTGGCTTCAAGATCGGTATCTGCTACCAGCCCCCGCAGTCCGTGCCCAACGGCGATCTTGCCAAGCTCGACCGCGCCGTGTATGTTCTCTTTTCTTTACTGTTCCGCTGCTTGAAGCTCCCCGTGGACGAAGTACTAATTTTCACAGGTGCATGCTGTCCAACACCACCGCCATCTCCGAGGCCTGGTCCGCCCTCGACCACAAGTTCGACCTCATGTACTCCAAGCGTGCCTTCGTCCACTGGTACGTCGGTGAGGGTATGGAGGAAGGTGAGTTCTCCGAGGCTCGTGAGGATCTCGCGGCCCTGGAGCGTGACTACGAGGAGGTGGCCAGCGACTCGCTGGAGGAGGAGATGGAGCCCGAGTACTAAGCGTCCGCGTCGACGGGTCGATCTCCTGACTGGGCCACCTAGACGGAATGGGTCCGAGGGATCGATCGTGGGCGTCGCGTCCCTTGCAAATAGGAAGAGAGAAAATTGGCTTAGCAAGACTCTGATTTCTTTGTCTGATATATTTTTAATATCCCTGGAATCCGCGATGAATTTACCGCTCGTTGATCATTTTTTCTTCTTTTTCCGTTATTTATTATTTCTGTAATCGATGTTTTTGCGTTCTGTGATTAGTGGATTCATTGAGGGAGAGACGGGATGAACATGAATACACCGTGGGGAAATCCCATTATTTTAGATTTCCGGTATTTCATGACCAAGAATTAGTATCTGTAGAGACCCTGGTTCATGGATCATGGCGCTCTTCGGAGGGCCAGAGTGGTGATCCTCATACTGAAGAAACAGAGAGCAATAGGGAGGTCAAGCACGGGACTGACCGCCCGGGCCAAGTCTCTTACCTAAGGCACCCACTTATCCCCAGAGGAGCTTCCACCTCTCTCTCTCCCTGCTCTCTCTCTCCTCTCCTCTCCCTGTCCCTCTCTTGGATTGCTCTCTCTCTCAACTTCCTCTCTTCACCACTTCACCTCGTAGGGTTGACTACCTTCCTATATTCTCCTCTCATCAATTACTCCATCCCTCATCCGTATCGCCCAATTTCCCTCATCGCTTTCTCTTCCCGCCCCATCTACCCCCTCCCCCCCTCGCCAAGTCCCATCTATGCCCGTGCTATCGTCCCGGTAGTCCTCCAACGTCCACCGTCCCAACACCTACCTACTCCAACCCAATCCACAATTTCAAAATCACGAGCGTCAGACAGGAGGGGAGGCGCTGTTCCCCCCCTAGGTGATAATTATGGCTGATACTGGTGAGTGGACTCCGTCCCCCCCGTGGTCAGCGGTTCAGGGACGACATCCGCGACTCCCCTGCCACCACAGCAGGAGAACAGCTGGAATATCCCCAATCGGATGCAGACGGATCTAACGAATACCCTCTCGCCATTACAGCGCGTCAACAAAACCTCAATTTGACCCCCGAGGAGAAACGGGCCTTTTACCAGCTCTTCCAGGCCGCCGACACCACCAACCTCGGCGTCATCACCGGCGAGGTCGCCGTTCCCTTCTTCGAGAAGACCAAACTGGCTCCGGAGACTCTCGGCTTGGTAGGTTCATCCGATCAGAATTCACAGCGATGGACACCCCCATCTCCCCCCGCAGATGGGAGGGTCTGTGTCCGACGACGGTCTTGGGGGAGCGGAGGCTAACGTGCTGCGTTCGACGGTGTACAGATATGGCAGATTGCAGATAAGGAGAACCGGGGTCTGTTGACTCCCTCTGGGTTTGGAATTGTCTTGCGCTTGATTGGGCACGCCCAAGCGGGCCAGGCACCGACGGAAGAACTGGCGCTACAACGTGAGTGCTCATCAGGGGGCGATGGCCTCTCCACCTCCCCTTTCTTTTTTAAGAATAATAAACGCTGACCGGTCCTCCTATCCCAGCCGGCCCGTTGCCCAGGTTCGACGGCGTGGTGATTGATGTACCGCCCGCACCCCGTGAGGCCGGCACCACCAGTCCGCCGCCTGCCGCCGGCGCCCCGATTCGAGTCCCTCCCCTGAACCCCGACGATGTCAATAAATTCGTGTCTCTGTTTGACAAGTCGGACGTCGCCGGGACTGGGGTCCTCTCAGGTAAGCCCCCCACCCCCGGAGCGGGACGGGACAGTGTGCATGGTACTGATCCGGTCGATCCGGTGTTAGGTGAAATTGCGAAACAGATCTTTGAACGTGCCCGGCTGCCGAATGATATCCTGGGTCGCATATGGAACTTGGCCGACACCAAGCAGCGCGGTGCTTTGGATGCGACCGAATTTATCATCGCCATGCATTTCTTGACCTCGTACAAATCGGGCGCTATGAGAGGCATCCCGCAAGTTCTGCCCCCCGGTCTCTACGAAGCTGCCGCGCGCCGAGGATCCGCTCGTGGGTCGGTGGGCTCGCGACCCGGCCTGGATGTGCCCCCGGTCCCCGCCATCCCTAAGCAATTCACCGGCCCCCAGCGCACCCAGAGCCCCATCAACCGACAGCAGTTTGGTTCCCCGCTCTCGGCGCAGTCGACCGGCGGGGAGTGGCTCATCACGCCCGCGGAGAAGAACCAGTTCGACAGCATCTTCGCGACGATCGACACCGCCAAGCTGGGCTCCATCAGCGGCGACCAGGCCGTGGGCTTCTTCATGAACGCACAGCTGCCCGAGGAGACGCTCGCCCAGATCTGGGATCTTGCGGACATCGATGCTGACGGACAGCTGACCAAGGACGAGTTTGCCGTCGCCATGTACCTGGTCCGTCTGCAGCGTAGTGGCAAGGAGCCGATCCCCCAGGTCTTGCCCCCCGCCCTGATCCCCCCCAGTATGCGTCGCCGGGGCTCCGGGTTTGTCGCGCCGGCGGTGGGCCCCGCGCAACCGCCGGCTCCCGCCTCCGTTCCCGCCCCGCCGCCCCCCCCACGGACGGCGGCTGATGACCTGTTCGGCCTGGACTCGGCCCCGGCGCCCGCTGTGCCGGCCGCCCCCTCCCAGGTCGCGCAGTCGACGGGGGGCTCAAACTCCGTCTTCCAGACGCCGGCGTCGCCATCGCGCGCGTCCCCGCCGGGTCCGTCCCCCGCCGCCACCTCCTTCAAGCCGTTCATTCCGAGCTCCTCCTTCGGTCAGAGCCTCCAGCCCCAGGTGACGGGTGGTGCTCCGCCCGCGGTCCGGTCCCCGCCCCCGCCGGCCGATGATCTGCTGGGCGACAATGACCCCGAGGAGTCCAAGAAATTGACGAGTGAGACCACGGAGCTGGCCAATCTCTCCAACCAGATTGGGTCGCTGGCGAACGAGATGCAAAACGTGCAGACGAAGCGGACCGCCGCCGAACAGGATCTGACGCAGAGCTCGCAGCAGAAGCGGGACTTCGAGACCCGCCTCGCGCAGGCTCGGGCCATGTACGAGCAGGAAGTCAAGCAGTACAAGGCGCTGGAGGAGCGGCTCACTGCCTCCCGCACCGAGACCAAGAAATTGGAGCAGGAGTTTGCCCTCCTGGACGGGAGTCGGCAGGACCTGCAGAACCAGTACGACCAGATCTCCGCGGCCCTCTCCGCCGACACCCAGGAGAACGCCAGCCTGAAGGAGCGGATCCGCCAGGCCAATGCCGTGGTGGCCCAGCTGAAGCCCGCGCTCGACAAGGCGCGCTCCGAGGCCCGGCGCCAGAAGGGGCTGGTCGCCATCAACAAGAAGCAGCTCGCGACAGTCGAAGGCGAGCGCGACAAGCTGCAGGAGGAGATCGCGGACGCTTCCCCGGAATCGGCTTCGGAGCCGGTGCCGGAGGAAGACCGGGCTGCCACGCCCGCAGCTCCCACGGCCAGCCCGCCGCCCGTCACGAGCCCCGCGGAATCGACCACCAGCCAGAACACGAACCCCTTCTTCCGACGTACCGTCACGGGTTCCAGTGACGGCAATCAGCCGTCGCCGCAGGTCTCGAATGACCAGCAACGCGCATTCGACAGCCTGTTTGGACCGTCCTTCGGCGCGCCGTCGGCCGGCGCGCCGCCCCCACCGACGTCCTTCGGCGCCCAGTCCCCAAGCACGTCGCGGGTCCCGACCCCTTCCATGTCCCCGCCGCCGCCTCCAGAGTCTCGGCAGCTGACCCCGGGCGTCCTGCCGATCACCGAGATCCACACGCCGACCTCCTCCACGATGGCCTCCCCGCCGGCCAGTCGGTCGGGCGGCCCGGATACCGCCAGCCAGGGGGCACCGAGCGAGGCTGCCGGACCGACCTCAGCCGCCTCCCCGTTCGATGAGGCGGAAGACCCCAAGGAGCGCTTCCCTGAAGTCCCCGGTCTTCCCCAGGATGCCGCTGCGCGCGCGGTGTCCCCGACGACGGCCGAAGGCAAGCAGCCGGAGAAGAAGGACCCGACCTTCGACGAGCTCTTTGGCGGCCCTGCGCACCAGCGCACCCAGTCGCAGAAGGAGAACGATTTCGACGAAGCCTTTGCGTCCATGAAGCAGGGGAGCCAGCCCAATGGCGCCCAGGCGGCCGCTCCGTTCGAGTTCCCGCCCATCCGGGAGCTTGACGACGACGAGGAGACCACCGACAGCGAGGCCCCGAGGGGTTTCGATGACAACTTCACCCCGGCCCAACAGCCGTCGGGACCGGCGCCGACGTCGAAGCCCGCTGACTCCATCGAGCCCTCGCAGCTGGCGGCATTCCCCACCCCGGGATCCATGCCCACGTCCCCCCAATTTCCCCCGTCGCCCGGGGCCCAACAGAGCCCCCCGAACTACACGCAGAGCGTTGGAACACCGGAACCGGGGCAGGCTCCCGCGGCATTCAACGGCCTGCTGCCCGGCCGCGGTGATCCCACCGCTCCTCCCGACGCTCCTCATTCGGTTGACCACGCGACGGGAGAGCCCGTGGTCGGCGGCGAAGCGCCCAAGGAGGCCCCCGCCGCCGAGCCCAGCACCGGCAAAGCCGGGGGTCCTGATTTCGAGGCGGCCTTCGCCGGTCTGAACCTGGCGCCAGCCAAGGAAGACGACGACGATGACACCGACACCGACACCCCCGACCAGAAGAACAACGAGGACTTTGACTTTTCGTTCGACAACCCGGCCCAGCAGCAGGCAGCCGCAGCCGCAGGCGCACAGGGCGGCAACGCCGCAGCCCCGGATTCCTTCACCTTCGACAAGAACGCGAGCAGCACCAGTCCGTCCGCGACCACCCCGGCTCCCCCGCCCGGCGGGAGCCAGACGCAGAACCACGACTGGGAAGCGCTCTTTGCCCCGCTGGACAACGTCGCGCCGAATGGATCTTCGGCCGTAGACAGGTCCAAGGAGCCGGGATGGGCGCAGAGCAACACGGAGGACGACCTGATCCTGCAGAAGTTGACAGGAATGGGCTTCCCTCGGGACGATTCCCTTGCTGCGTTGGAGAAATTCGACTACAACATTGATAAGGTTTGTCCTCTTCCTCCCCTCCCACGAAACATTGGGACAATACCAAGAAAATCAAATGAAGTAGTAGTAGTATAACTAACAACCAAACCAGGCCGCCGACTACCTCACCTCGAAAGTCTAACCTTTCAAACCAAAACCAAAACCAAAACCAACTACATCAATCAAAGCAACCCCCTACACCCCCTTGACGTCCTCTCTCTCTATAACCATCTCTCTCGCTATCTTAATTCTTACATGCGCACAAATAAGTCCTATCCTGCCCTGTCCTGTCCCTAATTACTTAACTATTACTACTACCTTAGTATCTATTATATCTTGCACATAGTTTTTCCAGACAAGTTTAGCCACATTTTTGCTTGAACGTTTTTCTTTCTTCCCCCCCTCCCCCCTTTTCTGTTGTTTTTGCTGTTCTTGCCGTGTCTACTGTGTCTGCTGTGTCTGCTGTCCTGTATCCGATGTCGTATGTCTGTCTGTCTGTCTGTCTCTATCTGGTTGATTATCGATGGATTATTGATATTGATATCGATATTGATGGATTATGGATCACCTCGTCTGCATACGTTTTTCTTCTTCCCTCCTTTCTTTTTTCTTTTCCTTTTTTTCCCCTTTACTTCTATCTCTTTCCTTTCTTTCTCGCTTTCTTTTCTTTTTCTTTCCCTTTCCATTATTTCTTCTGTCTACCACATATATACATGCACGCATACATACCGCTACTGCTGCTACTACTACTGCTACTGCCACCACCATGTATATCTACATACCTACCTATCTATCAACTCTATTATTGATTTGCAGAACAGCTTAGCTAGTGGTTTCCATAATGTATCTCATTACTTAATAGCTTGTTTCTCCTACAAGTTTTTGTGTAGCCTTCCTGATAATCCGCCATAAAACAGTGTCTAATCCATACAGTACGGTATACTACCTGTTCCCGGTTTGTAAGATAAATCCAGCATCAGCAAATTCCCTCGTGCCCCCTTCGCCACCTCAGAGCCAGTAGAAGCAATGAAACCCTCATTTGACCGGCCCTTTCGCGACCGTCCCGCCCAGTGAACTCCTCACATGCATTCTCGACTCTTGCTCCAATTTGACATCTACCCCAGTCAGTAATTAACCATCGCTCGCGAAAAGAAATGAGCACTTACGGAAGTCTTCCACCGAGCGCTGTACCGTGACCTTGCTTTTAGGGCTCTTCCCGTGCATCAAATTGTCAAATGCCTTGGAACGCTGCAGGAGGTAGTAAAGCCCCCCCATGATCGAAAAGACCCCAAACGATAGGACCCAGATGCGGACCACGGCCACGATTGAAGTCCGTCCGCCGACGAACCATCCGAAGAGGCAGAAAAATGTCGCGATGAGGTCTACCACCAAGATCGCTGCAGTCAACTGCCACGATGGGACCGACGACCAAAACGGACCATTCGCACGCGTGATAAAGATCAACCAGTTCTCAGTCAGGGAGATCTCGAGAAACAGAACCTCATCGCGCTCCCCAAAATTCTCTACTACTCCCCCTTCCTCACCATTGTTGAGCATAGTCGTCAGCGTCACCCAGGTCCCGATGGCGAGCACAATCCCGAGAATGACAGACATGCCCCAGAGTTTGGGAAGGTTCCATTTCACGGGACTTTTCGAATACGGGGCCTTGTCGTAGGCAATAGCGAGCGTTGCAATGTCCGCAAATATAGCAATGAAGACGACCAACTGCAGGTTCAGGCTCTCATTCATGATCGCGATCCAAAGCCCCAAGAAGATTTCCAAATGGAGCGACAGAGCAATCCGGTACACGACATAGGCGTACATCCGATGGAATATCTGGCGCGAAGTCTTCAGAGCGTCAATGATAGCAGACAGTCCAGGAGCCAGAAAGACAATATCAGCCGCCGTGCGTGCCGCGTCCGAAGAACCCTCGACTGCGATCCCAGTGTCGGCTTTCTTGAGGGACGGTGCGTCATTGACGCCGTCTCCAGTCATCGCTACCAGGTATCCGCGCTGCTGCAGGATATCCACGACGTTATACTTATGTTGAGGGAATACTTCCGCAAATCCATCGGCAGCCTCGACAAAGTCGTAAATCTCAGACCCTGGCATCGATGCCTCCTCCCCAAGACCAAGACGGTCGGCGTTGTAAACGTTGGTGCCCATTCCGAGATGGCGCGACGTCTCTCGAGCAATGCCGATGGCATCTCCAGTTAGCATTTTGATCGATAGTCCAAGAGACTTGGCCTCGTTGATGGTCTTGGCTGTGTCATGTCGCGGAGGGTCAAAACAAGGCATGATCCCGAGGAGTTCCCATCGCCCACTGCCATGTTGGCGAGCCACCCCAAGCGAACGAAAGCCCCGAGAAGCGAACTCGGCCACCTGCGTCCTATAGGCGACCTTCACAGCTTCTGTAATATAGGTCTTGTTTTCAAGTTCCCCGAGAATGATATGTGGAGCACCTTTGACGCAGGTGATCTTTTCGCCCTGAGGGGACTGCACTATAGCGGTAACTTTTTTCGAGACAGGGTCGAAGGGTTGGAATTCAAGCAACTTATACCGCGAAAGCAGAGATTTGGCTCTAGGATAGTTAGGCAAGGCCCTGAGAAAGGCTTTGTCGATAGCGTCTATGCCGTTGGTCTTCCGAGAAGCAGCCAAGCAGGCGGTTAGCATAAGATCCTCGGGATCCACACCAGGAACAGTGAACGGTTCATGAAGCTTTAGCTTATTCTTCGTTAGGGTACCGGTTTTGTCGGAGCAAAGAATCTCCACGCCAGCGAGGGACTCGATGGCTGACAATCTCTGAACAATCGCTTGCTTCTTCGCCAAATATGCGGCACCAACTGCCATTGTGGTGGTGACCACGGCAGGAAGACCGACCGGCACACCGATCATGGTGATGGCCAAGGTAAACTCAAGAATGGTTATGATGTCGTTTGATCGGTAATATGACGATACCCAGACAACGAGGAGTGTCAGAACCACAAGTACCAGCAGCACAATCCCAATTTGATTGAGAACCTCAGTAAAGTGGCCTGCACCCGAGGCAGCGGCATTCACCAATGCAGCAGCGCGTCCGACGAACGTCTTGTCTCCCGTGGCCGTGACGACAATGCGCGCGTGGCCTCGCTTTACAGCTGAGGAGGCATAGCACGTATCTCCTTTGGTCTTGTCAACAGCAAAGGACTCGCCCGTGATGGAAGACTGATCTACTTGCAGAGTAACCGTAGTGAGCAGTCGACCGTCCGCGGGAATGATCGTTCCCTGGTCGGTTTGGTCAGCTGTTGGACATGATTGGAGATTGCACATCTAAAGTACCTCTTCTACTTTCAAGATGTCACCCGGAACCACGTCTGCTGTATCCACCTCGATTATATTGCCATCCCGTACGACCATGGCCGTCAGTGCCAGGGTTTTCTTCAGTTCGACCACGATGGACTCGGCCTGATACTCTTGGACAAATCCAACAACTGCATTGAGGGCCAGAAGAGCGCATATCACACCGAAATCTACCCAATCGCGAAGACCAGCCGCCAGGATTGCAGCTGCCTGTTTGCAAGAGTCAATTTATTAGTCCAGGTGCAACAGTGTTCTCGGAGAGTGAGAACCCACCTCCATCACGAATTGGATTGGTCCAACGAAGTAAGACAGAAATTTGAGGAAAAGGTTTGTCTTTTCCTCTTTCAGTCGGTTGCAACCATACTTCTTCCGTCGAAGAAGGACCTCCTCCTCCGTGAGCCCGGTGTTTGGGTTTGTCTGGATAATCTCCTCTGGTACTTGAAGAAGGCCCCCCGGTTGGCTTAGCCTATCGTCATCGACATCACTCTGACCATCAAGAGACTTGAGGTCCTCGATGAGGGCATCAATATCCACGTCTTTCTCATCTAGAGACTCGCCATCCTCTTCTTTGAATTCGTACACCGAGCTCGACGGATACGACTTTCTGTTTGCGGTGGTCTCCTTCGGCTTGTCGTCGTCTTGTTTGGTTCCAGAGGCGGACAAGACCCTGTTCAGGGTGGGAAAAGATCTGATCGGCATGACGATTACCGGAGGTATCACAAATTGGTGTCAAGTGGATTTATACTTGCGTGTAGATCTATTTGATAGTATATACCCAGTGGACGAGATCTTCTATTGACTGAGCGATAAAGCCATGGCAGCATTGTGACCGGATTTAATAGCCGCTGTTGTCGGTTAGACAGGAAAGTGCAGAAAGGAGACTGAAGCACAATTCCTAAATAAAGAAGGAAGAGGGTTCGTACCTGCTGTTTTGGTGAAGATGGGATATCAGACAATGATGCTACTGGTAATATATAGTAATGACATGCTGTCTTTGTATTACCCATGACAGTAAGATGGACGAATTGGGATCTTATGTAAAACTGAAAACCTCTCGCAGTATAGACGCATGTACTACTGACAAATATCTAATTGACAGATGAGAGGAGAATCAAGACAGGAAACTTACAGTACTTCTAAGTAGGAGGGACCGTAGATGTAGATATCCACCAAGATATGCTGAGCTAAGCAGAGACGTCATCGGCAAATCTCGCCCACGCGCCAAGCATCGTCGCCAATCCATCCATCCACCTCCGGTCTTTGTTTGACATGGACGACGGGTCAGATCTCACCATGTGCCTCTGATTCACACCATTTTGAACTGAATAACCCATGAAAAGTATAGAACTGTCATTGTGATCACCTATAGACTCGCTGGGTTGCTGCATGATCGCATCGCCCGTTCACGATTGCGATTACAGCGTACTACTACTATACATATTGCGCAGCACGCATATCTTAGGCATTTGTCAAGCCCCAGACACCTGATGAATCTACTTCGGTTTATATTCAACAAAGCTATATCCAGCTTACCCTAGTCTCGGCCACTCTGACGGCTGCCAAGCGACCATGAATAGAGAAATTCCTGGATTCTACTATGGTAGGTGTGCGAATGCAACCTAAGCCGTGGCTTGACCCATTAATAGTGTCTAGATCCCGAAAAGAAAAAGTATTTCAAGATTGAGGCGAGCCATAAATCCGCCCCAGGATCTAATTACTCCAAAGATGCCGTCAAACGGAAACGTAAAGAACACGAGGTTGTAACCTGCATCTCTAACACGAGACCCGTCTTGTCTGCAACCCTACTGACATTGCGCAGAAACGCCAGAGAAAAATCCTCATTACCCAGAGGACTGCCAAAGAGAAGATCAAAAAAGCCGCCTTTTTGGAACATCCGTTCATCGGAGCCATACGCGAACTGGGCTATCAGCCCTCGTCCAATGGCTTCCGACTGGAGCAGCGGGGCTTGATCTACGCCAGCCAGTTCCGTCGGAATCGAGTGCACCAGTTTGAGCCGTGGCCAGATGATGAGTACTCCATCAAACATCTGCTGCGAAACAGACGCTCCGGGGTCCTGATTGCTAGTGAGTGAGATGGCTTTCATCCCCGGTGTCATTCTCTGTTGGTTGCTGATCCGATCAAGGTGGCCACCGTGGTGGTGAATCTTCAGTCTCGTGAGCCAAACCTTTCGAAATTGGACCACAGAGCATACTGACCGTCCAAGGGTATGCTTTCCAGACTGTGACCAAGGCAAATGGACCTACAACCGGACCATGGAACGGGTCCTCTTCAAAGAGCCATACAGGGTGCGTCCTATCTTTACCCCGCATTGTTGAATGTGGAACAGCAGAATTGACTGGGATTAGATCTCATCGATATCATTAAGCCATACCGGCTATCTGCTGTGAGTTTGTATTGTCATCCTCAGCTCCTAAACCTCTTATTGAGACACTCCAAGAGCCACAATGGACAGTGGCCCGCGGGGCGACTCGTTCCTAGCACCACGAATGCTTCCCGACCCCGACGACGCCGGGGATTATCGCTGGCCTTCTTCTTGTATGCTAACCCCCTAACATCAACCACCAAATCTCACTAACAACCCATAACCAGCATTCTACTCAACTCGCATCGCCCTCACCCCATCTCTCTGGTGTTCAGCCGCCTGCCCAGAGGGAACCACTCCCCGATTCGCAGTCGGCACATCGCAAGGCCTACACACGATCGAAGGATTCGCAAGTTACTGGTCACTTTCCAAGAAACCCTTCGCCAACGACGTAGTGACAGGAAAACCAATCACCCACCGCAAGATGGACTCCTCCCACGCCCTTGTCACCAGCGTCGAATGGCTCTCCTCGGACGTGATCGCAGGAGGTCTCCTAGACTCCACAGTCTTTCTGCACGACCTCCGCAGCGGAGGCACAGCAACCCGACTACAGCATACGCACGCCGTCTCAAAGATTCGGAAAGTCGACCCGTATCGAATTGTCGTAGCAGGCTTGAACTCGGTAAGTCCTTTTCCACCTCCCTCTAACAAACCACCACTGAAAAACACGCCTCCCGACACCGACCATAAGCAAGCAGCTAACCAACCCAGCTCAAAATGTACGACATCCGCTACCCACCCAACGGCCTCCAACGCAACCCCAAACCAAACAGCAAACAACACACCTCCACAAAACCCTACCTCTCTTTCCCAGACTACTCCCCCACCAGCACCCCCGACTTCGACATCTGTCCCGATCTTAGCCTCCTCGCCAGCGGTAAGTCACAAATACCCTTTCCACCTCAATCCCATCTCTCATCAACAACTCCTAACAAAAACCAAACAACCCAGCATCCGACGACAACCGCATCCAACTCTTCTCCCTAACGACAGGCGAGCAGATCGCCTCTCCCATCTCCAAATACCAATACTCGCAACCCATCTCGTCTATCTGCTTTGAGCCCGGCGATGGGTGTCTGAAGGGTCCGCAGACGCCGAGTTTACTGGTGTGTTCGCAGGCTACTGTTGATGAGTGGAATTGGTGATTGGAATTCGTATCTGAAATGTAAATAGGTAGATAGGCATGGGAAATCTATTACTCTATATCCTGGGAGAGGAGGTTGAATCTAAAAATTTCTTATTGGTGTATTTGTTGTTTGTTGGTTATTATAAGTCGTTCTATATCCCCCATATACTGAGGCTATATCGAACAAAAGAACAACAACAAGAAGAAGAAGAAGAAGCAAAATAAAACACCATCCATGATATCCCATGCAAGAAGAGTACAAAAAGCAAAAAGCAAAGAAGAAAAGAAGAAAAGACTAATCCAACCCCCCCGCCAACCACTCCCCGACCTCAACCCCCACAGTCTTCGCCATCTCCCCAATCCAATCCCCAGAAACATTCACGCACCACTTCTCGCCCGCATCAGCAGACGTATTCCCACTACTCAGCCCGCCAGAACCCAGTCCCATACGGCCGCCACTGTCGCGCCCCGCGGCAGGGACAACGAGTCGCAGGCGGCGCAGCGTAGCCAGCTCGGCGTAGATTGCGTCCGACATGGCGGCGAGGCGGACGGGGTTGGAGGGGGGGTTGGGGTCCACGGCGTGGTAGATTGCGACGAGGCGTTCGAGGGGGAAGGGTCTTGCTGTGAGGATCGTGGATGGGCCTGTGATGCCTGCTGCGGCGGCGGAGGTTGTGGCGGACGAGGTTGCGAAGGCGTTGTTGAGGGTGTTTTTTGTGATGCGGGTTTTGGTGCGTTTGCCTTTTTTGGGTGTTGAGGAGGAAGCCGTTGCTCCGTTGCGGGCGTCTTCGGCTTGGGCTTGGGAGAGGACTTTGAGGCGGCGGCGGTGGTGGGCGCGCTTGTTTCGGGCTGAGAGGGAGGAGGAGGAGAATTTGGAGAAGAAGATTGTGTCGAGGCGTTGGGGGATGTGGGAGGCGAGGTAGGCTGATGTGAGGATTAGGGTCGGGAAGTAGGGGAGGGTCGGAAGAGGGGATGGAGCTAGAACGGCTGCTGGAGGTAGCTTTGTGGTGCCGTTTCCGGGGAGGGAAGACTCGTCTGTGACTATGTGGTGGACGAGCGCTGACTCGCCCTGATGGCGGAACATGGACCGGTTCTTGACCAGCAGTCGCGCAAAGTCCCACTCGCCGATGTCGCCCGGGGGCGTCTGGCCGTCGGTGATAGGAGACACGAACTGTGGCCAGAGTCGCTCACAGATGGAGCGGAAATTAGGGATGGATGCCACCGTGGGCCCGACCAGCGAGTCGTAGATGGCGTACACGAAATGCGGGTAGAGCCTGGATGTGACGTCCTCCGCGAGTCCTGTGGCCGGAGCGCCCAGGTGTAGAATAATCTTCGCCGCCTCCACTCGCGTGTACAGAGGAAAGTTTATATGCGGAACACCGGCGGAGTGAAGGAATAGCGGGCGCGGCGTGGTGCTGAGAATGAAGACGACGGATAGCGAGGGGATCTTGGATGCCAGTACGTCAGCTATAACCATCCAAACTCGGCTGCGGCACAACTCATCGTGCCATTTTACAGCCCAAAATCATGAACAGTAATGAACTCACCATCTCCCCCAACCTCGCCAAAGCAGGCAGCAAAGTATACGGCGCCTCCCGCTGCTTATCAATGCCATCCAACACGAGCACGAACTTCCTCCCGGGCCTCGAGGCAAGACACTGGCCCAAAAGCACAGCCAACGTACTAACATGCTCACACCTGCCCTTCCCAAATGTCTCCCACTCGCTCTTCAAATCCAAGGCTTCCAGCGCAGACCACAATATCTTCGTTAAAAGATGCCGTCCCGTGATACATTCCGAGCTGCGCACAATGCCGTGCGGCACGTCGAGGGCGGAGAGAACGGCGCGGACGATAGTCGATTTGCATGTTGCGGATATACCGTGGACGACTACCGTAGATGGGCTTGGGGATTCATCCTAACCGATCACACATGAGGTGTTAGCTATACATCCGGTTGGTTTTGGGACGAGACGAGACGTTAGGGAGATCGCGTACCCCGAGCAGGTTGGCAAGTTGCCTGCTTTGCAGCTCTCGACAGGGCCATTGCTGGCTCAATGACCGCGTAACTTCTGCCGGCAACATATGGCATTCACTGTGGACAATATACCAGCATGTATGCTTGAGCTTTGAAAATGATCGGCGCACTGGATCTGTGAGCTCGCCGAGGTCTTATCGCCAACTTTTCCGGGGCGGACGCGCGTGGTCACATGCTGCCCACGTGATCTGCCTCCGTAGATCCTGGGCAAGACTGCCTTATGTCTTTGCCACGGGCAAAGCTTCTTTATGTAGCTCTCTAGTGTATTGTTGACTCTTCAGAAGGTTTTAACAGGCTTTGTTAAAGATACTTGATTGCCTAAACTATGGGTACATCTATTCTACCTAAATCCATGCGAAATGGCAGTAGTTCAAACGTCCAGCCAGAGACATCCCAGGATGCGAGATATGGAGAAAAAGATGGTACAAAAGATTCAAGACCAACCACATCATCAAGCACGCAGGTAAGGTAAGTGCCTCAAGATCATCTCCCAATTACCTTGGAATTGCGATGTCTCATGAGATGCACATGACCGGATCCTGGCTCGGGGAAGCTCGCTGCAATCCAAACGACAAAGGGGAAATAAAATAAGATAGAAACACACTGTGGGGGCTAATAGAAAGGACGCATGTATTGAACAATGGTCTTGGAGCGATCCGGGACCAGGGGCGAGACCGAAAGAAAAAAAAAAGAAAAAGAAAATTAAAACACAAGGGGGGAAACAGGGGAAACTTGAGATACAACCATCCATCTCATCCGCCTTAATCCAAAGCGTTGAAAAGACGGGACAAGGGAGAAAAAAAAAATACAAGGCATATGCAAGATGGGTAGTCTTGGTCATAAACTGCATCGAATCGTCAAGATAACAGAAAAGAAGAAGAAAAAAATTGAACCAAGGACAACGATGCAAAACGGGTTGCTCGAAGATAGATATCCTGGTTATGATATCAAAAGATCAAAATCGGAATTACCCCAATCGGCTGGCGCGTCTCAAGGTGGCCGTAAGTCATGAAGATCGTATCATCATCTCAGTATGAGTACAAGCAATGGTCAGGAAATGGCGATCCAAGGCGCAGCGGAAACAGGTCAGAAGTAAGCGTACAGCTGACTCTGAGCGCCCAGATTGCCATTCGACTGAACAGCAGGAGCAAAAATACCCGGGTTGTCACCAGCCCCGCCCGAGGGGGTGTTTCCGGTAGAACTGTTGCCAGTGGCGGGCACAAAGTTCTGGGTTCCAAACTGGGGACCAACGCTAGGGACAGAGAACGGGGTGTGTTGATACATGAAAGTTTTCTGGGGTCCTTGCAGAGGTCCCGGGAGCTGGGACGAATTCATTTCGTTGGCATCCACTTGGCCATTGGTCGCGCCACTGCCCCTCCCCGAGCCTTCGGCAGCCATCATTTTTCCAGAGATACGACGACCGTGAGGAGTTTGGCGGATCGAGGGCAGGATCGGACGCACGGATTCGATAATCTTGGTCCGAGTGTCGGCGTCCGCGAAATCCATGGCCGTCTGCACGACATAGTTCGCGAACGAGTCACGCAGCATCTTCTCCAGTTCGGCACCAGACAGCATCTCATCAATCAACTGACGGCGGACCGGGTTGTCGGCGGTGCGGAGGCACTTTTCGATGACATTGGAGCTAAACTTCTGCTTCGACAAGGCAGGGATGTTGCCGCGGAACGTCTGGCAGAGAGGCTCTGTGAAGGAAGGTTCAGCAAGATCCAGGATATACTGCACCACGTAGTTTCCGAACGGATCCTGGACCAGAGCAAACGCGTTGGAGGTGATCTGGGCAATTAGGCGAGCTCTCTGGTCCCCAGAGGCATGGTCAATGCAGCGCTGAAGCACGCAGCATCCATGACGGTGCGTGCCAACGACCACGCAATTGGCCCCAACAGCGTCGTAGATGAACTGAGCATCTTCGGCAGAAAGACGGTTCAGACACTTCTGGATGACATGGTTCCCGTTCAGATCCTGAACCAATTCCACGACATGATCTTCCAGAGAACGGATGACGGTCTGGGTCTGTTCAGGGGTGGAGATGAACTCGATCATTTTCTGGAGAGCTCTGGTACCATGCTGGTTCAGTGCAATCTTCACGAGTTGGGCAGCGGCATTATTGATCAAAGCAGTTCGCTGCTCGTCATTGGAGTACTCCAGAAGTTTCTGGCAGAGGTAGTTGCCGAAGGGGTCAGTCATGAGCTCCACAACGTGAACATGAGTTTCGTCGAAGATCAACTGGACGTGTTCTGGGGTACGCTCCTCGAGCTTCCTCTGCAGATACCGGCAGCCATGCTGATCCTTACAAAGGCCGTACAGCTCACCCTGGTAATGCTCGAGGGGGTAGTTGGTAAAGCGCGACAGCTGGGAAGATTCGCTGTCCCCGTTCCGACGGGATGCAGCACCCTTGGCTGGACTTTCCGCCAGGCGGTAGTTGCCGTAGGGGGGAAAACCGCCGTAAGATGGGGTGGGAGGATAGTTCTGCACCTGGCCGTTCACCGGCGCCTGATTATTCATGTACGCTGGCATGCCATATCCATAGAACGGGTTCTGGAAGGCGGGGAGCGAAGTCGGAGACATGGTGCTAGCACCCGAGGGGGCCGAGGTCAGTTGGGGACCAAAGGGCGTAGCATTGGCCTGCAGGGTGGTTTGGGAGGGCCGGGAAGTGTGCAATTTGGGTTCCTCCCTCTCAGGCGAATCCTTCTGCTGACGGGAGTTCACTGCATTCACAGGGATGCGGCCCAGACTGGCATTGTGATGGTGGAATTGCTCAGCATGGGTTTTGGGGGGTGTGATGGCAGGGTTGAAGCCATCGCCCTTGACCGTCGGGAGATCATTGGTCGAGTAGGAAGACTGGAGAGACATGGGGCGGCTGGAGGCCGGGGTGATCATGCTATCCTGGCTTCCCTCACTACTGTAGAGGATGTTGTTCTCAAGGGAATGTCTGGCAGCATGACGAGAAGCATTGGACGTGTTGGACTGATTCTCGTTCTCCACACGGAACATGTTCAAAGAGTGCTGAGGCATGCTTTGATGGGTAGACCGGTGGCGATTGTGCGAGTTCCAAGTCTCCGGGTTGGGAGTACGGGAATTGGCCAGGTCAAGGGCAACAGGGTTGGCGGACAGCTGCAGGTCCAGTCAGTCTCTTGTAGGGCTCAGTCTATACGGTGAAACTTACCAAGCCAGAATCATCTCTTCTGGAGAGAGTAGGAAACTTCTCGTCAGGGTCGGTCATCTTGAGGTAGGACTTGATGTCAGGGGTAGGAATCCGATCGTCTTCCTTGGGAGTTCCTGTGTCGTCCTCGTTGTGGAAGAGATATTTGGCGGCATTGAAGGAATCAAGGCCGGAGGAACCATTGAAGCCCGAGACATTAGGGCGAGCCTGAGAGCCCATCCCCGCGGAGGGCATTGAATAGCGGTGAATACTGGCAGAAAGTCAGTGAAACAGAAGAGGACAATAGTATGGAAAAGCATTCTCCGCAGGGGTCACTTGAGTGATTCACAGTCCACCATAAGCCGCCAAGCGCGGAAGGCGGTGAAGGAGTACCATACACAAGTGATTGGCGACGAAACAAAGGGCGGCAAAAAATCACAATATGATGAAAGGGTGACTCACGAAGGACCAGGTCGAAAGGGAGAAGTGGGCTCCGGACCGAAATCTTCTTTCTCTGAGTTTCTACGAGACCCAGGCACAGAGTGCACCGAGAAACGACCACCCGGCGTGTGAGAGGAAGTGTGGTTCATCTGCTGGCTTGGAGGGCTAGACACCTGGGATGGCGCAAAGACGTTGAAGAACCCCGGAGAGGAGGTCACGCTGGAGGTCGAGAAGCGGGTGGGCCGAGTGAATGCAGCCGGGATGTGGTTCTCACGATACTCGGGAGGAGTAGTTGGCTCGCTGACTGGGCCCGACAAGCCCGCTTTGGCGAGATCCTTCGCTAGCTGATCCATTTCATGCTTCTCTCTCTCGTGCTGCAGATCCAGGAGTTTCATATCTTCTTCAAACCTCCGTTTCTGCTCACGCATGTACTCTATATGCTGGCGCTTCTTCTCAAACTGGTATGGGGTCAGCTGAATTGTCGTGGGAGTGCGAGGCCAATGGCAAGTGAGGTAAAGGTGAAACGAGAGATGAAACAGGAGACGAAGTGAAAGTGAGATGAAGGAAAGGTCAAGACGTGGCAAGTTCACAATGAGACCGGATTGAGGTGTCAATAAGCAAAAGCGCCAATTGTTACAGTATGGGATACCAGAGCGAAAGGCGACATTTGGCCCATTTGACAGGGAAGTAACAGGCAAAAGGGTATGTGAGAGAACTGATAACTACAATGCAAGCGATTGAGGGAGCGACAGGGCTTGTCGATATTTGGCGCAATGGATCATAACGGCTGCAAGACACTTACAGATGATAGGAGGTCTATGGGGTCCGGCACTTGAGTGACATTGCCGACGTTGCCGACCTGGTTTAGATAATTCCAGGACGAGAGCTTGCTAGAGTCCGTGGTAAATCGACGTTGGAGGTTCGCTCGGACATCGCCCGAGGGGCGCGAAAATGCGGACACGAAGTTCGAATGGCTAGGAGACAGAGGACTATAACCGGGGAAAGTCGATTCGGACGGAGGCGATCTCGGGGAGGGAAATCGCAGCTCGTCGAGGCGTTCACTAAGCCCGTTCTTGAAGGCCATGATGGGCGGCTATCTGTGGTGGGGATGTAAAGTAAACGGGACTAGTATCATTCAACGGCCAAGACAGGTCAGAAATTCGATCACGGCATGATATATGAGGGCCGCGGGAGAGCTCAAACGAGGAGGGGGGGGGGGGGGGGAGGTCGGGAAAAGATGTCAGGGGGAGGTGGATTATAAACAGCCGTGGCCAGCGGATTCCAAAGCCTAATATTAGAAAACACACGAGGCTAGGCTGGGAACCAAGGTACAAGGGAAAGACAAATTAAAAGGAAAAAAGCAAAAATCCAAACAAAATAAATAAAATCAAAAGGGAAAAAAGAATTGAATAAATTAAAAAAGAAAAAGCATGATCAAAAGAAAGAGGTGGTCGGCTGGCGGTGTGACTTGATAACGGGGGGGGGGAGGAGAGAGGGGGGGAGGGAGGGAAGCATGTAAGGAGTCGGAGAGGGGCTGAGGGGTGATTTGGCGGAGAAGATCGCAAGACAGCGCAACGACTCACACACAATGAACGCCTCGAGAGATTAATTTCCGGAGACTCGAATGGACGACGGTGGTCGCGCTTTGTTTTGAATTCGCAAGTAAGGACTATGTCGAAGGAAATGGAGAGATATGGGTGTGGTTTTGTGGATGGAGAGGGGGGGCCGCGGTGCGTTCTGAAGATGCGGAGATCTCGATCAGTGGTGATTCACGCAGTCGGGTCAGGCACCACCAACCGGTTTAGGTTGTCGTAACTGCTGCTGCTGCTGTTGCTGAACCCTACGCCCTCGGATCGAGAGCCAAGTGGGTCAAGAAGCCAGCGGATAAGGATAATAACACAAACGAGTGAAATAAGGATAAGGGGGAGGGAAAGGCTTGTTGTACAAATAAGGATAAGAATAGGCAGGTCAACCAAAGTCAAAGGAGAGAGGCGAGAGAGAGGAAAGAAAAGGCGCGAGAGAGGTCGGGAGTTCCGCTGATGGTTGAGGAGTGGGAGGCGAGAGGGGGAAAAATCGAGACCAAATCAAACCGAACCAAACCAAACCAAACCAGGGCGGCGGCTGGGAAAAGCAAGCGGGGAGGCTTGTTCATTCGTTGGTTCTTTGGGCACTTATGGATTAGCTAGGAGGTATTCCTGGAATTTGAATTGGTATTCTTTGTTGGTGCTTTGTCCATGTATTTTACTTGATGCGATTTGGTCGAATACCAACATATATCTTGGGTCTGTATGATCCATGGTTCCCATTTGACTGCCTCATCTTATACCATCGATTCAGTGTACCTTGGTATATACGCTGATTGAATTGTAG